CTTGAAATATTTTAAATAATAAAATGAAAAATTATAAGAAAATGCTTTATGAGCATTCTTATGTTCAATCGAGGAATGAATTAAGCGATGAATTCATTAAAACTTGAAGCATCTGCTGTCAACATGATTTAAATTTCTACGAGAATTCTTCACTTTGTAATTGTCAGCTTTCCGTTGAAACATTCAAGAACAATCCAACGAACTTTCATTTTTACTTCCCTTCATGTCCAACTGATTAACATTCGAAATGCCTAAAAGATACATTCAATTAGCATGATCAGGATTTAATGCTCAAAATGTAATCAACTTAAGGCTTCTGACTTATTATATAAATTTATTTTAGATGATAGTTCCTTATGATTCTATTTCTGTAAGAATGTTCATTATTTAGTTTTATTTTGTAGTTTGTTTTTTAATTAAATGTTAAGTATTGCATCGTAGATTGTCCTGAAGATGAATTAGAATAAAGTTCGAAACTATTCGACAGAAATAAAGTAATAAAAAGTCTGAAAAGTCGAAACACAACATTTATTACATTTACAAACGTTTATGATCACTGTATTAGTTGAGCAACGAGTCAGGAGGAGATTCAAGATGGCAGCAACTACAGGCGGGGATACGAAAGAACGATCGCAGAGATATTTCAGCATTTATCAAGGTAAGATCTAGCTAAAACAAAAACTAACCAATAGCTATCATATATAGGGAATACTGACAAAGCTCCAATAGATAACATTAATTTATTAATTTAAAACATTTTCTTCTCATCTTCTTCTCACTTTCGTATATTATCGTTTTCTTTCTTTCTATCTATTGATTTTCTATCGTTTTTTAAATATGTGTAGATCATCTGTTTTATAGAACTTCATGTAAATTTACTATATAAGAAAGTGATAAGTAAGAAATGTTTCATTTAATCTTCATCACTTTAAAGTCAAGATCAGTTGAACAGTTTAATCGTATTTTAATATCAAAATGTTTATTCTGTGTGTCGGAATATTTGTGTGCTTCATAAGTTCAGGTAGCGTTCACAAAGATACTGAGCTGTCAAAGATCCGAAAAAATTATACAATTTTTAAAAAATTAAAAGAAAAACCAATTAATGTTTTTGAAATTAGAGATTTTTGTTTTAAACTAAGTTATATTAATTATCATTTTTATTTGTTTTCTTATTATTCTTTTCTTAAAAAGAATAAATTTAAATAAAATTTTTTGGATTACAAAAATTAACTCAAGTAGGTACTCATATTCAGGGAACAAGAGAGATTTTCGATTAAGTTCTTGTAATTCTGATTTTGATTCCTTTTTAAAATTTAGGTATTGTCAAACTTAAAACTTCAAACAAATTTCAACTAATTTANGAAAGTAAAATAATTAACTAAATTTTTATTTTTGTATAAATTAGTTATTTCATTTTTTATTAATTTATAAACATGATATCTAGCTTTTTTTTCTCAGTAATTTTTATATTGAAATCTATTTCTTAAATTAGGAGTTGATGCGATACCACCAACAGAACCTCCGACAGAACCACCTACAGAGCCACCAACAGAACCTCCGACAGAGCCACCAACGGAACCACCTACAGAGCCACCAACAGAGCCACCGACAGAGCCACCAACAGAGCCACCGACGGAACCACCGACAGAACCTCCAACAGAGCCACCATCTAGTTCTTGCGATTGGACATATAGTTTCTATGACGAATTTGGTCCTGAGAAATGGTGGCAGTTAGTTACACCAGCTAACAGTTTCTGGTGCAATGGTGTTAGACAGAGTCCAATTGATCTCCAAACACAATTCGTTTATATTAATTCAAGACAAAATTCTTTACTTATTACTAACCTCAATGAAGTGCCAACTAATATTATTTTGACAAATACAGGACACGGTGCACAAATTGAATTCAGATTTCCCAATAATGATCAGATAATTGTTGCTGGGGGGCCTTTACCAATTGGAAAACAATATATTGTTGCTCATGCTGAATGGCACTGGGGTAATGTAGATTGCTCTGGTAGTGAACACTTACTCAATTCAAAAAGGTATGCAGCAGAACTACAAATCGTCCTTTATGACTCGACTCATGGTAAATTAATGTCTTATCTTTTATATTTTTCATAAATATTCACAAAAATTTTGCTTTAAATAGGATCATATGAACGGGCGAAAGATCAATATCAAGGTCTTGCCGCCATGGCATTTTTCTATAAGGTAGGTTATGAAGATTAAACTATTATTTTTAAATTCAAAAAAACAAAACAATTTTTCTCCACAGCTTGATGACTCAGAAGATTCAGATTTTCAAATCAAAGATGAGCTTTCAAATATTATTGAACCTTATTCCACTTTTGAGGGTGGAGCTCCTTTTCCATTTATTGATCTGTTCAAACATGAATTCTATGATTACATAGCTTATAGCGGTTCACTGACAAGACCACCTTGTTATCAGACCGTGCAGTGGATGGTGTCAACCAAACCATTAAAAATTAAATCAGACGATTTAGTTGAACTACGTAAAATTAAGGATTGTAATGGAGATGAACTTCATCGTAATTTCCGACCATGCCAAAATTCTTTAAGTCGCCCTTTAAATGGATATTATCTATAACTAATTTGTTTTTGTTTGAAATGTTATGCTTCAAAAGTTCAAGTGCCGTTTAAACTCTAACTGAATAAAAGAATTCAAATTAGGAACGGTGCTGTTTATATATCAGATTGAACCAAGGGAAGGTGAAATATTAATTTTTCCATAAAGTTTACAGCAGCCAAGTTATCATAAGCTTAGCAGATGAAGTCTTTTGTTGAACTTTTTATTAATTTATGTTGATAATTTTCTTAAAAATCGAGAAAAATAACATTTTTTGAAACGTCACGATATTGAACAATTTCTTAAGTAGATTTTGTAACATTTAATTTTCAGGTACACTTTCAATATGTGTTTTTCAATGTTACAAGCAATGTTATGTAAATAGACTTTTTGTTTGTATTTTTTAAATAAAATTCTTTTTAAAATGATAATCATCAATACAAATTCTTTTCTTGCCATGATTTAAGCTCAAGGTCATAAACCTAATACAGATCGAATCTATTTGTATTCGGGTTAAAAATTCCGAAAAGAGATTCGAACCAAACGTTGACACTGCACTGATAATGTTTATGTTATTAGTAGGAAATAATTTTCAGCTTGATTTGATAATAAAGATAAAAGTCGTTGCATACAAATAAAATACAAATTTTGGCATTGCTCATATATGAGACGAGTGTAAGAATATAAAATTATCAATAAACCCAACAATTAATCAAATATTTTGATGTTTTGATAGTTTTTAACTACTAACATTGTTTGTTCTGACGAGTAAGTATTATACCACCTTTGAAAATGTATCTTCTCTTCTTCTTTATTCTTATCGAATCAAACCTTGACATACTTTTCAATTTTTGTTTGTCATAACTTATGACAATAATCGAACATGTTGTTTCTATCTAAAAAGATGGATACTCGCATTAAGTTTTTGTTAGTTTTCTGTAAATATAACTAAATAATGATAGTAATAACTAATAATTCAATAAAATTACTTTTCAGGTGTTTATTTATCATCTTTTTCGAACCCAATTTATTGGCAAATTTATACATATGTGACCTTTTTCATTTAATTTCTAAAAACTTCATTGAGCGAACGTAAATATCCCGCGTGGTAAGAACCAATATCAATGAACATTCAATACGGAATCTTTTCTAGCTGTGACTTAAGCTCAAAGTCTTAAAATTTATATCGATTCAATCTATTCGCATCAGGGCGAAAATTCTGAAATTTTAATTTAATTTTTCACTTCAATCGTGCATTTTAAACATTTTGATGAAATTAAAAATTATAAGAAAATACTTTATGTCCAATGGAAATATTAATTAAGCTATAAAGTCATTAAAACTTGAAGCATCTGCTGTCAACATGATTTAAATTTCATGAATTGTCAGCTTTTCGTTGAAAACATTCAAGAACAATCGAACGAACTTTCATTTTTACTTCCATTCATGCCCAATTGATTAACATTCGAAATGCCAAAAGATACATTCAATAAGCATAAATCAGGATTTAGTGCTCGCTCAAGATGTAATCAATAGTGTGGAAAGTTCCTATGGAAAAGTTAACTATCAAGAGAAGTACTTAAAGTGGTTGACTTGTATGGTGAAAAATGTAGGTGGTAGTTGAGTAGATTTGGCATCTTTTCTCATGAACGTGACGATTGGGCTGTGCACAGTGGGATTCTTGGCGCGGAAAAGTGATTTATTGTCGTTTCAATTACTTTCCTTTTCTATTTTCTTCCTTCCCCTCCCACGCATTTCAATAAATGTTGAATGAAAGAAGCAAATGAAAATCGAGTGTGACTTCGGTATCAGAAATTTGATTTTAGAAAGCTTCTCTGTCTTCCCTTCTTTAATGTTTCAGTAAATTCGAGGTGTGACTACAACAGCTGAAAGTGACCCATGAACAGCAATATCAAATAGTTTATATTCCCAACACGATAGTAATGCCATATCCTCAAGATACTATAATTCATCGCATATGCTTACATGTGACAATAAACCAAGCAATAAACATCCGATTGTTAACACTAAGCAACTTTTCGACCACAATATTCGGAGGCAAATTCTTACTTGGGCCATCTCACACCTATTGAAGCTTTTTCTTTACTGGATTTCTTAATAAAATTTCGCATGGTCGTCATAAATATTCACATTGTGGAAGAAAAACAAAAGCCATCGAAATTCACATACGGACGAGAACAAACTTGAAGCTTCAGGCGATTTGAGTTGTTGATGTAACAATTTTTTGAAGTTGGGTTGAGTTTCTAAGTTTCATCGACCCTTTTCTGAGGTGATATTGTCAAAATAAACTTCACGTGGTTCTTGTTTCAAAGATCCGAAGTTCGGTAAACTTTTATTTTAAATAATAAATTAATAAGTAAATAAAATAAATTCGATTTGTTTATCTTTGGACAGAGTTTGAATTCGTTTTTGGTGTTAATGAAATGAATTTTGTATTGATGAATGAATCTGAAGTTAAAGCAGGACTCGTTATTCAATTGATTGTTTGCTTTACCTTTTTGTATTCAAAAACTTCAGATGCAACGAGCGAATATTTTTTATCTACAGCGTTGCTGAATTTTTTCATAAATTAAAATTGTTGTGATTAAAAAAATAGTTCTAGCCAAGTCTAAACATTATTCAAATGCTGTCTTGGCAATGATTAACATGAAAACTGAATTTATAAATAAATTTCCTAAAATACTTTCCGGAAAACTTTCAAGTTTCGTTCTCGTAGCTTTTTCAAGTCTTATCCTTGTTCTCAACAATAGATACAATTTCTGAAAATGAACCAACAGTCTTTGACAACAATTAGGGGATTCAACAATTTCAAAATTTTAATTGAAATTTATTTGCAACGCTCAATTGCAATCGATTTCATAGATTTCGTCTTGCCCAGAACGAAGATTTATTTGACTTTTTCCTTCAATTTATTTATAAAGCAATTTTAAATGTCTAATTAAAAATTAAATTAAATTTACTTCTCAAATGTATCTTTGGAAAAAAAAACAAAAACAAATTGAAAGTTGATACGTTGGCCATATCATCTGAACAGATAAACAGATAATCAAGCTTAACAATGTTTGAATTTCCATGTAATTAGAATAATATTTCATCAATTTATATAATCCAAATATGAGGCAGAATAAACATCAATTAATAAATTATTACAAATGAATGACATCTGAGTAAAGAAAAATCCTACTTTGTTGCTATTTTGATGATTTTATGAATCCAATTTGGATATCTATAATGAATCGAGGGTAAACATAAATTTTCCTTGAACTGCAGACATAAATTTCTATATCCATGCACATAAAATCAATAATTGAAGTTTTTAAGCTACTTTCAGATTTATAAAGCAAAACGAGATTACCTGAACAATTAATTTCATAAAAATTGTTATGTTCATTTGTACAACTGTGAAATAAAATATTTATTCTTATGATTTATCACAAAACTTTACGAAGTTATTTATAGAAAAGTGAAGAAATATGTTTTGAAAGATGGGAATTTATTAATATTTTTTTATTGTTATCCAAATAGAATCCGACAGAATAAAATGAAATTCCTTTCACCTACATACGAACCGCATAACATTATAAATAATTCCCTTACTGTTCATGCTTCAATTGTTGCTGCTACATATGTAGATAATGGAATGCGGGTTAATGTTTCATGTTGAAAAGATTTTGAAGATTAGTTGAAACGTATTATAATGTCCACGATTCTACTGCTTCTGAGCGATTACGTGCTAACGATAATTTGACAGACTTTTCTGACGCCCGTTTTAGTAATTGAAAGCTTTTAAGGCTTTTGGAAAGTAACGAATATATTACATAAGTTTCTTCAGCCTCTTGTGTGGACGAAACGTTGAAATCTACGACATAAATAAATACGATTCGCCAACCTTTATTTCAAATGAATTGAAATGAAAACTTCCATTTCAGTGAGTCTCATTGTGGAAGTATTTCGTTCTCAATTGTAGTCGTTTTAATAAACTCGGTTCATAAATGCCACATTCACATTTCTTTCCTTGAAAAGATTACAAATGTGCGGTAAAGAAATGTTCACCTTTTGTCGCGTGGAAAACTCGAAAGAATTTTTTCCACGTTTCAAAAATATGTGTGTTGTTTGTCTCAATTCAGTGAATAAATCATTTTTATTTTTATGAAAGGAACTTTTATCCAGTTTTCCGTTTTGGTATAATATAACATCACATATTCTCTCATCCTCTCTGGCCCTATGTTGCGCTTTACTTGTTGATGCGAAAAGTTTTCCTTTACATTCGAAAAGCTTGTCTGAGTAGATAATGTACGGAAGATTTTTCTTGCTTATTCAAGTGATATCAAGGATAATACCAAGAGTTTTCATTTGCTTTGGAATCCGAAGTGACATTTCAAGGTTGAAGAAAAAAGGAAGAAGAAAATGAAAACTGAATTGGAAATTTCTTTCGTAAAATTTTATTTTCATTGTTTGTTACTTCCAAAATGTCATGTTCTCATGTCACGCCAACTTATTACTTTGATCTTGCTTGTTTTTTCCCTGTTATCGCATCCATGGCTTACATCAAAAGCTTTTTATATTTTTTTTTGCAACGTGTTGAAAGAATCGTTGGTTGATATGGAAGGCAACTCGCATATTTTATAATTTACCTTTACAAAAATTTTTAAAGCTTTTTTCTTTTTTTGAAATTTGAGATGAAACTTGAAAGCGGATAAGGAAAATTAATGCAGCCTTTGAAAGTCTCGTATGAAGAGCTTTTGTAAAGAATAATGAATTATCAATGAACTTTTAATTTGATACCTTAAACGTTTAATAGCGTTAAAAATTGTATCAAGATTTCATCGCATAACATATAAAATAAGCAATGGGTGAGAAATGAGGTCGAAATGGAATGATGAAATATGGGCTCATTCATTAAGCAAACATATCAGACTCATATTACCCAAATTTGTACCTGACATGGCAGATTACATAAATGACTAGGACGACAACACTCTCAGTTGATTCGGAAAATTCGTGATGATATATTTAATGTTCCGTACAAAACTTGTATTTAGGACACTAGTTTGGCGTAGACAAACTTTTCGTATTTAATTAATGTTATTGATTTTATGTTTTTGTTGGCATATAAAAACTGTTTCTTGCAATTTGATAAGCATCTAAATATGTGGGAATGAGGTTTTCGTTTAAACGTGAAAACATTTAGAAAGAAAATGGAGAGAAATGTAGAAAATGTCATGGAAAGTAGAAAAGGTCTCAAAATGTCGAAAACTCGTGATGAGAAGAATCTTCAAACTTTCAAATCATAAAACATTGCACTATCAGTCGTCTCGAGAATGCGGTAGCGTCATAACATAATCTCCGTTCACGGAATCATTTTTAACATAAAGTTTTAAAAGTTTTTTGGAAAAAGTGTATTTAAATTTTTTATCAGTTTTAAAACTAAGAAGAAAAAAAAATTGTTTAAAATAAAAGTTGAATAAATTTAACCGAAAACAGTTTTGAACGACGAACTTCATTGGCAGAAAAAGCAACTAAAACAGAATGTCATTAAAAATTTAAATAAAAGTTCACTTTACCTGTATCAGAACGTTGGTTTAAGTTAATTTATCTACTTATTTACCTTTGGGAAAATTAACATTTGCATTATGGTAATGGAAATAAAAAAATTGCTCGTGTGTGCTTTATGTAACATTTATGGAATCATATGGATTTAATAAGTATAATTATAGCTTGTATACGATGACGCGACGTTTAACACGCAAACTTCCTGTCGCGAAAAAAATAAATTATCCGTTTAATTGTAATATTGTTGAGGGTTAACAAGTCCTAGATGTGATGTTTTAAATTATTGATTTAATGCGGGGGAGGAAAATATTATCACATATGTGTTCGTTTAAATAAGTAAGATGCAGAATAAATATTTGCGTTTTCAAAGCAAATTCCTTAAGTGAAACGTTAGTTAGCTGAAGTGGGTTTAGAAATATTTGTCACTGTATTTAAATATCGTCAGAAATGTTTGAAGCGTCAATTAATCTTAATTGCTATATTTTCTTTCATCGCGAAGAGTCAAAATTCTTCTAAGAAATTCATGATATTAGCTTCCTTTAATGTAACAAGTGGTGTTGTCTGGCATTGGCATTTATGCGATTCATTTTAACGGCATGATGGAGCCATCACATGACAAGATTTTTTTTATTATTGCTTTTTATATTGTGACCAGTTGACGCTCGCTCGATGAAACAAAAAGAAATTTCAAACAGATTTTGGTCTGTTCGATGAAAATTTTCGCTCCACTTAAATAAATTTCTTCACATTGCAGAATGAACATTTAAAATTCATTTGATTATATCATAAATAAAAAGCTACCGACTTGAACAAAAAAGCTGAAGATTCTTTGAATTTATACACGAGATTTCTCATCTCTACCCAATCATTATTCACAAGAATTCTTCCATCTACTTGAGCGAACGCCATTTTCAGACTTTTTTTTTATGGTTATTCTTCCGACACATAAAAACAAAAGCTCATAAACCCATGTTTGTACTCACCTGCTTTGAAGAGGATTCATCATTCTAAGCTTTGCGAAGGATTTTATTTCGTTGAATGGAGAAAAACAGCAAAGGCAAAGGTCTGTTAGCAAAACATTGAAATTCTCTAAAATAATGAAGAAGAGCTCTTCCTAAGGAAATTTTGAATCAAATTCTTAATGAAATTAAAACGAAGACAAACAGACTTTAAAAATTCATGTTCAAGAGCTAAAATGGCGTTCTTATTACTTAAAGTATAAATTCTTCATCAGCAACAAAATTAAACTTGAAATTACAAATGCAAATGGAAAAATAAAAATTAATAAATTAGATATTTCGAATTTCTTTCTTAAATAAACCACAAAGACGCAGTTATAAAATTTAATTAATGTTATGCGTGTTTGTTTTAATTAAAAACACTCAAAACTTTCTCATGTACTTACATACTTATGACGAGAAGGAGATGAAAAAGTAACTCATTGAAGACGTTAAAATGAACTTCACTTTACGACATGTGCTAAGGAAATAAATCAAAAATGAATGTTGAGCAGAGCTAATTTTTCAAATTAATTTGCCTTATTATTAAGCTGAAAAGAAATCAAATTCACAACACAAACAATTTTGATTAGCGCCTCGCTTTTTCATATAATTAAATTAACTGAACACATAAGCAATTAACTGAAGTTCGAATATTTTATGTGTTACAAAACTTTATTCATGTTTTTCTTTTCATTTCAGAAAGAGAAGAAAACATAAATGCAAGAAAAGTTTATCTTGAGTAGGCAATTTTTGCGCAAGCTGCTTTCTTGAAGAAAAAGGCAAAGCGACAAGTGTTTGTTTACCATATACGAGAAATTCTCTCCTCTCTCGACTGCACTTCGAGTGTAGAAAATGTAAAATTAACGTAGAAAAGCTTGTACAAAACTGAGAGAAGAGAGATCGGCGAGAACGTGCTTGCAATTCGATGAAGTAAACATTTTATCGTCTGATTCCGAGCTCAGTTCTTTCAGAACCGTGATTGTAAAAGCACGCGAAAGAGAATTCCTCGCTGAAATGCTAGAAGTGAAACTAATTAATTATTAATCTTTAATCTTAATTTCACCAGAGAATTCTCTCTTGGACGACAAAACAAAAATTATAACTAATAGAATTGTGTTAAATTCCTTCGATAGTGCAACATGTTGCGAGACCGCTCAATGTAATTTTTTATGTTAAAAAAATAAACTTTACACTCAACAGATGAATAAAAGAAAAAGTGTTGATTCAATAACGTTTGGGAAAATTGCACAAAAGGAAAAATCGATAACAGATGAAATAATTGAATTGTTTCGCTTATTTCTCGCTTCTCGCGTCAAAAAATTATTTTTTCACTCTTTTTTTAAATCTCTGCCAGCTTTGAACACACACGCTGCCAATGTCTGGTGAAGTGTGTTGTTTTATGAGTAGGTGAACTTGTTCATTCCATTGGCGTTTCTTTACGATAGTTTCGTGCTATTTTTTGAGAAAATTAATAATAAACTCAGCAAAGTTGAAACTTCCAAAAAAGTGCTATGTGAATACGCAATTGAATGTTTGTTTCGTTTGTTGATCTCGTCTTTCCGTGGGACGACATTTATTGGAATTTAACAACTTTTAAGATTGAACGATTGTTGGCTCGTGAAATTGAAATAAACTTTTTTTTTATCTTCCCAAATGTAAATTAAATGTAATTATTAAAATAAATTAAAGTTGATGTCATTCGAGTATAAGTTAACCAACTAAAGTGTTTTTTAATAAAATATAAAAAAGCGTGTATGTAGATGATATAAAGTGCACACAACGATCACAACTCAGCATGAAATCAAACAATGAGAAGTTAAACATGCAAATCAGTGATAAAGTAGAGGAAAAAAGTTGTACTTCAGCCGTTTACATATCTGTTGATACGATGCTGTTGAAGAATTAACATAAAAATCTTGAGATCTCGTTCAAGTGCAAGTTATTCACATACACATACATATAAACTCAACATTTTTTGGGGGCGATTGTGCTGCAAAGAATTCATTTTTACCTCGTAAATCTTGCAAGAAAAGGCGCCCACATAACACGCGCGAAACAATCGTCGTCAAGCGACGAACATTAAATTATTTCCGTTCGAATGCAGAAACTCAAAATCAATAAGTGTTTAGAGGATTAAATAGGAGAATATATCAATTTTACACATCATCATGGCGATGGAATGGATAACAGCGATTGACAAGCGGTATGTAAATTGCTTTTCCATGTTACATTTTGCCCCTCGTATGTTTGTTACAATTATCGTGTTTCATTTACTTTCGTTCTTGTTTCTCGCCTTCATTCTTTGAATAATTTTCTCATTCAATATTGAATCCCAATTTGAAGCTTTGTTTACAATATGTATTCTCAATTTGACTATAAAGCCACCGAGACTTATGACTGTCCCAAAAAAAGGCTTGGCCATTTCGTTTGATCAAATTGTTTGAATTCTTTTCAATGCCGTTCGATGGGTCTTCAAAGCAAACACTTTCTCGCGAGATTTCCAACAAATAAATTTGTTATTAGAGAGTCAAGGAAATTGCTTCCATGAATTTTTATTTTATCGAAAACATATGCGTGTTGGAAACCTTTTTTTAGCATTTATAAAAATATTTAAATAGATGTGACTGGTGGTTGTCGAAGTCGAATGTACGATTGCTTTTAACAAATTATGAAAGAAAGCGAGTTGACAAATCGTCGTCGCGACAGTAAAGTAATCATAATTTATTTATCGATTGACAATGATAAGCAACATGTCTGCAAGGTTCAACAATTATGTAGAGGGTTAAAGGACTTTTCTGAAAGAGCTTAAGCGATAAAGCTAATGCTTGATAGAAAGAATTATTATTGACAGCCATTTAACGACAGAATATTTTATACACATATGAAATATTGCGGTAAAGTCAGTTCCAACATTCAACTTAATTTAATTTATTCATCAAGAAATTCCCCAAATACATTTACATACGTTTGTGCATCTTGTTGAACATTCAAAAGATTTCTTTTATTTTCAAAAGAGTGTCGTAAGCGATGAAGCTCATAAAATACAAGAAACAGAAAAAAAAATTATTCAGAAGAAGCCTTTCGTGGAATTCCAAAAACATTCGTCGATGAGCAATAAAATTTTTATTCTTCTCTTTATTATTACACAAAGCGTGCAAACATAAACAAAAAAATTTTCCTTCCTTTCCCGCTTCGCGTCAAGTTGGCGTGAGATTCTCAAAATTCTTCAAAAGCAGCATGCTTAACAGACGCGCTTTTAAATATTTACATTCGCATTCATAATGTGGTCGCATAAATTCATATTTCAGTTCCGCTCAGTCATTTGATGAGAGATTAAAAAGAATTTTTAACCGAATTAAGCTTCTGGAGATTCAAATAGGTAATTTGTAATCTTCTTTCTCCCTCGTCTTGCTTGAATATTTTTCCAATTCCTTAAGCATCGTTTAGGAAGAAGCAGAAATGCATGAATAATTTAATAAACATTGTTTTGGTAGAGAAGCCAACAGTGAAGAGTGCATGTCTATGTATTTATAACAAAAGACGGTAGAAATTGACTTGTTTGATGTTGGCAGATCAATGACAGCTGAACAGAAGCATGTTTGCTCATTTCTCTTCTCTTCTCAAACTACACAAACCCAAATAAATTGATCTTCAAACGACTGACGGATGAAGTAAAAATGGAATATATCGAGCGTTACGAGCTGCTTTTGAGAGACGAAATTTATTATTTATTAATATAAAAAGCATATTTGTCGGCAACAACAACACTTGAGTTTGAGATTCAAAGAGAAAGAAGAAATGCGGGAGAAAATGAATGAAAAATGATGAAAATGTAATGAAGGCAATAATGAACATCAGAAAAATGTTACTTAAATACTCGCTTAATGCGTCTTTTAGTCGGAAAGTACACCGGAAATTTCTCATTCTAAATTTAATTCTCATTAATTTTTGATTAATTGAAGCTCAAGTTCACTTTGTTTACTCGTGTTACAAATTGAAAATAGCTGGGAAAATATTATCGCTTGTAAGTCTTATTAAAAGCTCGATTATCATGATGATGATAAGCTTATCAGATGCGTAATATTCTGGAATTTGATGGTTTCTAAGCTTCTGACACAAGTTTATTACATTTTTATCTTTCATATCTATTCAAAAACCGTGCAACTCAAAAGAATAATTAATAACGTTAGTTCGTGTTTGTTCTTTTAATTTATCACACTCTCTATGGAAGGTTACACAAGAATAAATGATGTCAGTCGTTCATGGTTTGTAAATAAAATGGAAGAAAGTGTTGAAACATTCGCCAACGAATAAAACCTGAAACTTGATACTCTTAAAATTATTCTCATAATTTCTCACAACAAAAACAAATTAGATAACTTCTAGTTTAAGTATCTCATCCCAAAGTTTATCTAAGTGATAATTATAAACCTTAAGGCGACATTAGAACAACTGCTGTTGAATATAAATTCGAGTGACTGAAACTTAAGATTAACAATTCTTCGCAAATATTCCATGAAAGAAAATATTTCTCGAGATATTTCATTTTTAGCAGAGATATTTTTCCTTTTTTAATTTTCCCTCGCTTCTCTTTTTGTCATAAAAATACCAATCATTGCTGTTTCTATTATTTACCCTCCCATTCAACTCAGATCTCAATGCTTTCGTGATGTGAGTTTAGCTTTTGAACAATATTTCATTATCGACAATTTCACTTCAATCTGATGCTTTTCTTTTATCACCTTATAATTGAATTGCCATAATCATAAAAATGATTGTTGTCGTCGTTGTGCTTGATTCTCTTTCTTTCTTTCCTTCTTTTTCTTTCTTCTTCCCTCCCCATTTCACCTTTCATAGGCTAAGCGAGGCACACAAAAAAAAAAGTCGAAATTGGGCACGCTTTATCACTCAATGTTTTCGTTTGCGACATGAATGAATTGATATTTTTTTGTTCTATTATTATGAGAATACGCGGGGGAAAGGAGAAAGATTAAATTCGATAACAATTTGTTGAATTGTTTGATTGACTATTTATTGATGGAGGTACATAAAAGCGTCATTATAAGCATTTTACTAGGTATGTAAGTGCTTATTGTTTTATTCTATCATTGGCGTGAATGGGTATTGAAGTGATTGATAAATGAACCGAAAAATAGGAGAATGCCTGAAGCAACACATCATGTCAGTCGATGTTATAAATTATGATTTAAATTGCTTCGCACACTTTCCCCTTTACCAATGAACGAGCATCTCGGAGATTGCTTGCTACTAAAAACATTATTCTGAATCTTTCTCCTTTGTTTACTGTGCATTGCCACACCTGATCACGAATCTTTCTATCTTCACTACTTGTAAACATAATTCAAGAGAACGATTATTGAAATAAAAAGAGAAGAAGAATAATAAAATTAATTTCGTGTGCGCCTTTTTCGTCGAAAGGCTTGGTAAGTTCATTAATTACAATAACTTTGTTAGCAAATGTGATGTCAGCATTTTTTTATCATATTATTATCATTCGTATTGTGTTGTCTTTTGATATGGCGCAGTCTCTTTATATGAGTCACAACTTTTCTTTTCAAACTTTATTCAAGAATTCAACAGATGACGATTTATATGAGAAAAGTTGAATTTTATATTTTTTTACGTTGTCTTCTCAGTAAGAACTTCAAGGCTTAAAGTTTTTAAGGTATGAATAATGAGTTGTCGCATATGAGAGCAAAGAATATATTTAAAGCGACAGAACCGCCTTCAAATGACGAAAGATTGAAATGGAAATTTGGCATTAAGAGATTGAGGGGAGTAAAAATAGAAGCGAAGAAGAAACAATAAATTCGGATATAATAAAAACACTTCGATTTCAAGATTCCATCTTCAACATAATGTTGATTCAAAAATTCAATCACCTGTTTTAGCTTAGGTACTCTCAAACGTGTATTTATTTTAAGATCGAGTGAAAGTGGTTTTCCTTTCTTTTTATACACTTTGCATGTTCAATCAATCCTCAAGAATTTGACGAGAATTTGAAATGAAAAATGCTTTTTCTGAAGCGTGGTTGAATGTTGGATGGATGAAAATTCGGCATTTTTTTCTCTCTTCTTTATTGACTGCGTCTTCAATAAAGCAAATGCTTTTTAAAAAGAAGGGTTGATTGAAAAATGACGCCACACTTTCGCAGGAAAAAAAAGAGATTCCATTCTTCAATTGTGAGGTTTTTTCCCGTCTTCAAGATTAGAATCATGTCAACTTCAAGCTTCATGACGATTTCAAAGCCCTTTTTATCGAATGAAATGCCTGTTTCCAAAAGTTTGAGCTTCGTAACGAATGAGAAAAGTAATTTTTCATTTCGTCTAAGGTAGTCAGCGACGGAGAAAAGTAATAAAACTTTACCTGCTTTTCGACAGATAAAGAAAATCCGCCAGCATGATGTATTTAAAATTTAGAAACGAAAACCTTCGATTATCGCTCCCCGTTGTATGTTTGTTGCTACTCGAGCTAAGGGAAAACTTCTTCTTGCGAAAAATCTCTTATCATGGCTAATGGAGAAAGTGGAATTTAACTATTCGTTCATCTGTGAAGAAAATAAGAAACTCGCGAAGCGAAGACGCTTCCATGTTTTACAACAGAATTTTTTTTAAGAATTTCTTTGGTGAAAAATGATTTTTCAACGCATCAACTTTATAAATGTGATTAATTTATTTTATAAGAAGTGAACTTAAGAAGTTTCTCTAGATTAAAAGTTGATTTTGATGAAGTTGTTTCAAAAGAATTTTTCCACACTTCAACGATTTCATTTCTTAGAAAATGAAAATGAAATTTTTAAAAATATCCATCAAAGCCCCAAAGCAGTTTAAAAATTCTTTATGAAACAATCCAAATTGAAATGTTAAAATTTTAGGACTTTTCTCGCTTGATGAATTTAGAAATGAAATTTTAATCACCTTCCTTACATTTGCTCAACACGCGACACTTTTCTTCTGCTCGAAACTTGATGATGTTTAACAAGAAATAATTTCAAGCCTTTATTTTTCGTCATTCTACTTCTTATCTGAGAAAGAAATCTCGTAAATGAAATATTCAAGCTGCTACCATTGTTAAAAGTAAAATGAGATCTGATTCATGTGTGCATGAAACCATATGAAGCCATTTGTGAAAATAAATATTTCTTTTCATCGGATCGTATTCGTTTCCAGTTTTATGCCTCGCGGAATTATGTGAAATTCCTATTGTTCTTCAATTCCGGACTGTTGAATGAAAACAAGAGAATGCTTTGTTCGTTAAAAGAGCTTTTAAGCTTTCTCTTAAATAATATTGCTTTTGGATGTTTCATTTGTCTGTAGGCAGTTTTATATTTTCGTAAGTCGAGATAGAAGGAAAATTTTAATTAGCCTAAATGTTCAACCCTTCGAAGCTAAATTTCAACCTTCTTCCCCTTCTCATACTAAACTAAAATATTGTTTTTTCAGCTAGAACAAACAAGACAACTGACAAATAATCAGGCCAAATGGCATCATTAGCTAAACATGTTGCCAAGCGGTCCTACAAAAATATTGTTAATTTCATAATTAATTATGATGAGGCCAAGAAAGTGTAAAATTTTTCTTCTCTTTCTTGTCATTTTTCAGTCTTCAAGTCTTCAACAAGCTGACGTTTCTTTTTCATTTCCGTTCATAAATCAAAACCTTTGATAAAAAACGGTTCAATGCTTTACTTAACAAAATTAATTCTTTGTATTCTATTTTATGATGCGGGAGGAGAGGAAAGAAGTTAATAACAACCATTGAAAACTTAATTTGTTGAACTTGGAACCTGAATTCTCATTTCAACTCTTCTCTCATTTAACATCATCTGCGTAACAAAATGAAATTCGTTTCATAGCTACGCTTTGTTGTTTTAGCAGGGTTAGGATGAAAACAATAATAAAAATATAAACCGGAGGAAATGGAAATTATTGTGTGGAATCAATTGCTTATAGATACAGTTTGGTAAATAAAAACAGCTTTGTGTGTGGGTGAGTGTGCTGAAGGTCTGATAAAGTTGTGATCTAGATTGTAATTTCATTTTTAAAGGTTATTGTGTTGAATGTATTACCTGGATATGTTCGAATGTTTTTTATATGAAATCATAGCTTACTACACAACAAAATGATTGGAGAAAGCTTTTTAGGAATTCAATATAAATAGATTTTATGTTGGGATGTTAAGCAGCAGACATGAGCGTAAATTTCTTCCGTTGAAACTCTAAACTCTTCCTTCCTCGTTCGATATTTCTCTTTTTTTATCCAAATTGAATAAATTCAGTGATCATATATATTGAACATGAGCTTATTTTTTCCATTAACAACAGTGCGAAGGCAGAAAAGCAACTCATCAAAATCAACAAACTGAAATATTGATTTTTATGTCGCATTGCGATTCTAACTGTTCGTGGTTTTAGTTTGATTTTGTCAGGTTTATATTTATCTACATATGAATATTCACTCTGTGAATTTTTTCATGCTAAAAAGTCATTAAAAAAATATCCGAAAGCTCTTAATTGAGATAACATCCGACAAATGTGTTGATATTTCTAGCTATGACGATGTGTATCGCTTGAGCTGTTATGGAGTTGAACCTCATTTGACTATAAAAAAGCTGCAAAAACCGAACATCTATTGAATGATTTTTTCAAGCTTAAAGCTAAAAGAGAGTCAAATCAATGAACTGAGAAACAAATTCACTCATGCAGAAATAATCCCGATGCTTAACACTTCTTCTTTGCATTTCACGAACCAGTGAGATTTTAAAATTTTATAGCAGCAGGGAGAGGAAAGCTGAAATATTTTCCAGCGTTTTGGAAACAATAATGAACATGTAGAATCCTAAAATCGATAAAGAGAAGCTCTAATTTCTCGCTACCTAGTCTCTTAACTATTTATAACATTTTATCTGTCTAAAAGTATTCTCAAAGTCTTCTCGAGTATCTCAAGATGTAGACTTTAGATTTCAACGACTAAAAGAATCGGAACCACAATTGAGTTTTGTTTTATTCATGGAAAATATTTTTCTTCTCGTTTCTTTCGTTTTAATCCTCATTTTCCCGAGAAAATTCAAATTGTAGGTATTAACAAACAATGGAAATCCTACGCTGTGTCAATCACTTATTCCATCCATTTTCTCTTAACCCCACCTTCACCCTCGTTATTCTATTTTTGATTTTTCATCTCAGCAAATAGCGGATTAGGCAATATGCGGAAAGACAATTGTAAAGTTATATGGCAAATAAAAATCACTTTTAGCTGACAAATCCCCGCAAGCAAATATTTTCGTTTGACAAACATCTCAATGAAATCCTTTATGCTTTATTTTTATTATCTTCTCCTCTTCAAAGTTCGATTTAAATAATTGAGGCAAATCATGGCCCCAAACTCTTCTTTTTATTGCCTAAACCAATCTTTAATTGTGTAGCATCATCAAACTTTAAAACGATATGTTCAATTCAAAGACATAAATCAATAAAACGAAAATTTCGTTTCCAACAAATATTCACAGACGATTCCGCATCATTTTACCGGAAACAAAATTCTGATTGCTTTTCCATGCATCGTTTTCTCTTATTTTTCTTGCATTATCAAAATGTTTTGATCTTGTCTTCCGATTGTTTGCTCATTCATAAATATTGAAAAATTCTTCAAAGGAAAATTCTTTGAATTTGAAAGGTTCAACTAAGTAAATAAAATAAAAAAAAATTGCTGTCTTTCTATCCATTCAAACTCTCTCTAATATCTCATGTCAACAAAGACAGAATTTACTTTTAAAGAGGAAGTTTCCTTTTGACTTTCGCAGCAGAAATTCTTGTGTATTAAAACTTTCTTACGACACCAACATTCAGTAGCAAAGTTTATCATGAGTCATGAATCTAAAAATACATGACGATGTTAGGTCTTACAACATATTCGAGAAACTATAAATATTAATCTACAATTTGTCTAAAACTTATCCAAAATTCATAGCTTATACATTCTGATGTAACCCTCCAGTTTTTGCATCATGTTCTTTTTAAATAAATTAATTCCCCGAGGAAAAGTTTTACGAGAATAGCTGAGCATAAATATTCTATCGACTTTTCCACATATGAATACAGAAATTGAACGGAGAAGGAGGAACATGGTAAATGACTTACAATTATTGCACAGTGCAAAGAGTTAACATTAATAACAGATAAAAAACGTGAAAATCCCGAGGTAAATGGAAAAATATGGACAGAAAAAAATTAGGAAAAATATTGCGAAAAAATTTTTTTTGTGATCCTCGCAAATTTTTTTTCGTAATGCATTTTTGTGATTCCCTCACGAATTTATAGTGGGCGGCTCTCTACACTTCATCAGAAATTTAAATTAAAAATTTTAACAGTTTATTTCTCATAAAATGAACCCACTCGGGTGACATTTATAGCTGAAAGTTCATTTTGAATGAATGGATTATTTAACTGTGACGCTTTCAGCTTCAGGCTCTCATTCGCTTCTGATAACTTTATCTCATTTCACATTATTTTTTATTAAAGCACTTTTCTCTGTTTGATAATAAAGTTTTATGAAGTTATCGTTTGCGATGAGATGTACACACGATGATAATTTTCAGGGTGAAAACTTTATTCCGTCTGTCTCGGAAATCTTCGAGTTTTGTGTGCTAAACTCTGATTCATAAATTAAATAAACCGAAAATAATAAGAAGAATCATATGAAATTAATTATGATGAATGTTCGACTGCTTTCAGACCGTGCGATCGCAACATGAGGGATGTGGAGTTGATAGCGTGTCGACTTCGTCGAGTGGAGCCTTTATGTAGATTAACAAATTCAGCACTGCAACAACTTGCCATGTGTGGCTTCTACGAGGATTTAGAGAAAGGAGTGACTTGTAGGTTTTATCTGCACAAACATTCATCAACCATAATTACAATTGATGTAATGGAACTTTTCCTTTTTTTCCTTCTTGCTACAGTGTTTCGTGCAGGCGAACAAGGAAGATTTTGGTATGCGGTTCTGGGTGGACAACTTGAGGTTCGTTATCATGCAACGGCAGATGGAGATACAAAAGTAAGTTTTTCAACCTTCATTTAATTGGACGGTTTTATTCTTTCAATTTGCCAAATCCATTTGTCAACCTTCACCAAAATGTAAAAAGTCAACATTTATTTCCTGGCCCTATGGAGGGAAAAATGAAACCCAAAGGAAAAATTTAAGAAAAGCTTTAAGCTTAAATGTGTTCCCTGCTTTCCTAGCCTGTCTTAAAGAAACATTTTAAAAATAGATTTTTGAACGAAAAGGAACAAAACTAAAGTGACATGAAGACATAAAATTTCCACGATTGAGGTGGAAGGAAGTTTGAAGGAGAAAGAATGGTAAAGTCAGGAAAAAGTTTCTGAATTCAATCAACTTTCTTGACAACAACGAAGAAGCTTTTTGACTGAAACTTTCTTAACAAAGTTTGTTTTCCTTATGTTGTGTTGTCTACCTACGGAGGTAGGCTCAAGGTAAAGTGAATGTACGTTCCAAGAGGTATCAACTATTTAATTGTCTGAGATAAAATTGAAAACTCAAAAAACTCCTGTTGAAGCCTTAACTTGGATAATAACAATAAGGTTTAGTAAGCTTCTGAATATTTCAACTCAATTAGCCTGGTTGAACATATAAGCCGTCTGAAAAATCATAAAGCTCTATTCCATCCAAGATTCTCTGAAAGAGTTTAGATACCCAAAAAGTTTAGTGAGCCCCAGAAAAGGAGAAAAAAAACAATTTCTGTTTTTTTCATAAACATTATCATTAAAACTTTGCCTTCTCACCAAGGAAGGAGGAAGAAAGTTTGAGCCTTTTCCGACTTTTATGCATTGTTTCTTCATTACAACAAAAGCTATTAAAAACAACTACCAACTGTAATTATCTGAAAACTTACGATGCGATATGATGCGACATGAGCTGATAAGCTGAAAAAGAATTGTGTTAACTTTTATTTGTTCATCATTATTATCGGCATACAACGAGTGAAACAGGTTGAAGTGCTGTACATTAGATAAGCATCTCATTTTGTATTCTGTTGATATGACTCACATTGTTTGCCAGATTCCCTTACTTATGATGAATAAGATGAGTTAGAAATCTAAATATGACTGAGTAATTAAGACAAACATTAACTGAATAAGAAATAAGGGATCAGTTACAAATGAAGGTGGTTGTTAACGTGTTGTTGATGCCGACGCGGCACGTGTTGAGCCGTGAAAATTTCATCTTGATCCCGTGTGGCTTTAAACTTTAAATTATTCAGGAAATTGATTCTTTGCACAAAATTTCCTTCGATGAAATGATTAAGATATTTATTGCGAGTTCTTCAATACTTGGTCGATTCACCTAAAGCCTCATGAAATATTTATAAACTTTTCCTGATATTAATTCTATTTTCGGAAACATTAAATATAACGACCAACATCTGAAAATTGAAAAGATAGGAAGAAACTTAAAGCCTTCATTGCCGCTATTTGAAACTCAATTTTGAAAGAAGAAAAAGAAGGAAATATCAACAAGTTGCAATCATTAAATTTTATTTTTGTCACTCAACAATATTTCATAAAGTTTTCTTTCGTTGAATTTATCTTCTTCACGTTTTGAAAAGCGAGACAGATGGGAAAGTTTTTTATTCGTTTTTAATTTCGAAACGATTTCAATAAACATTGCCACTTAATTAAGAAGATATTTGGAGACATAAATATTTTGATAAATGTGAGACTCGTCAAACAGTTGATCAAAATGAATATTTTTGAATTCATAAATTTATGTTTATCAATCACAATTGAATTTACATTTGAAACACCTTCAGAACTTTCGCATAACTAATTGGAAGCATTTTAACCTTTTAATGGATTTTTTGAAAACTTCCGCGAATTGAAAATTTATTTTCCTACCAGCATATTTACTAACACCCACTCACTCACCTAAATGATGAAGCGGAAATGAAAATCCATTTGTTTGCCATCGGAACTCGTGTTTAATATTCATTCTTTGTGCCGGAAATTAATGAAAGCTATTTGCAATTCATTTTAAAGTTGTTGTTGAAGAGGGAAATAAAAGAAAAATTGAAGAATGGAAAACAATTGAAAAGCTCTTGAATAGAATTGAATAAATCGGGAAGTAAATTATTGTTCAACTTCCCCACCGCCACGAGGCTTGTCTATCATTAAGAGAAGAAAAAAAAGTTTTTCTTTTCAAACATAGTTAATCAGATTTGTTGGAAAATGTTTTTAAAATAAAAAGGAAAATAAATCATCCGGAAAATTGAAAAAGGAAAATATTTGCGCTTTTAATTAGCAAGATAAAGTACAAATAAAAGTAAACATTTTCCATCACTAAATCATGACCTACGTTTACACAGTCAGAGAACTGTATAATCGTAACAAACGAAGCATCAGAAACAATCTCTTGAAGAACTTAATTGCATTCGAATGCAGTCTTGGCAAATTAGCAGACAATTTGTTGAGATGACAATTTTCACACTAACTATTTGAAACAATCTTGCAGATGTTAAAACAAGAGATAAATCAACAAAAGTGTTAAACACAAGCGAACTTCTAACAATTGCACTTGTAATTGCTTTCGACAAAGATATTTAATTAAAGTATCGAAATTTTGCTATGACGATAGAATGCAATTAAATCCTTCTGGAAAATGTTTTCCCTTGTTCTTGTTCGTTTATATAACTAATTCACTTTTACTCTGAATCTAATGAAATACAAAAGCTTTCAATTGTTATAGTTCGTTAGACGTTATCAACATGTCAGGAAAACATTTTTCGCTCATTGTTAATTAACCTCGAATACATCGATATTACGCGAGCGCAATGAGCGAGAAGGCAAATAGTATTTGTGCCTTTCATCGCGTTTAATTGTATTTTTAAACTTATACTTTCCGAGCTGTCATGTTTAATGTTCTCCGCTGCTATCAGTTCTTCAACTGTATTAGCGTTGTCAAGTTCGATTATGTTTATAAACGCGTTGAAGTTCACAGTGTAAAGTGATTTAATTGCTGGGAAAGAAAGCAATTTACAAATTTTCAAGGTGTCTTAATTATTAGAAAATTCATTCAATCAAGAATGATTTTTAGGCAAAAGAAAACTTATTGGCTTAGAGGGAAACCGAGAAAGGTAAATAATATTATTAAATAAGCTTCAAGGGTGAAAAGCCCTTGAAAGTTGTAAGAAGCAACCGCATGATGCTTTAAACTTTAATAATAAGCAATCCATTCCGCTGTGAAAGCTCCGAAGTCAATGAACACGTTAAAGTTGTAAAAGATGACGACAAAAATTTTGACAACGATAAGCAAAGATCTTAACGAGCTATCATTCAACTGTCATGCCATATCATGTCGTTAACAACATAGATATTAATGTATGTCAGTCACGATCAGTTATCTTTGTGCAATCGCTGCAATATTAACTCATCTTCCATCACATTCTGACCTTTCTCTCGTTTCTTCCAGCGATTGTTTGACTTCACATTTGTTTCATCGTCATATTTATCAAACTGAAAAGAGTTTGTGAAAATTTGATAAAAATAAAATACTCAGCACATTGCTGTTAAGTCTCACATGAGAATGCGATAACATTATCCCAACTAAGCTCTCCGATTACAAGATAAATTGCACCCAAATCATTAAACATTTTATTTACAAAAGAATGTTTATTTGTGCAGCAGATTTTCTGTTAATTTGTTGAGTTTTAATGACTTTCCTTTACGCTTCGTTTCATTGCGCATCAGAAATGAAATGGTTAAGCATTGAGCTTGATTAATTAACCTTTTACGAGATAAATTTTTATTTCTATTGTATAAACTCATTTGTTTGCAAACAACGAATGGTCTGTAAATCAGACAGACATACCCAGATTAATATAATGGATATTCATCCACTAAAATAAAGTCTGTTGACCGACCTTGCACCTTAAACTTGCTATACTCGAAATCGAAATTGAAGAAAAATAAACTGAAAGGTTCCGCTTTCCCAAAAACACTTCGCAACAACATTTAAAGTTGAAATTTATTGCCAGGAAATTTCTTTTTCAAACAAAATATATTGTGCTTTTCATTTCCACTTGCAAATGTTAGAAATGATGTAAATTACTGCCGGACGAGTGTAAAAGAGAAAAAGAAAAATGGAAAATAACTTCGCCAATTTCACTTCACTAACGTTTGAAATTTGAACAAATATTCGTTCATCTTGCTTTAAGATTATTCGATTTGGGAAATGAAACTGTTATAGGAAAGGCCATTAATCGTCTGCACGACATCAATTCACTTCTGCTTTCAATTTTCACAGACACCTCGCTCGCATCTCTTGAACTCCCTCGCATTTTCATTTCCATTAAAATTCTTTAAACGACGCAAACTTCTACAATGAAAATTATCTCTGATAATACCTGATTGATAATTCTATTAAATAACGTCGCTTTAATCTCTTTATTCTCTCCCACTAACCATTTCTCCGCCTTCACAATTTCATTGTGCTTTTTTATATTTTGTATATAGTCATCTTCCTACGATCTGACTTTTCGTGCTTAATCGATTTCATGGGGGGTTAAAACATTTACGATATAAAAATAATCTTCAATGATGTTTGATTTGAACTTCCGAAAATTTTCGATTTAAAAGCGGTTTGACTTTCAAACTTAATTATAATTTTTTCGAAAATTAATCGAATTAAATGTTTGCCTTTTCTGTGTTTTACAGAGCATTTGTAATCTTGGTGTAGGCGCAACATTCGGTGAATCGGTTCTACATGATTTACCTCGTGATAGTACAGTCGTTACGAAGACAACTTGTGAGTTATTGCGGGTGGAGCAACAGGATTTTCGTCTGATATGGGAGGTGAGTGAAACAATTCGTTATTTGAATATCATTTCACGAAGAAACAAAACAGAATAAAAAAGATTTCCACTGAAAATTATGTCACGTTCAATGATGGCAGCGGCAGAGAAAAGGATTCAAATTCTCGTTTTCATTCTTTCATTTTCTTTTCATTCTTCTTATTCTTCATATTCTTCTTCATAATTCAAAGCACAATCACAAATTGCAAGCGACTGTTGAAGGAGAGAAAAATAATTGGATATTTGGGTTGAATGAAAAATATTCAAATATTTAATTCAAAAATGTGACGCTTGCTTAACATGTGATCTGATTTCGAAACTTCATAATCTACTCACTGTGGCTTCAAATGATGTTACTCTTAATACAATGTCTTATATTTTTTGGTGACATTGAATCATTCCAGCAACAGGCATCCAATTTAATCAAGAGAAGAAATGAAGGCATTTCGCATTTTAAACATTTGTAGAAGTCTCAAAGTTATAGTTTGTTTCAAGATGTCTCACTGTTGCTTTGTCTGAATATTAAATAAATTTCTCTCATTTTGCTTAATGCACTTCACGTAGGAATATAAATTGTCGTACAATTCTTGGCTTTCCTTGGTTTGTGGAATGAAACGAACTGTACCGTCTTTTTGTCGTGTGAAACGTGTCTACGGTCGATTATGTTTTTAATATTATCTGACGGCAAGAAAAGGAAAAACGACGGAAAGTCATCCAATAAAAGTTTAAAGTACCAAATACCAAGATTCTTGTGAAAAACTGATGAAGAAGAAAAAGAAGAATAAAACATTCAATTCCTAAATTTTCTTTTCATTCTTTCTTCGCAGAAAAATAAAGAATTAATGACGGACATAATTACGAATTGTAAATTCAAAAATGGTAAGCAGAGAACAATTTTTGTTTGTTTGTTTTGTTTTCATTTTCATCTAATGCTTTTTATTTGTTCCCTGAGACTAAAATGAAATTGAATTAATGAGAAAATCATTTATTCGTGAAGGTTTCGCTACACCGGTTCAAGCTGTCGCTCTTGTGTCACCTTCAAAGAAACAACTGTCACCGGATCATCCAAATCCAGCACTTCCAATCACCGAGGTAAGTAAATTTAAAAGTTTTCAATTAAAATTTTTCGTGAAAAAGTTTCATAAGCATAAAGTGAAATAAATTATTCGCTTTTATGGCTTCGAGTAAATATAAAATAAGCTCTCATGTACACTGATATATAACCGTATAAATATGAAAATTAATTAATGCTTTGTTTAATAATTCGTATGTTAATTCTAAGGTTTGGAAAATGGTAATAAATTTTCTCCCCAAAATATTAAATCTATTTGCAAACTAATTGAATGGGAAACACAAATATCTTTTGGGGATAATCCACCCACACACAAGAAATAAATAAATATTTATGGCAACATAATTTCGCTTTTCAATTGAAAAGTCATTCATTCAGTGAACTTATGATCGCAGGAATAAATCATTTTTCTTTGATATGTGTGGGCGGAACATTAAACGAGCATATGCAAATATTAATTTCACTTTCATCATTTCAAACAATGATTACGCTTCCTATTGAATATCATTAATTAAATTGCATAAGCTTTCAACTTCTGAACGACAAATCCATTTAATGATGAAGAGAATTTTCTGAACTATTGTTCAATAGGGAAATTCCTCGTCGTCGTTGAATTTATTGGATGAATTGTAAATGGAAAAGAAATTTCGTTTGCTAACTCAACTGCATCTACAATGTGATGATTATGCACAACAACAAACATCAATGAGTGAATGAATGAATATTCTGCTCAATTAAGTCATTCATCCTTGTGAATGAGATGCATCCAACAAATCACTATATCATTGTATGGTTGTAGGAGTTGTTTATATAATGGATGAACCATGAATTTAATTGTTCATGAAGTTCAACTTTAATGCATTGAAAGCTTTACGGAAAATCTCATTCAATTGGAATTTAAATTTAAAATAATCACAAGGAAAACATTTAAAAATCGTTCAGGAATTTAAATTAATAAAAAATTCTAAATTATGCTTTTTTATCTGCGTTTTTATCTGAGAATAATCGATTTAGCTTCAAGGAATATCCACCAAAACATTAATGATATCTCGCTTGTTTTAAAAAATGTCTGAAGTGAATTATTTGACAATTTTCTTATTCCTTGAAGACAACACGATTGTGGAAGACGTAAAAAAAGAAAACTTTCATCTTAAGAACAAAGAATTGAATACTGTTGGCGGACTTTAATAAGTCAATAAATTTTCCGCATTATTTCACTTTCAATTTGTTCGAAAATTTTCTTCGATTTTTTCCTCGTCAATCCAATAACAATTCAATTATTTAGTAGCAGAGCAATGATTAAATTTAACAAGATTGATTTCAAGAATTTCTCAATTTTATCTTCACGAGAGAAGTGAAACATCTTTAAGAATGACAGAAATGTTTTTCAAGGTTTTTTCAATTCCATGGTTGGTTGTTCTGTGTACTTAAAAAAAACAATTTCACGGCAAAAGATGCGACACAAGCCAACGAGAGAAAAAAAAATGAGAACGAAATGAAGTAAAAATTGGAGATGGGGAAGCTCCACATGGGGAGCTTCAAATTATGCATGCATAATTTTAAGTTACTCCGGCCGGTGTGGAGTTTCCGACTGTCCATGGACCTTCCGACTGTCCATGGACCTTCCGACTGTCCATGGACCTTCCGACTGTCCATGGACCTTCCGACTGAATTCTCAATGGCACTCACTCTCCCACACGCGCACCGATCGTCCTATTCAAAAGAATTCTCGGAAATACTCTAGAAAGAATTCTCAGAAAAATTCCTGATAAGAATTCTCAGAAAAATTCCTGATAAGAATTCTCAGAAAAGTTAACAAAAAAAAAGTTACAGACATACAGACATACAGACAGACAGACAGACAGGGTTGAAAGGCGACGGAAAAATGGAAGTCCATTTTTTCCACTTTTCTCGACGTTTCATGCTATTTTAAGCATATTTAAGCAAAAAAAATTTTCCAAAAAAAAATGTCGAATACAATACGGTGACCTCACCAAAGGTGGGCCTCCGTAAAAGAAAAAGAATAAGAAAATGAAATTCAACGATGAATAATTCAGTAATTATTAATTCAATTACGGATATGCTTCAGATATATTTTTAATTAAATCCTAAGAATGCCGTGATGATATTCCGCAATGAAATTTAATTACTTTCTCATCTTCCATTCCACCAACTTATTTGTCAAAAAAAAATTCTTTCATTCCCGGTCACTCAAAACAGTCACCAAGTCCAGCAATGGCTAAGATGGGATGGGCACTTCGATCTTTGCTTCTCTCTGACACCAACGGATGCTTGAAAGACAGAAAAGTGTCGGGAAAGCTGATAAAGAAATGTGCACCCGGCATTGAATTAGTCGATTGGCTCGTGAATTTATCACCTGTCGTACATACACGAATTCAAGCGACAGGCATGTGGCAAGCACTACTCGAAGAAGGTGTTATTTCACATGGTAATTAAGAATTCTTCTTCATCTTTTCCTTTCACATCTCATCACGCAATCACTTCATTAATTAATTTATGTTTTCTTATTTTCCTTTCGCATGTCGACCGATGTAGTTGCCCGTGAACAACCTTTCAAAGACAAAGTTTTCCTGTATCGATTTCGTGTGGATGAAGAGGGAAACGCATCTATGCCATCATCAGATGAAGTGAATAATGCTAACGAACACATCAAAGAAGGTTTAACATCGCTTTTACATCGTGGTCCTGACGCAACACTCAGATTAATTCTGAGAAAACCGTAAGTTCTCCTCACACTTCCTTTGAAAAAAAAAAAGAAGTCTTCCGACGTAAATCTCTTGGAAAATCACCCGCAAGCTTATCACGATACAATACAAAGTCGAGTAATGACACTGGTCTCTTCACATTTCCTTAATTAAATCATTCATGAACGAACGTCTTTGACTTTTCTCTCGGTTAATTAAGTTCACCCGCACAATCATTTCTGGTTTCCGGGTTGTGTGTGCCCATGATAATTTATTTATACAAAATGCTTCCGTTGCACGACACTTTTCCTTGTAAGGGGTTGATGAAATTTTATTTAAAAACGATTTGCTGTATGAAAATAATGTGTTGCTGTCCCCTTACTTACATAAATATTTGTAATGAAAGGTGAAGGAAAGGGTAACGAAGCGTAAAGTCTGCTTCGATGCCAAACCTTCCGCATGTTGGAAGTGGAACCTACGTGATTAGAGTTCAAAAGTAGACATTCTTTCTTAACTTCATAGAAGGAAAAGAAGAAGAAAAACTTATTAAAATAAAGCTGGGGGGGTGTGGGAAAAAAGAAAAGGAAAGTATTCTCCACTGGCCTTATGGTGTGTTGAAAGGACGCGTGTAGATATTTATTTTTATTCTCTTAGGATTCTATTTGATAAGCTACTGTTACTGAAGAAGAGATAAACTAACCAACAAAGTTCAAGTCATCTTCAAACTTTTGTTTTTTCCTTTTTCAGATCACACGAAAGGACGCAGGAAGAGTTGGAATTAGTTTTTGAAGAACTTCTTCACATCCCCGCACTCTCTCACCTGTCGACATCAATTAAGCGCGAATTGGCATCCATCATCGTCTTCGAATCTCATGCACAGGCTGGAACTGTTTGTGAGTTGAATTCTAAATATAACTTTAATGTTCTCTTTTATTGGTTTTCATTGCTGTTTCAATTTATGGCCCTTGAACCTTTTTTTTTTCTCTTCTTCTCGTTTCTATTTATTGCAAACTTTTATCTCATCTTCAACGTTGTACATTTTGTGTTTTTCTTTTTCCTTGCTTTTGGTGGGTGGCTATGAATTCATTCATTTCTTAAACTCAAAAAAAATATATAAATGCGAAGAATTCTTCTTCTGATAAAGTCTAATAAGAAACGCGAATACAAATCGTAGGCGTTTCCAATATATTTGAAGAACTTTCCTTTCCATCTGAATGTTTTATTCACTAGCCGCCTTTGAAATTATGGAGAAAAAATCTGAAGCAACCCTCGTTTTTGAGGTTCCTTTTGTTGCTATAAGATATTATCATTTTTTTCTACTTTTCCACTTCTCTTTGAGGTTGACATTTAAAAATTTAAAGGCACATGAAGAATATTTTATTGCATATGTACACCTTTAAGAGAAGCTTCTTGTGATTATTAGAATAGTAAAATGTCTGCTTCGATATTCAATAACAATCTTCAATAACTTTTATTGAAACTTTGGAATAAAAAGGAACTTAATGGATTTCATGTTTTATTGAATGGAATTTTATATTTTTGCTTATCAAAGAACTTTCACATCTCAAATGTGACATTGATTTCTTTCTCAAGATGATATCCATACATGAAAGTAATGGAGAAAGGAAATGTTGGCAGACTTCAAAGATTCGAAGATTTCCTCGATAATCCAAAATCAAAATGCTTTTTGCTTCCCTCATTTCTCTTTACTGACTCCAACCTTGATAATAAAAAATCAAGTCAATGTTTCCAGTCCCTTGTCAATCTTCCATCCGATTGTGAAGAAATGAAGATTTTTGATTTCCTTTCCTTTTACCAGTTACCAACCATTCAATTCTTAGTCCCCTCAAAGGCAACTTTTCAGTGGCCGAGTAAAGTCGCCTATTCATGTGCTAAAGATAAATTTTAATTGCTTCTTTCTTACCTTTTTTTCCTCTTCCTCGCACTCTTCTGCGCTGTATCATTTACAAATAACTACATTGGAATGTACAGTATTTAATCAAGGTGATGAGGGTCGCTCGTGGTACATTCTGCAAAAGGGTTCCGTTGATGTCGTTATCCATGGCAAGGGCACAGTAGCAACACTTAAAGAGGGCGATGACTTTGGAAAACTCGCTTTGATAAACGATGCCCCGAGGTAAGAAAGGAAAAAGTTTTATTTATCTCAGTTTATTTATTGTAATTAAGTTTATAGCTTTCTTTTGCTTTTCAATGGAGATTTTATTTATTTATTTAATCAGATGTTTGTTAAAATCTCAGCGACTAAACAAGAATAATTTAACACATTTTAAAATAACTTTTTAAAGCTTTAATATCGAATCAATATAAAATTAATTATCTAAATAACGAAGCTCAACCCCCAACGAAAGTTTTTCATTTTAACTTCTATTCATGGAAAATGGTTAAAGAAAAAAGCGTTAATTAAAATTTGCACAGTCAGATCGAGCTTTGAATCTCATTTTCTCATGATAATAGAACGTTACGAGACTCTGATTACAAGGCATTTTCAGCATTCGTTTTTCCTTTCGAAAGACTCAAAGCTTTCGTTTTTGTTACTTTCCTTGTTTATGAATTATTCTTCTCCTCCTGAAATTTCACGAACCATCGTCTTTTTTATGTCTCGACGAAGTCTTTTCACCGTCATCTCCCTTCTAGCCTGGTATGAATCACGCTATAATTATTTCACTTTAATTGCTCGCTTCCGCTTATCTCAGTGAGATTTTTTTTTTTCTTTTCATCCATTTTCTTAAACTTTTTTTTTTTTGGATAAGAAAGAAAAGGGGGAAACATGAAGAATGATGTAGGACTGAGACTCCTTAACGAGATGAGACGAAAGCTGTTAAAAGATTGTAAAGCTCAGCTGCAATGAAAAAGAAAACTCAAAGTTTCTCAAGTGATTAAATTGCGTTTATTGCCGCTATCTTCTATCTATGTCATATTTACATCACATTCACTCGCTCGTCTCATCACCCTTTGTGTGGCAACGACAACCACATTCTTCTCATTCTTTCGAATAGAAATTCTTTTTAATAATTGAAGCTTTAATGTTCGAGGGATATTAAATTTAAAAAGCGATGAATAAAGATCTTCCTTTCGCTTTTCTCATAAAATTTATTTAATAAAATAACAAAAATGAGAGGAAATTAAATAACATCACGTAACAACAATAATTTAAACATCTTTCTCTCTCTCTCTCTCCCTCTTTCTTTCGACCGCATTTAACAACAAAATAAAAACATTCTTTTGACGCAATTGATTAAAGAGCTGCAACAATTGTGCTAAAAGAGAATAACTGCCATCTTCTGCGGGTAGACAAAGAGCATTTTAATCGAATACTAAGGGATGTGGAGGCAAATACGCTCCGGTTGCAAGAGCATGGAAAAGATGTGCTTATCCTGGAAAGGGTTGTAAAGCAGCGTGGATTAACCGCATTTAAGTATGTTGATTTGTGTCTCTTTCATTTCTTTCATTATAAAATATTACAAGCTGAAAGAAAGTCCATGAACAACGTGAAGAAATTACTTTTAATTTGAAAACTTTCACAATCTCAAAGCTTTTCCTGTTTTTATTTTAAATTACTGTGGTCAAGTTTCTTCATCTTTGAAATGAGTGTCGAGTACTAATTATGACTTTATAAATATTCTCGCATCAATTAACATCATTGCAATTTAAGCCTTTAATGAGATTAAATGTCATAGAAGTAGCTCGTTCAGCAGCTTCTGCGGCAGCCATTAATTATAATTAACAAGTAATTTATTTGGTGGTTTTGGATTAACAAATGAAAGTCAGAATAAATTTTTCTTTTTATTGGACCATGGACTTGTAAAAAGGTTTATTAGCTTGAAAAATGTGAACATCATAAAGAAAAATGTAATTAAAAGTTCATTGGAAAGTAATTAAGAATTGTTAAATTATTCGCAGGTATACTGTGATGTCAGGAACACCCTCGAAGATGTTGGAACACTTACTCGACACTAGGTTAAATGTTTTACAAGTGGGACCAAACGATGATCCATTTTTAGATGATTTTTTACTCACGCACATCGTTTTTATGCCGATCGCACAGTTAGTTGATGAATTAGCTAGCCACTATCACAATGATTCCGAAATTCGTAATGGTGCTGAAAGTCCAGAGGATTATGAGTATTTGTTAACATGTAAGAAGCGTGTCGTGCTTTTCATACAACGATGGGTGATGGCAGTAAGACACGCAGTCTTTGAAGATCCTGCTGCCGCACATTTTATTGAGGTAAGAAATGAAAATGAAAATGAAAGAAAAGAAGTTTTCTCAGCTCAAGTTACTATCATGTTCATGCTGCTTCGTCGTACGTGCAAGAAAAGTGTAACGTGAATCTGTTAAAGCCAGGAATACTAATATATGAGAAAGCAATTACATGTAGCGATCGAATGATAAGCTTCTTATGTTCACCTTTCTTCTTTTTCATTCTATTTATCTAAATATTCACACGAAATATTTCTCCCTTTTCGCTTTCAACTTTTACACCACGGAGGGAAGAAAAAAAAATTATCTTTATGGAATCAGAAAGTAGATTAAACGAGAAAAAGAAATGCTTATTATCATCATGTACATAGATGATGATACGAGTCAATAAAAGTTGTTGTATCCTTTCTTAAACCGAGTCGCTTGGGAATTTGTTTCGTGAATAGAAAGCAAGTGATGATTGTATCGATTTTCCTTCCTTTTGTCGGAAACTTTATGGCTTCGCCTCATTGTGGATTGAAATCTTCTTCACCTCTGCATACATTTAGTTTTTTCTTTTCTTTTTTCTTTACCCTCAGTCTCAAAAGTCTCTTTTGAAAAGAGTTAAGCATAGATGGGGGGAATAATAATTGATTTCTTCCTTCACAATACATCGTAAAGCGGATTAAATGTTTCCGTTCGTTCGTTCTTCGGTTCAGATTTCCAACCAGTAAATCCATGTGCTCAACAACATGATTTGCCTACATTGATAACTTATCACAATAAATTTTTAATGAAATCTTTTTTCTTCATCTTCTCTTATGTGTGCGTAGGAGATTGCGACAGATGTTGAATCCGACCATGGATTGCAAGAGGAAGCGGGAATCATTCATCAGGTGCTGACACAAATGTCGCGATATCTTGAAGATCGTCAACAAAACATGGGACAGAAATGGAAACTTCCACCAAATGGACAACCAATTGGATTATTCAGTGGAAATGTCACAGCAACTCGAACTGTTATTAGACCAGATGATGACAGTAAGTTGTCATTTGCAAAAGTTTAATTCGATTTAATATGATGAAGAAGCTTTTTATGTGCTTTGACCAAGAATTTGCGTATTGCCGGTTGCATAACTTTCCACATAGACTTTTTTTAAAGCTTTTGATTGTTTTATTCTCTTTCTCATTACAGTAATTTTTCGCGTTCATTGTGCTGATCATACCTTTTGTACACTCCGTTTTCCCATCTACACAACGGCTGAAGTGATAAAAATTTGTGCAGCTGACAAATTACAGCTGAATCGTGGACCAGAAGACTTAGCATTAGTTGAAGTTAAATCGAATGGTGAAAGAACCATTTTTAAGGACAATGACTTGAGCATTCCGACAGCTCTTACACTCAATGGGAGGATGTTTGTTTCGCCACGCGACCATTTAGATGCCCTTACACCATTACCAGAACAAGAAGGCGCCACTGAAGGCTTAGAAATGGACATTGAGACACTCGCAACAAAAGATTTAGCTTATCATATGACGTTGTTTGACTGGGATCTTTTTTGGGCAGTTCACGAGTACGAACTTTTATATCACACTTTCGGTCGACATCACTTCAATAAGGTAAGCACAAGACAAAAAAGCATAAAACATAAATATAAGAAAACAAAAAGGTTGGAGATAAAGAGAGAGAGAGAGAGAGAGAGAGAGAGAGAGGGAAAGAAAAAATATAAAAAGAATTCATCATAATCCTTTTCATTAAATGTAAGGGATATTTATTTAAGAAGGAGAAAAATGACCCCTTTTTCTGACTTTAATTGAGATTAATCAACAAAAGGCAAACAAATAATGAAAAGAGAAGGAAGGAAGAAGAATAAGAATATAAAAAAAAGTCAAACAAAAGTCCAGGAAAGCAGTAAAAGATTAAACTCTTTTGTTGTCGTTGTTTGTTACATCGCCAGCCACTGGCTTCAATGTAAAAGGATACGAAAAGGTGAAAAGCTTTTATAATCGAGATTCACCGTTGAGCTTCGTTGTAAAAAAACGTGCAAAATTAATGAGCCGTTACTGAATCGTTGAAATATACTTCAGTGCTTCCGAGACTTTCACTTCCGCTTTTCATTCGCTAACAGAAACACTAACTCCTCTCATTCATTCGTCAGACGATGAAATAAACGGCAGATTCCTTAAACGCTAAGAGGGATAAAGGAAAAGCAATAATCAAATTTAATGTAACAGAAAATCGTTAAAAGTTTCGAAGCCATTTAAGCTTAAAAAAAAGAGAAACGAAAACATTTTGCCGTGAGCTGTCTCGGAGACTTTTTCTTTCACTTTCTACTACGTCTACCGTTCAACTTGTTTTAAAATAAATTATGAAATTCGATACGTTCTCATTTAATGGAAGGAAACTCTCACCGGATACTTTTGTTATGCGATGCTCGCTCGAATACTAAACAGGAAACTCGACCTTGTTAATTTATTTATTTGCCGGGATCCTTTTCTAGGCATGATCATAATGATAGTTCGTAGAATGAGAATCTGTTGGGAGTGTTTCATCTCTTGAGACATAATTTTCATTTATTCGTCTGACCCTTTCATGTCGTATCACAAATTTCAAATTTCAGTTCCACCTGATGATGATAACGACGACGTGAGTTTATAACTTTAGACGTAACTTAGGTATGACTCTCCTTGCAATTACTTTGCCAGTTATATTACGTGTCTACATCTTACCATTATCATTTCTTTTTTTCAAAAGCTTAAATTAAATTTATGAAACTGAATATATAGAAAATTTTCCCATCCTTTCTTCCTGAATGATTTCAAACCATTGCCATTGCTTTGCTTATTTAAGCAAGAAAAATTTTATCTTAAAGTTAGGGTTGTCGGTTAATTATATATTTTATCAAAACAATTATTTAGCAAATAATTACAAAAAAAGGTAGAAATTGTTAGGGAAAATAATTGGAAACTCGTGATACAAATTAAGAAGTTAATTTTAATTGGCAATCGACGTCAATAATCAGTATTATCGAGAAATGAGAAAATTATTACAGCTCTTCCCTAGATTTTAATCTTCTTTCAAATAGATATAAAAAGGGAAAACACAAATTGCATAAAAAGAGAATTCTCAGGAAGCATTGCAAGCTCATGCTCGCATCTATTTGTGGTTTTCCGTTCTTCGCTCTTATTGCGCTTTAATCTCATCTCCACGGAAATTGTTCTGATACGGAGATTGTGATTTTGTTGTGGGAATTATTCAAATGAATATGAAGCGAGATTTGTTGAAAAATCTTTCTCGGTAGATAATTTCAGTAAACAATTTTCAAAGTCGCTGTTGATATTCATAAGGAAAACAATTTATTTTATATTTTAAGAATTCAACACTTCGCTTCCGATTATGAATTATTCATTGATGATATTTTGGATTAAGAAAGAAGCTTTTTCATAAGAAAGTTGAATGAGTATTCAGAGAATAAAATCATCTTCAAATATTGAATGATAAGTTTGGACGATGATATTTATTGATATCCATAATCTGCTTTCAATGAGCTTTACGATGTTTCAATAGGGGGAAGGAGGGGTAAACGTTTCGGGCTTAAGACGATTTAGGAATTGTTGCATCTCATACTAAGCTGTCATCTTTAAATACATGAAAACACTCGCATCATCTTCGTCTCTGAATTATTTATTGAATGTAACTTGGCAAGACATCATTACAGTCTTAAATGAAGGTCAACGAATCTTAACTTCATTAAAGACATTTTTGATAAAAGAAATGCTCTCGAGTAACAAACATCATCAATCGAAATAAATATCAGGAAGTAAATTGAAGTCATGAACAATTTATGCATTCTTTGGGGAAATTTTCTATTAAAATTTCAGAAAAAAAATGTTTGTTGTACGTGAATTTATTATGAAAACAATTTGTGAAATAGCAGAGCAAGTTGTAAAGATCCAAACGATTTTTTGTACTGTATTTGAGGAAAACATGAACATCAACAATGCAATTTCGAGTTTTTCTTCTTCCATCGACAGCGTTAAATGAGAAAAAATCATCAGGAGCTTAAATCTTGTTCGTTTAGTCAACGTTTCAGGTATTGTTGGAAAAAAATTGTTACAACTTACAAGTTCCTTCAGGTTAGAGAAATATTGTTACAAGAAAATGTAAAATTACAGTGAAACCAGTAGATGAAGAAAAGTTTTCATCAAGAACAACAAAAAGTATAAACAAACGAAGCAATTTGCAACGGAAAAGCTATTAAAATGAAAAACTACAGAGAATTGTAACAGTTACATGAATGCACACAGTAAACTCATAAAAGACCCATTTTCAATTAGTCTTACAAGTTTCACAAGAGAAAACTTGAAGCGATTCTAGGACAAGCACAGAGGAGAAGAAATGAAGCAGCTTTTTCATGTTTTACTTTCATCATTCGGAAACTTTAAATTCACAAAACTGAAAAACCTTTTGAAATAAACTTAAGCAAAGCAAAATTTTTATATTTTTCGAGAAAGAAGTTCTTCTGGTAACTTTTTCTCGTAGTTCAAGTAAACCCATCGCCCATACCTCTGCAAATAAATTTATTCTTGCATTTTCCTAATTGTCTCCATTCACAAACATACAATGAGAAATTAAAAATTAGAGGACGAAAATTGATGTCGTTTCCCTCACGTTCTCCTCAAATTTTACTTTTCCAGGCAGGACATAATGGGAAAAAAGAGATTTTAATTTAAAGAGGTCGTTTTGGAATTTAATTACAAACTTTAGGGATCATTTCGGTAGTTAAGGTTTTTGTTTAAGTCGTCGTTACCCTACGAGAATTTAAATGTGAAAAAATTATAGCTTTGGCTTCTGGAAAACATAAACTGAATCACCAGACAACTTTGTGTTTTGATCACAAAATTGAAAACCAAAATTCATCTAAATGTTTGATGGCAAAAGTTGAAAAACATTTTTGGCTTTGAGTTTTCATCGGTTTTCTGTGAAAAAAAGGAAAAAAAGTTATTGATGCATACTTGCAAGCAACAACAAGAAACGAGTCGATTAGATTTCGATATCGACACGAATAACTTTAGTTAAAGTTTTTCCTTTTCATGCTTTTGCAACTTTGATATGTATTGAAACTTCTAAAAATAGCAAGCAGCTTAAACGTCGACATGTTTCATAAAGTTGCTACATAAATATCGAGTTGATTAGAAGAACGAAATTCGAAACTTATCCAAAACATTTCTTTTCCACCCACAACATTGAAAGTAGAATTTAAGTTTTTCGTGCTGATGTTTCCATATTGTTTTTCAATTCATGCTACGTTTGTTCATTTTGTTTTAAGAGAGAGAGAAACTGAGACCGTCGCAATGTGTGGACGAAGTTGACATTGACATTTGAGTGTGGCATAAAAAAAGTTTATTTCCTGTTAAACACAACACCAGAACGAACCTTCCATCCATTCATCGTATCATAAAATTATGACACATTTCTCTAATTCAAGCATCATAAAACTCATCTTTACTTCACATCTCACGTAGGCATTTTCAATTTATGAACTGGGTAATCTACAAAGCGTTTCATTCATTACATGATGGCGAGAACAGGAGAATGGGAAAGGAGAAAAATACGAAACCATTAACGTAAAAATCTCGAGACGTTTAACCTGTTAAAATGTGCGAAAGCTGTGCTGATGATGCTTCAAATAAACTCATCATTTTTATCTTACCATAAAAACAAATTTCGATGAATGCGTTAGCGATTGAACGAAGATGTGAAAAACCTATCAGGAAATCGTAATTATCTTTTCAATCTTTTTCTTCTTTCTTGTGGAAAAAAGTTTTCTTTTAAAAAAATATCCCTGGAGAGGTTTCTTCTTGTTATAAGTTTTCGAGCGATGAAAATTCCGCCATCGTTGAGCGCAACAAATCGCCATTCGAGAGCTACCGCTCATCTGCTTTTGGGTGAATTGTTAAAAGAAAGTTTAAAGTTGATTCGTCCCATCCGAGGACGGACAAAAACGAAAAAAAAGGAACATGAATGAATGAAAAAAAAAAGGCAAATTTAATGTAATTAAAAAAGTTTTTTCGTCGTTTTCATTTTCTTTCCTCTCTTTCGACGTTTTCTTCTTTTTTTTTTGATACTTTTAGAAAGTTCAAGTGAAATTAATACATTTTCCTTATGCTTTACCCACAAATTGTCCCCAATCGTTCACTTCAATCAGATCACATCAAACCTTGATGTTTTTATAAGACGTTTTAACGAGATTCAATATTGGGTCGTAACCGAAATCATATCAACGTCAAATCTCAACAAACGAGTGTCACTACTGAAGAAGTTCATCAAACTAGCTGCTTAGTAAGTGTTATCGCATCCACATAAATGTTTCATCATAATTTATTTGTTATAGCTGTAAGGAATATCAAAATTTAAATGCATTCTTCGCTATTGTGATGGGAATGTCGAATTCGGCTGTGTCGAGATTAACTCAAACTTGGGATAAACTTCCATCAAAATTTCGAAAGCTTTTTACTGAGTTTGAAGCCCTGATAGATCCAAGTCGCAATCATCGTGCCTACAGGTTAGTTAATTACATCTCGTTAGATAACATTTTACAACTTTTCATTGCTATCGCGAAATTCTCGAACATTGAAACAAATTATTTTACTCGTCTGCATTTGTTGTTCTGACAATTTTCATTTTTATATTTTTCCTTTTACAAAAATGTATAACAAAGGATGTCTGTGGGAAAATTACAGCCACCGGTTATTCCATTCATGCCATTACTGTTAAAAGATATGACATTCGCACATGAAGGAAATAAAACCAGCATAGATGGTCTCGTGAATTTTGAGAAGATGCATATGATGGCGTCGACAATGAGAGCTGTGAGGTTTTGTCGTTCACGGCACTTGGGTGAGTTTATATTTTTATGTTACGTGTATGTGAGTTTATGTTTGTCACTCTACACAATTTTTCATTCACTTGACAAGTCTGAATGTCGGGGAAAAAAATACAATAAATTGTGTGTCCTAACACAATAATTCTTTGTCTCTTTTGAAATAGTTTTGGATCCACCATCGCCGAAGAATAATGAATCACAGATTCGTTCGTACATTAGCTGCTTTCGTGCGATTGACTGTCAAAGAACACTCAACACAATGTCCAAAAAAATTGAACCACGATAGATGAATTGTGGCGCTTCTCAAAGTCTTCGAATTCAAATTTGAGTTCGATGGTGATTAACTTAGTATTGAACGTTTGTAGCTTGAAATGCATGTTGACCTTTCAAAAACATTCTTATGATGTAAATAATATCATGTGTGTTAACTCTTCGTTGTTGTTTTAGGATGTTTTTCTTTGAAGGAAAATAATAATAATAAACTTTTAGAGAAATGAAATGTTCAAGTATATTTTTATGAAATTGAAAGAGAAATTTTTATGCTTGAGATTCCTATCTACCTGCCATGACGAATAAGTGAAGACGCAAAAGAAAACCCCATAGAACTGATTCCATTTTCTACTTAAATATCTTCGTATAAAAAATCAATTTTCTATATTTTTTTATATCAACATTCAGAGATAAAGTTGAAGTTTTACATTAAGTCTAATGAAGGAAAACTTTTATCATGCTTATCAGACGAATGAAATTTTCTCTTGAACTTTTAATGCAACTGAGATATTTATTTATATGCAAAAAGAAAGGAAAACTTTGACATATTAAATGAATGTTATTCGCAAGGGATTGTCTAGAAGTTCTGTTAAGTTTTCTTCCATAAGCTTTCAATTTGTTATTGCAAACTTGGGATTGCAAAATTCTAAACTAAGAAAAAGGTGGAAAGTTTTCTCGCTACTTAAGAATGAAGCCTTAACAAGGGAAAAATGAAAGAAAATTTCTCAATTTAACTAAGCTTAATACTAGAAGCAAACTCTTTATAACTGCGATGAAAAGATTTTATGTTGTTTTTATATAAATCAGCAAGACATGAAATTGCACTCGCTAAAGCATCAAATTCCAGTATCTAAGACAACTTTTTCTATTTTCAATTTTCCATCGCAACTAATCATGAGGAAAAGTGGAATCACGAAGCGGAGCAATAAAAATATTAAAATCATTGTTGAAGAAAGAAAAATAAATGTTTATTATTGTTGACAAGTTGATGTTTTCATTTTTGAAAAAGTAAAAGAAAAAAGTCAACTTTTAAAGTTGATACTTTGAAGAAATGCTTTCGTTTCAATTATCAAATGTTGACAGAAGCTTTTTGTATCAGTCGAAGAGAGAAACATAATCAGCGAAGACGATTTAATCGTTTGCGAGAATGATCATTGTCATAATCAATCACTGAAGAAAAAGTGTAATCAAACTTATGCGTGTATTAACAATCAATAAACTACAAAGATAGACATTTCACCGATTAAATCAAACTATGTGTAATAAACTTTTCTGAAATCGGGAGAAATAAGATTTGTAATGTGTAAATATTAATTTACTTTTAAGCTATCATTTATTTTTGATAGAGTTAAATCTTTACTTCCTTCCTTCCTTCACTGATGAACACGTTTAAGTGAATCTCAAAGTTTCTGAGAATAAAATTTAATAAAATGGTAAAAATATTTGAAAAGTGGAGTTAGGGAAACAATTGCTTAGTTTCATAGAATTAAGATCGAACAACTTGTAAATGTAAAATGTTGTCAGTAGAAACATCACAAATATTAATTTTCTTACTCGTTACCTGGATTGATAATTCATGAGAATAGTTTTTTGTAATTATAAGAAGACATGACAATCCTTATGTGAGAGACGTGAAAAGAACTTTGAAGCGTAACTTTTAATCTAATGAAGATAACATCATTACATTAAATAAATAAATTAAGTGAATAGATATTTCGAGGTAGAGAGAAAATTGTATAAATTTTCCATTAAGTACTTACTTAGAGTGTTGTTATCAACCAAAATCAAATTTGATCTTCTTATAAATTTTCAAAAATTTCCTCTAATTTTAAACGAATTGATAAGATTAAATATTTATGAAATTGAATTTTCAGTTGTTTAGTAGAATACCAAGTAAGTAGATGATTGGATTATTATTATGATTATTATTTAATTTTCAATCCATGTGTACAAATTTTCTACATAAATTTTATAGTTTCATCTTATGCCTTGAGAAAACTTTCAAATTCGTTAAAATTAAAATCTCTTTCAAAACGAAATTAATTAAAGTTGTGTGATGTTTGTATCATACATCAATGAAAAAAGGAAATCACTGTAAGAAATAAACTCCAACTAAATATGATTTTTCCATGTGCATTAACATTATTTAGAGAGTGAATAGTTTTCCCAATAATAAATAATAAATTATCTGAAATGAAAAAATATTAAAATTAAATTTCAACAATTGTGTACAAGCTGAGATTTCTGTTTTAAAAATATTTTCTGCAGTTGCTATAATTAAAGATATGAAAGGAAATATCAAGGGAAATTCTTTAAAACTCTCTCAAGATTGCATAATCTATGTCTACTCAATCTTGCAATATCAAATAACAATGAACACTGAATTTCCTCACAGAATTCTGGAAATGTTTAATCTCAATAAATTATTTTGCTGTCTTAAAATTTGTTTATCTAAGAAACATAACTCAGCGAGGAAATTTATAATTCCCAACATCCTTGTATTTATCTTCTATTGTTGCTTCTATAAATCTCATTTAAATTATCTTTCTCCTTTCATTTTATTCTTCTTAGTGTTGTAATTAACGAAATTTATATTTCATGAATGTAGAAATTATTTGATAAAATGATTAATAAAAGTAAAAAAAACCTTTTGAAAATTATTTCGAGAAATAATTTTTTTACTAGTTTGCCAATCGACATTTTCTTTGATTTTCTTTTAGCTTAATTTGAAAGGAATTTTTTTTCCTTTCTCCATGAATAAATTGAATATCCTGCAATAAAAACTTTTAGTTGAATTAAACGATGAATTTGAAGAGGGAAGAACGAAGCAAATCAATGAAAATGAACTGTTTGAACTTTCTTTCCACAACATTGGCCAATGAATGTAATTTCTGATTAAAGCTTTTATCAAAGCTTTTAAAGATTTTATCAAAGCTTTTAAAGCTTTATCTTTCATCTCTTAATATCACATCTACCTTGCTTTTCCAGTAAATAAAGTAATAAAAACATGCTGTGCAGTATCTAAAAGTCATTGCAATACTTAAGCTCATCGTAATTGATAAAGAATCCAACGAGATTGACTACACGATATAAAAAGTTTCCAAGGTAAATTCTATTTCTTTTTTGATTGCTATCAAGTTCATCGACATTTTGCTGACAAATGATTCGCATCAATGAGAAAGTTATTCTGATTGACAAATGTCATTTCAATTTTGTAAGGTTCTGAATTTGAGAAGAAAAAAAACCAACGTCAAATTTTCTTTTTCACTTAAATAAATAAAATTACAGCAGTAAGGTAAAAAATCCTGTAAGGTCAATGTGTCTGTCACACAAATTCAAAAACGTCGAAAATAAAATTTCCATGACAATTCAATATCTGCTTAATGCCATCACAGGTGCTTAAACTTTATGTGAGAGGCCAAACAGATTGTCGCCGTTAAATAATTCAATTAAATCAAGTTGGAAAAGACATTTATAATGTCAACAGCATCTTATGTTACTTAAACCTCCCAAGTCCTTTTACTACAGCATCAAAATACCAACAATGAGTGTAAGGTGATAAAGATTAAAATTAAAATATGGAAAAGTCAGTCATGGGACGGTCATGAATGCCATTCGAGCTACTCTAACGTTATAAAAATAATTATCTAATTAAGGATTCAAGTCTGGTTTTTCATATATCATCACTTGCAATTATATCAATGAATTTATGGTTTCAGGAAAATGTTTTTCATAACAAATTTCATTTAATGATATGAATGTGAACTCCAGGCGATAATTAGCGAAAAGTAAGAAAAATTTCATCATGTTTAGAATTCCTAAGGCTACAGGAATGAAAATTATTCCAGCATATCATGTTGTATTGTTATTTGAAACAAAATAAACATTTTTAAAATTTAAAAACATTTTTCAAAGTTCAAACTTAAAGCTTTGCCATTTCAAATTTTATGCTTTTTCATTCTTTGAACATAAATTCAAAATGTTAAGCATAGACATGAGTCAATAAAAAGATTTTATCTTCAATCTGAACGTAAATAATTTTACTGCTTGAAAACAATTCACCAGTTTACCTTTTCACACCCACACAAAGCGTGATTGGAGATATTCTTATCGATAACCACATCTACAATCAATGAACGAAAATTATCATTTGTTTTCTACAGTTTATTGCTACAAATATCTGCTCGAGTGAACAAAAGTGTGAGACTTGAATATCATCATTCATACGGTAAAACAGAGTTTATTATTAAAAAAATGGAATATCTCTGATAAAAATGATGGTTTTATGATAAAATAAGAAGTTTTGTATTAATATTTTCACAATAAATCTCTGTCGGTATCATAAAATTGAATTCAATAAGTAAGCGAATAAAATTCAATAAAACAGAATAAACTGAAAGCTCGAACATTGAAATTTTAATTTAAAAGCTTTTGTTGGATCACCTGTAAAAGTTCCACAATTATGGAATTCACTTAATCTGCTTACAGTTTTGTAACATTGGTTAAAATATTATGAAACATAAATATGTTTAATCTATTAATGCACATAACATATTTAATGTCAACAAGGTAAAACAAAGTGAAATTGTTTTGAATGCTAATTCAACATGCACTTAAATTTGAATTTAAAACTCATTCCTGAGTGAATTTTTATCATTTTCAATTTAAAAACTCTTTTGTATGCTTCTTAACTCTCATAATGTGAATACTTACAAAGACACAGAAGGATGTTGGAATTTATTTAAAATGCAGCCAACGTCGACTCTGATGCTGTTTTCCTTCTAACCAAATGAAAGTTTTCATCTCTCGTATAATCCAAATTGAGACAAGATGCTTTTTATGTTTGTTCTACCGATACCAAATAGTTTTCTGTAACAGCATTAAGTGAAACCCACGAGACTTTACAATGTAATCGGATTACAAAGATCCTCAAGTAGCTAAAAGTTTTTAATCACGATAAAATTGCGTGAAATATTTTTTCTTAAGGAAACTTCAACAAGTTAAAGATGCACTTAAGATTCTAGCATAGAGAGAAAATAAAGGTGGTAAAACCCCTTCAGATAGCACTTGATAAACTTTTCTCCTTTTGCATTTCAACTTGTAACTTAATGAAAAGTTTAAGAAAGAAAAATTTTCAGAAAGCAATGAAGATTGTAAAAACTTCAAGCTTGAAATAATTCATGAAGTCCCTGAAACCGAAAGAATAAAAGTTAATGTTTTTAATATTATCTCTTAATTTATTAAATGCTTTTAAATGAGTTAAGCTTAGCTGATTATAAATGTAGCAATGATAAAGTATTTTGAAGGTCATTTTCCATCCTTGTTTGTGGATGTGTTGGCAGATGGAAATAACAATAATTAATGAGATGTGACGTTATATATTATTTGCCGAAATTAAAGCTTTGGGATGCGGCATTTGATGATGAGCCTGGAATAAAGGAAAGAAGGTAATCCGATTATGCCAAGTGACAATTAAGATGCTTATGTTTTCAGTTGTGAGAAAATATTTGTTTTCTTACCAGAGATGCCTCCACGTCCAGCTGTTAAGAATGAGAGAAAAATAAATTTGTAAGTCTTCCGTTTTCAACATTGAGAATTTTCAAGGTTTTTCTCACCATTAAAACTTTGACTAGCAGCATTTGCCGAACTAGCACTCAAACCGCCACCACGTCCTGCATTAAATGATTGTGCTGCAGCATTTGCCGAACTAGCACTCAATCCACCACCACGTCCCGCATTAAACGATTGAGATCCAGCATTTGCAGCTATCGACAAAACAAAGTTTCAATTAAATTTCTATTGAAAAGCAGAATTTCTCTAAGAATTTCTCACCAGATCCCCCGAAACCTCCACCAAATCCACCTGAATTGAATGATTGCGATCCGGCATTAGCAGCTAGAAATAGATTCGATTATTTGCATAATTGATTTTCACTTCACTCGATTTAATTATCATTCGAGCTTGAATTTCAAGAATGTAAAATTAATTTGTAATAATCTTACATGAGCCTCCAAATCCACCCCCGCCAAATCCTGGGCCTCTGCCAAATCCACCCCCGCCAAATCCTGGACCCCCTCTGAATCCTTGGCCACCTCTAAATCCACCCCCGCCACGTCGTCCACCACCACCGAAACCTCTTTGTGGTAATGGAACACATGAAGCAATCACTGCCAACATCAACACAACTAATCCAATTACGAATCTCATTTTTTTCCCTTTATTTGTTTTTGATTATCTCACGAATGCACAACTTTGTTCAACGATATCTTTTCTTGAAGTAACATCATGTATCACTGAACCGGTGTCATTTATATAGCTAACAAAAACTTCCACACGCGTATGTATCATAAATAACAAATAAAAACTATCAAAGTAGATATCCAAAGAGTTTCAGCTTTTCATCAATAAATTCTCTGAAATTAAGAATGAAACATCGAACTCGCGTTGTTTGTGTTGAAACCAGATATCAGCTCAACCGTCAAATAATCTTTTTTTTGTTACGCTTAAAAGCAGTCAAAGAGTGACGACTTTGTTTTTTTTTTGTTACTTCTTGAAGTCTGACGAAAAGGAACAAATAAAATTATAAGCAGATGAATAATTAAATCGTCTCAATCTGTGTTTACATATTTTTGTATCTCCTAAACCCAAAATTAGTAAGAAATCTGGCGATGCAGAAAATAAAAAGTTTGTTGAGTGTTTTGACCGGCATCTTGTTGTTCGTCTATGCCAAAAATAATCTCAAACAAGAACTGTGACCATGAAGAAGGTTCATTTTGGCTGCAGACCTTGATTCCACAAAAAAAGTTCTCAGCTCAATTTAGTAAGAAGGAGGGAAAGAAACAGAAGAAAAAAGTCCACGAGATGAAAGAAACAGGCTGGCAGTCACTTCCTTAAAGTGATACATTTAAAGTTACGTAACAATGTTAACACACACGTTTTCGTTCGACGTCGTTGACTTTGACATTGATCCTAAAGTTTCTTGAATGGAGCTGTTTTCGTATCTTCTTAATGTTATTCTCCTTCTCTCTTTCTCTCTTTCTATGTATACCAAACACACACACAACACCATCGCCGTTGATGTTTACAAAGTCGTTAAACTATAATTACCAAACGATCGAAGTAAATCTTCGAATTACAAATGAAACGAGATAGAGCGAGCGAGTGAAACAAATTATTTTTGCCATTCATTGCCACTTAATCATAATTATTGTGTGAGACAAGAATAGAAGATTGTTTGAGGTACATGCAAACAGAGAAGAAGTCAAGGCGAGGGGAAAAACCGGCATTTTGACATTGAAGTTCATTGCAAGAGTTAACTTAGAATTTCAATAAGATGTTTGAGCTTTAAAGTCTTTGGTCATAGCTTGACGTCTGCTTTCATTCGTAACTGGTTCGATGAAACTCTCGTTGGTGTTCGCTTTCACGCATCTTATAAACGTATTTTATTAATATGCAAATCCTCATAAAAGGCAGATTCACCGAGAATTCTTGTTTTACGTAGATAATCTGAATTAATTCAATTTTTATATTTTATTTAAACCATCACACAAAGACTAATTAAATAATTCTCGTTATCGTTGATAGAGTCTTAAGTTGGCGACACAAAAGGCTTAGGTAAACACACCATGATCTGGGATTTTATTTAAAATATTTTAGCATTTGAATTCGTGTTACAGAAGTTTAGTCGCTAAAGACGCATCAACAGCAAAACTTGAAAACTTTATAAGAAGAAAAACATTTTTGAAAAAATAATATTAAAGTTTGTGCAATTAAACTTTTAAGAGTTCGTTTTGAAAATGAAATTTTTTATTGTTCTTCTGGCTTTCGTCGGCATGGCTTTAGCACGCCCTCAAATTTTATTTCCTGGTAATGAAAAACAATACTTAGAAGCATTAAAAATGATTTTTATGATTAAATGTTGTGGAAATTTCAAACAGGGTTAAGTTTATCAACAAGCAATGCTAATGCACAATCACAATCTCAAGGAATATTTGGAGGTAAAATTTAAAGTTTCAATTAAAATTTTGAATATTAAAAAATGAATTTTGTTTGAAGTTCCATACGGTGGCGGATTTGGCGGACTCGGTGGACAGAGCCAAAGTGCTTCAAATGCCAATGCGCAGTGTAAGTGAATAAATTTCAAAGCAAGACATTAATTTGATGAATCATTTAATTACTATTAGCGTTTAACTTGAACTTGGGAGGCGGCGGAATTGGAATTCCGGGCTTATTTGGAGGACGATAAATTCACGATCAACAACAACATTCATACTGTACAGTTGATAAACATTTAAGATGAAAACGTCATTAAATATTTACTAAATCAAGAAAATGAGTCATTTGAGTATTTTAACGTCGTCAACAAGCAATTAAAAGTTCTTCAAGTGAATAAAAGCTACGATATTTTAATAAATATTATTTGTGTGATTTTCCTGAACATCTTTTTCAGGTTTTCCCTTTGTTTACAAGTGCCTCGTGTGAAACGAATTAAACTTGCAAATTAGTAATGATGACGACGATGATATCTTGGAATGCGTGTTTACTTTTCAAATGAATAGATATGGAAATTTAATTTGTTTGTTGGTTTTCTGATTTTTATTTTATTTCTCTCTTTAAGTAGTAAAGCGAAGAAAGCTTTGAAATTAACATTTTACAATGAAGAATGTCGCTATTTCATATTCACATCCTACTTATGCATTTCATTCTATCAAAGCGATGCGTTCATGAGTCAAAACAAGAACTCTGTCAGTCAACATTTACATCCAGAGTTCATTAAACTCTTCACATGTCTCTCACATGTTTCGGTATTCATATGGCTTGAACTAAACTTGTAACAATTCTTAAACACCAAACGGGAATTTCCACAAAAATAGAAACAAGAAACTAGAATAGATGTTTAATTTAGGAAGGTCAGGTTTGTTGTCATGCCTCTTTTGTTTTGGAATCAACAAGTTTGAAGGATGATCATAACAGAAACTATAACTAATGTCGGTCGTTCTGTTCAGTCTCATTCACTTCCTTCCTTAATCAAAATGACTAACGACAGACGACAAAGTATTGTTTTATTTGAAACATTCTATTCGGAGTTGGCTTAATTATCTGTCTAAGTAATTAATTATTTGTTAAATGGCTTTTCAATGTGCCTACAAAGGGTGAAAGGTGTTAATAAATAATTTTCTTTATCAATTGAATAATTGAAAATGGACACTTGATGAATATCAATCACGCAATAAAGACGATGGTAATAAATATTTATGATTCACGACTTGACTGCTGCTGTGCTTGACGGAAATATAAAAAATGTCTCACAAATTTTACTGACAGGTTTATTTTTGATCTTAAAATTAAATAAAGTTAATTAAAATAAGACACAAAGTTGTTTTCATTGATGCATTGATATTGATACAGATTCGACCTTTCATTTCGACTTTTAACCCTGTCTATCTAAAGCATGTAAACATTCTTGGATAAGCTTATGTTCATTTCACTCAAAATGATTCATTTGACCTCCTAACATGAAGTCAAGTTCAGTGATTTTTTTTATAATCTAATCCAATAAATCTGTTACTCATGTTCCTTTCATTGTCATTGTCATTGTCATTGCTTGCTACAAAGAATATTCGCATTTGAAAGCATTTATTCTTTGTAATCTCATAACAACAACCGAAATACAATAAAAAGTTATTTTTTTTCCAGAAGTGCTAATCACAAATTTCCCAAAAACTTCTTCATTTGAATTCCTGTTTTATTGATTATCAAGTTAAATGACGTCAAGTTTTTTTTACCTTCTAGATAGACTTCCCCATTATGATAATTCCATACAAATCCACATACACGATACAAATGCAATCGTACGCACATGTTAAAAGCAAGTCACCTCATGAGTCGATGATGAGAAGAAGCTTAACAGTTAAACATTAAACAGTCGTTTAGGTGAACAGTCTCTCGGCGATATTTCTTTTCTACCTTGCTCTGAATTATTTAAAGAAACATTCTCTTCACGCAACTTTCATTATTAAATTCACACATCATTGTACTCGATAAGTAACAGCAGAGAGAAGGCAAAGCAAGAGAATAAGAAGACGATTGGTTTTTTTTCTATCTTGTGATCAAGTGTATGTGAAGCAGTTGGCAATCGAAGACCTTTAATTGCAGGCTATTCATTTTTTTGTCGTCGTCTTGCGTGCTTTACAAACGGCTTGCCACAACTCATATAAAGTTTATTTCAATTTGTGTTGAACGAATTAGATTTGTTTGTACAGTGGACCAGAAGGGATCTCTCCTCGTCTTGCTGTAGAAATATTTACAATTTTTCACAATGAAATTGTTTATTGTGCTATCAGTTGTGTGTGCATTTGCAAGCGGGAAGCCACAAATATCATTTCCGGGTAAATAAATATTGCGGTGAACTTTTCAATGCAAGAAAATTAATTTATTTTTGCATTTCACAGGAATTAGTATAACATCAAGTAATTCGAATGCAAATGCAGCATCAGGAGGCGGAGGTTTTGGTAAATGTTGGCAAATTTGTGGCGATCAAACAATTAAATTGAATTTTCTTCCATTAGGGGGTGGTGGTGGAAGCAGCAGCAATGCCAATTCTCAAAGTTTCAGCCTTAATTTGGGAGGGGGCGGCATTGGATTAGGACCAGGACTTTTTGGTGGTGGTGGTGGCAGAGGTATCAGCGCATCACAAAGTCAAGCTCAGGTATGAATTCACTTTTCGACACGTTTTTATGTTTGTTGAATTGTGGTGAACATGACAAGACTTTTTGTGACGCGATTCATGTCATGTCAATACATCACTTCAAGGTCGTCTAAAGCATTTGTTAAATATGTAGACATCGATATAATATTTATAATGGATTATGTCACAAGTGTTTGTAAAACGAAGTTGAGCGAGAAAGTGAAGAAATATTTTTCACCTGTCATGAGCAAAGATTTGCTGTGATTGATTGATTGATTGATTCATTGAACTTGAATTCAATAAAATTATGAAAAGGAAACTTGAAATGAAAGTGAATGTTGACCTTTGTTTTGTTATGTTACAGGCGCAAGCTGGTTCTGGTGGCTTTGGAGGATTTGGGGGCGGTGGCTCGCAAGCTCAAGCACAAGCACAGTCGCAATCAATTAACATTGGTGGTGAGATCATCATTATTATAAATTCAAAGTTTGAGTTAATTTATTTAAAAATGTACGATCAACAGGTGGAGGGTTCGGTGGAGGGCCCGGATACTATGGAGGTGGGCCCGGATACTACGGGGGTGGGCCCGGATATTATGGTGGTGGTGGTCCTGGATTTCATGGTGGTGGTGGCGGATTTGGTGGCCCAGGAAGATTCAGAGGTGAGTTTATGAGAAAAAAAAGCTCAATGATGCTTAACTTCATCTTAACATTCTTTACAGGCAGAGGAGGCGGCGGATTTAGAAGACGCAACTTTCGTCGTGGTGGTGGTGGATACGACTATTTCTAAACTCCAAACGAACTCCCAAAAACATAATGTTTACTTATATATTTAAGAACCCCCACACACTTGAATCTCAATGCCATAGAATAAATAATTTATTGAATGAAAAAATAATTTGAGAATTTTTTTTCTGTCTTTCTTGTGTTGTTTCAAAAATTATTTCGTTTCGAAAGGTTTATGTTTGTTTATTTACAAAAGAAATTGTTTCACAAAACATTTCGATTTAGATAGAAAAAGCTCCAATTTTAGGATTGAAACGGAAAGTTTTTTTCTCCGTTGTTAAATTATCGATGTTTCGAGGCACTCACATAAATCTTTATTTCTGTTTTTGTTACAGGTTCGACAGTATAAAAACGAGTTTTGTATAATATCTCTACACAAATAATGCGAACGAAAGAATCGTGCTTATTTGATTGAAGCTTTTATAAACAGATTGGTTCAAGGCCATGTTTTTCATCTTTGATAATTTGTTCGTTCTGATAAATCTTCTCTCTGATCTTTGAAATTATCAGAAGATGAAGAAAAGACGTAAAATATTTTTCTAAGCACAAGGCACTTATTAAAATTCTAATGTCATTAAATAATGAAAGCTTCTGCATCCTTCATTGATTCGTCAAGTGCTAATTAAAATGAAAACAAGTAGAATCTTAAGTTTAAGTACTTGCGAATATTTTGTCTTCTAAGTGTTGTTTTCGAAGAATACTCACGAATAATATTTTATATTTTTTTTTTAAAAAAATTAAACTTTTACACAAAGTTCAAGGTTGCTTTTATTTGAAGTTATATGAAAGTACGTATAATTTTATTTATTTTGGTTTAAACTTATTAGACACAAAGGCAGACGAATTAAAAATAAATTAAGGTCGATCCAATATTTTGATTGACAGGCGATTATCGTCCAAAACCGAAACTGTTGGATCCAGCAGCAGCATTGGCAGAAGATCCTGAAAATCCACCACCGAATGGACCTCCAAATCCACCACCGAACGACTGTGATGATGCGGCGGCTATAAAAAGAGAAAATAATTCTCAAATTTATGTTTATGATCGCAAGAGATTTAAATTTACCATTGGCTGAGCTTCCACCGAAACTTGGACCTCCAAATCCTCCATATCCAGGGTAACCTCCGTAGCCTCCAAAGCCACCGAAACCTAAATATTTTTTGTTTATTTCTCTTTCAAACTTTTAATTAAATACACGTGAACGTACCACCAAATGGAGCAGCTAATGCAGCAACAATTAAAGCAAGAAACACAATTAAGAATTTCATTTTTATATCTTTGTTAATTAATCCTTTTGTTCTTTAAAATAAAAAGAAGTTCTTAGTGGCTGCAGCAGTTTTTAATCTTTAAGACTGAATGATATCTTTTCCCAAAGAATCATCCAATTTATAGTAAATCTAACCGTGGACAAAAACCTCACAAACTCAAGACGATGGAAGTTAAACAAGAAACTTATCTGCTGGAAATTTTCCACGTTTGTCTTTTAATAAAATTTTGTTTTCTTCTTTTGTCTTATATCACATATTTAAGTTCGATGATTGTGTGGAAATATTTTATGTATTGACCACAAGAAAGGTACAACACATTGATCATCTCTGTTGTAAATCCCCGCTTTTCAATACATTACATTTCTTTCTCTGTTGATTTAGTTTCTAGTGAGCGATATGAGATTGAAGACTTCATTAAGAAAACAAATTTCATTAATATTTCAAGAGTTGAATGGGAACGTTTGTAAGACATTTTTTAATTGAAAGCAAAATTTAGGTAAGCTTTAAGTCGACATTATTTTTGAGACATCACAAATATGATGATTTTCTTCATGCCGGTTTTATTTACGTATCAATATCGTCATGGTTAGTAAGAAGATATATAAAAACCGCTAAAAGAAGAGGCAGAAAAACCCAAACTTATTCATGACGTGTTGAGATATATGAATTTGAAGAAAACAAAATGTGAAACCTGTTTCTCTGGGATTCCCACTTTTTGTTTCATTTACTCACAAGCAAACTCAATTTTTTGTTTACAAACATTGATACACTGTTGAGTGAATAACAAAATCAACGGAACATGAATTAAAATTTTTAACACGAATTAACAATGAAAATTTTCCCGAAAGTAAAAATTGAGATCTTCCAACGTTAACAAATAATTCTTGAAGGTTGAATAACGTTACAAAATTATTTCTCACAACAAATTAAAAAGAGTATTATTTGATGTTAGGTCAAGCAGTTTTATTTTCATTTCCTTTGGAGTTCACATGTATGAAGACAACTTTAATATCCACCACCACCGCCTATTCCAATTCCAATTCCTAAGCAATAAAAAAGAATTAATTATAATCATTCATTATTATTTTTCAATTCGTTTTCAACCTTTTCCGTAGCCACCGTGACCACCGCCTGTAGAGACACAAAAAAAAATTGAGTACTTTAAATAGTTTTTAATGGTGATAAATATCTACCTCCATGTCCTCCGTATCCTCCTCCTCCAATAGGATAACCACCACCACCGCCGCCAAAACTGCTTCCTATTGATTGTGATGAAGCTGTAATAAATTGAAATATTTCTTTGAAGAGAAGAAATAGAAAATACAAAATAATCAATTAACCTATAGCTGAGCTTCCAGAAAGGCCACCTCCACCGATTCCTCCATGACCACCGCCTCCAGGATATCCTCCTCCTCCATAACCGCCACCGCCAGGATATCCCCCTCCTCCAAAACCGCCACCGCCTTGATAACCTCCCCCTCCATAACCACCACCGCCTTGATATCCTCCACCCCCAAGTCCACCGCCACCGTATCCTCCACCTCCAAGTCCGCCGCCACCGTATCCTCCATGTCCACCTCCCCCTCCATAAAGTTTCTTTCCAAATTTACCGCCATGGCCACCTCCCCCAAATCCTCCAATTCCTCCTGAAAACATTTTTTTTAAAATAATTTGTTTACTTCACATTATTAGGTTAGCACATACCACCGCCTCCAAATGATGTTGACGATGCTGACGCGCTTGCAGATGAGCCAGACAATCCTGTTTGACCGAGTTTGAATTAATTTCAACTTAAAACAATTTTTAAAATCACTAACCAAAACCACCACCACCAATGCCTGTAGGAACAGATATCACTACGCCAATTAAACTGGCAAGAACAACAACAACTTTCATTTTGAACAATATAACTTGTAAGATCGTATTTGAATACACGAACAAATAGAAATGACTTGAATATTCTCAGACTACCGATATTTATACAAAAATCTGCGAAAATTATTAATTTTAGAATTGGCAACATTTACAAGATCAATCAACGTCAGTCTTATTTTTTCTTCGAACTCCCTAATGTTGAAGAATCAGAAACTCTGGATAATTATTTTAATTGTGTTTAGATTATAGGGGAATAGGATATGTGATTTTACACTTACAAGTAATAAGATATTTGCTTTGATTCTCAGAATCGTCTGCCCTGGCTTACTCATATATTCTGGTGTTAGAAAAAAATTGCATACATTTGGAATGCACGATAACAGGTTTCTGTTGTGAAATAACTTAACTTTGGAATTGAAATATAAATATCATTGTCATTGCACAAATTCTATTAGACACACATGTGGCACAAAAGAAGACACTTCTTTAGTTTAAGTTTTAGTTTTTATGTAGCTACCTAATATTTCTTATTTATTCATTTAGATATTTGTAAAATAGAACAAACAGACGGGTTTCTTCGTTTAACTTTAACATTTCATTTCTTTCCATCTCTTAATCCGAACTTCAATCGATGTTAATATTTCAGTTTCTCCAGAGATCAATTGAATATGTATTTTTAACGATATGTAGTCAATGATATTTGTATGTTTTTGCTAATCCATGTTTATTATTGTCTCATGTAAATATTTTTGTTTTTCACCATGTCATAAGCCATTCACTCAATAAATTTTGAAACATATTCAACCAACGATTTTAAGCTTTTACAAAAGCTCTTCTTTATTGTTGGATTCTTATTTTGTAATAAAATAGCGACCATAAATATTGCAAAATTCTGGGAAAACATAGGCATTCATTCGATTGAGAACATGATTATGAATGTTCCACCAGCAAATAAACATGTGTTTAGTTCAAACATTAAAGAAAGATTTGTAATTTAGAACTTCTGGAACAAAGAAAAATGGAGACTTAAAACTGGGAGATTATTTTGTCCATTTCTATATTTTATCGTTCTGTTGATAATCATAAATGCGAAATTACAAAATTATCTTTAGTATCACGTTCACCAAGCATAATTTACTGTTCCAATGTTTTCGTCAAGAAATTGAAGAAGATTTAAAACAAAACGATCCCAAATCTGTTGGTTGCAAATTTGGATAAATTGTTGAGTGAATAACAAAATCAACGGAATACGAATTAAAATTTTTGACACGAATTAACAATGAAAATTTTTATTTTCATTTCCTTTTGAGTTTACATGTATGAGGGCAACCTTAATATCAGCCAGCGCCTATTCCTAATCCAAGCCCAAGCCCAAGTCCAACTCCTAAGCAATAAAGAAGAATTAATTGTAATTATTCATTATTGTTTTCGAATTTGATTTCAACCTTTATCGTAGCCACCCTGACCACCGCCTGTAAAGACACAAAAGAATTATTGAATAGTTCATCATCATCATCAGAGTAGGGAGTGTACTAACCAGTACACTGAAGCGATTAAGGATGTAGGAGTGTGAACCCCTTCTTATTGAATAGTTTTAAATAGTTTCTATTGGTGATTAATATCTACCTCCATGGTGTCCTCCGTTTCCTCCTCCATTGGAATAACCACCACCACTTCCACTGGCGCCAAAACTACCTCCTTGTGATGAAGCTGTAATAAATTTGAAATTTTTCTTTAAAATTTAAAATAAATAAAATATGAACTAATTTATCAACCTATGGCTGCTCCTCCCGAATAACCACCTCCACCGTTTCCTCCGTAACCATTGCTAGGATGTCCTCCTCCTCCATTTCCGCCACCTCCGTGATATCCTCCGCCATCAGATCCACCAGTTCCTCCTGAAAGAGATATTTTAATGTTTCAATATCTTGTTTGTTTCACATTATTCAGCTAGTTCATACCACTGCTTTCAAATGATGTTGACGATGATGCACTTGCAGATGATGAAGATGATCCTATTTCAGCGAATTTGAATTAATTTCAACCCACAATAATTTCTAACATTACTAACCATAACTACCACCACTACCACGAGAATGATGATGATGGCCACTAGCACTGTCTGTAAGAATAGATAGCACTATGCCAATGAAACTGACCAGAAAAATAACAACTTTCATGTTGAATAATGCAACTTGTAAGATCTTTATTTAATACTCGAACAAATAGGAATGACTTGAGTATTCTCAGACTATCGATATTTATACCAAATTCTCGCTAAATAATTAGAATGTTGAACTTGAATTCGACGTGCATATGAATTCGTAATTTCAGGACATAGTCATGAAGAATATTAAATCAAGAAGACGGATGCGAGGAGTTGTTCATTGAACAAAATTGAATGGCCAAAGCACTCAACCCTTGATTTTCAGATTCTTATTAATAACGCTGCTAATGGTGTCAAAAATAATTTAGAACTTCTGAAACAAAGAAACATAAAATTCTGAAATTAAAAGTCGGAGATTATTTTTGTTCATTTCTTTATTTGATTGTAAATGTTTTGTCTTACACAATTTCTATTAAAAGAATATTTTAGTTGATAATAATAACTGCGCAATTACGAAATTGTCTCTCGTCGCATTTCATGGATCACGATTTACTGTTCCAATGTTGTCATTAAGAAAATCAATTCTTTAAGAAGATAACCATTAATGATTAAAACTAAATAATTAAACACTTTCTACTTACTCGTTTTCAAACTGCGGGGGTAAAGTTGAAGTTGAAGATGTTGTCGATGTCGTTGTATGATTTCTGTGATGGGGATGATGGCGATGATGATGACGATGGCGATGTCGATTACAGTGTCTCCTTTTACCTGATTCAGTATTTTCATCAGGCATTGGAACTCCATGTTTCTCATGCCAATCTTGATTGTGATTGCTTTCAGTTTCACTTAATTCGTCTTCGTGACGCTTATGCCAATCTGAATTATGTTTAAATTGATTTCGTCGATTTTCACCTCTTCCACGCCATTTCCTTCTCTGATAACGTTCCGTCGTACTTTCATCTTCTTGTGAAATCGCATCTTCTAATTCAGCATCTTCAGCATTTGCAGCAATTTGATTATCATAACGACGTCTCCATCTATAACCTCTTCCTTGACCTCTTCGATTGATTCGATTCTCATTGTCGTTATCATCGCGATATCCAAGTGCTGCGACAACAAACAAAGTCAAAAATATTAACTGAAGTTTCATCTTCTCTTTCTTTATGTTTAACTTTTTAAAAGTTCTGAAACAAACTGATTGACTGTGACACTTTCAAGCTGTATTTATATTAATCTACTGATATGATAGAACGCTTTTAGCGGGAACGAAAGCAACAAAAAATCACCACATCATTTTGTTTACAAGCTTAAACTTCTTATCAATATTTTCTGACGATGATTTCATTAATCTTTAAAGTATTTCCGATTTTTTTTACTGTCTGATAACTTTAAAATTTCTTTCCGAGAAATTACATATAGTTTCACATCTTTTTGTACAGTTTATTTATAATTCATTGATTCGGATTAGGTTGCTGATGATTTCCGTATTTTTAAGTCAATTTTGTTGGCTTTAACTTTTTTTCCCTTCCTCAATTTAAAACAATCTCAGATGAATTTTTAAAGATGGAATAAAAAAATCACTCAGGGGATTTTTATTCTCTTTCAAGCGAATTCTTTAAAAACGAAAACAATTGTAGACTTGTTCTTTTCATCCATGTCATGCCTTTAAACAGAAAGATCTTGAAAAGATTGAGTTGGGAAAGGTCATTGATTGGCAATATCGAACTTTTCTCCTTTTCTTTCTCGAATAAGAAGATGTTTGTGACTTGTTACCGTCTGTCTGATTTAGGCCGTTGCTAGGAATAAACAACTTCCTAGACTTAAAACTTTAATGTCATTCCAGATCTCCTTTTAGTTCATTCAACAAGTTTAATCGTTTGTAGTTTCTAAATTTCAGGATATTTCAGCATTCAAATCAACCAACAACAATTCCAAATCTTCAACTAAAAAGTCATCAAAATGCTATAAGAAAAGCAACATAATGCAACAACTGACAGCTCATTATTCAATCTCCAATGGTGCATATATAAAAGTATGTAAGTAGCAAGGAAATCATGGTGGGAAAAAATATGGAATTCTGGTTAAAATGTTTCCATTTTATTTCGAATATAAAAGAAGAAAGAAAATTCTTTTGCTGTTGCTACTATGCAAGCTACCCAATGTTGTTGCTGTTGCTGCCTTTCATGTGCTTTCTCTTGTAATAAATTTCTCTGAAAGAAGCATCTTAAAACGAATATGCAATCTGTGAAGTTTATTTTAGCGCTATTTGAAGCAAGTGTAAGAAATGAATGGAGAATTTTGAAAATAAACTGCTGCTACTGCCTGAATATATGATAAAACTTTGCTTTATAGCTCACTGCAATTTCATATTATAATCGTATTTTCAGCTCTGTGAGCGGGAAAAAAGCTTAAAAATATATATTTGCATGGTATCTAAAAATGATAAATTAATATCAAAATTGAGCTGTAAATTTTAGTTGCTGTTAGGTCGAACGAGAGATAAGTTTTCAATTTTCTACTCGACTCTTCTTCTTTCTATGCATACACTCGACATTGTCTCTACCTGAATAAAAGTATAAGAAGTAGATTAAATTCCGAAACTCGTGTTTATCGTATATCTTGTGAACTTGTGAATTATGAATTAAGACGATGCACTTAAACTGCTTCTAACCATCAACTTCGCTCAATATTAAAAGCAAGCGAAGAATAAATTTCCACGTTTTGCCGCACTAAACGTTACGACGTCAGTTTTGCTTCTCAAAATAACTCAAGTACGTCACCATGCATAGCTTGTTTGATAAGCATCAAAAAGATGAGAAGAGACTTTTTTCCACCCCGTTCACCTGAATAGAAAATGATTCAATTTCACTTTGAACAAGGATAAAAATAAATATTCAATCTCGAAAAATTTCTCTCTCGGTCTTGAATCTTCAGAATGTTTTGGTATGCGAAAGCTTCTCTCTACACAAAAACCTATTTTTCGCTTGGTTAAATTAAAAAGTGAACCCAAAACATAAATTTGCGCTGAAGTGGATGGTTCGTCTGAGTAAACGTACTTTTTATGCGTAAATTGATGCTTTGTATTTTGCTGTTTGGACAACTTTTGTAGATTCTAAAGAAGGGAAATTCTCTTTGGAATGTTTTCGAGTTGGAAAATCATTTACATATTCAATTAGCAATCGCATTGTATTTGATTCGGGATGGGGTCTGTTTATGGTATTTGACTTTGGTATATCTAAAATTCTAAAGGAAAAAAAAGATATTAAAGGCAACGTGAAAGCCATTAAATGTTTTTGATTTCTATTTATGTGCAAGTAGAAATCCTTCTGGGACATTGTTGGTATGTTGAAAATGAATCTCTCTAGAGCTTTGGCAATATTTTATAAATTTAAAAGTTGAAAATTGATTTTCCGTGTTCCAAATAACTGACAAATGCTTCCCATGACTATAAATAAATAAATTTAAATTTCCATTATTCATCATTTTTAAAATTTCATGCAATTAAATGAGAAATTTTATTGTTGAATTTATTCTTCTAGGCTTTTGAATAATTTGTTAAATAAGCATAAGTTGACAAAAAGTTTTAATTTATTGAGTATTGAATTCCTCGACACAAACATTGTCAATGCAAAACTTGTCTTCAATGTGTAATTGATTCAAAACTCATGGAAGTCATGCACAACTTTGTCGTGAAGGTTTCTTTAAAAAGTTTTTCATCCGCTACTCGGTAGACGCTATTAAAGTTTTATTGTCGAAGAAGAAATTGTCATAAAAAGTCGACTCAAAGTAGAAAATAAAATTCAATCTGTGCACTTGTCGTGTGACACAAATTTACATTACAGGAAGGGAAAACATGGCAAAGGAGATTTTCAGCAGAAGCAGCAAAAATAAAATAACGCGAGAAAAATCTTTCTGATGCTGTCTCAAGCTAAAATGATTTAAATTCCACAGCTTTCAGATGAATCTTGTTTATGATTCTCCAACTGTTTTCATGTCAGTAAAACGATTTGCGTTGAGGCTTTCGTGCACTTTCATTCAAAAAGATGAAACATCTTTAAGTCTGTTTTCTAAATCATAAATTATAAACTTAATTTAACATCTTTTGTCTTCGGTAATAGCTTTTTTGACTGTTTTGTAAGCAAGTTGCAAGTCGTTTGGTACTTTAAGCATAAGAAAAGCACAATAAGGAGAAGAACATGCTGGAAAATCTTGATTTCTTCCACACACCAATTTAATTCCATCTAAAGTCGACTTGCGGCTTTTTCCTACATCTAAGCAACGACGACACGACACAACGACAGTAAGAAAAAAACAACATAAATTTAGTGCCAACCACCTGCGAAACTTTTCCATCATCTCTCCCTGAAATAGCATAAAGCAAAAGATTTTCCTTATCACATGATTCGATGTATAATCATGAGAAAGAATGAAAAAGCTTGCCGCTGTTCTTCTATTCTTACGATGTTGTTCTTCAAATATCCAACAGCGACTCGCTTTTTGCTTTCGTTCTAATGTTTGCGAACTTCTCTCATCTGTTTAAAAAAAATAAAAACATGAACTTTTTCTTCCCTTCTTTAATCTTCATCCCCACTTTAGTGTGGTTTAATGTATTTATTTTTTTGTGGAATGATAAAGATACTTTCGTTCGCTTCTTAACCATCCTTTAACTCCAACTGCACGTTTTTCATCCGCGTTTGTTTATTTCCTGAAGCTTTCGAGGATGTTTTTGTTCTCCCAGAACGATACCTGAAAAAAAAAGTTTTCGCCTGTTATCCGTCAGGTTTAGATGAAAGACTTTTTTATTGACTTTGGAGAAATTGTGTTTACTTTTCTCACCCTTAGCTTACGGCTTAAAAATGTTTAATATATTTGAGTTTTGAGGTAAAACAAAAACGTGAAGATCTTCATTTATTCAAGCCGTTAAAATTTTATCATTCGATTTTAGAAATTCCATTTGAAAATTCACTGATGAGTTTTCACTTCAATGGGTCAATGATTTTCTGAAGAAACTTTTCGAATTATCAAACTCTGCAGGAAAATGAAAATGTAAACATCAAAGAGGGACGAAAAGATTTTTGACTTAAATTTTGGATCGTGTTGGCATTTTTCTGTTTTTAAATTTTGTGGTTCTTCAACTGTTCATGCTGTACATTGAATTCACCGTATTAGGCTGAAGCCTTTCATGTTTGGCTTACGACAACGTTTTCAGATTTATGAAAGGTAAATGGAGAGTTCTTCAACTTCTGCAGGTCAAATTTATTTTCCTGAGAAAAAGTTTTGTTTTGATGTGTTCTTTTGAAAATCTAGCTGTGCACGATATAAAAGCAAGCCAAGTGGGTGGAAAGGAAACAAAGGCGAGGTGAATTCGAGCAGATTTACAAAAAGCCTTGATGAGAGATTGCAATAAGAATACAAATTTTTAATTGCATATTCTAAAGGCAACAATGGAAGTGAACTTTTCCGTCTCTTCCATTAAGAAACTTCAAATCTTTTCTTCTCAATGATGAGAGAAATGAAATAAATATTAACTTTACGGAAGTTCGAAGCAGATACTGCATTGAATAATATTTAAATGAAAAATTATTTCAATAATTTGAAAACTCTTTCATTCCTTTTCATTCGGATGTGAATATCAATTTTTATTGGAAATGAGAATTTATTGTGAAGAAATGGAAATATTTATAAGCTGAAATGAAATTTTAATGAAATTACCTACATTTAATTTATGATTTCATTTTTAGAGATGAGTAAATTAATTTCTGGTTCAAGACCGTAAATCTTAAGACAAACAACTTGAAAAGGTTTCCATTAAATTAGAGTCGCTTCATTAAATTTCTCGGAAATGAATCAAGTATCGGATAAAGTCCAAATGAATGAATCTTGAGTTGGTCCCTCAAAAGAATTCAATTCATAAGCTCAAAAGAAGAATACGGAAAGTCGACCGAAAATAAATTTTGTATCCTTTCCGCTTTTTCTCTATTCAACATTCTTTATTTCACATCCAAGATCAAAGAGATAACATTCACTGATGTAACGTTATTTCTAATTAAAATTGAGAATTGAATGGACACACATATGTGTGTGTGCATGTGAGGTTTTGTAAAATTCGACTCCATTCAAAACAAATTTTTCTATCAAATTTCCCTTTAGCAAACGTAAATAAACATCATCAACTACAAACAAGTGCAAACATTTATTACGGTATGATGATCAAATTAAATAGCACTAGATGAGTTGAAGCTTTTATAACTTGTACAGAAATCTGGGTAGTTTACGAGCCATCTTTGCCACTGCAATTGCAATGTGAATTGATCAGAATTAAAAGCTCTAAAATTCCATTGAAAATATAAAAAATAAACTTTTTTTGTCATTCCAATGATAGAAATCAAATTAAATTTCAATTTATGGAATACAAACGAATGAAAATGTTGTCAGAGATATTTTCAATCTCATTCGAGATTCTACATCCCCTTTCGAGAAGAATTTTTATATAACTTTATTTCCCGTTGGGATTTCAATTTACTGTCGAAATATTTCCAATTGATCATCATTGACAGTTGGTAATTTATTGATGCACAAGATATTCATTATTTCGTCTTTCACTTGCAAACTTTCAATAATATTTAATCCCTTTAGATAGATGGAAAAGGAAGTAAACAGAAAACCACTTGAATCTCTTCATGTTTTGATGAAAATTATTACGGTTAGTAATGAATGACAATTTCCTTAAATAAATTCAATAACATATTTTGAGAGATGAAAATTTCCATAAATTATTAATAAAATTTATATCCACCAAAATTTGTCATGATTTACATTTTAAACTTTAAAATTTTTGAAACTCGAGTGGGAAATTCTCAAAATCTTTTTTTCTCATCATAAATTTGAAATTTAATTCTTTCCCTACATAGCTATGGAGTGGACAGATCAACTTTTCCATTACTCGAAATTATTAAACTTTTTTAACTTTCCTACTTTACTTACTCACTTCACTAAAAAATAATCCCAGGATACATTTTCAGACGATTTCATTCAATTTTCCGACGATAAATATAAGAAGAGAAGTTCTGAAATGTAATTTCCCTGAGAAATTGAGTCATTCGGGTCTTCTGAATTGGATCCTTTCCTTTTGTTTTCAAAATATAAATTGAAAACATCTTACTAAGGATTTTTTTAATGGCTTTTTCTATTGGATGTTGCATGTAAATCTGAGATTTACCTGAGTTACTGAAATTCTGATATTTTGTATCGTTTATTTATTCAAATTTATTTCCCACTTCAGCGGCATCTTGAAGAAATAAATTTAAAATCTTTCAAGAATCCTGCGCACTATCGACAGTCTTGTCTGATTTTTCATCAACAAATTCACTGCGTTTGTTGATGATATGAAAATGTTCACGGCATCAGGCAATAAAATCGTGCATGACGTCACAATGATTCTGTTTTATCATGTGCCTCGTAAGCCTTTTAATGATAAATTATTATCTTTCCCAATCGATTATTTTCCCACGTCAATCGAACATTTCTTTAATTATTTGCCAAACTTTTCCTTTGACGTTTATAAAAAAAAATTTCTTTGACATGTTCAACATGTTGCACGTTTACGGAAATGTAAACATAAAAACTGGAAGAAGATTACTGCATGTAATTGGAAATCCTCGTGCTTTTCGAAGGGAGAAAAATTCATGGAAAAATTACATCACTCACTAACACATTCTCATGATGGAAAATTCACTTTTTTCTGCTAACAACCAGCAGTCGCTCGCGTGAAAATTACCAACTTTTCGCGTTTTTGTGCCAATATTGTGAGCTCAAGTAGTACTAATTTGTGCATAATGTTGATATTCAGCGATGTGAAATGATGGAAGCGCACAACGAGCTGGGAAAAGTTCGAAATAGACAAAATAAAAAGCGCCAGAAAAAGTTTCCATTTGCCATTGTTGTAATTTAAGAAACGGTGTCAAATAGCATCGAAGAAAATGTCGTAGTCGAAGTAAAATTGTAGTTCGACCAATATCCTTTTTATTTTTCTTGATTAAGTTTGAATTTTTCATCACAAGTATTAACATGCAAACATTTTATTCAAGTTTTAATGAAATTTTCTTGCATTGTGAATAAAAAAAATATAAAATAAAATAAAGAAGAAGAAGATAATGAAAAAGAAAAATGAATAATGCAGTAAAAGAAAATTTAATTGTCAGGGATCGAAAGCTTCTTGGTGAAGTTTGTGAATAAACTAAGTTAGTTAAAACAGTGAGTGAGCGGGAAAGTTCTTCTCTCCATCCAACACACAATGACGAAATCAATTTCATTAGAATCCACACGTAAAAAATAAATAAAAGTTGTGTCCCACAAGCAAATGACGAGAACTAGAGATAATCGTTCATTAAAGTCAAACAAAAGAAAATTTCCAACCGCATATACGAGGAAGTTTTCTTGACTACAGCAAAAAAAAGAGTAGAAAAAGAAAGGAAAGTTTTCTTCGCACTTTCTCAGTTTTGTTTTTCTTCTCCAACAAAATCGACGAGGTTTTTGTTCATCGCGTTGTGTAATAACTAAAAAGTTTTCGGAGATTAAAACGAGAGAAAATAAAAGTTACGTAAATTAATTAAGTGTGAGCGATTAATCGATTAACCAAATGAAGAATGAAGAAGCAAAATATCAGAACTTTATCGCTGATTGTTGTCACCTTCACATATTTGCTTGTTGGTGCAGCAGTGTTTGGTAAGCTAAACTTTTCCTAATTTATTTTCGTTTCTTGCTTCTTTCCTTTCTGTTTCTTCATCACGAAATCACAAAATCTTTTTTTCTTGTCTTAACTCAGATGCACTTGAATCTGAAACCGAGAAAAAACGTTGGGAAGCTCTACAAGCAATCGAAGACATGATCGTTAAAAAATATAATGTCAATCAAGATGATTTTAAAATCATCGAGACCGTGATATTGAAGACGGAACCCCATAAAGCGGGGAAACAATGGAAGTTTACGGGAGCATTTTATTATGGTGAATTGTTCATTAACACAATCGTAAAGTGTCACGTCTTAAACGAAAACATTTTCTTAATTGCATGTAGTTCTGACCGTACTTACGACAATCGGTTATGGGCACTCAACTCCTTCTACCGTAGGAGGAAAACTGTTCACAATGTTTTATGCAATGGTTGGAATTCCCTTAGGTGAATCATTCACCAACTCTTTAGATGTGCATTTAATTAACTTCTGATTATTTTGTAGGACTTGTGATGTTCCAAAGTATCGGTGAAAGAGTCAATAGACTGAGTAGGTGAGTGTTGCCGACGCCCACATTGATCTTCTGCCAGCCCCTAAATAACAATAACGTCACGCAAACCAATAAACAGCCTCCCATACACCATCATTATTAATCTAATCGACAGCGTCTAAATGAGCTAATTTTCTATTTTACTTTTATTATTATTGTTATTATTACAGCTTTGTAATACAGACCGTTAAGAAATCACTGAACTGTCGGAAAACGGCAGCTACGGAAGTAGACTTAATTTGTGTGGTAACCACATTGTCAAGCCTAACCATTGCCGGTGGCGCTGCTGCTTTTTCAAAATTTGAAAATTGGAAATATTTCGATTCAGTTTATTAGTGAGTTGATGATGAAATTATTAGAATTTTTAAATCATTTCATTTCTTTTATTTTCAGCTGTTTCATTACATTAACAACGATTGGTTTCGGTGATATGGTGGCATTGCAGAAAGACAATTCACTAAACCGACGACCAGAGTATGTTCTCTTCGCACTCGTCTTCATTTTATTCGGATTGGCGATCGTTGCTGCTTCCTTGAACTTATTGGTTCTTCGATTCGTCACGATGAATACTGAAGATGAGAGAAGAGACGAAGCTCAAGCAATTCAAGCGCTTCAAGGTATTTTAATTACATAAAAACTTTTTCATGAATAAATTCTTTGATAATAAAAATAATTACGAAATTATCAGGCGCTGTGAGATTAGAAGGTGACGTGATAACAGCAAATGGTTCCATCCTTAGCGGTCAACTTGGCCATAGAATTCACATTGATCCCAATGCAACATATTATCCCCAATTACAACAAGCTGATTCTGCTTCCCTTGAGGGTGACAGAAATTCAATGTGTTCGTGTTCATGTGCTTGTTTCCGTGCAACACGACAACGACAGTAAGTTGAAAATGAAACTTTTGACCTTATTATAGCTCATAGAAAGGAATTTATGTCTGTAACGTGTTTTATTATTTTTATTGCAGTCAAAGATATCACATGAGAAAACCGCCTCCGTTCTATGTGCAACCAATGCCAAAGCCCCGATTTGATTTTCGTGATGTAAATAAAGTGCATCTTAAGAACATTTCTTTATCAGCGTCGTCACTACCACCCGTCGCCCTTTTTCCAACACAAGAGAAATCCTCGAAAATTCCTGCGATTACTGATGGCGCTTATGATTTTCATAATTCGCAGAACAATATGCACGATGACATGTACAATTTCTACGATGATGAACACACTCATGAGATGCGTCATCAGTCGTTACAATATTTAGATGACTTCTATCCCATCGCGGAACATCATTTCTTTGACGATGATCATCATGATGACGACGAAATAAGTGGACCACCGCAAATGACCACAACAACTACCATTGCTTCCTTTAAATTCCAATCAATTGCTCCACAACTGAAGCAACATTCAACCACGGTTGCACTTAATCGAGCTTCTTCACTTTAATCGTTTATTGAATGTGAATTAAGACATCGATTATATCGAAAAAGAGAACCAAAAAAAATTAAACGAGACAAAATATTTGACCCGATATGCCAAATTGTCGATTTACAAGACAAAAAGTTTTCACTCCGCACTAATAATTTTTATCTAATATGTATGTTCATGAACTCAGCGTTTTATTTCGCTGGAAAGTTGATAATGAACGTCGACAAAGAAGAAAAAAGTTTATTTAAAACATTCCATTAAGATTTATCGCAGAAACAATCCAATTGTTGTCAAAAAGCTTTTAATCCTTAAGAATCGTGAATTTCGAACAAAGAAAAATCATATTTATTGTCAGACTCAAAAAATAGAAAAAAAAGAGAGAGAAAAGAAATAATAAGATATAAAGTCATCCTCGAATTATTTTGCAATAATATTTATCATTAGACAGACGCCTGTAGATAGAAATAAAAAGTTTCTCTTCCTACAATTGCTTCCACAAATTTTTCGATCATTAATAACTGGAATCCGTTTGATGAAATGTCATGAACTATTAAAAATACAAAAGTAATAGGGAAACAAGTTAAAAAAATGAATTACACCAATTAATTGCACATAAAATGTAGGTTTTTATAAAAATAGGCGACAAAGTTATTTGACGTGATCGGAAAATAATAATTGAAATAAATATAAAAGGAAACTAAAATTACAAAGGAAATCAATTGTTCGTTCTAAGAACAAAAAAAACTTTCATGATACGAGTAGAATGTGAAGAGAATGTTTTAAAGATTACTTAAAAGATGGAATTCACAAGTTTTTAATTGATTATTATATGAAAATTTTATTCACTGAATTGTTGATTAATCAGGCGTAAAATTTGCTTTTTAATGAAAATCTGCTTGGGTATTTGAAATTTTTGAGATATTGAAGTTTTAATTATGGTCGCATCGGTAAATTCTCGCAATAGGCATGAGAGTTTATGAGTTACGTCACGTCCTTTATTTCTCATAAAATGATGACCTAAAAGAGCTTTTTTAAAAGCTTCTTTTGAGTGTTGTAACGTAAGCCTCTACGCTACTTACGCAATAAAATCTTTTTCCTCAAAATTTCTCCCGAAATCACGTGACACAATTGATGAAACTTTTAAGCAAGGAAAATTCTTCTTTTTTTTCTTTTGGATCGGATAGCTACATAATAACCGCGATGTAAACATTTCGAGACTTTTCGATAGCCCAAATTGAAATTGTTCAAGCGAAAATAAAAAAAATTAAAAGTTCAAAACTTAATACATTTAAAAGAAAAACAATTGTTTTTAAAAAGTAAATGAGATTTAATTAAATGAAACTTAATGTGAAATGTTGATTGATAACATTTATTCGATTTTGTCTTTTACAAAAGGAGAAAATGAAGAAAGAAACAAAAATTTAAAACTTTATTTCAAGAAAAAAAGAAAACTTTATTTTCTATTTATTTCAGGTTGTTGAGCTGATGCCTTGTACATTAACTAATTAATTATACAACAAGTTCATTTTTATTTCAATTCTTCTGTCCATTAAAAAAACAAAAATCAATCCTCAAATCCTTGACTTTAATGATAAAATGTTTGATGTATCCGAGGAACCTGTACGATGAGTCTTTTAAGATGACGATAGAAACCACTGCCTAATTCAATAAATGGAATTCAATTTATTCCTTGCATATGCCGATGACGCCACAAGCAAGACGTGCCCCAGCATTGCCAGTCGACTTGCTCAATTCATGTCCGCCATCACCCAAATCATCAGGGTCAGCATGGACTACAAGAGTTCGTCCCAAAATGCTCAAGTTACCTGCCAATGCAATTTGTTTGTCTGATATGTCAACCTTAGCAACTCCACTGCTGTCAGCAGTGACATTGCCAAGATCTCCAGCATGACGAGTTGAATGATTTGGACCACCATGTTCTTTAGCGAAGGGGTTGAAATGCGGTCCTGCTGACATGCATCCATTCGTATTGTCGCCAAATTCATGAATGTGGAAGCCATGAAGACCAGGCTTCAATCCAGTTACTTCACCAGTTAATTTAACGGGCTCAGATTCTGACTAAAATATACGTAAATTATGCAATTACACTCAAGTGACCCCAGTGTCATGGAGATTAAATAATCGATAATTATCCATCATCGAAAACGACCAAAATTGAAGGTCAAAATTTTAACTTACACTTTGATTGAAGTAAATTGTTCCTTTGACATCTCCAGCAAGTACACAAACAGCTTTTGGCATCTTTAAAATATTGAATTCTTTGGAATGTTCTTATTGAAATTTCTTGACAACTTGATTACGAGAAGTTTCCGATTTTTGCACACCGCACCAAACAAATTTTCAGAGCCTCTCGAAATTCTGGAAGGCCACTAGGTCAGTCGGACAATTTGTAGCAATTCAATTTACAATCTTGAAACTTCTTACTTTGTTTGTAAACAAAAACTTGACACAGTAAGAACATTCTTATCAATGAACACGGAAAATTGCTGTAGAATTTGTTTAACTGAATATTACACTGGCTATAATTTACAAGAGCACAATGGGGAATCAACAATACATGAGATGATCAAAAAAATTTGCCCTGAAATTCACGTGAGTTTTTATTATTAAAAGTTGATTAAATTTTTAAATATTTTCATTTCTTTCAACACAAGTTGGATGGCAAACCTGATCAAATTTGTATTGATTGTCTTACACAATTGAAAACAGCTTGTGATTTCAAACAAAAATGTGAGACATCGGATTCATTTTTAAAAAACATCAGTTTAGAGAGAAAATTTAAAATTTTCGACGACACTGAAGATGCAACAATCGATGATTTCATCGACACAAATTTGTTTGATCAAGATCTCTTTGATGCAGATTATATAGAAGATTTGAAACCGGATTTTGATAGTTTGGATCCAAAAACCGCAGCAGAATTTAGTGGGAGTCATGAAGAAAACAAATTAAATCCTGTTGATCAGCAAGTGCCCGCCATACAAGAAAAACGAAAGTTTTCGAGAAGTCAATCCACAATATTTAAATGTAGTTTGTGTCCTGAGAAGTTCACCTTACCCTCAAAACTTATACAACATTCCAGATATGTTCATAAAAACCTCAAACCATTCAAATGCAATTTTCCTGACTGTGGCAAGATTTATAAGCTTCTTAAAGCTTTAAAAGTTCATCAAAAACTTCATGAAAATGTGCTACCATTCAAATGTGATGAGTGTCAAGCTAGTTTTCATGTTAAATCCAATTTATTGGCACATTTAAGGACGCACACTGGTGAAAAATTCAAATGCAGCTTTCCAAATTGTAACAAATCATTCAACAGCATAAATTATCGAAAGCAACATATTGAACTACATGCTCTCACTGAAAATGTATCACAACAGTTCGTATGTGTCATTGTAGAATGCAAAAAGTCATTTCATGACAAAGAATCATTACGATTGCATCAGATATGCCACAAAGAAAAGAAATTTGATTGTGAAATTTGTAAAATGAAATTCAAAACCCGTCAATCTTTGAAAATTCACCAGTTAAAGCACACAGACATTAAACAGTTTACATGTCACATCTGTGGTGTTCTGTTTAAGTACAGAAATCAATGTTATGATCATGTGAGAGCTCATACTGCAAAAAGGGAATTTGAATGCTTTCATTGCTCGAAAAAGTTCATTAAAAAAACATTGCTTGCCAATCACATGCAAACTCATTTAACTGTTCGAATGTTTAAATGCAACGAATGTCACAAAACTTTTAAAACCGACAATTGTCTTTACAAGCATCGACGACGACATCGATTGATTATTGGAAAATTTCTATGTGCATTTTGTGATAAGAATTTTACTTCAAGATCTGATCTCACTAATCATGTACGAACTCACACACAAGAAAAGCAATTTGCTTGTCATTTTGAAGGTTGCCAAAAAAATTTTATTCACAAATCAAATTTAAATGTTCACATCCGTTCGCATCTTGAATCTGAAGGCTTCAATTGTGATTTATGTGGGAAAAATTTAGCTAACTCCAATGCATTGCGCAATCATTTAAACCGAGTGCATAAAGCGGAAAAGAAATTTGGATGTGAATTGTGTACATTGAGATTTGCGAGTATTCAGCTATTGAATATTCATTCTGAAATTCATAAACCGAAAAAGTTTGGCTGCTCTATGTGTAATCGTCGCTACAATTTTGCTGCTGATCTTGAACGTCATGTATCGAAAATGCATCCACAGGTGGATGAGATGAAAGACGAATGATAATTTTAACGGTGATTTTGATTTTGAATCAATTGTAGATCAAGGCTTTGTAGATAAACCGTTGTAGATAAAAGATTACGGAATAAAGAAGTTCTAATGATGAAACATAAACAAAATTTTCTTTAAAAGCTTTTAAAAAGTAGGAAAATTAAGCATCAAACGATGGAACAGAATTTATTTAAATTGTGTAGAACATGTGGAAAACAAAATTTTAGTTTCTGTAACATTAATCACGAAGTAGTGAATAGATTAATGAAATTTATTCCATTTCTGGTAAAAAATAACGAAAACAAACACCGAATTTATAGTTACAAAGTATCATTTATTCCAGCTTGACGCAACAGATCAATCACTACCGTCTGACGTCTGCATTCAATGTTATCAAATGATAAAAACGCTCGTCTTTAACATTGAAGGAATCATGGACATGCAAAAAATTCTTAAAATGCAAATTCCAAGCCAACATATTCATATTGTTTCTAACAATGGTAAATCATCAACAGTTAATCCCGAGATTGTAATAAAAGCTGAAAAAAGTAAGCGAATGCTTGTCGAAGATATAGCAAAGAAATATACAAACATTAAAGTTCGTAAATTATCGATGGAAAATTCACCATCAAAAACAAACTCGCCGACGCCGATTGCCACACCAAAAATTCCACCAAAGACTCCAGAAAAATCACCTATAGTATTAATTTCCGATAGTCCTGACGATACTCAAAAGCGAACGCGATCATTTATGTGCATTTCATGTAGTGAAAAGTTCCAAAAATTCACCATTTTAGAGTCTCATCTTAAAGTCTGCAAAGCATCATCAACACAACAGTTAAAGTGCTTCTGTGGTGAAATTCTTACATCAAAAGAAGATTTAAGTACTCATGTTAAAATTAAACATAAGCAAAACAAACAAGTTTCCAAATGTGCAGTTTGTAGCAAAATTTTCTCGACTTTATTAGAACTGCAAAATCATCTCAAACTCCACAAATCTCCACCGAGAAGTTCGTTTCTTTGTCAATTCTGTAATGGAAAATTTTTCGATCTTGTAACACTGAAAGAACATCGTGATAAATGTAAACAAAGATCAAATGAATGTTAAAATAAACTAATTTTAAGTGGAATGATTCTTTATTGAAAAAAAAAATTCTCAACATTTTTCTTATTAAAATCTAAAACGCGTTGCACTCTTTGACACAAAAATTCTTTCTGGACGGATTAAGGTTCAAGTAACTTAATTAATTATTTAGATATTTGAATTTTCTCTTTCTTTTAAAAGATGACAAAGGTGCCGCGCGTTTATCATTTCTAAGTCACTACAATTATTAATTTAAGCAAACAAAAAATATTAGATTAAGCTTTAGTGATGCCATGAACGAACAAGAGATTCTAGTTTACAATCTATCATCATAAGTTTCATTTTTTACTTGAAATTAATAAAAATTTGTAAAAAAAGAAATATTAATAAATTCTCAGGACGGTTGCTTTTGAGATTCATAAAATGTCTTTGAACTTTCGTTACCAATCCGACAACCACCATTGTGATGTGATGTGCGATAGGAAAAGAAAGAATAATTAAAATTCTATTCTATCATATTGAAGAAAATGAATGAAAAAATCATTCCAAGCAGCATTGTGAGAGCTAAACCAATTCCAGATGTTCCAACAATGAAAGCACGATCGCGAATAAATCGCGTTCCAATATCAAGGCATCCATCGTTATGCACATTAATTAATGTTGGATTGTCTTCACAAGGTTTGTACACATTCGGGCTGATTTCTTGACAACATGTGCGCGGAATTCTTCCAGACCAATCACGGAATGTTGTCACACCGCAACATCTCAAACGTGTTTGTGTCAAATCCCAAGCATTTGTGACTTGTCGACGTGACTGATAAAGTCTAATTGATTCCGTCATACTTTGTCTCATCGTCAACTCAACTTTTTCTCGAAAGACATGACAAATTATGCCACCGATGAGCGTTGTCACAAACACCAAAAATACCAGAATGAAATACTATCGTTGAATGGATGAGAAGAAAAGAAAACGAAAGTTAAACAATAAATTTACTACTTCTATTTAAATAAATAAAAAACCATGAAAATTAAGGTCATTGTCACCGTCAATGGAATCGTTGGATCATAATTGGAGTGAAACAACTTAAAACAGCGCGCATAGTACGAGCTCTTTATAAATTATAAATGAAGTGAATGTGATTCAAGGTCACGGTCGGCAGAAGTTGAAAATACTCTCATGATGAATGAGAGAAGTGAATTGAGTTGTTTACGAAAATGTAGAAGTAAAAAAAGTCGCGCGAAACTCTTCCGGGATTTCAGCAAATGTTTCTTAACTTAATTTGCAACTTACCGTAAGCAGCATAAATTTAACTTCGCGAACAGCTCCGAAGCATCCGAACAAGGCCAAAAGGCAGACAACTGCTGATGAGATGGCAAGAACATAGAGAGCTCCAGTGAATAAATTCGTGCCGTAGAGTTCACTTAAGAAGTTACGATCAATGAGCGTAATCATACTCAACACAAAGACACCAACGCCGCAGAACTATATGAAGGGATTAGAACCAGTTTTAAGAAAGGTTCAATGAAACTTTCAAGTTCAAGTCGTTTAGGTACTCACGAAAATTATCACATTGCTCACAAACATTCCATATTTAACGAGTTGGCTGCAGAAATCCATTCGACCACCGACACCCATGATGATTGACTGTGAACATAATTAAAAGTAAAATAGTTTTGTAATAAGACTAATATTGAAGCTTGTAATTTTAATTTAGTGAGTTTTGCAATGTTGAAAATTATTTTGCCATGGCAACCGACAAACAAACTTTTCTTTGGTGAACTGAAGATTACGAAAGAATTACAAAAGATTTTCCGTCCGTCATAACATTTCATTAATTTACACTTCTTTATCATTAATTAATGGCCCTTTCCCTTAGTGAGCATCCGCCCTGATTACGTCACCTTAAGTTTCACTAACACTAACAACCTTCAGGTGTGGATCAATGGAATCATCGTTAAACTAAAATGTTTGATTTTTTCTTCTTTTCATTAGTTTTGATTAGTTCATTTCAATTAACTCTATGGGGGATGTTTTGCATTTAAATTATCAATGAAGGAATAAATTAGAATCTTAGTACAAGGTTTCAATATACGCATGTATGAAATGACTCAATGAGTAACGTAATTCATCTTAATTATTTTTTATGCTTAGGAATTTTTACTGGAAAATAAAATTCACTTAACTCCACTTACTTTAATTACTTTAATAAAACTTTTAACTTTTCTCTAAAAGGCACTGATTACTTTAAAGTAAAATGAAGAAAGTTGAAATAGAAACACTTTTTGGAATGATGTCGAAAATAAAATAATTTACAGACGCAGTGAATTTACACAAATCAACAAGTTTGCAAGTTAATAGTACGAATGCTCGTCATGTAACGGACAAATTTTGTTTGGGTTTAATCTTCATATTTTTTTTGACTTATAAATAGGTTTAAACTTTCTAAAAGAATTTGAAAGACATAGATTTTGAATAGAATTTGTCAAAGAAGCATTTCATTAAGCGGAAAGTGAAAAACTAAAGAATATTCAAATGCACAGACTTGGTTTGTTATAAGATTCTTAATTTGAAACTCAACGTCAATATTTGTCGGTTTACAGCGACTTTATTGTCTTTGCGGTTTTCAACAATTCCAAACAAATTCAATTAAAAAATAATTTATAATTTAAAAACCATATAAACAATTTGAATATTAATCTCAAAACATGCCGACATGGCCACAAATGCAAAGTCAGCTGAGACATCCAAACAATCCTGTTGTAAGTTTAATGAAATTCTTTTAATGTCAATTTGTTTTGTTTACAAACGTTTTGTATTTTTTAAAAGGTTTTTTTCGACATAAGTGTAGGCAACACCGAGATTGGCCGAATAATCCTTGAACTGTTTGCTGATGTCACACCAAAAACAGCTGAAAACTTCCGACAATTTTGTACAGGCGAACATCGTCCGAATGGCGTTCCAATGGGCTATAAAGGTTCAAGCTTTCATCGAGTTATTAAAGATTTTATGATTCAAGGAGGTGATTTTGTACACAGTGATGGAACTGGCGTAGTTAATATTTATACAGGAAGTACATTCCCTGATGAGAACTTCACTCTGAAACATGACACAGCAGGACTTTTATCAATGGCAAACAGTGGAAAAGACACAAATGGATGTCAATTCTTCATAACATGCGCTAAATGTAATTTTCTTGACAACAAACATGTTGTTTTTGGCCGTGTCATCGATGGCTTACTTAATGTGAGAAAAATTGAAAATGTTCCCATAGGATCCAACAACAAACCTCGTCTACCGATCTCAATAAGTCAATGCGGTCAAATGTAATTGTCAACACGAATTTTTTCTTTTTTATTAAAATTTCTCCAAACGTAAAGAATTAAAATTTGGTTTTTTCTTTAAATAAACATTAAATAACACGACTTTGGGCTTCAAGAACATGACTTTTTATCGCAGGTGATCCATAACGTTCCTCCGCTTCATCGATGAAAGCTCGCTCCATTTGAAGTACCAGTTGATCGAAAAAGAAATTTGCCAATTGTGAGTGGATTGCTGATTTAAATTGAAACGCGACAGCAAAGTCAATAACACAAGATTGTGGAATATCTTTGACGCCAGGAGAGAAACGCCAATGATTGAGAAGATAACTGAATAATCTACCATCGTTACACTCAGCTTTGACTAGATTCGGCCTGACGAGTGTTACATGTGACGTGTATTTCTCATTCAGTGGAGGAAATCCTATAACAAGATCAGCTGTCAACTTTCCATCTTTCTTATTATAAACCATCGATTTTTTACAAAATGGTACAAATTTGTAATAATTTTCAACATCCGCCACTACTGTGTACATTTGCTCCATTGAGTACCTAAAAATACATATAAAGGAAATAAATGAGAATTTTCAAGGTCTTAAATAAAACGCGCGTCTAGGAAAAGAAACAAAATTCATTCTTAAAAAGAAATTTTTAAGTGTTTCAAGGCCATTGAAAACTGACCCGACTAACTGCTTTCCTGTAAACTCGCGGCGTTTTTTCATGTGTGTTATGGATGAGAAGTCAAACAGGTTTCTACTTGTATGATGAATATTCCTCCTGGATCTATGAGTAATTTTTTTATTAAAGTTAGAAAATATCAAAGGTCGAAAAAATATTAAATAACTCTTTTCTTACAAATTACTTGACGCTGAAGATGAAGCTTTTAAGATGATCCGAAAGCTTAGTGGTAGATAACTTGGTGCCATTACTTCTAAGTCCTTAAAATTAATGCTTTTTAAATTAAACTAAATATCTGTCCGTCGATTTGTTATTGTTCGTTACAATATTTTATACTTCGTTAGAAAGAGGTTGAAGTAAAGTCTTACAAATACTTCCTCCGTTATATCGAATAATTAGTGAAAAATAATCAAAATAAAAATTTTTGAGAACAAAATATGAAATTACTCGAAAAATGTTTAATAAAAAGTTTAGTTCTTTTGACATTTATTCAATTAGCTGCATCCAGTGCCGGTGACAGATCGCCATATTATCACAATTGTGTGCATGATTGTCTTAAACAGAAATGTCAGAATAGTAAGTTGAATTAAAACTTTTCACAACACTTCTTCTTGTTAAACAATTTCTGACTTTCAGATGTCCTGTTGTACAAGAAAGGAATGGAAGAATCTTTCTCTGATCATTTGATTGAAATTTGGAGACATAAGAAATTTGATGTCAGTTCCTTGGAAAATTTAATAACTTGGAATTGTAGAGATGAATGCAAATATCAGTAAATTAACTTAAAAAATTAATAAGAAAGAAGTGAATTATGAATTAATTTTTTTTATAATTTTAGATGCATGCATAAAACAACTGAGGCTTTCATTGCAAGAAAATGGAACATTCCACAATTCCATGGCAAATGGCCATTCGTTAGAATTTTATATTTGGCAGAACCTGCTTCTGTGATCTTCTCAGCTCTCAACTTCTTCTTCCACTTTCAAGGAATAAAAACTTTTCGACAAAAAGTTCGTCCCGATTCACCTTGCTACAAACTTTGGCATGCATTCTCGTTCATTTGTCTTAACGCTTGGACTTGGTCGATGGTTTTCCATGCTCGTGACTTTCCCATCACAGAATTCTTTGACTATGTCTTCGCGTATTCAATGGTCTTGGCTTCGTTTTGGTGCATGGTTTTAAGGTATGCGATGTCTTGAAAAATCCCTTTTAGACAATTAGAAAGAATTAACAGATAGTTTTATTAACCAGAGTGATCCACGATCATGGCAAATCAAAAAAGTTATCTGGCTTTGTAACTTTAATTTGTGCGCTGTTTTTCCTCAATCATTTTGCTTATCTCAGTTACAACACTTTCGATTATTCCTACAACATGAACGTCAATATTTTCACAGGAATAGCGGGTGGTGTTGGTTGGATTATTTGGTGTTTATCACAGATTAAAAGACGAAAATATGTTTGGAAAATGTTGCTATTTGTGGTTCTTGCGCTTCTGACTATCACGTTAGAAGTTTATGACTTTCCACCAATATTTTGGATCTTTGATGCTCACTCGCTTTGGCATCTTTCATCAGCACCAATCACGATTTTATTTTACAAGTAAGTTCCATTTTAATTAACATTTATTTCAGCTTTAAAGTTTTTACGTTTTATTCAGATTTATAATTGAAGACTGCATACAACTTCGTAAGGAACAAGATTATTCTGATGACAAGACGAAACTTCTATAATTAAATAAAAATTCTATGTAAACATTTGATCAACTTCTAGTCATACTTTAGATTTTAAATAAAATTATGAATAATAATTAATTAAAAATCTTTTAAACTAATCAATGAAAATCTTTTTCAGATTCATTTCATTAAAGACCAAGAAAACGTATAATTAATAATTAATTAATTATCTTAAAGGCTCCAACTTTACTTATTAAACTAGTTAAGAATTCATATAAGGCAGCGAATCATTATCATCCCGAATGTGGAAATTTTATCAGATTTCATTCGTCTTAAATAGAAAAATATTCGTTTTTATTAGTTGATAAACTTTACTGTCACATTTGATTAGTCACTTTTATCACCAATCACAACTCGAATGATAATCTGCTTAAAAGAGAACGAGAAATTATTTTTAACCGAAACAGTTTTTGATTTGCCTTTGCTGAGTGAAGTTTGAAGTTTTGTGCTGACAGCTAAAAAATCATGAAAGCGACTTACGATCCCAAACTCAAAATTTGGAGTGGACCGAAATGCGATCCGATCTACAACACAAATGTCGGCTTAGGATATTTGATTTTGAATGTTCTAAAGATGACACCGGAGAGAATAACTCAAACGTCTGCTGACACAAATGTCGAGCTGACGTGTCACGAGATGCGAATCAGATCAATGAAGATTGCCAATTACCTGAAGAGCTGTGGCTTCAAACAAGGCGATGTCGTGGGTCTCATGGCATCAAATAGTGAAAACTTAGCTCCAATCGTCTTTGCTTGTTTCACTTTGGGATTGCCAGTCAACCCACTGGCGCCAGTGATGACAAGCGACGATGTTGTTCACATGTATTCGAAGACGAAGCCAAAAATAATTTTCTGTGACGGTGATCTTGTTGGAACAGTTCAAGAAGCTGTTGATAGAATGAAAATCCAAACAATCGTCCACACTTTGATGAAGAAAGTTGTCGGATATACATTTGTTGACGACATTTTGCTGTCTGATTTCAATGAAGATGATTTTGTGTAAGTGAAAAGTTTTCAAGGTTTATTTATTCAGTTAACTGATAAATTGTTTCGTCTTTAAAGTTTTCCTGAACTCAACAACATCGCAAAGTCAACTGCAATGATTGTATGTTCATCAGGCACAACTGGCCTACCCAAAGGAGTTTGCAAATCACATGAACAAATTATTGTTCAAATTTTTCATGTTTGGAAACATAATTCATGCAAACAAGAAATTCTTTTAACCTTTTCAAGTCTTTATTGGTTAACAGGCGTCATAGTTCTCATTAATGGAACTTTGTATGGTGGCAAGCGAATCATAACTGCAAAGTCATTTGAAGCAGCACATGCAGTTGAAATAGTTAACAAACATAAAGTTTCGTTTCTCTTTGCACCACCATCAGGAGTTACTGCAATGCTTCAAATGAAAAATTTAAAACTATTGGAACATCTTGAAATTTTATTGGTTGGTGGCTCGATTGTGTCCAAGAAACTTTGCGATGAAATGCAAAAATATCTTCCAAATGGGAAAATTTGCAACATTTACGGAACAACTGAAGGAGATTTTCTTTCAAACTCATTCTATTATCAACGTTCCGGAGCAGTTGGTTTGCCACTTCCAAATACACATTTAAGAATAATTGATGAAGCTGAAAACTTTCTCGGACCGAATGAAGAAGGCGAATTAATTTACAAGACTCCCGTGGTTTTTCTGGGATATTTCGAAGAACCAGATAAAACCGAAGCGATCATGAAAGATGCTGAGAATGGTTGGCTGTATTCAGGCGATCTTGGATATTTTGACGATGACGGTTTTCTTTATATTGTTGGACGAAAGAAAGATATGTTGAAGTATAACGGTTATCAGGTGAGACTGTAACTGTTCTTTGATAGATAATTGGAACAATTTTAATGCCAAATTTAACTGACAGATTGCACCTTCAGAACATGAAGCATTAATTGATGGAATCAAAGGAGTTGCCAGTTCTTGTGTTGTTGGAGTTCTTGATGAAGATACTGGAAACGACATTCTTTATGCATTTATCATCAAAGATCGATCAAGAAATGATTTAACTGAAGAATTCATTCTTAATTATGTCAACAACAAAGTTATCGATGCGAAGAAACTTCGAGGTGGAGTTCACTTTGTGGATTCCTTCCCAATGACTGCTTCTGGGAAGATTCAAAAGCGAGAAGTTCAAAAGATGGCTGAAAAACATTTTAAAATTAAATAAAAAAAAATATTTTTCTTATATTTGACACAAAAGAAAGTTTTCTAATATCAAAGTCGTTGAATGTGTGTAATAAAATTAATTTGATAACTGCAGAGAACAGACACAGATCAGAGTATTTATAACCATGACTACAGCTTTCCTTATCTTATCTCCTGTACTTCAAAAATTCTTTTGTCATCATCATAATTACGAAGCACTTTATCATAATCGAAAAGCTATATAAAGAGCTTGAAGATGTAAAAACAGTCTTGAATTTTTTTTCTTTCTGCCAACATTAAGAATTTGCTTTCGAAAAAATGATGCACACATCGTACGATCCGCAACTCAAGATTTGGAGTGGACCGAAGTGCGATCCGATCTACAACACAAATGTCGGCTTAGGATATTTGATTTTGAATGTCCTAAAGATGACACCGGAGAGAATAACTCAAGTGTCAGCTGACACAAATGTCGAGCTGACGTGTCACGAGATGCGAATCAGATCAATGAAGATTGCCAATTACCTGAAGAGCTGTGGCTTCAAACAAGGCGATGTCGTGGGTCTCATGGCATCAAATAGTGAAAACTTGGCTCCAATTGTCTTTGCTTGCTTCACTTTGGGATTGCCAGTCAACCCACTGGCGCCAGTGATGACAAGCGACGATGTTGTTCACATGTATTCGAAGACGAAGCCAAAAATAATTTTCTGTGACGGTGATCTTGTTGGAACAGTTCAAGAAGCTGTTGATAGAATGAAAATCCAAACAATCGTCCACACTTTGATGAAGAAAGTTGTCGGATATACATTTGTTGACGACATTTTGCTGTCTGATTTCAATGAAGATGATTTTGTGTAAGTGAAAAGTTTTCAAGGTTTATTTATTCAGTTAACTGATAAATTGTTTCGTCTTTAAAGTTTTCCTGAACTCAACAACATCGCAAAGTCAACTGCAATGATTTTATGTTCGTCAGGCACAACTGGCCTACCCAAAGGAGTTTGCAAATCACATGAACAAGTCATTGCACATCTCCACCCTATTTGGAAATATCATTTACCTTCTCAAGAGGTTTATTTCAACTTTTCAAGTTTGTATTGGTTGTCAGGAATGTATTTTTTAATTTCTGGAACTTTGTATGGAGGGAAGAGAATAATCACTGCAGAACAGTATGAAGCTGACTTAGCAGTTGTATATTTGGATAAATTTAAAGTAACAACATATTTGAGCGCCCCATCAGCTGTTTCGACAATGCTGAGAAGTAGGAAAATGCAGATATTAAAACATATCAAAGCATTTTCAATGGGTGGTGCAATTGTGTCGAAGAAACTTTGTGAAAATTTGCGGTCTTATTTACCTAATGGAAAGATTTTGGTTGCTTATGGAAGCACAGAATTTGATTTCGCTACGAACTCCAAAAGGCGTCAACGTTATGGATCGGTAGGTCAGACAAATGAAAATGTTCAAATGAAAATAATTGACGATGCTGGGAAGAGCTTGAGACCAAATGAAGAAGGTGAAGTCGTATTCAAAACTGAAATTGATTTTCCGGGATATTATGGCGAACCCGAATTGTCTAAAGCTGCAACAGATAATGGTTGGATGTATTCAGGTGATTTGGGATATTTTGACGATGACGGTTTTCTTTATATTGTGGGACGAAAGAAAGATATGTTGAAGTATAACAATTATCAGGTGAGACTGTAACTGTTCTTTGATAGATAATTGAAACAATTTTAATGCCTATTTTCATTGACAGATTGCACCTTCTGAGCTTGAAGCAATGATTGACGGAATCAAAGGAGTTGTCAGTTCTTGTGTTGTTGGAGTCCTTGAAGAAGATACTGGAAACGACATTCTTTATGCATTTATCATCAAAGATCGATCAAGAAATGATTTAACTGAAGAATTCATTCTTAATTATGTCAACAACAAAGTCATTGATGCAAAGAAGCTTCGAGGTGGAGTCCACTTTGTTGATTCGCTTCCAATGACTGCTTCTGGAAAGATTCAAAGGCAGGAAATTCAGAAACTCGCACAACAAAAATATTTTCAAGGTGGGAATTAGAAAAAAGTGATCATCGATTGTTAGACATTTTTTCTTGGCATTTATTTATTGTTAATCATAAATAGTCATCATAGAAATTAAATATTTGCATAGAGATCTACCGCCTTGTAGCAAGCTACATATTTATATCACTAAGTGTTGAATTGATAAAAGCGTAACAAAAACGTACGTACGTAGCTGATTCGTACTACGTGTTTTTGTTACGCGTGTTGTTGATAAAAGCGTAACAAAAACGTAGCTTATACGTACTACGTGCTGTTTTGTAACACGTGTTGTCACGAAAATCTTTTTCATAACAATTTCTGAAACTAATGAAAAAAACCTTTAAGTAACATTTTCTAACGTCATACTTAAATAAACAACCCGATAATTTTCCTGGATTTAATAATTTTTAAACCAAAATTGAATAAACATGTGAACTTACATAAATGAATAATATTTACAATAAAAATAAATTAATTGGCTGACAAATNGGAATAAAAACTTTTCGACAAAAAGTTCGTCCCGATTCACCTTGCTACAAACTTTGGCATGCATTCTCGTTCATTTGTCTTAACGCTTGGACTTGGTCGATGGTTTTCCATGCTCGTGACTTTCCCATCACAGAATTCTTTGACTATGTCTTCGCGTATTCAATGGTCTTGGCTTCGTTTTGGTGCATGGTTTTAAGGTATGCGATGTCTTGAAAAATCCCTTTTAGACAATTAGAAAGAATTAACAGATAGTTTTATTAACCAGAGTGATCCACGATCATGGCAAATCAAAAAAGTTATCTGGCTTTGTAACTTTAATTTGTGCGCTGTTTTTCCTCAATCATTTTGCTTATCTCAGTTACAACACTTTCGATTATTCCTACAACATGAACGTCAATATTTTCACAGGAATAGCGGGTGGTGTTGGTTGGATTATTTGGTGTTTATCACAGATTAAAAGACGAAAATATGTTTGGAAAATGTTGCTATTTGTGGTTCTTGCGCTTCTGACTATCACGTTAGAAGTTTATGACTTTCCACCAATATTTTGGATCTTTGATGCTCACTCGCTTTGGCATCTTTCATCAGCACCAATCACGATTTTATTTTACAAGTAAGTTCCATTTTAATTAACATTTATTTCAGCTTTAAAGTTTTTACGTTTTATTCAGATTTATAATTGAAGACTGCATACAACTTCGTAAGGAACAAGATTATTCTGATGACAAGACGAAACTTCTATAATTAAATAAAAATTCTATGTAAACATTTGATCAACTTCTAGTCATACTTTAGATTTTAAATAAAATTATGAATAATAATTAATTAAAAATCTTTTAAACTAATCAATGAAAATCTTTTTCAGATTCATTTCATTAAAGACCAAGAAAACGTATAATTAATAATTAATTAATTATCTTAAAGGCTCCAACTTTACTTATTAAACTAGTTAAGAATTCATATAAGGCAGCGAATCATTATCATCCCGAATGTGGAAATTTTATCAGATTTCATTCGTCTTAAATAGAAAAATATTCGTTTTTATTAGTTGATAAACTTTACTGTCACATTTGATTAGTCACTTTTATCACCAATCACAACTCGAATGATAATCTGCTTAAAAGAGAACGAGAAATTATTTTTAACCGAAACAGTTTTTGATTTGCCTTTGCTGAGTGAAGTTTGAAGTTTTGTGCTGACAGCTAAAAAATCATGAAAGCGACTTACGATCCCAAACTCAAAATTTGGAGTGGACCGAAATGCGATCCGATCTACAACACAAATGTCGGCTTAGGATATTTGATTTTGAATGTCCTAAAGATGACACCGGAGAGAATAACTCAAACGTCTGCTGACACAAATGTCGAGCTGACGTGTCACGAGATGCGAATCAGAACAATGAAAATTGTCAATTACCTGAAGAGTTGTGGCTTCAAACAAGGCGATGTCGTGGGTCTCATGGCATCAAATAGTGAAAACTTGGCTCCAATTGTCTTTGCTTGCTTCACTTTGGGATTGCCAGTCACCCCACTGGCGCCAGTGATGACAAGCGACGATGTTGTTCACATGTATTCGAAGACGAAGCCAAAAATAATTTTCTGTGACGGTGATCTTGTTGGAACAGTTCAAGAAGCTGTTGATAGAATGAAAATCCAAACAATCGTCCACACTTTGATGAAGAAAGTTGTCGGATATACATTTGTTGACGACATTTTGCTGTCTGATTTCAATGAAGATGATTTTGTGTAAGTGAAAAGTTTTCAAGGTTTATTTATTCAGTTAACTGATAAATTGTTTCGTGTTTAAAGTTTTCCTGAACTCAACAACATCTCACAGTCAACTGCAATGATTGTATGTTCATCAGGCACAACTGGCCTACCCAAAGGAGTTTGCAAATCACATGAACAAATTATTGTTCAAATTTTTCATGTTTGGAAACATAATTCATGCAAACAAGAAATTCTTTTAACCTTTTCAAGTCTTTATTGGTTAACAGGCGTCATAGTTCTCATTAATGGAACTTTGTATGGTGGCAAGCGAATCATAACTGCAAAGTCATTTGAAGCAGCACATGCAGTTGAAATAGTTAACAAACATAAAGTTTCGTTTCTCTTTGCACCACCATCAGGAGTTACTGCAATGCTTCAAATGAAAAATTTAAAACTATTGGAACATCTTGAAATTTTATTGGTTGGTGGCTCGATTGTGTCCAAGAAACTTTGCGATGAAATGCAAAAATATCTTCCAAATGGGAAAATTTGCAACATTTACGGAACAACTGAAGGAGATTTTCTTTCAAACTCATTCTATTATCAACGTTCCGGAGCAGTTGGTTTGCCACTTCCAAATACACATTTAAGAATAATTGATGAAGCTGAAAACTTTCTCGGACCGAATGAAGAAGGCGAATTAATTTACAAGACTCCCGTGGTTTTTCTGGGATATTTCGAAGAACCAGATAAAACCGAAGCGATCATGAAAGATGCTGAGAATGGTTGGCTGTATTCAGGCGATCTTGGATATTTTGACGATGACGGGTTTCTTTATATTGTTGGACGAAAGAAAGATATGTTGAAGTATAACGGTTATCAGGTGAGACTGTAACTGTTCTTTGATAGATAATTGGAACAATTTTAATGCCAAATTTAACTGACAGATTGCACCTTCAGAGCTTGAAGCATTAATTGATGGAATCAAAGGAGTTGCCAGTTCTTGTGTTGTTGGAGTTCTTGATGAAGATACTGGAAACGACATTCTTTATGCATTTATCATCAAAGATCGATCAAGAAATGATTTAACTGAAGAATTCATTCTTAATTATGTCAACAACAAAGTCATTGATGCAAAGAAGCTTCGAGGTGGAGTCCACTTTGTTGATTCGCTTCCAATGACTGCTTCTGGAAAGATTCAAAGGCAGGAAATTCAGAAACTCGCACAACAAAAATATTTTCAAGGTGGGAATTAGAAAAAAGTGATCATCGATTGTTAGACATTTTTTCTTGGCATTTATTTATTGTTAATCATAAATAGTCATCATAGAAATTAAATATTTGCATAGAGATCTACCGCCTTGTAGCAAGCTACATATTTATATCACTAAGTGTTGAATTGATAAAAGCGTAACAAAAACGTACGTACGTAGCTGATTCGTACTACGTGTTTTTGTTACGCGTGTTGTTGATAAAAGCGTAACAAAAACGTAGCTTATACGTACTACGTGCTGTTTTGTAACACGTGTTGTCACGAAAATCTTTTTCATAACAATTTCTGAAACTAATGAAAAAAACCTTTAAGTAACATTTTCTAACGTCATACTTAAATAAACAACCCGATAATTTTCCTGGATTTAATAATTTTTAAACCAAAATTGAATAAACATGTGAACTTACATAAATGAATAATATTTACAATAAAAATAAATTAATTGGCTGACAAATGTAGACGACAAATGTCAGTTAAATGATAGATTATTTTCATCAAGGAAATTTCCTACTTTAGGTGACTTCGATAATGTTCATGTCAACAGAATTAAAGATTTTATTTAATACATTTGCTAAGATAATATTTTGATCAAACTTTTGCTTAACAAAATATTCAAGATCATCTGAATACATCCAACCATTATCAGATTTAGATAACTCAGGCTCACCATAATATCCGGGAAAATGCTATTGTAATGCTAACGTATTCATTATTTTTAAGCTCTCTTATACAAATAAGTTTTATACACAGTCAACTGTACTTAATAAAAATAATTGTATAAAATGAATATGCAATGTAATCATGAAAATCTTATCTCAAAAGAAAATCGTGTAACACGCGAACATTTTACGTTAACTTTAATCTCTTTCTTTATAATTATTTGTACATATGATATCTTATCAGAATGACTTCATAAATAAGCCACTTCAGCATTAATCAAGATTTTTTTATTTCCTTAATCATCTTCATTTATAAGTGGAATTACTTCGTTCTATCTCTTAGTTCGTTTGTGATTTTTTCCAGTACAGTTTGTTGCTTTCTCATATTTAGATATGAATTCAAGTTACGATCCCAAAATTAAGATTTGGAGTGGACCCAAATGCGATCCGATCTACAACACAAATGTCGGCTTAGGATATTTGATTTTGAATGTCCTAAAGATGACACCGGAGAGAATAACTCAAGTGTCAGCTGACACAAATGTCGAGCTGACGTGTCACGAGATGCGAATCAGATCAATGAAGATTGCCAATTACCTGAAGAGCTGTGGCTTCACACAAGGCGATGTCGTGGGTCTCATGGCATCAAATAGTGAAAACTTGGCTCCAATCGTCTTTGCTTGTTTCACTTTGGGATTGCCAGTCAACCCACTGGCGCCAGTGATGACAAGCGACGATGTTGTTCACATGTATTCGAAGACGAAGCCAAAAATAATTTTCTGTGACGGTGATCTTGTTGGAACAGTTCAAGAAGCTGTTGATAGAATGAAAGTCCAAATAATCGTCCACACTTTGATGAAGAAAGTTGTCGGATATAAATTTGTTGACGACATTTTGCTTTCTGATTTCAATGAAGATGATTTTGTGTAAGTGAAAAGTTTTCAAGGTTTATTTATTCAGTTAACTGATAAATTGTTTCGTCTTTAAAGTTTTCCTGAACTCAACAACATCGCAAAGTCAACTGCAATGATTTTATGTTCGTCAGGCACAACTGGCCTACCCAAAGGAGTTTGCAAATCACACGAACAAATTATTGTTCAAGAGTTTCCGAAATGGCATTTTAAAGAAGCTTCTCAACAAATTTCATTCAACTTTTCAAGTATTTATTGGTTATCGGGGTCTTGTTTCCAAATAATGGGAACTTTATACGGTGACAAGCGTGTGATAACCTCTGAAAATTTTACACCAGAATTAGCAATTAAGTACATTGATCGGTTCAATGTTTCAATATTCTTCTCACCACCCTCATCAATTGCTGAAATTTTGAATTGCAAAAGTATGAAAACTCTCAAAAGTTTAAAATGTTACATCAGTGGTGGCTCGATAGTGACAAAGAAAATGTGCGAAGCATTGTCGAGCTTCCTTCCGAACGGAAAAATTTCTGTTGGTTATGGAAGTACGGAAGCTGATTTTCTTGCGTCAGGATTTAAAGGTCAGCGCTTTGGATCGGTTGGCTTAACTGATGACAATGTTCAAATTAAAATAATTGACGATGCTGGAAAAAGTTTGGGACCGAATGAAGAAGGTGAAATTATGTTCAAAACTCCAATTGCTTTTCTCGGATATTATGGCGAACCTGAATTAACTGAAGAAGCTGCAACGAAAGATGGTTGGATGTATTCAGGTGATCTTGGATACTTTGATGATGATGGTTTTCTTTATATTGTTGGACGAAAGAAAGATATGTTGAAGTATAACAATTATCAGGTTCTTATTACACTATTAACAATGTTAACAAATTTGAGAGTGAAAATTATTATCTTTTGCAGATCGCACCTTCAGAGCTTGAAGCATTAATTGATGGAATCAAAGGAGTTGTCAGCTCATGTGTTGTTGGAGTTCTTGAAGAAGATACTGGAAACGACATTCTTTATGCATTTATCATCAAAGATCGATTAAGAAATGATTTAACTGAAGAATTCATTTTCAATTATGTCAACAACAAAGTCATCGATCCGAAGAAGCTTCGAGGTGGAGTTCACTTTGTAGATTCCTTCCCAATGACTGCTTCTGGAAAGATTCAAAAGCGAGAGGTTCAAAAACTCGCAGAGAATAAGAGAAAATGGGATCAATATGCAATGAAATAAATCAAATCAGTTTTCATTTCAACTTCAAGAACATTCAAGATTCAACGCAACAGAAAATTTGACTCAAATTCGTTGTGAGTTTTAAATTCATTTTTGATGACTAGTTTTTTTTCTCCGACATCTGAGTAAACAAGCTATTCGAGTCTCACAATTTTGTTTTTCTTTTAAATACTTAAATATCTATCTACAAAACAAAATTATTTAAAAAATGATTTTAGTGAAATTGAAATTCACTCAAAAATTATTTCAAAAACCAGAGTTTTGTTTTAAATGAAGTTTTATTCAAAAGGAATTGAAGATATCAAATTACAAAACAATTATTCCCCCATCTGTTTTTTTCACGTCAGCTTTGGTGTCATCTTTCAATAAGTTTAAACTTTTCTACTTAATCGTCCAACAACTCTTCGCTTGAAAGGTCTTCAATGCTTTCAAATTCCAATGAATCTGATTCAAAATGATCTGGTTTTGCTGCTGCTACATCCAACAACGCAATAATGGAAATGATTAAAAAGAATAAAATGTATGTTAATCTCATCTTTTCAAGTTCTGAAATTCAACTGAAAGTTTCAATTTTCAATTGTATTAATGTTGATCGATTTCACATTTCAGCCATCGACTGAACATTTGTTTAAATAAAGTCACATACACACGAACAATAAACTATTGAAAAGAGAAATTCTCAGAATAAGATAAAAAAATATCTTAAACTTTAAATGTTCTGATATAAAATATATTTCGTCAAACCAAACGTCCTAAAATAACAAATAAATGAGAGATATGAAAGCTATCAACTTAAAAGCTCGGATTAGATTAAACGGATTAAACGGATTAGATTAATTGTTGATTCCGCTTCTAAATTTTAAGAAAGTGTTTTACTTTTTCTTTCTTTTTCTGTGCTATTATTTAGATTAGTAATTTCTAGAGTAGAAATTTGAAATTTTCTCATGTCCGCTCAATAAAAAATTACCAAGGGTTGCCAAGCTAAACTTCCATATTAGTTGTCAACCAATTCCTATAAACGCATGATTTCTTTCTTCTCCAATCCAAATATCTAAATAAATCATTCAAATTCTCATATTTTTACTAACTTATGCAAAAATTATTAAAATCACGAAAACCAAAACATTTCTATGTGAAAAGAAATTAAAAATAAAACAAAATACCTATTTTTAAAAGAAAGACAATCATTATAAAATATTTTTCAAATAAAGTTTCATTCGAATAACTGAAGGTATCAAATTTCAAAATATTTATTTCCGTCTCTGTTACTTTCACGTCGATTCGGCGTCAGATTCTAGAAGTCGGTAAGTTCTCCCATTCACTTATCTTGAAAATCCAATGAATCGGGTTCAGATTCTGCTTGTGCAGATTTCTTGTCAAACAATGTAATAATATCGAGCAGAGTGAAGAAAATGTGTGCTAGTCTCATCTTTTGCAGATCTGAAATTCAGCTGATAGTTTCTTTTTATTTAGGATTAATGATGATCATTTTTCAGTTTTGCCGTTTAAATATAAAAATTTCTGTTGCTGTTTAACTGTAGTCACAAACTTCCAAATGAACGGAAAATTTACTAGAAAATGAATTGGAAGAGACAGAAAGACATAAAACCAGGATAAGATTAAAAATGTTTGTGATTGAGTTTATGATATTTCAGTTTACATTCAACCGATTTTTATTAATTCTGTTTTTGAGTTTCCATTAAGCAGTATAAAGCTGCTGGTTTAAGTTACAAGAGTTTCTTTATTTTGTGTGTTTTTCTCGTCATTTATTAGATAATAATTATCGTAAGGATTGGCAAGAGACGATTTTTTGTTTTGCTGATTTATATTTTGTAACATTACATAAACTTTGTATGCTTTTATATATTTATGTTTCAGTGCATTGTCTCGTTATTTAAATATGCTATCTTATGTGTCAAATACATATTTATTACATATTAAGCGACGAATAGCAACAGAATTTTTGAATCTAAATTTATCAATTTTTTTCTCATTTGTTTCTTGCTAAAAAGTTATTGTCCTTAAAATTTTAAAGAAGATAACAAACAGCTTTTCTAGAAAAATTAAGTATAAAAAGTCAGAAATGTCTACAAAATTATTATCATCATCTATGTGTGGAAAACATTCTTCTCATTTAGGTCAACAAATCGTTTATCTTCCTGTTTTCTTTGCTTTTAACATTTATGTTAAGAAGATTTATAAAAGTAATTTTAAATTAGAAATCTCTTCTAATCATCTGACGAAATATTAAAAATTAAGTTTCGAGCTAGAAACTTATACACAACTTTGAGTTTTCCACATTTTTCACAAATTTTTTATTACTAAAATGTTTGTATCTTCATTGTAAAGATGCTTTGATAAATAGAAACTAAATTAAAAAAGATATGTTCTTGTTACTTTAGCGGTTATTAATCGCTTTATAATATTGCTTGAAAAAAATAAATTTCTACCAATTCTGCGTGAAAGAGAAGCTTACAATTTTATCTTTAAAGATGACAAGTTTTAAGTGAGATAATCAGGTGAGAATTTATATTATGATATCTAATATTTATGTAGCTAATGCACGTATGAAATATAATATTTTTTAATTTGTTTGTCAGTTTGTTTGTGTTCATAAATATTAATATTCATTGTTATTTATACTCTACAAACTATCACTACTCGCTCTTTGCTGAGTCATTGTATTGACACTGTTATTAATGATATCAAAAGAGATTCAATTATGGAATCTTCTATATTATTTAACATTCATTACAGTTATCTTTCCGGAAATAAACATTGTCATCTACTGAAATAGTTTTTGCATAAAGTGGTTCATGTGTCAGTGTTAAGCTCCTCTAAGAAGTTCTTCGTGTTTACTAGAAAAATTAACATGTTGTCAAAAGTGTTTCTCTTTAACTTTGGAAAAGAGTTGAAAGGAAATAAGTATCTTGTTACTTTCATAAGATTTAACATCAGAATTTTATTTTATAATTTCGTAGTAAAGAAAAGAAAAATTAGGAAGATTTCCTTTCTATCAGATTTTGTTTTTACAAAAGATTTTCACCGAGTGGTTTGAGGTACTATTTAAAAATGCATTTATCAATATTATTGTTGTTGTTTTTGTTATACATATATTAGATATAAGCTCACAATTACGTGAAGTTTCTATTAAGTTTATACTTAGTAGGGGTTAGAATTCAATCGGTTTGATTTCTTATTTATTTTATGTAAACACCGGATTTACGTTTGATAAAAATATCAAGTTTGATGTCGATAAAAATGATAAGCCCATAATTATGTACAAGATATTTTCGAAAAATCGTTTCTTTAAAATTAAAGTAAAAAATTAAAATGGCAAGGACGAAAGTTTTCTTTTAAAATCGAAAGTGTTGCATACTTTAAGTACAAATAAAAATAGTAGTCGTTGAAGTTAAATTAATAAGTTCAATAAATAAAATAAAATTAAAATCCCATTCACAGGAAATCGTAAACGTGGAAATAAAATTATTTAACCAAAATAAATTAACAAAATTTGTTAAGTTGTTAAGCTGCAATCGAAGATGTTGGTCAATTTTATTTTATTTTTTAATTGTGCATTGCCCGTTTACCCATCATGTAGCCTCTCCATCGATCTGCAGTCTGTTGATATGAAACAAACATTATTAATATCTAGCATTATAAAGAAAATATTTTTAATTTATTCACCTGAGAAAAAATTGGATCTTCATCAATTGTTGCCAATAATAAAAGTTGATTGACATGCGTCACATGATAATCCCATCGAGCTATATTCGGCGCTATCCCCAGACTAAAGTGTCTCAAATCGTAAACCGAGCCCGAACCCGTATCAAAGATTGTCAACATTTTCTTCAACGAATCCATTCCTTGATCAAAAAGAAGTCCAGCTTCCTTCCCGCCTTTGGTTTTTGGAGCGATCTGGTGGAGATCGTAAAGCCCAAGAAGTGAGTATATGAAGCCATTGAGTACAAAGGACGGTGGTGTTGTTGGATATTCTTCATACCATGGAAGAATTCCCATAAACTTCGCTAACACTCCACCTTGAGCCGAAGCCACTTTAAATGGCTTAAGTGCATTCACAGCTGCTTTTAAGTACTTTCTATTTCCACCAGAATGATAGAATGCTCTTGAAAGGAGGGAAATTGCATGGCCTTGACTCATTGCTGAATACCACCCTCGAGGAAGATCCTCAAAGCCTGACGCGAGTCTTCTTTTCACAGGAATGGCCCAGCCACCTGTCGATTGATTTTGATGATGCACAAACCATTCAGCAGCATCATAAAAATGTTGAATATGTTCCGATGTCGAAAGTGTTAAATTATCAAAAGCACCAGAGCCAACGAAAGCTATTTTAATGACTTTCAACTCACTTCGTCGCATTTTGAGCTTACGATTCGAATACAAAGCCACAACTCCTTTTTGCACATCGATGAAAAGATCTCTTGCAAGATGTTTCCATCGACTAGCAGCATTCATTCCAATGCCATGATAAATGTTTGCGTCTTGTACTGTTATGGAAACATCAGCGACAACATAATGCAAATAATAAATTTGTTGTGATTCACGATTTTGTATTGTCACTGTGAGACTTGAATTTGTTCGAAAAAACACATCAACACTTAAAAGGAGATCAAGGACATGATCCACGTCCAAATATATTCCATTATCAAACTGATTGTATGTGGTGAAGTTGACGATAGAAGTATGATTGACAGCGATGTTCCTTGTGAGGCTGCTTTCCTTCGGAATTATCCAATTTGATTGATTTGATTCGCCATCTTCGATAACTTTCCTTGTTGGTTCCGGATCTGTTAAGTTCTTGCTGTAATGTGAAAGACCAAATTGGGCAATTTGTGTTGCATAAAAATATCCTTGACTTTCCCATTGTGTTGTGATTGGAACACCAGCACTTGCACTTATACACTTCACACGATCACGAACTTCAACGTTGTAGTTTTCGAAGTACATGTAAATGCCTTTTGAATCGTAAATGCTGCGAGGAAGATTAACTTTGCCATAACTATGATTCCAGTCAAAGTGAGTAATACCATCGATTGAGTTTAATGATCCATACACCTCGAAATACTTTTTAATGAACGTAAAAGGTAAATAAACTTCATCGCCTTCACGTCGACAGCCAATTGAGTACTCTTGATTTATAACACAATCAATTTCGACAGCTTCCATGCTTTGATAATGGCTTGCTACAAATACATAAGAAAAACAAATATGTCAAAAAAGTTTAAAAGGGCTTTGATAAGTTTCACACTTCAAACGATTTATTTCACTTTGTTTTTTTTTTCGTTTTCTTTGAATTGATAAGAAACTTACCATAGAATCTTTTTGGGAATGTTCTGACCAATTCTCCACATCGACTCCAAAGCATTAATGTCACACATGTTACCATCAAAATGAGACTTGTTAACACGTATTTCAGATTTAATCGCATCATCACCAGAAAGAGGGTTGTGTGGTGCTGCTGCTTTTAAAAATTTCGAAAACAAGGAAATAAAACAGAATATTAGACAGTACCGATAATGATGTCATGCAAGAGAGGAGAAAAGAGCGCTACTTATATTGAAAATAAAAATGTATTTTTGGAGTGGATGATGATTCTAAAAACAACATAAGACATGAAATCCGCACTAAGGAAATGAAAAGAAAGATTATGTGGAAAAATCGATCAAGTTGGGGCGTAAAATGAAATTTCCATGATATTCCTAACTTTATAGATTATTATTTAACGGAACCAAAGAAATTCAATTAGCTCTCATTATTCATAAGAATTTCTTTGGTCATGCTTCAAATGAAATTAAATTTAATTTTTTACGCAAAAATGTTTCTTTACCTTTTCGCTCGATTGCGAGCTGGAATATACTATTTTCGTCATTAAAACGACAGTGGACTGATAATCTTTATACTCATAAGTGTAGTAACATCACTTTCTATTGAGTAATAATATTTCTGTTTTCCAATTCCATATTTTTCAGATTTTTTTTATTTTTGTATTTTGATTATATTGATGGCGTGCAAGTACTACCTAGTAATGAAATTCCACAAACATACTTTTATACCCTCAGTTTTTAAACTACTAAGAACAAACACGAGATGTCACTGAGAAATTTTCTTCCTTCTCTATCTTCGTGTTAACAAACAAGCAAATTTCAGTTGACGCTGCAATTTCATGTAAAGAGGTTGACAATTAGTGACTTTCAAGAAATTTCAATAAAAATTGTTAGAATTTGATTCCTTGGATTAAATCAAACGTGAGTGAAAAATTATGTACATTAGTAATCATAAATTAATTTACATTCATTCATTTGAATCACATTCATTGTCTTAATGCGTTTCTAAGAAATTTTCAAAAGAATCAATGCTTACTGATCGAAAAACTAAAACAAAGATGCTAATTCTAATTCTTTTCAAGGACTTTCTCTCATTTAAAATTCTTTCAATAACTTATTGTTCAGTTCAGTACTTTCTTAGATGCACACATGTTTTTAAGAGTAAGCAATAACTGTTAAGCATTTCATAAACTGCAAACAAATGTAGAATGGTTATGTAACATAACACCGAGATAGTAAAAGGAGATTCTTTGTTTTATTAAAACTTTATTTCGTTTCTCTTTTAAGATTTCATTTTGTTTATATTAGCGTAAATATCATTTTTGTTTAGATTTTATTCTACTAAGTGTCTTCTTTTATTTTTTATGTAGAGACAAAAATACTTCGAAAATGAGTTCTGATGGAAGCAATCATTCTTTTCCGCGTGATCACTTTTCTAATGGACGCGTTATCTCTTCTTATGGTCACGATCACTCTTCAAATGGTCGTGATCTTCCTTCTAATGGACGCGATCACTCGTCTAATGGTCGCGATCACTCTTCTAATGGTCGCGATCGTTATGCTGATGGACGAGGCCGTAGAGGGGGAGGGCATAGCAATGGAAGAAGTGATTCTAAACGTCCAAGAGACGAAAGTGAAAGTGGCCCATCACACAGACCTGACAAAGTTCAGAGAAACGGCAATCAACGTGGTGGTGGGAGGGGAGGAAGAGGAGGAAAAAGACGTGAAGAATTTTTCAACCAAGCTGAAACACGCCCCAAAAATCTCGAGTCAAAAAGCGGAGAAGCGGAAGGACAGAAGAAAGTTTTAGTAAAAGCAAATTACTTTCGAGTCCGTAAAACTGGAAATTTCAATGTGACATCTTATCGTGTCGATTTCGACCCGGTAATTGAAATTCCATTTGTCCGTAACAGCTTAATTCGTGCTGTCAGAGAACAGATTGGAAACTACATCTACGATGGCGCCAATCAAATCTATTTAACAAAACCTTTCCAGCAAAAAGAAGTTCAATTTGAAAGCACTTCAGCAGAAGGACAAACAAACACCATCACCATTCGTAGTCCTCGTGACATTCGATTCACTGAATCGGAGTTTCTTCAAGTAATGAATCTTGTTATGAAATCAGCAATGCGAGGTTTAAACTTGCAGTTAGTCGGTAAAAACTTATATGACGCTGCTGCAGCTGTAAGTATCAAAATTGATTACCTGATTCATATTTCCTTAATTCATTATTTTGTTATTTAAATAGACCACAATTCATAACTTAAAACTTCAAATCTGGCCCGGCTATACTACATCAATTCGTCAGCATGAACAAGACCTTCTTTTGAACTGCGATATCAATCATAAATATATGAAACAAAGAACAGCATATGACATTATCAATGAAAACAAGAGAGATCGAGATGTAGCTACGAAAGAAATTATTGGTAGCACAGTTCTTACTGATTACAATAATAAAACGTATAAGATAAGTGACATTGATTGGACACAAAACCCTTCATCGACATTTGAAAGACGCGATGGTCCTTGCACTTACATCGATTATTATCGACAGACTTATAACAAAAATATTCGTGATCCTCGTCAACCACTTCTCATAGTGAAAAACAACAAACGAGCAATTAGAATTGGACAACCGGAACTGATTTCTTTAATTCCTGAACTGTGCAGAATCACGGGATTAACTGACAGAGAACGAACAAACTTTCACATGATGAAAGAAATTGCACAGGTGACAAGATTATCAGCTCGCCAAAAAGTTGATCGTCTTGAAACTTTCAACAAACGGTTGCAGCAAACGCCTCCATCAATTGAAGCTTTTCAACGCAACGATTTGGTTCTTGATCGGCAGCTTGTAGAATTAGAAGGACGACAGTTGGCAGGCGAAATAATTCATTTGGGCAGAGGAGCTGAATTTAATTTAAATCAGGGAAGGGACATTTCCGACTTCACGAACGCGCTGCAGAATGGAAATCATATGTACAAATGTATGAAACTTACTCAATGGTATTTTGTTTATCCACAACGTTCTCAGAATAGTGCTCGAGATTTCTTAAATGTTATGCGAAGAAGTGCCATCGATATGGGAATGGAGATCAGCAGTCCAACTGAAGTTCAATTACCTCGTGATGATAATCGAACTTATGCTGCGGAATTAAGAAAAATTCTTTCAAACGATCCCAGATTCATTATGGTCGTCATGGACAACAAACGAGATGACTGTTACAGAACCATTAAAACATCAACTTATTTGCAAAACAAATTGGTTCCAAGTCAGGTCGTTACCAGAAAAACTTTGGATCATAAAAACAAACGATCAATTGCAACAAAAGTTGCTATTCAAATCAACTGTAAACTCGGTGGAATACCATGGAAAGTTGATTTGCGACTTAAGGGTAAATAATTAATATTAAATTAAATGAACTAAAATGAATTTAACAGAAAACATTTCATTAATACATAGGCTTAATGATTGTTGGCTTTGATATCTCCGAAACGAAGGGAAGACATTCTTATGGAGCTATGGTTGCTTCTCTTGATGCTAACAATGATGGCGGACAATATTTCAGTGCTGTTAATGAACACAATAATGCCAATCAATTGTCAACTGATTTTGGAAACAATTTCATGGCAGCATTGAAACAATACATGAATGATAATGGAGCATTGCCAAAACGTATTTTGATCTACAGAGACGGAGTTGGTGATGGTCAAATTCAGCATGTCCTTGACCAAGAAGTTAACGACATCATGGGAAAGGTCACAAATGTATACAGCCAAGTTCAAGGATCAGGTGAGCCTAAAGTTGGGTTTGTCATTATCAACAAACGAACCAAAACAAGATTCTTCAAGCCATCTCCGAGGAATCCAAAAGACTTTGAAAATCCTGGAGCTGGATTTGTTGTTGATAATGTTGTGACACTTCCAGAACGGTGAGAATAATTTTTCTTTCATTCAACTTTAATTTAATTTTACATTTTATCATTTGCAGCTACGACTTTTATCTCATCAGTCAGAAAGTGACTCAAGGAACGGTTTCTCCAACATATTACAATATTGTCCATGATGGATTCTACCCAGGAAGACCGCAAGTCATGCAACAATTGACTTTTAAACTTTGTCATCTCTATTACAATTGGAGTGGAACTACAAAGATCCCATCAGTGGTTCAATATGCAAAGAAACTTGCATTTTTGGTGTCACAAAGTCTTCAAGGCAGTCCAATTGTTGATAACAGCTCACAACAACTTTACTTCTTGTAAATGAAGCATTCAAGATTTTGATTTTATTTCTTTTTTATTATTGATTACCTACATTAATTATTAATTTCTCATGTTATGAGCATTGCAATTATTCACAAACATTTGTAATAACAATTTTCTTATCTGACATAAAATAAAAATATTTTTTGAATTTTAAACGTAAGAAATGCATCAATGGAGAATTTTTTTTCTGAAAGGATCGACACGTTCAACTGTAATAATAATTAAGTATCTGGGCATTTCATAAATGCCCCTTTTTAAACATTTCTTACCAGGTAAAGAATAATTTCAATGATTTTTTTCATATCGGAAGAGTTCAAAAACAACAAATTATCTGCTGTTGAATTATTTGATTATTTTATAATTTTTGTCAGGCTTATAAAACAATAAAACTTTACAATCAGAAGTTTTTTCATAACGTTCGTTGATAATCGAAAGGAATAATTTGAGATCTTCATGGAAAGTGATTTTCGTCCTTTTTTCGAACAGAGACGACGGGAAAGTGAGCGAAAAATTATCATTGGAAATCAACGGAAACTTTCGACGTAACGTGTCGGTCGTGAATTTTTTTATTTTAAAATTTCGCCATCGGACATAATTTCATAGGCAATCGGTGGAACTAAATGTTGAAGGAAGGTTGAAGTTTCGTGAATTGAATTGAGTTGAGTGGCGGATTGTAGGAGTTTTCATCATAAAACATGATCCGAAAAAAAGTCGTGGTGACATAGGGCTGGTGAGAGAAGAAGGAAACAAGAAAATTTTTTGGGTGTAAATCTGCGCTGACGCACAACGGAAAAAGTTTTCCTCGAGTTCTCGAAAAAATGATTTTTTTGTGTTTTCGCCATCATTGATTGTAATTGTACTTTGTGACATTACTACACATCCAGAGAAGGTGACAAAAAAAATTAGCAGCGAATAGTGAATTTAGAATCAGTTTCTAAATTTCATCCCTTTTCTCGTCTCTCGAAATCTTGCTCATTCATCGTCGTCTACACGAGAAATTTCCTTTCTTTTTGGTGTTCCCGTGAGTGTTTACCGTAGGCGGTGGGAAATGTGAAAAAGAAAAACGGTGAATAACTTGGAGTTGAAGCTAATCAGATAATTAAAACAACATAAGTAAATAACCCTTCGATTTAAAAGACTTCCAAGGTGTTGCTAGTTCGTACATATAATCAATTTAAAGGGCTTTAAATAAAAAGTAGAAACCGTCACTGTGTTCATCGATCTATTCATTAGAATTGAGAGATTAAAAAAAAAGAATCAAAAGTGCGAGATTGTCATCAAACTTTTTTGTGTCTGGATTAATCGTTCAATGTCGTCGTTAGGGAATTCATTTGAATGCCAGTCTTAAACAGGGGGAGGCTCAGGCTAGAACCCCCGAAAACGTTCTGTTGAGAAAATGTCGTAATGGCAAGAGAGGTAAGTTAACATTTTGACAATAAATGAATATAATAATTCAAGTGATAATAAAATGTGCAATCAGACATTTGGAGATGTGTGAAAATTCATTGAGACAAATTTTGAAAGGGAAAAGAAATAATATTGGAATGTGGGAAAACACATGGGAATCGATGATGAAAAAATTCGAGATTCTTATAACAAAGAAAGTTGACCTTTCTTAAGCGAAGACATGATCAATCGATGATATATTCAGAAGAGAAAAACTTTCCTCGAACTAACTAAAAATCATTTAATTTCAAATTAAACCTTCTAAATGAAAAAGGAAAAAGAAAATATTTGAGGATTATCATTGGTAATTGGAAAAAAATTATGTTCAAGAGAGTGGGAGAGAAAGAGTGTTGGAGAAAGAGAGAATGATGAGAATGGAAAAAGGAAAATTGAAATCCGCCCTATAGAAAAAGGACAAGAAAAGCTGGGACAAAATTATCATCGTACATTAAAAGTTTTTCCCTTTTTTTTCTTCGCTTGTTAATCCTTCACAGTCCTCTAGTAACAAAATGAAAATCAGATGAAAATTTATTTTAGATCATCATGATAAATGTTTTGAATTGACTTCATTTCCGCCAGCTTCCTTTTTCCACTTCATGATGAAGAAAGAAAAAAGAATAAAAAACAGGATCAAGAGGGATGAGAAAACGTTGGAAAATAATCGATATTTTCCTTGTGTGTGGTTAAAAATGAAAATGATATAAAATATCATGATCAAAAATCTTTATTTGTCACATTTTTACATTAATTTACTTAGCGATTAAACTTATAAGTCGAATTGATAGAATTTTATTAAGAATCAAATGCACGGCAGTTCATCAAAATCATCGCCCCAAATGAGAGACGATGAAAATTTTATCAGATAAGTGAGAAAAAGGTGTGTGTGAGATAGAAAAAGATTTTTTCTTTCGTCTACATTTTCATTGATAAACTGATACAAAAAGATGAAAACAAGAGACCGACAAATTTATTTATTTTGAACTACTTGAAAAAGTGAGCTGAGGGGCAAAAGTTTCAACCTTTTAAGTTAATTTGTATAGTAACTGAGAATTGAATTGGTTAACAATATATCTGAAATAAGATATTCTACTGTAGGGAAAATTCCCACAGCTTGTTTACTTGCGTGGTGTAAACGCAGACGTTCATTGAAGAAAGAAAAATATAAGAATGAAATGTCAAATCGTGGGAGGGAAATGATTCTAGGTTGATGAATTTATGAAGCAAATTGCAGAATCCCTTATATCTACGGATATTAAGTTCAAATGCTAATCATCCAAACGCCCACTAGATATTTTAAAGAAACGTAACTTCCTTCAATGATAATAAATTCAAATTTAATATTTATGTTGCTAAGTAGATTTGAAGAATTCTTTTGCATATCTTCAACAAAAATCATATGACGTAATTTTTGTAATCCATTCGAGAGCTTTTTTTTCATTGTAAATCCGTAAAGATAATACAAAAGCATATAATCCTGAACTATCCCAAAAGGCTTTTCTTTTTTCTCTTTCTCCCCCTCTGCCACTCTTATTTTTACATATCTAAATAGTATCAAAATGTCACGAGAGAAAGCTTTTCCCTTAGTTAGCTTTTGCTTTCCAAAGCTTTATTAGATGAGAAAAGAGAGAAAGGAAGAGGGAGAGACGAGAGGATGTTCACCAACACACATACAAATGCTTGAAATCTTTCATTTATTATCTAAATATATACTTGCGGACCTTGGTGGTGATTTTGATTGTATTTTCTTCCATTTATATGCATTGATAAATGATTTTTCATGCTTCAACATTCTCTTACCTCAGATGCAGTTTGATAGAAAAAGAAGAAATCATGTGAGTGAAGTAGGAAAAATATGTCAAGGACTTATTTCCTTCATTGGTAATTATTCTTAATTGATTGATAGAAAAGTTCAAATGTCGATGATGCTGCATCATCAATGACATGATGCTTTGAAACTGCTGACATAAAATTTTCTGAACAACATGAGAGGCTTTTACATGGTTCTGCTTTACACTCATTGCTTAACTACCTAAGATAAAAGTTATTTAATAATTGAAAAAATTATTTCACAAAATTCATTTGCTTTCCGTTGGTAGTTTATTAAAATAAAGGTGTTAGAAAAAATATATTTGATGATGTATGCAAGTACATAAATGGCATAATACTGCAAGCCATTCCTTTTTTCAAGTCAAAGAGTTAAAAAATGAGGTCAACGTTGAAAGAAATGAAGCTTATTGGGACCAAGTTCTGGAGTTTAGCTATCCTTGTATATTGTTGAGATGAACACAGCTACAGAGAATCAATGTACTTACTTATAATAAACCAATTCTAACATCGTATAATTTTTCCCCACTGAGAACGTTTCCATAAAATAAATAAATTAATCGCTCCAATTCTTTCGAGTGTCGTGATTGCACTTTTGTACTTAGCTTTCAAAGGAATAAATTTATTCTTAGAATCTGAAAACTCAAGGTACATAAAGAAATTTACGGAATCATAAAATTGCTTTCACAACTGAAGACAAAGTAAAAGAAGCGTGGGTGGGATATTGAAATCAGTATAGAAATAAAATTTTACATTTTCCTTTTATTAAATTTTTTATCACTAAACTGAAGGGAAAATATTCAAACAAAGAAGTCATTAAATGATATTCGATTTTTCATTTTCTTTCGCTGTGAAAAAGTTTCAGTCATTTGACAGAAAGGAGAGTCAAAGTTTGTTAAATTATCTACTAAAAGTTTCAAGAAGAAATTAATTTTGTCTTTAAAGAGATAAAAGACGAATAGAAATGAGACAAAAATTTATTGGTGAAATAAGATATTCTTCTCTTGAGATGATAAGGCAGACACAAAGATGATGAAGAAGAAGAGAAATGATTAAAGATTTATTAGGAAACAATAAAGAAAGATGAATTTTCTTTTTTAATTACTTATTTGATGCATGCAATCGAATAATTTCAGTCTCCGACGTTGGTTTTATTGTGTCAACTTCATTTTTTGTTTATATTTAGAAGTCTATCTGCTTAGTTGCATCCTTTTATACTTCCTCTTAATCAATAAATATCTAGATAACCAATTTATGTTATCATTTGACATGTTACAAAACTCAATCAAATGATTAACAACTACATGATGTAAACAGTCCCAGAGCTTCTATTAAAAGTTAAATGTTTGCTTAAAAGATTTCTACCTTTACGTTCGTTAAGAGTAGTTATGTTCATATTCATGATGAATCATCCAATGACTCAATAAAGATTAATAATTCACATGTAAACCATGATCTCTAATCTTTTGTAAACTTTCCAGTTTACATCAGCATGCATTTGATAAGAAAATAACTCCGGAAAATCAAAAGGTAAAAAGTTGGTTTTTTCTGGATAAAGTTAGGAGTAAAAATATTATTTAAGACAATTCAAACAACCTGCCGTTTTGAATCAAAGGTAAAGCAGAGAGTTGGATAGACAAATATTGTAAAACTTTGAATGTTTATCTATTCTGCTTAAATTCACGTAATTTCGTTCGATGATGAAAAAAATTCATTCTATGAAGGGGAAGTGAGATGGAAAGAATGTAAAATAAAATAGAAGCAATCATTCAGTTGACACAAAAACGAGAAGCATATTATGTAAAAATAAGGCTCGGCGTATAAAAGTGAGAGAGAGAGAAATTTTGGGTATCAACTTGAGAGGAAAATTCGATTCTGTTCAAGTTCTACTTCTGTGATCGCATCCGTTAAGCACACGAAAGCGCTTTTGTTGAGTGCTTTTCTCAGAGATGAAAACGAGGGCAAACGAGATATGAAGTTTAACGAAAGTCGTTCTTATGTATGAGCGAAGAGTGTGTGTGAATTTACGAGACAAAGCTTTCTGGAAGGCACTCACACAACGATAAGATCAATGAATGGAAAGCTTAGGAAATGAAGCTTTTTTCTTCTTCTCGGTCAGAGCCAGAAGGTTACTGCACTTTTATTCGCAATTGCACACAGGCTTTCATCGACTTCACAGTCAAAATTTTATTCACTTTTTCTGTTCCCTTTCAATTGAAGGCGCAGAGTTTAAGTGCCAAACCCAGAAATAAGTTTTTGTTGAACAATATTTTAATCGTCTAAAAAGTTTTGTGATATTTTAAACAAAAAGCTTTAAAAAAGAAATAAAATCGAAGTTATATCATTCTTAGAGAAAAGTTGATGACAAAAAAATAATTATTAGCTTGTGAATTGTATAGAAAACAAAGAATTGTGTAATTCAAATCGACCTCGAAAGTGTTTTCTTTCGTTTTTCTATCAAAAGTCTTTAAAAATTATTAAGTTTTCACTCCACTTCGATATCCTTGTAAAATTTTCCTGTATGATGAAAAAATATTGTGAAAATTTTTTCTCACGTCGATGTTAGTATGTGTGTGACGATGTGACCTATTTACTGTGAATGGATTAATGTTTCGTTATTTTGTGGAAAACGATACATTTTCACATAGCAGCATCATTCGTTAGTGAGTTATAGAGAGAGAGAGAGATAGGGAGAGAAAGGAAGAAAGGAAGGGAGAGAATGAGAAAGATGAACGAACAGAAAAGAGCTTGAAAAGAGAAAAGAATTTTTATTTGATACATGACATAAATAAGCTCGCCATAAGCTAGTCTAAGATTTTTGATAAGAGAAAACTTTCTCATAAACTATTGACGATTATTTGCTTTGGTCGAATGTATCCAACCAACCGAAAGCAACCAACACCGAAAGATGATAAATGGACAATATTTTTGCTAGAAAACTTTATGTAATAATAACTGTGATTAATTAAGCGTAAAAATTGTTGTGAGTTAGTGAAAGTTTTAATTAAGAAATAGTTGTGGGTAGATGACAATGTGGTCAACGGCTTTATGCACTTTAGGTGTCACTAAACCAATGAATTTATGTAATTGTCTCCATTTCCAACGCCATCAGCAGCATGGTGGTCAAACGGTATTGCATATTTTATAATCGATATTCATTTTCAATCATAGAAGATATTAAATGACGTAAGAAAATTTCTTTTTCCTTTTATCGTTGTTAGGAGTCTCGTGGAAAGAGACCTTTGAAAATTTGGGATAGTTGGAGAAATATCAGGAAAGGTCTCGTCGTTGGAAGCTTTGAAGAGTTAATTGTTAGAGGTAAGCAAAAAAGAAAATATTTGAATAATGATTTTCTTATAAAAATGTTTCATTTATAGGAAAAGATAAATTAGGCGTTCCTGCCTCGGAGCCCGTTCGATTGGTACTTGAAAGTGATGGAACGCAAGTTGAGGATGGGGAATATTTTCGTACGTTGGCAAACAACACAATTCTATTGCTCTTGAGGCAGGGAGAACGTTGGTACCCAACAGGTGTTGACGTCATCAAAGCTGGTCTGTATTAATACTAAAATATTCAGATATTTATGCAAATAAATGCAGCCATAAGCATACATCAAAATGTCATTCTAGATTAACTTTCTTCGCCTTTTTCTCTCTTTCTCACTCTGTCTGTCTTCACATAATTATTTTAGCAATATCTGCCATACCAAAAATCGTCTGTGAGACGATTCATGCCTTGGAACTTCATGATGAAACTCCATCTTGGAAAATCATGGATAATAAGGGAAGAGTCACCGTTGTTTTGCATTGGGATCAACGGCAAGGTCAGAGTGGGGGAACAGGACCGCCAAATGATAAGTTTTCACCGTCAAAAAAGGGTTTATCAGCCCAAAGTTCAATAGATAAGTCATCATCAGCACCGCAACGTTATCCAAGTCCACAAATAACTGTCATCAATCATGACGATCCATCGAATCTTTATCACTCAGGTCGACGTCTTTCGAAAGGTGGTGGATCGTTTGATAGCGCAGTCGGAGCTGTTCATATACATACACCAGAATGTGCTCATCACGCTCATACACCAACACGTGCCGGCAGTCCTGGAGCTACCGAATGTGATTTCCATTGTTGTGCATTACATGAAGAGGGTCGAAAGATTGCTGTACATAAAAACGTTGCGACATCACCCATTCAAGATGGATCTGGTAGTCCACAACCACCGCCAAGTTCGCTTTCCGATACGAATTCATTGCAAAGACGAACGCCAACAAATAAAGGACACGTGCGCTTTTTAGACATTGGGCCCGAAAAGGATAGTTCAGAGAGTGAAACAGAAAATACTGTCATGGAGGACGAGACGATAACGTCGGAAAAGTTCCTGCTGCTCATCGATCAATTATCTGTAGATCAAAAGCGTCATTTGAGCATTAAAGACATTGGGATTATTCTTGAGCGATTAAGCTCAAAGATTCTCGATGTTGAACGCCTCGATCGCGAAAGTGAATCGGACGATTGTTACAATTGGACAATTAAAGCAACGATACGTGGTGATGCACTTCGTGAATTAGGTGTAATTTATAATGGCAATTATTATGCAATATCAGAGCATCCCGGCTATAAGGAAGAGAATGAAGAGAACGGTGATGAACCTGAGGAAGAAGATGAAGATCGACTATAAGCTCAATGTTGTTCAGTTCGTTGCTCAACTAAATAATTCACGTAGCGTGGCTAATAAAAGTGAAGAAAAAAAATATAAAATTGATTAAATCATTTAACTTAGAGAAATGTTTAAAAAACGAACGAAAAAAAAAGATATAAAAAAAGAGTGAAGTGGACAAGCTCAATATTTATCGGTGCAGAAGACATGACTGAATGTTTTTATGTTGAGCTCGAAATGATGACGTGAAATTGGAAACATATGAAACAAACTTAAAAAGAAATAAAAGAAAATCAGAAAACTTTGAATACTTATAAAAATAGTTGCCATGAATTAAGAAAAAAAAACAGAAAATTTCGGCGATAAATTGGACTAAAAGAGAAAAACAAAATGAAAAAAAAAATAATTAATCTATCGAGATTGTGTGTGTGTGTCAAATTTTTGATTAAGCTGCCATCGCGAAATTTATTCGAGACATAAAATATAAAAACAAAAACAAAAAATAGTTAAGATTATAACTTACATGCAAAAATAAAAAGAAAGTATTGCAGTTTATTGAAAAAAAATGATGATGAATAAAAAAATAAAAGAAAGAATATATTTGCACAATTAGTATAAAAATTTATTAAAACATTGTTCATATAGTGAAAAATTAAAATAATTACATTGAAGAAGAATATTGAGGTATTACTAAAAAAGAAAAAAAAGTGTTGGTGTATGTTTTAATATTTTTATCGATGAATATTGATGCAAATTTAGAGAAATGAAAAAGTGGCAAAAGAAAAAAATATCATTGAAATTGAATGACGAAATTGAAAATTAATTGTCTGTTTTGAATAGCTTCAGGATGGAAATAATTTAATTAATTTTCCTTATTTTAGACTTTAGAATATTTTGGTATAGTTTTTTTAATTGAGCTTTTCAAATTTTCTTCCATTGTTACTAGAAAAGCTCTTTTTATGGAAAATTTAATAAGAAAACATTCGACCAGTACGTAAATCATCCAAGAATTCGAACTTTACAATTTTAAGCTAAGTAATTTCTAGTTCTACGATTAACGCAATTCTTCTTTTTTCGTTACTCTCTAAATATGAAGCTATTTGGTTCCTCAAATGAAATTAGTTTCAAATGTTATAATTTTCCTAATTAAAGTTAGATCCGTGTATAAAAAAAGTAACATATAAAAAATTAAAAATCGATAAAAATTAATTTTCTTCCATAAATATAAAATTCGTACGATTGTACGACGTTTTTTCATAGAATATTTGCAAAAGAAAAAAAATCTTTATAAGAAAAATATCGAGAAAAAAACTAAGATATAGAAGTTACATAAGAAAAGTAAGATTATGACATAAGTAAAATCTTGATTAAATCCACAAACTCCATTCATAGCATTCTCAAATATGTTTAATGAAGAAATGAGTTTCGATTATTGACCCAGCAAGTCATTTACCCTGACAATCTTTCAAAGTTTAAGTTCGAAAAGAAAGTTTTGATTTTAATTTGAATATAAAATGAGAAAAATGTTTCTAAAAACTTTGATTATTTAGATATCTATTTATATTTTCTCCCTGGAAAATGATGATATTTGCTTGATATTTTTGTGAGCATTTGATAAATGAAGAAAAAAAGATGAAAGTTGATCGTTTCATTGATTCAATATGATTGTTAATGACGACAACTAATTAAGATAAAGCCGTCGAATATTTTAACGATGACTATGAAGAATAAAAAACAGAGTAAAGAAATAAATAAATAAAAACTTGAAGAATTTGGATCGAAAGCTCTTTGAAGAATAATACTGAGAATTGTAATATTTGTCAGATGCACAAAATAATAGTATGAGAAATCAGTTTAAAAGAAAAACCAAAAAAAGAGTTTGAACACTATTATGTAGTTTGTTTAATGGTACGAAACAGCTGCAAAATACCGAAGAGTTCTAATTTTTTTTCTTATAAATAGACTAATTATAGAAGATTTAATCTAGTAAAATGTTGTTTTTAATTGTTGTTTAAGTTGAAATTAACCATTAAAAAAGGAAATTGTTGCCAATTTAATTTATTAAGCATTCTGTACCAGTTTATATCTCAATCGAATCTTTATTCTAAAACTTTAATTTATATCTATGAAAACGAATGAAAGTAAAGGAAAATATTCATGATCTTGAGTGTTGATTAGTGACTTTCATTGTTTCTTATTCAAACACTACTCACCCATCCCTCTAAGGTCAAATAAATGTCAATCCATCAGGATGAACCAGATACTTCAAGGTTAAAGGGTCATAATAAATATTCACGATAAACGAAAAAAAATAATAATAATAAAACCAAATGAAACTCCCACATTGTCTTTTGAAATATGAAGTAAGATAAATTAAATAAAAAATATTGTTGATGCCAAAAAAAAAACTAAAGGTAACAAAATCAAATACGAATTACTAATGAAAGAATTAAACTGCATGAAAAGATATTTTAAGAAAGCGAAAAATATAAAAAAGTATTTAATGTACCTTGCATTTTGAGTATTTTCAATGATTCTTGAGACATTTTACTTGAACTGCAATTGCAAGATCTTTTATTTGTGAAGTAACCTAAATTGTTAATTAAAGAACGGAACTGTAAATTATTTATAGTTATTAACATTTGTTTTTCATTCTAATGCTTTCATAATTAAAGCTCAAAATTAACTTTGTTGCCAAATTTTATTAAATGGATAATTTCCATGCTGCCAAAGATTTTGTGTCAGAAAAAGAAAATCGAAAGTTGTGAAAAATTCCATTATTTAGTCACTTAAAGTAAAAAACAGTATAAAAACTTAGGAAGGCTTATGATTGAATAAAAAATCTTCAATGTAAATTCCTAATCACTGCCCTGATTCCTTAACGAATTAAAACTGTGTAACATCAGTAAATGTATTTATTTCTAAGTTTCGCGAAACGATACGAGAACTCACTTTTTATGATAAAGTAACACTTTCATGATAATTTCAATTCTAGGTATTTGATTAGTGCGAAAAAAAAATTTGAGCAGCGTTGAAATATTTTAGTTCCATTTCCTGCAATTGCTGAAATAATTAATAGAGAAATTTTCACTCTGAGAGTAGTAGATTGGATATTGGAAGAGAAACTATGAAGTAATCATTTAAATTCAAAGAAAAAAGAATTCAACATTTTGAATAAACGGGTTAATATTTGAACACATTAAATGGTTGCATTTGATTGTGCAATTTGAAAATAAAGGCAACACAGAACTGCTTGAGATTTGACAGAATTTAAAGAAATTTGAATTGTGAAAATTGCCATCAAATATAAATTCGCATTTGTTGTGCATACAGAATTATTTTGATGAATTAATTATTTCAGAAAAGAAAACTTTCATCGAGGCGAAAAGAAATAAATTACAGAAATTATTGCAAAGCAAATAGTTTTAATAAAAAAAAATAGATTTGAACGAAACTCAAAAACTAATAGAGATGTCAAAATATGATGGAAAAAATCACAATTAGTAAAAAGAACGAGAAAAGGTGGAGAGAACTTTAAAGTATATTGAGGAAAAAAAAGCAAATGATGAAACCTAATGTTTTGTATAGAATATTTCTGTTACAATGTAAAAATTATTTAAAAAAAGAAAAAAACAAATAAATAAATAAAATTAATGCTTAAGAGTTTTTGAAATCCATTGATTTGCAATTTCAGGAAAGCTTTTGCTTGCAAGCTTTTCTTACAATTACGTTTTGACGTAATGACGTACGTTTCTCTGCTTAAGAAAAGCTTTCAGTGATGAAGAAAAAATTCTCATGACAGATTAATTCAATTTTTAAAAATTTTATATAGTTTTGATTAGTAAAAAAATAAAGGCACATAACAAATTTCATTCAGTAACAATTGAATAATTCATTTAACAAGGTATTGCAATCTTCTCCTTTGATTTATCTTTTTTCTTAATCTTATACCAAGGTCGTTTATCTTTTGACACTTTTACTTCATTCTCCTCGATTGTTTTTACTTTTGACGATTTCCCAGAGGGTGGAAGGAACATTTTGTACCACTTTTTTCTTTTTGATTTTATTCCCGACGCATCTGAGGAACTTTGATTTAAAAAGAAAGAGCTTTGCGATAATTTATTTCTGAATGATGTTGACTCTCCATTGTTAGAGTTATCATGAATGTTGAGCATCGAAGAAGCAGGTCTGAGTTTCGGTGGAGGCGGCATAATTCGCCTCTTTTCTTCCGGTGAAGATTTTTCTTCGAAATACTTCTGACTTGTCCTTTCAGATGGTGTGGGTGTTGGGGTATTTGTAAATTTATAATTGTGATCTTTATCGTAGAAATTCCCCGGAGTCGTCGGAATATTTACTTTCAAATTAATTAAACCTGCATCGATTTCAGTTATGTTTGCTCTGTTTCATAAGAAAATTTTCTAAGAATGACTTTAACTATAAATAAAAAAATTAAGTAATTACCTTTCCAATTCTTTTGCTGATCGTTTGACCTCAGTCGTTTCTTTCAATGATTTATCCAGCTTATCCCAAAAGTTGTACATCTTATTAACTTTATAGTATTCGAGTCCAAAGCAATATTTAAGCATTTGAGGCAACTGACATGGTTCTAAGAGACATGGAATAATTTTTCTCTTTTTTTGTTCGATTCCAAGAGCTTGAGCGAAGTTTGTAATAAAAAGTTGCATGGGACTTTTAAGAAAAGCTTTCGAAACGATGACAATCAGTCGATTACATCTTTTAGAAAGAAGATCCAGTATTGCTTCGCTTTCGAAAGACAATCCTCCAAGAAGATCTCGGTCTTTGGCACAAAGCGAGTATCCCATATTTTCACATTTCTCAATCAACTCAGAAGCAAATTCGACATCTTTGTCATTGTAAATCACAAAAGCATCGTATATTTTCAACGGTAATCCTTTTTCTCTTCGCTCCAAATCATGCAAAGTGATAATATCGTTATCAGGGTCAGCTTTTATTATCTCTAGAGAGCTTCTGCTACCAAAATCACCACAATGTGATTTCGATAAGAAAGCATTAGCGTCTTCAGCTAAAACAGAATGTACGAATAAAAAAATAGTATCGGAATGTTATAAAAGTGATAAAAAGATAACAATTGTTCAGATTTTTACGTCAGCCTTGAAATCGCTGATAACGTTTAGTATCAAGAATAAGCACAAATCGCACAAAACTTCAATTTAATCAGCAAATTGTAATTCCAAGAACTTTTTTTCTGACTAAATCAGGAATGAACGACTTCATACAAAACAAATTTTTTTCAGCGATTTAAGAAAAAAAGAAATTAAGTAAGCATAAATTATGATTCATAATCTCAAGACATTTACACCATTGAATTTTTATTACATAAACAGAAAATACTCACTGAATAATGATAATGTGTCGTCATAAATATCATAGCGATCAATGATACCAAACACTTCTTGCAGTTGACTCAAATTAACATCATTGTTGTTGTCTTTGGTGTGTTTAATCCAAATGTCAAATAATTTGTTTGTTTTATCTTGACTTTGAGAAATCAGAGAAAATTCTGATTGTGTCAGTCCTGACAAGGAAAAAACTCCTCGCCAATCTCGATAATATCCATCCTCAGTTACAAGAATTTTTTCAGAATTTAGCAGTAAAGACAATTTATTGCTGGATCGAAGAAATATAAATTGACTGAAACTAATTTCATTTCATTAAAATTTTTAATCTTACCGTGATTTTTGTCTTAACGCTTGTAATGGAACATCTTCAAAGTTCACACGAGGTTCAATTAATTCATTGCTTTTTCTTGATGTTGATTGAAAAGTCATTATTTAAAAATAAAATTCACAGCAATATTAATCACGGCAAAAATAAAATAGAAAGCAAAGCTCCCTCTCAAGCATCTTCAAATTTATTTACACTTGCTTCACTTGTGTCCGTCTGTCATTTAAGAAAAGCTTTGAATCGGTTATGGGTATTTATTTGAATTTTCCGTTAATTTCAACCGATTAATATTTACATGGATGTTCAGCGATGCGATTACTATACATACACAATATAAATATTTCCATTAAAAAAACATAAATCAAGAAGCAATAATGATGATTTATTACATAAAAATCTGATTGAAACAGTGCTTTAACATTTAAATTTTAGTTATTATATTAGGGTTGTAAAGGTATGTGTTCAATTTTAAGATAATACTATCAAATATTTATCTGCCGATTTTCACATTAATTTTTATTTCATTTAGTTTATGAAGACAGATATAACAACAAAGTTGTTTTACTAACTTGTAAGGGTGATTTTATTAACCTTTCAGTTTTTACTACACTTCATTTGTTGAAATTAATTGTATGTTGCGAAATGTTTCTACAGAAAAGAGAAGCAAAAGGTTAGACATTCGTGAAAAGAGTTGAAGTGTAATGTTGACAATTAAAGTATTCTCAAATAACATTGAATTTGATGACAGAACAAAAAACGTTTTTGTATAAAGGTCAACATCTCTGAACAGAAATTTTTAATTTCAAAAGTTTTTTTTGCTGTATTAATGACTTTTGAAAGAGAATGTTAGATGTCGATTTTTCTCTTAAAATGTTATCTTTTTTCATTCAAACTTTGCAAGTCATTATAAAGATTAAGAAATAAAATAGGTCAGCGTTTCCATTACCAGAATATTAAGTATTCTCTATATCTAACATACTAGCACACAAAATTTTATGCTTATCAAAAAGAAGTCTGGTACGATATCGTTTACACGTTTTACGATTCACGTGAAGTTTGAAGCTCCCAACTTAAAAGCATACTTGAATTAATAAGATTATCTCAATTTTCAAAAAGTTATTTATTTGAAAATTTTAGATCTTTTTTTATCATTCCTTTTTGCCATTTATTTGAATCACTTATAGATGATAATGTCAGCATTGATGAAACTTTATATCGAGAGAAATGTCCTGACATATCACAAATGGCATTACAGAAGCTTTTGAAAATATTCAGCTTCAAGGAGCTTAAAAGAAAATTTCCAATTCTCCAGTGGTTACCAAGATACAAAAAGTCCTTTTTGATACAAGATTTTATTGCGGGAGTTAGTGTTGGGTAAGCGAAAATAAAATTTATTCTACATTTAAAATGAATTTATTCGTCTGAATTTGTTTTCGTTTGTGATGAAGATTGACAGCAATTCCACAAGGTATGTCGGACGTTTAGTGTTTCAAAATATTTATATTTTAATTATAATTAAACATTCTAGGAATGGCAAATGCAGCGATAGCAGGCTTAGCTGTGAGTGTCAAAACTTTTTCATTCATTTATTGTAATGGAAAAATAATTCATTTTCCCATTTTTGTGACAGCCACAATACGGCCTTTATTCATCGTTTATGTGTAAGTTTCAAAAGTTTTCCCTTCTGAAATTTTAATTCATAATGATTTATTTTCTCAAGGTTGTTTTGTTTATACAATCTTCGGGAGTTGCAAGGATATCACAATTGGACCAACATCGTTGTTGGCACTTCTGATTCGATCTACAGTTGACAATTTGAATGTAGATTTTGCTATTCTGATCACGTTCTTAAGTGGTTGCATCATATTTACTTTGGGATTGTTTAACTTAGGTGTGCAACTTCAAATCACTTTCATTTTATGCTAAAACAATATTTTATTTATTCATTCAGGTTTTCTTGTTCAATTCATTTCCGCACCAACGATTACTGCTTTTATCACAGCAGCAGCTCTCATTATAGGAAGTGGACAGGTGAGATCTCTTTTCGGAATCAAAAGCACATCATCTAGTGAATTCATAAACGTTTGGATGAACGTGTTCACACATTTGAATGAGATCAAATGGACTGACACTTTACTGGGAATATTGTCAATAATACTTTTGTTTTCTATTAAAAGTTTGAGTCGTTTTGAGTCGTGGCCAAAGTTTGGTAAATTTCTCTCGCTAGCAAGAAACGCTTTGGTAGTCACAATTGGCATAATAATTGCTTACATTTTCCATCTAAACGGAATTGCTCCATTTCAACTGACGGGAGATGTCGAAGAAGGTCTTCCGCCTTTACAACTTCCACCGTTTTCAACAAAAGTAAATGAAAAAGTTTATGAATTCAGTGAAATGATAAAAGCAGTTGGTTCGTTATTGGCAACAATTCCATTGGTTGCGATACTTGAAATGATAGCAATTGCTAAAGCTTTTAGCAAGGGAAAAACTGTTGATGCAAGTCAGGAACTTATTGCTTTGGGAATGGTTAATATCGCATCGTCTTTTGTGTCTTCAGTTCCTATAACAAGTTCTCTTACTCGAAGTGCTGTGAACAATGCTTCCGGTGTAAAAACAACATTTGGCGGAATCTTTACAGGAATTCTCGTTATGTTAGCTTTAGGATTCTTAACAAAAACATTTTACTTCATTCCAAAGAGCGTTCTCTCAGCTGTTGTAATTTCAGCGATGATTGCAATGATTGACATTAATGAAATCATCAAAATTTACAAAACTAAAAGAAGCGACATGATTCCATTTGTTGTGACATTTTTAACGTCACTTTTGTTTGGTTTGGAATTTGGAATTGTTTCAGGGATTAGTGTTAACATTCTCTTTGTTATTTACAACTCATCACGACCTAAAATAACATTTGAAAAAGAAAAAATCAATAACCACGAAGTTCTCATCGTCACTCCATATCAAAACTTATTTTACTGCTCAGCTGATTATTTCAAATCCGTTTTCATTAAGTATTTGATGACACACGACTTTGAAGGTGAACTCATATTGATAAAAGGTGATTCAGTTGACGTCATCGACTCAACTTCTGCAAAGGTAAATTAATTATCATAGAAAAGAAAACAAAACAATTTTTTCTTCTTCCACAGATGTTCGCGTCAATTCCCACCGATGTCGTATTATTTGATAAGAAAATCTGCTTTTGGAACTGGAAGACAGAAACCTTTAACATTATGATGAGGCACAACCCAAAACTTTTTGTGTATTTTAAGTCTGCAAAAACATTGAAAGACCTTATCGAAGAAAATTATGAAGTTTAGCGTTATTTTGGTGTTTGAGTATTTTAAGTAAATAATAAATTGATTAAAAATAGAAAATGTTATCAATCGTATCGAAAATTAATGAGAAATTTAATATTATTTAAAGAAATTGTGAAACTCATTGCTTTAATTTTATTAATTTAATGACTCATAAATATCTATAAGCCTTAGAAATACATTTTTAAAACGCGTCCACTGTAATTTCACAAGTCTACAAAGCAGATTTTAAACACGATGGAGACACGATAAGATTTGTTCAAATTTCTATTTTATTCGGCCAGTTCAAAATTTTGTGCTTTTAATCAACAAAAGAAGGAAGATAAGACATTTATCTGTACATTTCACAATTTTTTATATTTTTATCTTGGGATTGAAATCTATTTTGATAACTTGATAAAAATGGTAAAAGTCTCATTTCATAGACAAATTTGATTTGATTTTGAAGAAATTTTTGAAATGGTTAGCACACATTTCAAAGGAAGTTTCTTAAACTGATCAAAAATGTCGAAAAAAGCACTGCAATTGACAACTTTTTCAATGATTCTGCACCAGAAACAACTCCTTCAATCCAGCTACGGAATTGACCAACATTGTGATATTGAATTTCATGAAGCGGTCCTGCACAGTTAGTAATGGTGATTGCGTTGATTGTTCCACCTTCTCCGCATATTAAAGGAAATCCTCCGAAAATCTGTAAACATATTTCTTGTGATGGGGCCGTTGAGCAAAAAAGTTGATCATTATCATGAATGCAGGCTGGTGGTCCAATAGTTGTAACTGCTATATTTCCCGGATTGGCAACCATAGAAGAATTGAATCCGTGCAGGTTGCAAGAAATACCCGTGTGTAAATCACCAATGTTTTGGCCTCTAAAAACGTTTGTATCAAGTCTTCTATCGTTCTAAAAAAAAATTCATTTATATAATTATCAGCCTGAAAGTTTCCTTTTCTTACTTCCAATTCCAAAATTACAAGATTATTTCTGAGACCAAGAGTCTCCAAAAAATCAGGATGTCTAAGTGATCTTGCCACAGGATCTAATTAAATAAAATTTATATAAATATTAATAGCATTTTCTTTCTTATTTTTTAAACAGTTATTTACGAATGGTTGGATTTCCTGTAGCAGGAATGACTTGAATTGCAGGAACGTGGGTATCAGGGATATCATTCAAGCAACTTGCAGCTGTTAGAATATGACGATCTGATAAAGAAGCTCCAACACATCGGAAAACAGTAGTAGTAGTTGGAGGGTCCCGGTTTATCACTACACCATGAATCTATTTTGAGCACCGGATTCGTGGATTAACACAAAAACTGATAAGATCAAAACGACACTTTTAAATTCCATTTTTCTTCTATTTTAACTTTTTTGCACCAAGAACCGAACTGAAATGAGCTGAATTCACAAATATCTCTTGTTTTATAGAAAAATATTCAATCAACTAACACGTAACACATTTTATCAATGACGATAAGTTGTCTTATCAAAAGCTTTTGCTGAGTAATCTTCATCGAAAGTAATCGAAGGATTTAAATTTATGAATCACAACGTTAAGCTCTGATATCATGATAAGAATCCGTTTGAAACCTTTCTGTTGATATAATTCTTTTTGGAGTGTTAGAAAGTTTAATTTAGCTTCGACATTAATTAAACTTTGACTATTTTGCTTTAAAAAAATTTAAAATTTTTAAATTAATTTATGTAAACATTTTGATTTCTTATCCATTTAGCAATCCATATACATAAAATAAACTTTCTAACGTAAAGACTTTTGATTCAAAGTTTGTACTGATTTTATTTATTCTTATCTTTAAATTGAAGTTGGTTTTAAGTTTTTAATTAACTTTGATTAAATTTTTAAATTAATTTTCAACAGGAGCTGAAACATTTATTTAGATTTTTCCTTCAAGCCAAGTCATCAGAACAAATAAAATATTTGAAAATCGAACGAAAAGTTAAAAAGTCAAGTCAAGTCAAGTTCGTAATTTTTTTATTTGACGACACAAAAGCTTCAAGACGAATTATAAAACTGAAAAAGTTTTGATTGATTCTTCAGTTGGATCCAATCGGTCATTCCTAAAACTGATATGCCCAACAATCGAAAATGTCATTTCATTAAAAGTACATTCAAAAAATGTTTTTTTATTTGTTTAAGATTTAAATGAATTTATTTCAATGCCAATAAGTTTTTAATAAAGAAAACAAAAGTTTATTTTCATACAATTTTTTCTGATTTCAGTAAAACTTTTGAAATGTTTCATAAAACGCTTCTCATGTTAATAATCAAAATTGTCCTCGGAACGCATATCACCAGAAACAACTCCCTCAATCCAATTACGGAATTGACCAACATTATGATATTGAATAATCAAGTTCTGATGGCTGCAGTTATTAACGACGATCCCACCTATGAATCCACTTTGTCCACATGTAACGGGAGATCCAGGACGAACCTGTAAACATTGTTCAACAGACAGAATAATGGAACAGAACACTTGATTGTTATCATAAACACAAGTTGATGGTCTATTGATTGCGACAACTATTGCCCCTGGATTAGCGGCAGCCGTATTAAGTGCAAATAAACTGCACGATCTTTCAGTTTCCAAAGCACCAATAGATTGTGGTCTGAAGATTGTTGTATTAAGAGGGTTATCGATCTGCAAAGAAGTTAATGTAATTATAAAATTTCAAAAGCTCTCGCATTGTTTCACACTTCTAGAATAGCAATGTCATTTCTTGGACTTGTCAAGGCTTCCACATTCCTATTGGAATTCATAAAATCAGGATGTCTTGTTGTTCTATTTATAAAATCTAAACAAATGTTATGAAATTAATTAAATGGATTTTGAGTAGAAGTTTTTTAAAATTACGAATTGATGAATTTGTAACAGCAAACTGGGCTTCGATTCCAAGAATTCTGTTTCTGGGAACAGCAAGTAAGCAGGTGGCTGTTGTAAGAATGTGTCGACTAGACAAAACAGTTCCGATACAACGCATAGATGGATTCGCCAAAGTTACTGCATCCATCTCGACAACATTCACCAAGAATCTATTTTGAGCACAAGATTTATGAATTAACACAAAAACTGACAAAATCAAAACGAAGCTTTTAAGTTCCATTTTTATTTTTTTATTTTCTTCACCGAAAACTGAATTGAAAATGAGTTGAACTGAAAAAGTTTCTCGCTTTTATAGTAACGAAAGATTTTGGTAATCCACAAGTTATCAATTTTATCAATAAATTCATGTTACTTTATCTTAAGATTTTTCTGTATAAAAATACTTGAAATTAACAAAATTCCTACTAACTGAATCAAGTTACGAAAGCTCTGACTTACGATAAGATTTCATCTTGAAATATTTCTAGAGAAAACAAACTCAAAGTCATTTTCACCGAAAATATAAAAATTTGATAAACGTCATCATTGATGAGTTTTGATAAAACTTAATCGTGTTTATTCTTAAAAATTCTTTAAATTTTGATCCCAAAAATTCCAAAATAAAACTGATTAAAAAACTGATTAATTTAATTACAACTCACAAGCTTATCAAATCAAGAATATAAATTAAAGCCTTTTTTAATCATTATACAGTGGAACTTCGATAAGCTGATGCCTCGATAAAGTAATAAACCTTTATAAGCTGATATTTTTTTGTCCCCCTTGAGATATCAGCTTATCGAAGTTCCACTGTATAACAAATTATTAATCTCAAGTTACTCTTCAGTTTTTCATAAATGTTTCTGATTACCTAACCTGCTTTTATTTACTTATAATCCCGATATTTATCGTTAAAAGTAAACATAATTCTCCAACTGTAAATGAAGTTAGGAAAAAACAAACAAAAGACTTTTAAAAATTAAATCTAATTATGAGATATGAAATCTCAATTTTTATTTAAAGAAATTTTCTCAAACTGGTCAAAAATGCTGCAAGTAAAATCAAGTTTTTCGCTGAAATTGCACTGGCACCATTACCAAGATCATCACCATCAGAAATTTCACCAGATACGACTCCATTAATCCAATCACGCACATGCCCGATATTATGAGCTAAAAATAATCTAAGAAAAGTTGTGCAAGCATTCACCACAACAATTCCATTAACGACTCCTTCATCTCCACAAACAAGAGGGGTTCCCATAAAATTCGTTGTACATTGCAGTGTTGTCCCAGGAAAGTTCACACAGAAAGTTTCAGCGCGGGTATGCTCGCAGTTTTCCGACTCATTTATGGTTACATTTAGAGGTCTTGGATTAATAGAAAGTGAGTCGAGTGCAAACAATTTACAAGAACTTCCAAGTTCTAAAGTACCAATAGTTTGACTTGCAAAAACTGTTAAATCAAATCTGTCATTGATCTGAAACAAATTTTATATTATTCAAAAATGTTTTAAGTTTGAATGTTTCCTTCTCACTTCTAGTATAACAATATCATGTTGCATGTCAGGATATCTAAATAATCTACGCAAAGTATCTGGAAAAATAAAAAAAAATTAACGATTTAGATAAATATTTGCATAATTTCCTTTAATATTTTACAAGCTTTGCTTGGCCCTGAAGTCTGTAAAACAAGAACTGCCATAATTTGATTTTCTGATGGAAATAAACATCTTGCATCGCCAGATGTTAGAACATGTCGATCTGATAAAACAGTTCCAACACAACGCACATCGACTCTCTCTGTTGATTCTGGATTCAATTCAAGTCTACGATGTGTACTATGAATCTGTTTTGAGCGCAAGATTTGTGGATTAACACAAAAACTGATAAGATCAAAATGAGAGTTTGAAGTTCCATTTGAATGTATTTTAATATTTTCTGACTGAAAATCAAACTGAAAAAAAAGTCAACTCACATTTTTTCAAGTGTTTTATATGAAAATAATCGAATTATATCAATTAACTGACGCGAAACAGTTTTTATCAATGACTCATCTCTAAAATGATTCAGATAAGATTTAAAAAGATTCAAAATATAATCTAAGATGAATTTCATTTTTCTTATCATTCTTTAAGATTTCTACAAACATCAAAATATTAGAAAGTTTCATTAAATGTCAACTTTAAACAAAATTCTGTTCCTTTACTGAATGAAATTTTTTAAATAGTTATGTAAATTAGTAGAATGTAATTATTCCACTTTCTTTTCCAATTATTACCATGCATAATTTAAAACTTTTTATTACCTCTTTGACCATCAAAATGAAAAGCTCAGAAAAGCTTTCACCTTTCGAAACGGTTGAGCTTTGAAGTTTATTTCTGAAATTAAAGTTTTTCATGAAAAGCACAAATTTTGTTTTCACTGATGATATTTTATTAAAAAAATATACACAAAGATTTCTACATACAATCGCAAACATTCAATAAAATTCTTTTCAGAGATGATTATTCTTCGTATTTTTATTATTAATTTAATTCATTTATAATCTTAGACATTTCATTTGTTTTCGTAAATTTATTTTTAAAATTTTCAGTCAAATTATTGTTCGTCTCGAATTTTATTAAGTTTTTCGCGATGAATATTAATTAACCTTCTCATTTAATTGTTTTTATTTCTTTTTTTCGCTAACACCTTAGGCCAATTTGTTCAGAAACTAGTTTGCAATGATTATTCATTTATTAATTTATTTATTTTTCTACTTTATTCTAAATGTGTGTTCAACATAAATATTTTGCTTTTAGTTTTAACAGATCATAAAATTTATTTACTTTGAATAATGAAACGTTGATATACGTTGTGTAAGTGTAATTGCGATGTGAAATAAATGTTCTACATTAAATCATCAAACATCAACCTCGAGATGATTACGTTTAGAAATGAAAATCGTTTGATGCACGGTAAATGGAAAAATTTGAAACATTCGGGAGTGAGATTTTCCTTTGATATGTCTGAAATATCGTGACAAAAAGTGATACACAATTTGATTCGCTGGAATGAGCAAGTGCGAGTGATTGAATTCAACTGTCTCTAAGGGATCGAGTAGACGGTAATGCTTTGATGCCACGCTCAAGTTTATCAGCATCACCAGCAGAAAATCGATGATTTTGTGGGACACGATTGACTCCCAAACTGTTTCGTTTCAAAATGAGATCATTCGATGACAAATTTCGTTTTTTATTCCCATTGTTTTCGCTTGCAATAAGTGCACAACTCTCATCAAAATCGTCGACATATCCTTGAGAATCGGATAGACTCTCATTTGAAGTCGGTTCGTACATTTTCGATGCATTTTTACTGCCTGAACGACTTCTTATTGTTGGTCTTTCAATTCCATCAAGTGATGCTCTTGGTGTTGAACAATTCAGATTCTGATTCATCTTGAATGGATTCTCTTGAACAATTGAAAAGTTTATGCTGGGAAGAAAATTTCCATCAGCTTCAATTCCATGCTCTTCAAGTAGCGGATCGGTGGATTTTGAATTTTTTTGAACATTCTCATACATGCACCAAGGCTGCTCATGTTCAACTACATTTTCTCTCGACAAATCATGTAAATTACTGCAACTGGGCTCCGTTGAAATCGCCTCTGGTATAGTCGATAAAGTGCTTAAACAATTAAGAGGCTTAATTTCAGGAACTGGAAAATTGACTGGCATTGCTGTATTGACACTCAGAATATTTAAGACTAGTTGAGAATTTGTTAAAACTAAACAATCAAATGAAAAAGTTTAATTAAATAAATTAAATATTCCGATGCGCTTCTTCACTCACCCAAATTTTCTAGGAATTCATAATCGAATGCTGACTCAGTTTGCGTTGATTTGTGAGTCACAACATTGGAAAATGATTGATTTGATGTACTGTTGAAGGAAGAAAACAATCAACTCAATCATTTTCATACTTTTTTATTTGCTTTTCAAATGAACTCACCATAATAAGTCGGATGTGCTTTTTATGTGAGGATTGCTTCGATGCCAAATCTCTGCAGGCTGCGATGAACTTCTTGTGAGATATTCTTGAGCAATATGCTGACCACTGACACCATTCTGAAGATTTGGAATTGAACGTGCTGGTACATGATGATCCATATGAGTGAATGTTGAGTACGTCATTTCCTGTAATGCTTGAATAGCATTTCTCACCTCGATGCTAAGTGTCGCCACATCCTGATGAAGTGTTGATACTTGAGTGTCGAGACGTTCTACAGAGTGACGAATATTTGTCGGCTTTTCTTCCTTTACTTCTTCTTGCTCCTCGTCATCCGACACATTCTCCGGTATAATTCGTTTACCACCACTCTTAATGCTAACCGGGCTGTTTCCAACACTTGGCGTACGAGACTTTTGCGACAAAGATTTCTCTTTGAGAGCAATGAGTGTTTGTCGTCTGAAAGAAGAATTGAAGAGTATGAGTAAATAATAAAGTTAAACAATCGCTTTGAGATTGACTTTTGTAAAAGTTTCGCATGACGTGCTGGGCTTGCTGTTGACACGCCATGAATTGGTGACCGTGTGATGCTTGGATGACGAGGCGATGAACTATTGCTAACACCGTCTTCCGGTTGATTCTCATCGTCTTCACTAATGGATGGAAGTGCCAAGCAATGACCATTATTTTCAGATTCAGTCTCCGCTTCGTAACCTTCTCGAAGATTGTATGTAAGGTCGTGTTGAATGTCATTCGCAAACTCCTGCTGATATTCCGGATACAGCCTTAATACTTCAATCAAACCGGATATGTGAATACATTTCAAATCACAATAGGTTAAAGCCTGAAAATTTGTGGGAGTTAATCCCATAAGATTTATCAGTATGTTTGCCTAATCTTGCTCTCGACGCTTTTGAAAGGCGCTGTCATCAGAGAATAATTTTTAACCTACTTTTACATCTGAACTGCTTTTAAGAATAAAATCTTGTCCCCCTTGACCTCCACCACCGCTCAGTTGCCCATTATGCATTAAATTCAGCGATATATCACAACCCACGAGATCACCTTTACCTGAAAGCACGGTCACAAAAAAAAAGGAAAAGGTCGTCGTAGTTTATAAGTTTGACAATAAAATAAAAATCAACCACACAATGTTCGCTCGCTTTTCTTTTCGTTTTTGATTTATATCACGTCCCTATGCGCTTTTTTTATTCATTCTAGCAAGCTTTTGAGATATTAAGGCGCTAACAACTTCAAATTATATGCAAACAAACCCGAAATATTTAAATTTATCGACGTGACTCATTCGGATATGAAATTGGAATGAAGTAATTTATGAATATTTGCATATTTACTTCATTACGTTCAACACTCAAATGAATGTGGAAATATTCCCTGAGCGAATCTTTCAAGCTCAGATGTTTGATAAGAAAGAAATAAACAGTGAATGTCGAAGAATGTGAAAAGTTTTAAACTTTCCATTTATCTCGACTTGTGTCAGTTGTCAGTGTCGAAGTCAGTGATTTAGATAAAATAAAAAATTCGAATAATTTTTCGTCTGAGAGGATTTTGCTTTAATGATTTAAAGTCAATGACCGATAATTGAAGAATTTCCTTTATTTTCACCTCTGTTCAGGGGAATCATAAATTAAGTTGGCAATTTTATGTAATATTTCATTTTTTGAAAGCTTTCATGTTTATGTTCAAAGCTTTTATGATCGCAAGTAATTTTCATGAATGTAATTCTTGGCCATGAATTATGTAAATATTATTCAAGGAAGTAAATCAAACCTAAAGAGAAGCAGAAATTTTCTCCACCAAAATGAATGTAATCAGATATTTATGTACGTTTAAAGACGTACACATCTTTTCATGCGATTAAAGACAATTTCAGTAAACAGCTTCGGGATGTGCGACAAAAATTACTACAGTAAATCTTTAAATGAATTGCTTTAATTTCTCATCAAAATAAGTATTAAAAGATAAAATGATTACATTGAAAATGCCTGATAGCAAGCAGTAACTTTAGCTTGAAGTCATATAACAAAAGTTCTTCTTAAAGCTCTTGTCGAAAATGAGAAAAAAAATCATTTTTGTGTTCACAATTAAATGAAAGTAAAGTCAATAATCGAAGCACTTACCAAGAATGGCTACAACCATATTATTCTGCATCACTTCCATACTTCCATTACAAATGTAATAAATGTAAGCGAGGGCATCGCCCTTGTGTATTAAATATTCACCAGGAGCACAAAAGTTTGTTTTGATGTGTAGTGAAAGTAACTTGAGGCAGCCTTGCGAAGCTGCTTCAAATATTGGCAATTGTAGGATTTCCCTATGCAAATGCATGCTTACATCACCCCGAAGCTCTTCTGGGAATTCTTTGAGTGTCTAATAATGAAATAAATTTTATTCTGCAACTCCACCTACACACTACACTTCAATTTTACCTCATGTATGTCTATGCCATGGTTGAGAGACCAAACAGTTTGAAAGTAATCTTGCATTCTTTGTTTGAGTTCTTTAGGCATCTGAAATGGAAATGGAAACGAAACATGTCGAAACCATTATTATGATAGAAGCACATGATTCGATTAAACATTTATAACAAAGCAGTTAAGAGGTCATTGTTATTAGCTCGTTATAATGTGAGTAGATATGCGTAGGTATCATGATAATGGCCTCTTACGTGTATAAGAAAATAAGCAATCCAAGCACATTATTTTCTGAATTGATCTCATTTTTCTTGTTTTCATCACAGACACATATCAAACGATGAACAATCTTCTTCGAATGAGAATAAAGAAACGATTTGAAGGTAAAAAATAATTGATGAAGAAAATTGCTCAATTTTATTGTCAAGCATGAACGAACATTCAATCACTCGTAATGTGAGACTAAAAGAAATTCAGTTTTATATTGGAATTGTGACGTTTCGTCTTGTAATGTTACAAAATGAAACTTGCAGACTAAATAAAGCTATATCAAGAATACTAACCTGATGAAGCGCTATGAAATCTTTCAAATCTCTCCATTTGGTTTGATATTGCGACCGTCGCGCATACATACGTTGAATGATTGCAGTAACATTACCAAAAACGACAGCATGCATTAAAGCTGTAAAAGAGTTAAAGTTAGATAAGGAAGTCAGTAAGTGAAACGATATATGGTGAGTTTCATGAACAAGAAATATAAGATTAGCATAAAATTTCCGTCACTCGTTCAGTAAAGGAATTGAACGTAATCGCTTTTTTATAATATCTACACGCTTGGTATAGAAATGAGCGAATCAAATCAAATTTCCTCTTCTTCAATGTTTAAAATGCTTAAACGTATGATGAAATCTTTATACCGCCGACAAAGCGTCATGAAAGCGAAATACGAAAGAGTTTTCTCGCTATTGTATCAGCCTAAATTTAACATCTTTAGATAATCGTGAAAAACCTTCACAATCAGAATTTTTCGCTTTCTTCTCCGTACATATTTACTTAAATTATACCGAAATTTTTAAACCACGTTGTTCTAAACATTCTACATTGTTTTTATCTTTAAAAAAAAATTAATTTAATTTTCTCAGCATGTTTTCTAAAAGGAGATGATTGGAAAATTTTCATAAGGAAAAGTAAAATCTACGTGAGAAGATGAAGAAAAAAAACATTTTCGAAACTGATCCGAAAACTTTTTATCACAATTTCACTTCCATTACCGAATGACGATATAAACAAAAAAAAATGGAGAAGGAAATGATGATGATGAGAAAACATTTGAATTAACATTAGATCGTTGCAAATATTTACCTCCAATCAACATCATGATGACACAGAAAATCTTCTCGTAGAATGTGTTTGCTGATACGTTTCCAAAGCCAACCGAAGTTAAGCTGCTGAACGTAAAATAGAGAGCTGTGATGTAAGCTTCACCTTGTGTAATGTTCGAGACCGGAATCTTGAATCTCTCTGCTAAACTGTTGATCCATCCTAGAAATTGGAATCATTTGATGATAATCTTACTTTCTATAGCAGCAAAATATTAAATAACGTTCAGTATCGAAATGACGTCTGATAATGAGCGTATTTTTAGCGAAATTAACAAGAATCTCTTTGAATACCTCTTTGAATAATCTCTTTGAATGTTACGTAGAAATGTTCCATTTATAATCAAAACCACAGCATGATTTTATATTTAACAATAAAAAATATCTCTTAAAAAAATTGCAAAGTTAAAGCTTGATAAATCGATGGCTTATAATACTGAGAAATAATTGATTTGACGAGCTTATAGGCTCATCAGCTATTGGAAAATTCTCTCTTGTTATTCTATTTTTCATGAATGCAAAGCAGCTTAAACGTGAGCATCATAATGCTTTATGTATCTTCGCTATGATTCATCTACTCTATTCAGCATTAATTTGCATCAATTGAAAGTGGATTTAAGCATTAGTGAATCATGTCTGAATTATTTAATCAGCTGAATTATAAATATTGATGTTCATTTAGTTTTATGTTCCAATCACTTGCAACAAACTTTCTCGTGTCAATCTTCAGTGAAGAACTTGATATCATTTGAGACTCACCTACGTCAAACTCTTGATCGTTATAAAGTCTCTCCTTCTCAGCAATCACGTACCAAACACAAGCTAACCAATGGGCGACGAGAGAAAAGCAAACCTGTTGAGGAATTACCAAAATAGAAAAATAAATAAATTCACTCGTCGTGTTTGCCAAGCTTCAGGAGAATTTATGATCGAGACTTGCTCATATTTTAATCAATTTCTAAAAATATTAAATTTAAATACTGCAAGTTGTTGAGGTTTAAAATGTTTAATATCGTCTTTTGGGAAATATGCATCAGTTTGATGTTAATAAAAATTTTCCTTCATGATCCAAGATGGCAATGAAATTCCTCGCAAAGAAAATAAAATATTAACGATACCCCAAACTCTAATAAATTATTTCGGATAGAATCGCATCCTTTTTTATCTCAGATATTTATTTTTATCCTTAACAATTCGGTTACATAAATAACATGAAGTGGAAAGCAAACGGAAACAATATAATTAATAGAATTAATTAAAATTCCACAAAAAGAATTTTTTTTACGTTGTTTCAACTTCAAATTTATGCTTACCATTAAAAGCGTAAGAATCATTGCTGTATATTGACTGTATCTGTGGTTTGAGTTTAGCGTGGAAAGAGAGAAAGAAAATAAAGAAAATTTATTTGAAAAGTTTGAATATGTACGAAGTGAGATAAGTGGAAAGTTTTATTATCCACCTTCAAATGATTTTTCGATTTCGGATAAAAATTATGTTAAAACTTTATAGATACCTTTCCATTTTTTGCAATAATCGTGCCAAGCGTAATAATCGAGTTAGCTTAACTAAATGTATGTGGGATTCCTGAAAAGCAAAATTAACATAGTGTTGAAAGTGATGAAAAAGAAAGATAATTATTGCAGGTCAGCACTTTTCCTTTTTATCACTTTTAAGGCGTGGAAGATTTCCAAATCGTGGGAATGAACAGAAACAATAAAAATGAAAAGAAAAAATCTCAACGAAACGAGATAAAAATTAAATGGGAAGCCAGCATTTGTTACAAGCAGCATCGTTGAGTCTCAATTGTCCCAAGTAAGTTAATTATAATTACTAATTAATGTGTTAATTGTGTAGCTTGCGAATGGCTTCAAGGTTCAGTGAGGATAATCGGAAAAAGGTTTTTGTTGCTGAGTGGGAGTTGGTAGCGTGAAAACTTTTTAGCGATAAATAAAGGACAATGGAAGAAAGAAGTAAAAATGTGAAAAGATTCATCACAAATGATTCAGTGACTTATTTTTGACTACAGTGAAATGAATATAAATAATAAAAGACGCAAGATTTTGCCCTCAAGATATAAACGAACGGTCCGACCTTTGTCAAAGCGTGTCAACTCTAATCTTACCTCTCCAGAGAGTAAGTTGCTGGCATACAGATGATCGAAAGGTATTGCGGCAAGGAAGTCAACAACAAACCACCCGCGAAGGTAATTTAAGGCAATCAGTTTGCTATCCGATACCACTTCACCCTTGCGTGAAACAAATGTCGTTCGGAAGTTAAGGAGAATATCTAACGTTGGAAGGTTTAAAAATAGAAATTAAGACGGAAACTCGTAAAGTTTAATTAATGGCAATAAAACTTTTACTTAGGATTTTGTTTTTCTTTTTACTCACCTACAATAAATAAAGCCTCAACAATTACATCACTCGCCATTGTGAGACGATCAGTTTGGACAAATGCAGCATTGTATGGAACGACAAATGCGACATAAAACGTACTGACTAAAATCAACCAATCCCAAAAACCTTTGAACACACCATAATGCGATAGAATGAAACGAGATTTTTTCAGTGATTGAGTTTTGTATTCAGGCAACGGCTCAATGGTTGAATGCAGTAGATTCTTTTGGAAAAGAAAAATTATGTAAGATTTCAAATATAAATTGAATTTCAGATGATTTTGTTTAGCTTCAATCTTCATCGTGTAAAAAAAGGGATCATTAGTAATGTTTGTCAGTGAATCACATATTCAGAAGTCATGGAATGAAAAGATTTGATTAAATGTTAATAAAAAAATTCCTAAGACGTCAAGCTTCAATTACGACCAAGCCTAACTTCTTGCCATTTGAAAGGAAGACATATTTCATTGTAACCTTTTAATGGGACATCTTAGGAAATTCCAAGACTATGTGAAAATGGATCTAATTGAATTTTCTTTGTAACATACATCTGAGACGAATGTTAACTTTTTGCAATGCTATCGAAACATTTCGTCACGCATGATATTATCTGGTGTCAAGTACTTTGAAAGCTTTTCTCGCTTTCGATTTCTTCTTTTTTCGAGAAGATTTGATTTGAGTTTAATGGACTTTATCAGTTCATTGACTGGCCAACAAGATCAAAACTTATTTCATTATTTTTGAGTGATGAAGAAATTGAAGAATTTTATCATCGATTAATGAAGCTATGTTTGGATGTAAACTTACATTATTAAGTTTCAATTTAGTCTTGATTTTTTCCGGTTTCTGGTTCAGGATAAGCAGGAAACGAGTGTCATAAAATAAAAACAGAAAACAATTTAAGTGAATGTTAGCTTTTGTTGTGTAAATTTACTTTCAATCATTTTTTTTCTCGCCATCTTCGCTTTCAACGCGAATGAGTAAACATCGTAAAAAGCCAAGTTGGAGTTGATTGAATTCAGAAAAAAAGAAAACTCACATAATGTCCCGAAAGTTGATAAAGCACAGCTCTGGAACGCCTGCGTCCCATGTTGCAACCAGCTGGAATGTCGAGTGGACCATTACCTTCCATTCCATCTTCAACACTCAACGATGTATCAGCACATCGAAATCGAGCACCTAAGAGAGCAGCTACCCGGACAAAGTAAATTACATTCATTAAAACTCATTTTTGTTATATTATCCTTCTTCGTGTTCAACATATTCTCAAGCTTATCAGATGACACAACATAATACATAATTGAAAGCTCAACAATCTTACGAGCCATGACACAGAGTTAAGAGATTAAATTGAATAAAACGCTTAATGACACAGCTATCAACTAGAAAATTACAAAATAATGTTGTTTAAACTCATAGTGGAATCACAACGATTCAAGTTTATTAGAAAACATCGATCAGGATAAATGTGAAAATCGATAACAATGCGAACTGGGAAATTTTTATACAGAATGCTTATTTAGAAATAAACTTCCATTATTATTATCAATATCTTTAAATCAGTCGCAATTTGCATCAATCTACGATAAAAGTTCTTGAATGTGTATGAGAAATAAAATTATTTTCGAATTATGCTTTTAGTAAATGTCTTAAATGTTTAATAGAAATAAAAGCAAATGATATAAAGATAAACAATAAAAGCTGAATAAACATTAGAAACACAGAGATTGTCTACAAAGTTCTAATTTATAATAATGAAATTCATAATTACATTTAATATCGTTCAAAATTCTTATTCCAATTCAGATAAATGATAAAAGTTTAACGAGAACTTTTCTCTTTCCGACACTCACATTGATTATTCAAACAGCGATTTTTATTTTATTTTTTTATATGCGCACAGTGAAGAAGTTAAAGATAAAAGAAAAATGGGAAGAAAGATGATAGAAATGAAGAAAAAAGAAAAGAGATTAGTTGCATGGAAGCACGAAGACTTGCTCTAAAGAACAGCGAAAGCTTTCCCTAAAATAAGAAAAATTAAACAAGAATAGATGTCGGAAATATTTTGGATATGCCAGCATTATCAACCAAAAACTTGAAGCTACGTTAATTTAATTATTCAGTATAAATTTTCATTTGATGCAGATGTTTATATTAGAAACCATAAATCAGTTGAGTGATGATCAAAGCAATGTCTACTGATTACAAGTTGCTTTGTTTCGCTTAAGCAAACACACAAGCACACATTTCATTGTCGACGTGTTGAAAAGACCTCTATCAGTTGTCAAATGGATTTAAGCAAGTGAATTTATACAATGTGCTTATAAACGCTTACGGTATATTGCCTTCATTCTATGTAGAATGTTACATGACTAAGTTAGCCACCATTCAAGCTTAAACAGGGGAAATTGCTGAATAGTCTCATGTAGCAAACAAATCTCTGTATAATGTTAATTAAATAAAAGGGATTCAATTTTTGTTGGTATACGGGGAAAAGTTTACCAGGAATGTTAAGCTTCATAAAAGGAGAAGAATGTTTATATGGTTATGGGATTCCGTTTAACATTAAAAATGCAAGCCTACGGTTTAGACATTTTCCTCGAGACATTTTGCTGATTTGACTTTACATAACACATTGACTGAGAGATATTCAGGATACATTTAATAAGCTTTCTAAACAAAATAAAAATTCTCTCTCGCTTTTACCTCAACTCTCAGCGACAGGTTAAAGTTAGGAAGAGTTTTAAGTAACAAGTTAACAGACTCACCACTGTCACATTCGTCTGACAAAGACATCTCAGCCATTTTAGACGTTGTGATATCCTTATGTGACGCAAGGAATAGCACAACCTCTCGCTTTTCGTTTTTGATTGGTACGATGTCCAAGAGGCACCAAAATGGAGTTCCTAAATAAAAAGTCAGAGAAATACGATGATTAATAATAACAATGAATCGTTAAGATGTATTGTATGTTACAAATGTTGATACTAACGCTGATCATCAATACATCATCTGTGTCTCAAATGAACGAACATAAAACTCATGTAATTGGAGTTTTATGATTGATTGAATCGAAATATTTATTCGACATCATGATTTTCTTTGATATCAAATAATAAATTTCCTTTTCGTACTCATAAATAACTATGCAAACGTCATTCTTTCTACTCTTCCACTCATTTATTATGGTTGTTGTGTTATATGATGCAGAAGTTTCATTACTTACTTACCGAAAAGCGGGCAGTAAAATCATTGTTTTTTACGCAAACGAAATTAGTTCATTTTGATATTGTTTTGGGATTAATATTTAATCTAGTGGAACTCCCATAACGACTTCCACACGTAAAAACAATTCTGGTTTATTCCTGCTCAACATAATCAACTTTAACTTGTCAAATCTATTTACGAACATACTGCACAATAAATATCTATATTCAAATCCCATAATAAAACCTTCCACAAAATTATCGTGTCTGAAATGAAAAGCTGTAGATAGAAAGTTTGTGACTTTCATTTCAATTTAATTTGCGGTTGTTTTCCCTAGATATCTATCTATTCATTTTATTCTTTTTCTTGTTCCCTTAGTGCAAAGTTTAAGTTTGTTGAGGATTCACAAAATCTTTTCGTCTGATCAATTCCAAATAATTGTAATCTTTAAGGGATGAAATTTCTGAGGTTAAATATTTTTAGAAAACAAATGAATGACGAAAAATGTTGCCATAGGTTGTTATCCAATCCCATTTTACTTTATTCGGTTTTCAAAACGATAGCTGATAATAAATGAAGGTATGTATGAATAATATCAATGATAAGATAAACAAAGAAATGCAAACAACGATTAGACGAATAATTAAAGTTTCTAACTTATGTACGTAAATCAACTCAATGAATGAGTTTGATCGATCTATCGACAAGAGAAACATCGAAATAAAAAAGAATTTAAATTTATGCTAATCGAATGAGATCAAAAGTTTAATCGAGTGTAAATGAAACGATCAATTGAAAGGAAATTTGTCCCCTGTTTAAAAAGCAATTCGAGATTCAATTTTAACTCTAATTAATCACTCCCGATTGTGCAATTACAATTTTACGAGGGACGAATAAAGAAATGAATAATTAATTTTTATCTCATAACAAACGACTTAGCAACGTGATATCGTTAATACTCACCATTTTTCTTATAAAATATAACTTCCAATTTCAACTCCAATTTTCCGTCCAAGCTTTTTTCGATTTGGCTTTTATTCTCGTCTTTCGTTTCCGGACCGTATAGAAATCGACAAGCACAGCCTGTAAATAAGAGAATAATAATTATAAATTATCGCCTTTGTCGACAGTTGAAGTAAACAAAGCTCTTTTTCATTTCCATTTCATTCTAGGAATTGCGAAACTTTTCTAAGTACAGCGTCATTGTTTTTCGTTTTAAATGCCGATCCTTTTATTATAATAGAATTAATACTGGATGGGAGAGTTTTTATTGTAGCAGTTTGTCCAGTCATTAATCTTGTTTGAATTGTCTTTATTTAAGTCATAGAAATAAAACGAAGTTGAAGGAAGTCGAATCTTGGATGATTGTCGTGAATTGTTTTGATGAGAAGACACTTGAAGGTTTTTTTAAAGAAAACTTTTCAGAGCATTCATTGAGCTCGAAAAGAATAAAAAGAAGAAACTGTTTTTTCTAAAAGGAAACCCAACAGGCACCAATTTTCATTCCTTTATGCTTTCAAGGCACTCACAAAAACAAAGAAAGAAAAGGAAAATTCAAAATTCGAAATCATTTTCCTTTTAATTTTCTTTATTCGCAGTTTTTATTTGAAAGAAGAATAGAAAGTAAATAGCAACATTATTGAAGCATCCACTCAAGGACAGGATGGAATTTTTTAAGAAAGAAATATTTACAGAAGAAATGCTTACAAGAAAAAAAAAAGTAAGAAAGAAGATGAAATAAAGAACAAGACTAAGTGAGTAGCAACTCAATACAAGATTAAACGAGTTTACGTATTCACATTCCTTGCTTCTTTTGAATCAGCTTAGAATGTTTTCTATCTCTCTCACTCCTTCCTTTTTCCCGTCATATTATTGCGTAGCATTAAGAAAACTTGAAGATTTTGTGGGTTCTTAAGACAGAAACAAAAAAAAAGAAATATCCTTAACAAATTTCTTCATCCCAATCAAATAAGATTAGTATCGCTTCGAAAAACAACAACGGAAGGAAGTCTATTGTCGAGTGGCTTATTCCCATACTTGTCAAACATACATAAATAGATGAATAATATGAAAACAAAGGAAGGTCACTAGATGAATGTTAATCATATGGTTGTTCAACTCTCACTCTTATGTCAATGACATACATACCTTTTTGCATTATCTGAGCTCTTGAATATCCTGATAATTCGACGAAACCATCAGAGCAATATACAATTGGATAGCCCGATACTTGAGCATTTCCAAGTACGAAGTTTGAATCTGTTTCGACGAAAAATGGAAGGAAGAAAAAATTAATTTTCGTTATGAAATGTTTTCTTAGGAAATTAAATTGTAAAATAAGTAATTAATGCTTTCGGGTATTACGTTAATGTACACAAAAACATAAACATCAAGGGTAGAAGTAGAAAACGTGATCAATTCAAGTCAGACGCCAAAAGTTCAAGTCAAATTTCAATTAGATTTTAAATCATGGAAATGCGAAATGGAAAAGTTAACAAAAAGTCGTTTTGCTGGAATTTATGAATAAACAAATAACAATGAAATAACATGAAATTGAAAAATAATCTGTTGATAGCGACAATAAGGAAAAGAATATCAAGATTGTTCATAAAGGTTATTTCCCTTTTAAAATTCAACAAAGTGTTGTTCAACAACAATTGAATTATTAAATTATCTGAAATATTTCACAAATAAAATATCTTTTATGTCGTCAACATTTAGCACGATAAAAATTAAATCACTTTACGTTCCTTTCCATTGAATATCGCAACAAATCATTCTTTATGAAGTAAACTTTTGTAATCTTCTCGGATAACAAATACTTTGGATGATTAAGATGTTTTATTAATGCATAAGTTGAAATGGCGAAAATTTCGTAAATCGCAAGTCAGCTAAAAGTTCACTTCATTTCATCTTTTATTTTTTAATGCTTTGTCATGCATAACTTTTAAAAAGTCATGAATAAGAGAAAAAAAATGATGGAAATTGAGAGTGGGTGGACAATAAAATATCATACATCATTGAAGACTTACGTGTTCCATCAAAGCGTGTCGCTATCGTATCCAGGAACGTGTTTTGAGGGGCTAGAAGCCCCTTTCGCGTAGGCATTGGATGGATATACCTTAATCGTCTTGATTTATAGACTGAGCCTGCAAGAATCAAAAAAATGAATAAAAGGAAATGAGAAAAAAATTATATGAATTTGATTTTTATGTTTCAGAGGAAGTTTTGTTTCGGCACAAGAAGTTTAGCAGAAAATCAGGTAAAAATACTCAAATGTTGACGAGCATATCGTGTGGGAAGAAGAAGAAAAAGCTGAGTATGAGTAAGTATGAATAGGAAAAAAAATTGAATCGATTTTACTTTTACGCCTTGTACGTCTGTAAACTTTTTTTGCCGTCATCCTTCTGTCAATTTATTTTTTGATCAACAATTTAAGAAAACAGAAAATGTTTCTCTCCGTCACATTAACGATTCAAACTTCAATAAAAGCTTTGTTGATAAGAAATGAAAAATTATTTATTTAGGTTGATTTAAAGAAATATTTAAGTGTAAACTACGAGACTTAAAGTCCAACTGATAGTAGATTGCGAAAATACGAGTTTTTGGGAAATAAAATATTGAGAAACGTGATGGTTCAAGACGTTCGAACGTCACAATTTATCAATTATAAACAACAAATATCAAGTGGATAGATAGCACAAGTACAAAAAGAAGTAAAACAATCTCTTAGACTCAATGTTCAGCCTACATAACGAATACAAACAACACCAGCTGCAAATGTGAAAGTTACCACAGATTATCATCGAAGCGTTGTGACAGTAATTTATGTGTCAACGTCATTGTTGAACGAATTTATGATTTTATGAGTGTGTGATTTGAAATTTTTTCAACGCCTTTCATATGAATGATATCTCAATAGGATTTAAGTGTGATTCGTTTGCCTATAACGACACCTAATCAAATAATCAATGATTGAACACTTAAAGCAACGATGGAAAATTTAAAATTTGAGTTTGAAATATTTTGATTTCCGTCTTATATCGTTCCAACCGATCTGACAAACATAAACTATGCGGAGAATTTCTCACACCTTTTTGAATCTGAAAGTATAAACCACGGGAAAATCTCGAGAAAGGCAGTTACATTGCTTATTACATGGTTTCGTACACATTTTTGATTAAATCGATAAAGTTATGTGGAAATGAAAAAGAAAAAGAAATCATGTTTGACACGTACGCAGTCAAATTTTTTTCCCATTTTGTTCGATAACGAAAGGCAAGATAGGCATGGTAGGCATGACGGGAACCAGGAATATGACTTTTATGATTCATGACCCCAGCGTGTACTTCTCTTTGTTGTTCATTTTTATAATCCCTTTTTATATACACATAAGTCGTCTATGTAATAAAAAGAAATTTGTACATAAAATATTTTTTTGGAAACTGCTTTGATTAATGCTACAACATAATACATGATGTGAAAGTAATTCTTCGAACCGACTCAAAGTAAAAGGCTAAAAATTCCTGTCACATCCGCAAGATATTTTATTCCATATTTCAACATGAATGAATAGCTTGCGTGGTTGCACACCTAATAAAGTTATGAGTTCACGGAAAGATTGAAAAGCGATAGAAGTTTTATTTTTATGTTTTATTTCATAAAGCTCACTTGAAACGTAATATTAATACCGCCCCTCAAGGCAAATATGCAAATATAAATATTTTTATTGACTTTCTACTTTAATATGTCAGTGGAAAAACAAATCAGAAACTAGATGAATGGAAAATCTTTACCAGAAGATTTATTTATTTTTAGAAACCCCTTCTCGATAAGCGAAAAAGCAAGCACAAATGTTCACAAAATTCACATGTTTCTGCCCGTTTCCTTCTGAACTTAAAACGTTAAAGAAAGCGCCGTCAGGTTGTTTGGTTTTTTCTTCGCCTTCTTTGACTTTCTTCTTTTCGGTTTCGGTCGCATAATAAAATTTATTTCTTTTTTTTTTAGGGAACTTTCTTGTTTATCTCCCTTAAGATGAATTTTGTTGCTCCCAACCGGCTGACGATGAAAAGTTTTTAATTTTTTTCGACACGTGAAATAAAAGATGAGAAATTTTTGCTACTTTCTTTAAGAATTGAAGAGAAAGAGAAGCATAAGTGTGGATGACAGGCTACACATATGCTCATAAACACTCGGTGGGGATATCAATTTATATCCAAGAAAATCATGAGACATTGCAGAAAATTAAATTTAGATACGGATCGTTTATAAAGATGAGACAGGCAATCATATAAGCTGTTCAATTCTGTTATCATCGCTCCACGATACGCTTTGGAAGCTTTACATTTCGTTAGTTTATTCATTCGTTCTCACTTCACATTCACCCTAATTATGTTGAGTTGAATAAAAGGGTGCGAACAATGAAAATAATTCAAGGAATATCCGTATCCGTATTTTTGCATGATTCGTTGATTATTTGAAACAAAGAAAGAATTTTTATTAAAAAATTCTACGAGTTGAAACAGTAAAATTTCATTCAATGCTTACAAAACATATTTCAGTTTTCAAAATCCAGAAAAAGAATTAGAAAATTTGATATTGAAAAAGCTCATTTATTTGATGAAAGATTTTTCGTGAATTCAGCACAAAATAAGTGGATCAATGAAAGCTTTTTATGAGATTAAATTCAAGTTGAATTATTTTTATGAATCCTCCTTTTAAGATAATTTTATGTGAATGAATGTTGGTCGTAGATGGTTTTATAGACTTTAACATTGATTGAAATATGTTCACATTAATGTATTTTTTTTGTTTCAATTATCTGAAATTAAGTCGTAAAAAAATTTGCGAAGATTGTTTAATTTGACAGAAAAATTAATTATAATCAATGAAGATCTTATTAAGTTCTCTGAAATCTGATGACATTAATTAATTACAGTTTTTTTTAATTTTTTTTTCTTATTTCTTCCAACTTCCAAGTACCCTTCTCATAACAAAATACTAATCGTTCTAATTTTTTCTCTCATTCTGTCTAAAAACATAAAACTAATTTCATGTTTCTGATCTCATATTTCTGAACCTTTCCATCTCACAATAAAATAATTAATTGAAAATCATCCATCATTTGCAACAGCGTCCACCTCTACTCACTTTATCTTAGGAACAGTGTTCAAGTAGTAAAGAAATCTCCATTTTCCTTCGAAGCTCATTTTTCCCTCTCGTTCGTTTCCAACTCTAATTAATCCCAAAATGAATTTTTTATCTTCCACCTACAAAAACTTCTAACGGTGAATTGAATTATTTCCGTCCACTCATAATTATTATTACAAAAAATGTGCGAATGATTTGGTTATTAATATTGTAGATTGAATCATATATTTCCGAGGTCGAACGATGTAATTATTGGGGGATTTTGTATGTTATGCCACCAATTGATGTTGATTGAGACCTTTAACCTCTGTATTAATTATGTCTCATTTTTTCTTCCGTTTTTCATTAAATTTCACTCAAGTTAATTTTGATGAGCAATTTTTTTTAATTGTTGTGAGTCACTAAATAAACTTTCCACATTTGTTTTGTCAGTTAAGAAGGAATTAAGCACATCACTTTATTTATGGTATCGAGATTAAATGAAAATCCATAATAAAACAATTGCAAATTGAATAAGATTTAATCTCCACACAAATCACTCGCAAGTATGATTAATAATGATGTGTTGTCGCGTTCGATATAACTTTATCTGTCATTACACATTTCACTCCGGCTAACTTTTATTCCACAACGTTAAACTCGACCAGAGAAATGCTTCTCACTTTAAAGCAGATGTTTCACTTTAATATAAAGAATTGTTTGAAAATGCGTTCATGATTTGGTCTAGACTTTCTGTTTAAATAGCTCTGATAAGGAGACTACATGAATATAACTTGGAGCGAAAGACTTTTTGGTGCTTTCAGCATCAAATGTTCCAACAACACTGACGAAGCTTTCAATTTTCCTTTCCTTCCACATTACGAAAATTAGAGTTATTGGTGTTAGTGTGACATTGGAAAACTGGGGAAATTAACTTGTTGTGGCTCTATCCTAGGTCTGATAGCTGTTGAGGTGCCATGCGCACAACTGTTGATAAATGCAACAGTTTACTATGCCACCAGCTGGTGCAAATAATTTCAACTTTCCTTACACATTTTTTCATCAGAATGAGAAGATTTTCCATTTTATCATTTTCTATTCTTAAACATTAAGAAATGATTGTGTTGGCGTCTCATGGCTTATTTCCTATGAATATTTGAAATTTTTCTGCATCGCTTATAGTGATTCAGCAAACAAAAGTATTTTTAATGAATATTTGGGTCAACATTTGCTTTCCTACAACAACTTTATTACTTCTTTAAGCGGAAAATAATGGAGAAACGTGAAATGTTTAGTTGGAACTTTTTAAAGCTAGTAACAAGGGAATTATTATTCTTAGAATTCAATTCTTTCATGTTGAATTCAAATACAAAATGAGATTTATATCTTCATAATTTCCATTATACCGCCGTTCGTCAAAGAATCAACTTTGTAACCCAATTTAGTTTCCTTTCTATGGATACTTCGAGACGATAAGGGTCTTGTGAATCTTGATTCGTAAGCTTTGCAAAGGAATTTCCTTGAATTTCTTTTATTTTCAAGCTGATTTACGGGGTGTGAAGAAAGAAAAATGATCCGCGTCTAAAAATAAAATTTATGGCTGAAGAAATACAATTTTTATGAGAAATTCTTTCATGTTACCGAATTATGCTTTCAGAATGAAGATTGCGAGACGACCAAAAATCATTTAAGTTATTTGAAGGCGTTTTTGATCTTGTGGTGAACCATCATTAAATATTTTCCTTCGTCTAACTAAAACAAAATTTATTCAAATCAACACGCTAGCATTAAATTTAAGCTTTAAATAAAGATGTTCGACTCAATCTCTTGAAGGTTTCAGTTTTATTGATATCGAGAATGTTTTGTATCTTTTCCCCTTGCATTTTGATATTTATTCAGAATCAAATTCAAATGATCAGAAACATCCGAGATTTTTATGTGAATATTTTGATAATTTCATTTCCATTTTATTTTCCTTTTTTCTTATTCAATCAAAATCTAATTCAATGATTTAATAAGCATTTTTGACATCATCCTACCTTTGAAGCTTAGCGAAACTTTTCCTAAGAACAAATTGAATATGAAGAAAAATCATTTGAAATCATTAATAAGCCGTGTACATAGAAGTGAAGCATAAAAAAGATTTACCAGACGTTTGTACATAAATACATTTGCCTTACAAATATGATCTGTGTTGAATGAAATGCTAAGTAAAATAAATCTACACTTCCTTGAAACATTTTTCACTTTGATTTGTAACATCTGCCGTCTTCAGAACATGAAGTTTCTTCTTAAGCATGTTCTTACTTTGAATATGAATGAAAGACTTAAGAGAAAAGGCGAATTCTCACGATGTTTAATCAAAAAAACTTTAAATAAATCAATAAAAGAGAAATATTTCCAAATCGTTTTGCAAAATATATTTAAGGATTAATGAAATGGTTTATAAAATGAGGGTTTACAATAAAAGTAAAATGAATTTTCCTCGTTTACCGAAATGGACAACACGCTTCAAAATTTATGTTTCGTGTTGTCCTTGGAATGTTTGATAAGGAGTCGATTCTCGCAGCTCCTTATTGAAATTCTTGACCTCAACAACTCTAAATGCCTTAATAAGTTCGATAAGTGGCTTGAAAACATCCGCGATTAAATTCACCAATGGCCCGAACATATTGCGAAGCGATTGGAAAATATTCTGCAATAGAACAAACAACGGTTGAAGAAGACCATTAAACAAAACGGCGAGTAGGGGCTTAAGTAAATAGTCCGATGATATTTGAACGATTCCTACGATTATCGCTCTGATGATGCCGTAGAGTAAAAAGCTGTAAGAAGAGAAACAGAGAATAACGTGAAGGAACAGATAACGAAACAGTGAATTATGGGTTTTCTGTAGCAAGAAACTTTTCCATTACGAAAAATCGTTGAAAAATGATTTAAATGGCTCGTTCATTGACAAAATTCTTAACGAAGCCAATATTTTTAAAACTTCTCGATTGTTTTTCATTTAAATTATATTGAGCACGATATGAAGTTCAAATGACGATAAATTTGGATCTTTATTATTATGAATGAGAAACAAGTGTGCTGATGCTTGTTGATGGTGAAACGATCAGGAAATTCTTGCCGAAAAAAATAACAAGCAAAGAAATCAATTGTAAAAATGTTTAAAACTTTTTGAAACAACAAAAACCAATAAAAATTCTTTTAAAAAATATAAATTCAACCCACACCAGCATCACCCTTTTAAAAGAAATTGCTAAGAAACCTTAACACTGTTGAATGACGTGGGAAAGTGCTTACCGATACAACTGAAGTCCGAAGGTTATGAAAAATGTTACAACAATGTTAATCGACCCGAAAATTTCAGCCCAGAACTTCGTAAAAAAGTTAAAAACTCTTTGAGCGTAGATTTCCGATGTAAGTTGAGGTGGGCAGTCAGTTGTCCGATAATAAAATATTGAACCATGATCGAAGGAATAAAAATCCGCATTCACTTCATCATCAATCTCAACATCCTTTCCGGTTTCAACATCGCAATCTCGTAGCTTTGACTTTATTTGAAACCATGAAAACATGTTGTGATTCTTTGAACTCACGCCGTTTGACTGCATGTAGCCCCTGTCTCCGTCCATTTTTAACGAGAATTTCTTTAAAAAATAAAAGCTTTGTTGATAAGAAATGAAAAATTATTTATTTAGGTTGATTTAAAGAAATATTTAAGTGTAAACTACGAGACTTAAAGTCTAACTGATAGTAGATTGCAAAAATACGAGTTTTAGGAAATAAAATAGCGAGTCCAAGACTTTAAGAACTTCACAATTTATCAATTATAAACAACAAATATCAAGTGGATAGATAGCACAAGTACAAAGAGTGTTCCTGGAACGCTAAACTTAATTTTATTTTGTGGACTGGTGAGTACTTGTCGTTGTTCAATAATAAAACTCTTCACTTTCGGCTTAACGTTATAATATTTATTGGGATGTTCAGCAATGATGGTAGGTACAATGAAATTGTGATATGTGAAAAACCCTAGTGAAGTTAATTGTTAGTCGAAGTTATTTGCAACATAAAATTAAACAATTTACCGTTAAGGGTTTTTTAATGAGCGACGAAAATGAATGTGACAAAAGTGTTTGAGGTGTGTTTGCGTATTAACTGTTAACAATAATTTATGTGAGTCAATTTAAATTGTTTTGATTTTACAACTTCTTTACCTGATTTTGAATGTGAAAGAGCACAGAAATTAAATGAGTGTATTGTGACTTAGTGGAATTAATTAATGAGCCTAAATGAAAGAAAGAAGTTGCTGAAAAATGACCGTTAGAATGTCTTCGTCCTTTGCTCACCTTTGCTGCAATTGACAATAATAATTCGTTCAATTGTGCTTAATTGTTCGATTGTTTATTTATATGTATAATATATTTTTTTAGCTTTAAACTTCAAATGTTTGCATGAAAATTCCCACCCAAATTGGATCATGAAATTTTATCTTTTCAGTGATCGCAATGCACTGTATGATGAATGAGTGAGAACAAAATTGAATGTGAGATTGAATGTTAATTAACTGTGAACATGTTGACTAACTAATAACTTTTACCTAATTTGATTAACAAATTTGACTAACTAAATTAACTTTGTGAGAGATTTCACAATAATTATTTTGCGTTATGTTGTAAAATTTGGCTTGTAATGCCTTTCGCATTTCAAGAACAATGATTTTACAGTGGAAGCTCGATAAAAGTAATCTCCTTTAGCGAAAAAAGCTCGATAAAAGTTGACTCACACTCGCATTTTCGAACAATTTTCGTTCGTTAAAAGTAAAAGCTCGTTATAAGTACGTTAATGTACGATTGGATGGCGACATGATTTTTCCCTTCACACTTCACTCTTGCTTCAGCATCAATGGCAACGAGAAGATTTCTGTAGGTGTCAATGAGGGACCAATGTGTTCTTTCAATTTTATCAATGAGTACACGAGCTTCATCAGCATCGATTTCATGACCAGTGTTGCAATGCAGTTCGTGTGAATCAATTTCGCAACCGCCGATTCAAACAGCTCTTGGAGTTCAAAGGCTTTTCGAGACATTTTGTCGGGTTGAATGAACTCTGAATGATAATTGAATGTGACGAAATTTTTATGTGAATATTTTTATAATTTCATTTCTTTTTTATTTCCCTTTTTTCTTATTCAATCAAAATCTAATTTAATGATTTGATAAGCATTTCTGACATCATCCTACCTTTGAAGCTTAGTGAAACTTTTCCTAAGAACAAATTGAATATGAAGAAAAATCCTTTGAAATCATTAATAAGCCGTGTACATAGAAGTGAAGCAAAAAAAAGATTTACCATACGTTTGTACATAAATACATTTGCCTTACAAATATGATCTGTGTTGAATGAAATGCTAAGTAAAATAAATCTACACTTCCTTGAAACATTTTTCACTTTGATTTGTAACATCTGCCGTCTTCAGAACATGAAGTTTCTAAGCATGTTCTTACTTTGAATATGAATGAAAGACTTAAGAGAAAAGGCGAATTCTCACGATGTTTAATCGAAAAAAAAAACTGAAAATAAATCAATAAAAGAGAAATATTTCCAAATCGTTTTGCAAAATATATTTAAGGATTAATGAAATGGTTTATAAAATGAGGGTTTACAATAAAAGTAAAATGAATTTTCCTCGTTTACCGAAATGGACAGCACGCAACAAAATTTATGTTTCGTGTTGTCCTTGGAATGTTTGATAAGGAGTCGATTCTCGCAGCTCCTTAGTCAAATTCTTGACCTCAATAACTCTAAATGCCTTAACAAGATCGATAAGTGGCTTGAAAACATCTGCCATTAGATTCACCAATGGCCCGAACATATTGCGAAGCGATTGGAAAATATTCTGCAATAGAACAAACAATGGTTGAAGAAGACCATTAAACAAAACGGCGAGTAGGGGCTTAAGTAAATAGTCCGATGATATTTGAACGATTCCTATGATTATCACTCTGATAATGCCGTAGAGTAAGAAGCTGTAAGAAGAGAAACAGAGAATAACGTGAAGGAACAGATAACGAAACAGTGAATTATGGGTTTTCTGTAGCAAGAAACTTTTCCATTACGAGAAATCGTTGAAAAATGTTTTAAATGGCTCGTTCGTTGACAAAATTATTAACTAAGCCAATATTTTTAAAACTTCTCGATTGTTTTTCATTTAAATTATATTGAGCACGATATGAAGTTCAAATGACGATAAATTTGGATATTTATTATTATGAATGAGAAACAAGTGTGCTGATGCTTGTTGATGGTGAAACAATCAGGAAATTCTTGCCGTAAAAAATTACAAGCAAAGAAATCAATTGTAAAAATGTGTTAAAACTTTTTGAAACAACAAAAAACAATAAAAATTCTTTTAAAAAAATATAAATTCAACCCACACCAGCATCACCCTTTTAAAAGAAATTGCTAAGAAACCTTAACACTGTTGAATGACGTAGAAAAGTGCTTACCGATAAAGTTGAAGTCCGAAGGTTGTAAAAAATGTTACAACAATGTTAATCGACCCGAAAATTTCAGCCCAGAACTTCGTAAAAAAGTTAAAAACTCTTTGAGCGTAGATTTCCGATGTAAGTTGAGGTGGGCAGTCAGTTGTCCGATAATAAAACATTGAACCATGATCGAAGCAATAAAAATCCGCATTCACTTCATCATCAATCTCAACATCCTTTCCGGTTTCAACATCGCAATCTCGTCGCTTTGACTTTATTTGAAACCATGAAAACATGTTGTGAATCTTTGAACTCACGCCGTTTGACTGCATGTGGCACCTGTCTCCGTCCATGTTTAACGAGCGTCTCTTCATTCTTTGAGTGTTCGTTGGTGGCAAATTATTTTTTGAAATCTTAGAATGCTCCACCGACTCGAATTTTCTTCTTACATTGTCACTCCGTGTTGAAGGAAGGTAACTTTTATGAGATTTTGTTCCATTACACTTTCCATTCCAAGACGTTTTTACAAGCTGAAACTCAACTTTCTGACGAATGCCATTCAAAGTTTAAATCATGTGTTATTTCCAGTGGCAGAAACGTCATAAACAGATGAGCAAAGAAATATAATAATATTATTGTTAGGAAGGAAGTGAATACAAAAGGGAACATTCTTACGCTTGGAAGTATTTTCCGACCTTTTCTCGAAAAGATCTTCATGTGGTAATAACCGGCGTCCGTTTCGGATGAAATTTCCATTTCTTTGAGCGGAAACGCCTCCTGAGCATTAAATACAAAATTTACATTTCAAGACTATGATAAAAAGCGATATAAAACTTAAGACATTTGCGTTAGCAGCAGCAGACATTAGACTTTGATCTCCCAGTTCACCATTTGATGGATCAACATCACAAACGACTTCCTCGATTTCTGTTTCTGATATTGAAGATGACTGCCCCAACATTGTATCTATGGAGAAAAGATGAAAACTAAGATTGTTTATATATTTTTGTCTACCCACAATTGACTTTTATCTTCACCATTCGTATGAACTCCAAGACTACGTTTGCCTCCAGCATTTGATGTCGATTGACCCTTCAACCCTCTCATTGTTATGAAAATATAAATTCAGAATGTGAAAAAGATGAGAAAGAAATAAAATAAAATATGCTGAGTGATTTTGTTTTGCTTAAGGCACTTAGTAAAATATTTTTTAAACTGAAACAGCAAAAGAAACATCAACAACCAATTCAGCCCACTGAGAGAAGAAAGTAAATCGAAATAAAATTCTTTGAGTCGAAAAATCATAAAAGCGAACATATTTTGAAATGAAGAAGTCATCAAATAAAATTCATTGCTTTTCGTTTCTCACACTCAATCTTAAAACTTCATTGCAACCTTAAAGAAATCGCCATAATTCTTTATACATTTTGTTAACAAAATATTTAAACTTTTGTAGAAGAAAAAAAATTCTTTTGGATGGAACAAGCTGTTGAAGCTTTGGAAAGTTTTAAGTTAAAAGAATACCGAAAGTTGTTGTTGAAAACTTTATACTTCATAAATAATTCTGTAGTCTTTTACAGCTTTCACTAATTATATTTATGTAGAGTGGAAAAAGTTCTTTGTAAGACTGAGGTAGGCCTCGCCATAGCTAATCATGTTTAATTGGTTTTAAAAAGAACAAAATATTTTCATGTTGATGACGCCCGAGCTTCTTTTCTAAGAACCGAAATTATATTAAATACATAATGGAACAGTATTTACAGTAATTGAAAACCACAACAAAAACGAAATTCATTTTCTTTTTGAGTTGTGCCATCAAGAGGAAGAGAAGAAGACAAAAAATAGATAAATTGAGTTCTTTGAAATTTACTCGGGAATTTATGAATACATTTTTTAAAAAGAAATTATTGTTGTTGACATGACAATGGAAGTCAATCGAATCAAATTCTATAATTCAGAATACCGAATAATAAATTTTTGTTGTAAAAAAGAAATTTCTTCCAATTCTAAGTATTTTTCTTCGTTATTGCCAATAAACTTTTTCTCTTCTTCTCTTGATAATAATTTATAACTTATTGCTGCTTACACAAGTGTTGAGGTCAAGAGCAGTGTTGTCACATCAGTTTTTTCCTTGTTAACATTTTTTATTCTCATTTATCTTCAGAGGAATGTTAAAGGGAATCATTCATTTACAACAATCTTATGAGAACATCATATCGTGAGAAAACCATGAACAATCCACAGCATTAAAAAAAAAGTTGCCAGCAAGTTTGAAAGCGACAAATAAATACGACAGTTTGATAGCAATTTATCCTACAAAGCAATAGAAAGTTTTCATTAATTTTCTTGAAAAGCCAATTCCCATTCTTGTACAATAATCCCTTAAACACATTTCTTCTGCTTTTATGTTACATTCTCATTCTCGAATAAAATTGATTGTGGGCGGGTGTCTTTTGGCAAAATGATTTTGTTGCGAACAAATGCAAAAGACTAAGTTATTCTGGGACCATTACTCATGAAGGAACATTTTTTTTGTTTGTTGAGCTTTTGAGTTATGTGCTTAAGTGAATCATGTCGACAAGCATTAGTCGGAATTTCTCTTATTTTCTTTTCATAAACAATCCTACAAAGCTTATATTTGTGAAGACAAGTATCTAATTAGGATTCGATTTGTCACTTCAGCTATTTTTTGTTTTACTTTGCAGCTTCCTGATACATATTTATGTGCTTATTTTTATGATATATTTGCTTCTGAATGCTTAATCAAGTACTTAATCGATTTAGAATTAATTCCAAGAAATAGAAAAAAAATTCAATTGAAGACTTTTTAATAATTTTCTTTCTAGGATTTCTTTTTTTACTTTTTAACTTTTCTTCTCCTTTTTTGTATCTCATCACAGAAGTTATTTTCGTCTCATAAAAAAGAGTTTGACTTGACTTGATATTTTTTTACTTGACTCATTCTTCCGACTTGACATGGAAAATTCTTTTAACTTGCCTTACTCAGCCGACTTGACTTCAGGCAAAACTCAAGTAGAAGTTAAACGAGCCAAAGTCCTGCTTAGTTACAATAATTCTCTAGATAAAATCTCGTTCGTGTTATCATCTTCCTTATTTAATGCATTCCTATTTTTTGCTTTATTTCGCTTGTTTACTAATTTGATTCATGGGATTGAATTTATTTTCGATGAAGATTTTTTTTTATTTAGCAAAGCCACTGGCGGTCATGTACTTTGCTTCTAATTGCTTTTCTTGTTTGCTGTTTGTACAAAAGTCATTTCATGGAATGCAATTGTACAAAGAAACAGTCCAAAATTCTGTTTAGTTTAAGATATTATCTTAATTAGTATTATTAGTTTCTCAGCTAATCTACAAGAAACTTAATTATCTGCAATTTGAATTGCTGTTTTCCTCCAAGCCAAAAATTTATATGTCATGTCAATTGGCGCTATCGTTTCATTCTTTATATCGTTGTTAACAACAAAAGCATTGAATTATATTGCCACAGGTGTGCACATAAAAACATTTATCTCTTTATAATGATTTTTTCTTGTAAATATTGTCATCTCAAAATTAAGAAATTAAATTCAATGTACATTCAAATTTCAGATTACCATTAATAAATATTCATAAAGCATTTTTTTGAAACATTGAGATGAGGAGCAGATGTTTAAATATTTTTTATATATTCTAGCAAAATTTATTCATTTTTCTCTTGATATTTATAACCAAAAACTAAGACCAAGTGTAACAAGAGAAAGAAGATTGTACTGCGTGTAAATTGATAGTGACAACCACAATGTTTACCTCAAATAAACTTTCTTGTCGCTTCTCATAAAAAGATTTTTATGTAGATTTAAGCGGTCACAGTACATAGAAGAGAAAGGAAAGGAGAAAATTAAAAGCGACACCAGATATAATAAAATAAATTAAAACTTTTACACAACAGAAAAGGAGATGAAGAATTTCCTGTTGGCTCTGAGTATAATAAATTTGTAAGATTGAAGTGATAGGGTAACAAGAGTAACTTTAAGCTTAATCTCATCATTTCTGGCATTGTAATTGCTTTACAGTTAAATCACATTTTAAACTTTTATAAGCTAAGTAGAAGTTTCAAAACATTTGCAAATAAACAAAGAAAGAGAGACTAAATATAGCAACAATTTAATTATATCTAGAAGGCTTTTGTTTTGTATAATAATTGGCTTTGGTGTTGTTCGATTGTGTGTTTGTTCAATTGCTACATTTTGTTCCACAGAACTTTCTTACTTTGGTGTTTGATCACGTTCATGCTTCCTTTGGATTAAGAAGAGCTAGAAACGATTTTCTTATTGAATTCTATTTTCTTACTTCTTTGTAGCGTTAGAGAAATGTTGAAATTTGCAAAAGTTTAAAGTTTGACACATTCATTCATTCATTTCTTTTTATCATAACTTTATTCACATCAATTTCCCTTATTTCTTATCCGTAATTTGTCTAGATGATCTCTTCGTGCTTTGTGTCATATTTTAAATAAAATTGGAAGCCATATGTAAAGTTAAATGGATATTTTCTACATGTTCTGGATACATTTTGCAACAAAGATACTTTTTATCCTCAACGACACAGTAAAATTGTCGGCATAATCTTTTCATCATAAAAAAGGACATGAAAAAGCAAGCAGATACATACATTACAAGTTTAACAGAGGAGACTTTTTTCCTTGCTTTCGTTTAGTGTTACACAAATTGTACAATTTCTCTTCAAAATAAATTTCTAGATTGTTGCAAAGAGAATTTTGTGTAAGCTTTTATGAGAAGCTTTTATTCTTTCTTTCACGTTTCCACTTGCATATCTTTCTACTTTATTATTTACCACGATTTGACTCTTGACATGATGGTTTTATTTTTCATTATAATGAAGTGCTGAGCATTGGTTGTTCGTTTCACAAAGGAAAAGGTTTTTTTTTGGAGAAATCTTTCATCAAAATTGGTCACATTCTTCTTGAAAAGATTTAAAAAAATATTCATTTATGATAGCAAAACTTTTTTAATTTTCCTTTCAAACTTTCCATTTCAAATTATTAAACACAATGTAGAAACATTTTCTGAATCTTTTGAAAGTCCTTCATTACTTAACGTATCGTAAGTAGAAAGAAATTATGATCTGATAAATTAAGTCATAGCATCGTTGCTTTGTGTTTTGTTGACAAGCTACTTGAGACATTTATTTTTAATTAAATTTAAAACTTTGTAAGCCGTTTAATACTCCCACGCAAATATTATTATATCTAAAAGTAAACTAAGATGATGCTTTCATTACTTTCGTTACGTTCGCCTCCAAGTGTTTCGCAATTTATGTATCTGAAAATATTTTATTTTCTCTTTGTAATTTTTTTCTAGCGTTTGGCAGAAATTGGCGAGATAAATATTTTCATTAGTCACGGAAAAGTACGATGAAAAGAAGATAGATGGTAACCTATCTGGAATATACGGTGAGTGGTTTGAGTTGATGCCACAGGTTGTTATAAAGTCTTCTTTATTATTCATGCTCTTACTTGCCTTCGTTTCTTTTAATGTCTGTTGTTATGTATGCAAATAAATTTTGATTTTCTTAATAAAATTCAATTTAGTTTCCTGTTCCTTTATTCAAGTTGAATTTCTATGCATCATCATAAAATTAATGTTACAAGCATTCGTTTCTTCATCTTGTTTTTCATTTTTTACGTGCATGGGCATACATTCTAACGTGTAAGTATCGTCGAAGTAAAAATCAGAATCGCGTTTGAGTGGTTTTTCCTTTCAAAGTTTAAATTGACTGGCATCTCTTGTCGCTGGAAGTAACTTAAGATGAACAGATGTAACAGTATATGTGACGATTGGAAGCCAGGGGAAACACATGCGCATTGAGAATGAGATTTTATGCAACAGTTTGTGAATTGGATACTTTGTTCCTATCTCTTCACATGAAATTACTCATTGATTGAATTGTAAATAGAAGCTTCATGTAGGAAGAATATTCAATTAAACCATCATTTTGCAACGCTCACAATACTTTGCAATAAAAGGACATTTAAGGAATGTTCAAATTTTAAAATAAAGAAAACTTTTAAACGATAACGAAGAAATGTTTTAATGTAAATTCAGAGACTTTATGAGCTTCAAACTGCTAACGAGTTTAGGGTCTCGTAGTTAAGTTTCTATTGTTAAAGCAATGAATGTTCTTTCATTCTTTCTTTTTTCTTGTTTTATAAGAGAGGCTGCTTTGGTTTTATAATAAAATAAAATATCTAATGACTTTCTATTGCAGGGTTTTCCATTCAATTTCTTTTTTATTTCTATTTTTTAACTTTTACATTTGACAACATCACGTTTTGTAGTCACACGCCAGAAAGGATGGAAAAGTTTAAGTAAAGGAGCGTGTATTTGAGCTTGTATCATGTTTTTCTGAACAACTTGTAGCTTACAATTGTTCAATGAGAAATTCCAAATTTGCATTCATGTTTTGTTGATTTAAAAACTAATTTAAATACTAGCGATGGAAATATCAAATTAACTTTTGAATCCATTCATCAACATTGACATTTACATTCATTATACTTCCCAATGATATTTCATAATGTTAACAGATAATTTCATTCAATGCTTTTAGTTAAAATTCAGTGAGACGCATTTTAAATAGAAGAACAACGACTAGGCAACTGAAGTTGATTTTAAGGACACAACTAGGAATGTGGTCTCGATTTAATTTTAAATTTTCATACTTCATTAAATGAGGAATTAAAGATTAGCACTTAAAATAAACACACCAACCCATAATAGAATTTATCGATGCTTATTACCACATGGTGAGAACATTTAAGGTTTTTGTTTGCTTAAGAGTAATTAATTAATTATTCTTGACGCAATTAACACTTATTTTAATTAAATTTCTTGCGATTTACCTACGCAATGTGTTGCTTTTATACAATTTCAGACTGAGAATCATTTAGTAACAAAAAAAAATTAACAATTTAATTTTTGTGGGAGTTTATTTGCAGATTTAGAACCCAAAAAACAAAACCAATGAGATTGAAAATTGAAAACCCACAAAAGCTCAACATCAACCAACTATGACTTGGTCAAGATAAAATTTTCTGTTTTTTATGAATCACTTTCTGTGTGTTAAGTTTAAAACTTCTCGAAAGTTTTTAGCTACAACTGAGGAGGGATTCTGAAGCTTCAGCTACAAAGATATAAATTTTTTCAAGGGTCATTCATATGGAAGAGTTGAGTTACCTCGGGGATGAAATTCTTTTTCAGTTGATAGTTTGGTGGGCGTATCTCGTCATCCTGCATCATTGAACATTTACACATGTCATTAACCCAAATTCCCCTTTGAATTCGCCCAGTGTCTCGATGAATGAACAAGCCTATACCATGCTTTAATCCCTTTGAAAAGGTTCCTTCGTAACGGTTTCCATTTTCTATAAGATTAAATGTCCAAATGAGATGAAGATAAAAAGAAATTATGGAATAAAATCTGAGATTTTAAAAAGTGATCTTGTTAAGTTTATAATCGAATCACCTTGCACTAAGACACCAGTCCCATCATAAACATCATCTTTCCATTCACCGAAATAAACTCTACCGTCGTTATAGTACATAATGCCGAGGCCTGCCTTCTTGTTATTCTTCCACGTTCCTTCATAAGTCCCATTATCATAAAAACGTTGACCCTCGCCGTCTTTCTTTCCTTTTCTGAAACATCCGATAAAATCATTAAGAACCAAATTGGTTTCTGGATCCAATGTTCGTTCACAGCCCCAACCGTGTCTAAACGAAATTCAAACATCGAAATTAAGAAAATCTTTGATTACAAATTTTCTTTACAATTTCCCATCTTTGAATTGTCCATCAAGAATTTTGTTTGAAGCAATTAGTGTTCCAAAGTTTTTCTTTCCACAAATGAATTTGCTGCCATCACCATTAAAGATTGTTTGAAATATTTCCTTTTTATCTTTAACCTTTGTCTTCATTCTTCACGAATTCTTTCAAGACAAAAGGAATTTATTGATGTTCTATTTTTGAATGATTTTGAATGCCATCAATGGTTACTTCAGTTTGTCGCTTTCTAGATTGACATGTTGCCATGTTTAAAATGTTAATTTTGTATTTCTAAAGTTTACAACACTATGTCAACATTCTTTCTTTCTTTTCTTCGCCATTGTGTAAACTTCTCCTTGACATTCGTCATATTTCTCATGTTTACAACGAAAGGCCTTAAAAATCTTTTATGATCTGCTTTGAAAAGCGACAAAAATACTTAATCTTAATTCTCCTTAAGCTTCACCATTTCAAATATTGATTCAATGTTAAAATGAACATTTCACAAAAATCACACAAAACCTATTCAGTCTACGTGTTTCAAATGCTGTCCAAACGTGATGATGATAACAGCCAACCTGAGGATGTGAAAAAGGTAGAAAAAATATTTTTTTACAATTTAATGAACTGTTAGCGTAATGACAGCAATAAATTGTCACAAATGGCTTTTTAGCGACGTTCTAATGTTGATCGTTTCTCTCTTAATAGTTTAACTACTAACTGATATGAAAACTCGTGCTGTGCTTTAATAACGTCAATTTAAAGGTTTATAATGTTTTGAAGATTCTTTTTCTCCTATTTCGGAAGGAAATTAAAGGAATGTCAACTTCAGAATGTTTTAAATTCTCGTTTGAAGTTGTTGTATTTAAGAGTTCCTTTTCTCTAAAAAGAAAATCATTGAGATAAGAGTCAAGAGATATTTTTATAGGAAGTCGTTTCCCTCGTTGTCATGCCAAGCGATTTTCTTCTTCTTCTTAAATCAAAGTTAAAAATTTTCCAAGGAATAAAATCGTTGTTGATGTTAAGATAAAACTCTTGCAGAATCATTAAAAGATTTGAACAAGATGAATAATTGAAATGCGTCAGCAAAACGTCTCAATTGAGAATTAAGTAAGTGAGCAGCTTTTTTATTTTAAAAAAGAGGAAAGACAAAGACTCACTCAGAAATAAATCAAATCATTTTCCTTACACCACAACACAAGGATAATAATTTTCATGAATTGAAAATAGAATCAAAGAAGATAAAGCTTTTAAAGCTTCATATGACACTATTGGGATGAATAAACACGTAAGATTGTACTCCCTTAGCTTCTCCAAAGTGAATATTCGTTTTTGTAAAAATCTTTGAAAGTGGAAAACGTCGTCGTCTATTTAAACAAATCTCTGTCAATTGAAAGCTTAAAAAAATGGAATTCGTATCTGGCTTTTTCTTATACTTCCTTCTTACTGTCATTTTTATGTTGACATTCCACAGCCACCGCGAACTTTTTCATTAAATTTTCAAAATGCCACTCAGTACGCAAATAAACCTCAAATAATGTTGATATTGCGTCTGCTTTACATTTTTTTCTTCCACCCTCGATTTCGGTCTCTTCTTTTTAACTTAGACTTTCTAATGTTGATTTTAAACGAAGCAATTTATTGAAGATTTAAATATTCACGTGAGATTCTACTTGTAAAATATTCTTACAAATATAATTTTAACATTCAAGCTGTTGATCTTGCGTTTAAGAAAATTCAACAAGTTGTTCCTTCAATTTGCTTCATCGGGTGACTTCTTAAAGCTTTCTTACCCAGACAACGTAACTCGACATAAAACGTAATCATAAAAGTGTTGGCTGTAGAATAAGATGAAAATAGAAAATGCGAGAATACTACCTAGAAAGAAAAACTGCTGATTATATTATCGATGTTGTTGCTGTTTACATTCGTTTTGCCACCGTCTGCTTGCTTTTCCATCGATAAAACTGTTATAGATCTTGACAGTCATTCCAATTCTTTCGCTAAAGCAGGGAAATATTTTCAATTTTCCTTGAATAGTAGAAACAAAGAAAGGGGAAGAGAACCAATGAACAACAACAACAGGTGTTATGTTAACTTGAGACAAACATTTGCATTACAAACAATCTAGAAAATTGTTTCATGTTCTCATCTGATGAAGGAACTCTTGCTCATCTAGGAAAATGTTTCAGGAGGTTTCATCATTTATGCGCTTTTATTTTTAATCCACACATTTTACTTCGTCTTATAATTAAGAAATTTTCCTCAAAGCGCATTTTGAATTAAAACAGCTTTCATTTTGCGGAACATAATTTATCTGCAATCAACCGCCGACATTGATGAGAGCATGCAAAGAAACGTTTCAAAAGGATTTATATGAAATCTGTAGAGTGTTGTTTGTGAAAGCTTTTTGAATACGAGTTTTTAATTTGGGGAAGAAGATTTTGTTTATTAAATTTTCATCGTTGAGTGTATAAAGAGCTTTTTATATTCTTTTTTTCTCAACATGCTTTCCTTGTCTCTCTTTATTTTCACGAATTTTCTTTTCCAAGTGTTTGATAATTTTTTTAATATTTAAAAAAATAAAATCTTCTCATTTAAATTTCAACGAAACCTTTTTATCTTTGTACATCAGAGTTTTTAAGAATAATTTACGACGTAATTAAAAGTCATAAATACTTTAAGTGTTTTCATGTTAAAGTGTTTTGCTGAGCAGAATTACGATGAAAATAATTACCTCAGGTATTTACGCCAAAGTTTTGAGACTTTTGAATATCTACAACATTGTTTTCGATTAAAAAAGGCTAAATTTACACGAAATTCGGAGGAAAATTAATTTCTTTTCTCTGCTATCTTATCTTCACATTCATTGATTTCAATTAATTACCGTTTTACGCAAACTTAAGTTCCACAACAAATGAAAACTTTCATAGTCGTTTTCGTTACTGTCGTCATCAAAAATTCATGGAATAGAAACATCTCAAGTTCAGGCAAATAAAAACGAGTCCGCTTCATTACATTTTTTGAACGAGAAAAATGGAAAGGAAAAAAGGGAAAAGTAAAAACTTTTTAAAAGAACATTTTTTCTGATATATTTACATACAATGCAAAGCATAAATCCAGAAGTCAACTTTAAAGACAAATAAAAGTCAAAAAGGTTCATCTGCTCACTGAATACAAATCATAATAACAAGACACATAAAAGGTTACGAATTTACTTCCTTTCATTTATTAGATATGAGAGAACGTTGAATAATGAGCAAAGTTCTGAAATATGGGAAGAAAAGGGAAATTATAATCAGGGCTTGGAAATTAAATCAAAACTAATTTAATCTTGATTAAAATTTTCTGAGAATTGTAAAATGATGGAAGCTCATAAAAAGAACATTAAAGCTTGTTTATTAAAAAACTTTAAACTTTTCCTGCTTGATTCTGTTTATGAATAAATGTTTTATGTTAAATCATAACCGTAGATAAATATTTTCTGAAGATATTTCAATGTGTTTGAAAAGGTCAGTTTAAAGCAAAACGGAAAATCAATTTTCCTCGCTATGTGAAATGAAGCGGATCAACGAGGAAAAATAATTTTATTCTATTCAAATCACGTAAATGTCTCCGGTTATTTTTTTTCTCCTTTGCAAATATATATAAGTTCAGATGATTTTGAAGGATGGCAATGGAGCTCGTGCACGAAGCCTTTTCTCTGATTTAAGAAAGGTGCATGAACTCTCTTTCAGTTAAACATTCAAGAAACAAGATTTTGACTTTGATTGACTTAAAAAGGAATCTCTATAGAGACTAAACTTTGTAGATAAGTAACAATATCTGCTGTGTAAGGCATAAGCGGTTAGCAACAGCAAATCACCAAATAAACAAATTTCATGACTACGTTTAACTTCTGACATTTTCACGATAAAAAATTTAAAATTCAATTGAAATATTCAAGAATCTCAATTAATTTCATCGTTCAACGTCAATCCCCAAAAGCAAACATTCATCTTCATCTGGCTGATGACAAAATGAAATCGAATTTCAAATCAATGAATGATAATTCATGCTCTTATTTCGGACTGATATCATTGTCGACCTGGTATTGTTTCAGCTTCTACCTCCGATATTTGGTGAAGGCAAACACGTTTTATATTCCAGTTCATTTCACAACCGCTTTCTTTTGTCATTTTATTATTTCCAAAGTGTGTCATTTACCTCTCGTCTCCACCCACAATGCCGAAAGGGAAAAAAAAACTTTTTGAGTGACGTGAAAGAAAAAACCGCACGGCGTGACTTTTTTCTGCTTAAATCTATTTTTAGTATTTAATCATATAAAAAGCGTGACAGAAACTTTCGCTGTTTTAAAAATAGAAACTCAAAACCAATGGAAATGATAACATTTCATGAAATTTACATAATAAAACCAAATTTGCACTTAGCATTCCAATAGAATTCCCTTGACAAATAACATTGAACAAAGATGAATGATGACGAAAGCAGCCGCAAGTCCTTTCTAAGCAAAAAGACGAACTTTGCATTTCATGCTAATCAGGGATATTTAAACGTCAAGAAAACATCTTACGTAAATAGATTAGCTTTCAGCATTCAAATGATCAATCTGAAGTTTTGCTCGTAATTTAGGCGCGTGGGCGATTGAGTTAAGACATCATCAGCTCAAAATTAATTAAAATATATTCTACTTAGTTGTCGTTTCAAGTAAGATTGTATTGTTTCAAAGGTTTCTTGAGATAACCAATTTAATTATCTTTAATGTTTCTAACATCTGCAACAAAAAATACTCAAGAGAAGGAAAATTTTGAAGCAGTAAATTCTTCAAGTATGTGAACCTTTTTAAATAATAAGCTCAATGAGGTATACAAGAAGAGATTTCACGATACTTGAATAAGGTTGTTAAGTGAGAATAAATGCTTCTTTAATGTTATCAACTATGTTCTCTTTCTAACCTTCTTCACGAGACTTTATCGTAAATGTAAGACGATAATGAATTATTCTAAAGATTTAAATATTTAGCACCTCTGAAAATAATTTAACGCCTCTGCCTTCTCGTTTGAAGGAACATTAAAGATTTCTTCGGTCTAAAATTCGAGAATAACTTTAAGAATGAAGATTTTGAATCTTAAAGAAGGGAAATTAAAAGACGAAGAATGATAAAACTTTTGATGGTGTTCTTGAATTACTTTTTTAATTGCTATCGAATAAATGTTTCTCGAGAATATTTCTTTACTCACATCGTATCATTTAATCGTCGTTTTGTGTGCTTCATAAAAAGTTTTGTACGACTTTCATGATGTTTCACAAAAAACAGAAGAGCGAATGTAACTATGACTGTCATTATTCATTTTAGACGTATTGTCATGTACACATTTCATCAGTTAATTAAGAATGAAAATATTCACATCATAGCCGCATCCCTCATCAAAAGAAAGCGTTAAGCTTTGGGTGAAGTTATTAAAATATTCAAAATGTTTAACATCGTCAGCATGTCTATGGAGCCTCAAGGAAGAACCTTTGATAAATCGTTTTAGATTTGGCAAGCGTTCATAAATCACGCATTTTCTAACTTTTATCTTTTATATTTCCTTTGAAATTTCTAATGTAAACGACACTACCTACTCGCACTGTATGATGATGACGATTATTATTCAAAATTTTATTCTTGTGAACAAAGGTTCGTAGCGTCACATGGTTTAGAATGTCATGACTGACATTTCATGCTTAAATCATAAATGTAACGATCATAAAATTTGGCAACTCATTCGAGAATTTCCTTTTCAGTTTGATATTCAAATAAAGAAGTTTCCTATCCTGATATTTAACCAGAAAAGGGGAAAAGGTCTTTTCGACTTTGAAACTTACATAAAAGTTTATTTCCTTCTTCCAACAGAGAAAAAAAACCTAAGAAAAACTTCAAAGTAATGTTCGTTGAGTGATGTGGAATAATCAATTTCCAATCATATTTCTATCAATAAATGTTAAAATTTTGGGTCATCATGATGTGGGAAGCCATAAAAAAATCATTTTTTATTTTCATAATTTTTATTAAGAAGAAATCTTCTTAACATTTATTTTTCTTTTCTAAGATCAAACCAATCGAATTTACAGATTTTCCTTTCCTTCAATCCGTTGAACGAGCGAGAAACGATTTATATTTGGAAGGTTAAAAGACCTTTAAATATCAAAAGGTAAAACTTTACCTTCGAGCCTAAACAAAAAGCCCACACAGACTAAGATAAAATTATCATCTTGCCTTAATTAAAATCTCAATAACATTTTCGAAACTCACTTAGTAACATGCAATAAGAAATCATTTCCTTTCTTCTTTAAACTTATTAGTTCACTTTTTTTGATTAAAATTAAAGAAGTTCTTTTTTTCGTTTCCTTCATCATCACTTTAGCAGACCAGACTTTTAGGGAATCACTTTTGGGCAAATAGGCCAGAATTAAGAGAGTGGAAAAATTAAGAAATAAAAAGGGAAACACAAAATAAGTAGAATTTAAGGGAGAAAGTAGTTCAGTTACAGTGTCGCCATCTATTAGTCATTTCTCTCGTACGTAACGTTCGATTTTTCCTACTGATAAATTTTCTTTTCCTATTCTTATTATTGTTGTTGTTTTATCATAAATATGCAAAAAGAAAACATCGAGCAGTGATTGTTTTTCTTCTATCAAAATATATAAAGTGTATAAAAAGAAATGCTGAGCGGATTAATGTCGGTTTACATTTCCAAGTCAAAAATCATTCCGCTTTTGAAGTTTACATCGTTTCCATTCATTACACGATTGGCATTTGATTTCTTGTTGGATATTTTGATTTTTGTTGCATTCTTCTCAGACAAATCGACGCCCGAATCACGTTTCTCCGACTTCATGTCATTCGACACGTGCTCAAATCTTCTCACATCATCGTCTTCCTGTTGTGTACGATTGAGATGAGAGAGAAAAGTAAACATGTAAGCATTTAATTCGGAAACATAAATTTATTTTGATTTTATTTATAAAATCCGCCCACGCTCCGCTTACCTTTTCATCAAATTCGTCATCGTGCTTTTCGCTTTCACTTCCTTCACTGTGACGACGATCCAAAGCACGCTTGCGACTCGCTTTCTTCTTCTGGTTTTTCTTTTTCTGGGCCAAAATTGAAGTGTTTGAGCTGCCAATTACATATAAGAAGAGACGATAAAATATTTTAGTCAGGTTTCGGAATTTCTTTTGACATCTATTATATTCTTATCTAGGAAATTGTTCAAGATTGTAAAAGGAAATTCATCATTTGTGAAATAATTTGGATAGCTTTAATGTAAGCTGTAATCGTTTTATGATGATATAAAAAAATCTCGCGTTCATTGCCTTCGGCGTCTGTTATTTGAGCTTAAAATTCAATACGCAAAACCAAATGAAATGTATCAATTTTTGGAATTATCATGAAAAGATGAACATTGCTGGGAATTGTCAATTACTTGAAATAAAAATATTAAAAGCTTATTGAGATTTGAAATAAAAACAAATTCTAATCCCTGGAAAAAGAGAATCAACCCACATTCCTTGTAAACGTTAAGTAATTGCCAATTATCACTTACCGAAAAATTTGCCTTTTGATAATGTCACTAAATCTGACGGTTTTCTTGCAACTTTCGGAGAGCGAATCATGCGATTGACAAATACCAAAGTCAGCAGACATCGAGTAGAAGTTTTTCGATTGACGTCGATCATCGATTGGACTTTCATTACATTCAGAAAAAGACGAACGATTCTTCAGAATTGATTTGTAAAGGTGATGATTAGGTTGCGGTGCATCACCACCGCCATGTTCGTCGCTTGACTCACTAACACTTCGAGCTTTCTTACGTCCTTTCGATTCCTTTTCATCCAACTTCAACGAATCCATTTCATTTATAACTTTTAATTGATCGCAATACGATTCTGACATTGAACGCATTTTACGTTTATTTCGTTTACGCGTGGCTTTCTTAGATTGTCGTTTGAAGTTGTCACCAAAAACATCTTCTTCGCCAAAAACATCTTCAGACACTTCATCATTCGATGTTTCATTACGTGATGTTTCTGAATCTTTGCGAGTGACTTCAATTATAACTTCAGTTTCATGATCGGAATTGACTTCTATACTCAAACTATCGTCTTCAATTTCCTTTCCATCAGACGTCATTGGATGCTTTGTCATCAATTTCTCTGCAATGTCGTAACTGACCATATCGTTGATATCCTTTCCAGCTTCATACGAAGGAAAATCATAATTGTTAAGTTCAAATTGAAAGATCACATTGTTGTCCCAAGCTTCAGCTGAAATCTCTCGGAATATTCCCGAATATTGTGATGGAAATCTCACACAAAATGAATAATGAATTGGAAAGAATCCTGAACCAATTGACGAGAATTTAATGTGAGCAATATTTATTAAATCTTTTCGATCAATGCTGATGCTTGATGGATCAACGTTCTTCACATGAAGTGTGAAAGCCAAAATTTCATCAATTTGATTAAAAGTAAAGTTAGGTAGCATGTAGTCAGTGTTTGTATCGAGAAAAGCATTATCACTTGATGAATCGTTACTATTGTCATCAGTTGGAGAATCATTCGATGATTCTGATTCCTTTCCATCAATTTGTTGTTGTTGATGGTCACTTTCAATGCCGGAATCTTCGCGTTGAAAGTCAGTGATGCGAAGTTTCTTTTCAGATACAACAGGAAGTGTTATGACAAGTTGACGCTTAGTTTTATCAAACTTTGCACTTCCATTCTCTTCTATAACTTCATAAGGTAAATTGATGTCGAGTCGATATTTCGCAGGCTTTTCACTTAACAAAACAATTCGCTTCTTAGTGACATCAAGCTGAGCGTCTTGAGTGTTGTTGAGCAATGGCAAATCAATCGACACGACAAGTTCATTCGGTATTGTGACATTCAATTTTGCATCAATTTCATGTGTCATTTCTTGATAATCAACGCTACGACGTTGAACAATTTTGTACTTAGGGATCGTGTACTCGTTTATTGGTGCTTCCGAAAGTTTCATCTCCCTTGGCGTTTCTTTGGACTCATCAGGCATTGGTGGGTAAATACTATCAATTGGACTCGGCTCAATCTCACTTCCATCAAAATCCGCAATCTTTTTTCTAATCACAGTCGCTCGTGCGATTCCTTTGTAAGAGAGTTTTGGAAATTTCAAGTTTGCTCGATCGAGTTGAACATTGTGTGCTTGTTGAATGGCATCGATGGCAGTGTCATTGACCAATTTACGGAATGAAGTGTTGCGTGATGCCAAATGAAGAGCATCGGGATGGAAAACAACATCGTAAACATAGCACAATTGATTTTTCTTGTCCATATCTTGTCGAGGTGGCGTCAGAGTGTATGGCAGACTCCAGTTCAAGCCACGTTCACCATTTGTATTTACCATCGAAGCACTCGATGGTTTATCAATTTTATCATTCGTAGCAATATTGATGAAAGCTTTGCTCTTGCCATCAGCGCTGGTTTTTATCACATAGCCTGGTTCAGGGTTGATGAAAGTCACATCAACTCCGCGTTCCTTTTCAAGTTGAATAATTTCTCTCTCATATAATTTCCGGTTTTCTGGGTCGCTTATTTCTTCACAATAATCAACAAGCATTTTCCTAAACTCTTCTTTCTTCAATGCTTCGCTGATTTTATTGACTTCATCACGAGTCACTTTCAGCTCTCCCCATTCCTTTTGCGACATTTTTAAAACGCACAAACTTCTTATCGCCTGACAAACTAGAAAGAAAATTCGAGGCCGAAATTAGTTTTATTTTAATTTTTTTTCGACGCAAACAAACAATCTTCTCTTACACACACACACGCACGGAAAATAAAGTTAGTTGTGATGTTGTTGGATCGATTGCTTCTTCTTATTTCTTGACACTTTTTTCTTCTCTTTTCTTGGGTTCGGCAAATGACTTTTTCACAAGGTGATATTAATTGAATGGCAAATGATAAAATGCTTTAAATTTAAGATAATCTGGCAGAATGAATGTTTTTTAATAGAAATGCACTAGTTTTATTGTAGTAAATATGTGATATAAATGATAAATTTTATTTTGAAGTAGAGGCCTGACAAATTGAAAACTTTTTAACAACACAAACACAATCGTATGGAAGGTCAAATCCACGCAAACCGACTAAAGAAAAACAATTTTCTACACTCAAGAAAAGTAGTTGGCGAAAATTTCCTTTTCCTTTTATGTATCTATAATTATTAATGACTTGAAGAATAGTTTGATTATTGCAGATTAACTTTTATGTCTATCTTTTCCAAACTGCGGCTATATTCAATTAGAGAAAGAATGGAAAAAATCCAAATATACTCTCCGTGCAGAATTGTGTATGTGTGAGAGAACATTTGCACCGAATGTAAAAGCGAATGTAAACAAAACCGATAAATATGAAATTATTACCATGACACCTCGTTTTCATTACGAAATCTGATAAATCAGGCTGGAAACATATTTGCGGAAAACAAAGTTTATCGTAAACCTTCTCAATAATATATTAAAAATTGATGTAATCTTGCTGCGAAAATAGGAAGTTCTAAACTCGTTTTTGTAGCGCTTTTAGTACTCGATTTGAATTTACATTAACCGTTAAAATTGAGAAAAATAGTGAAAGTGTTGACGCAGTTAAAATCTGGGATTTTAAGAAATGAACAATGATTGATAGACACATCTTTGAGTTCATCTAAAAATTAATTTTTACTTGTCATATTGACTTGTATTTTGTGTTATCTTTTAGCAGATATTTTTCTATAGGCAGATATTATTTGGAAGTTGCTTTCAATGTTCTCTTTGGATTTTTATGGTTTCGATGGGCTTAAAGAATTATAGGATATTTGCAGGAGCTTCCAATCACTGATTGGTAGATATGTTCTCTCAAACCAAATCTTAAAAGATGAGAATGAGGAATCAAAACAACTTAGGCCATAAATTAATTCTTTTTTTTTTTTAAAAACTTTTTTTTTTTTTTTTTTTTTTTTNTGTTAGTACTCGATTTGAATTTACATTAACCGTTAAAATTGAGAAAAATAGTGAAAGTGTTGACGCAGTTAAAATCTGGGATTTTAAGAAATGAAAACAATGATTGATAGACACATTTTTGAGTTCATCTAAAAATTAATTTTTACATGTCATATTGACTTGTATTTTGTGTTATCTTTTAGCAGATATTTTTCTATAGGCAGATATTATTTGGAAGTTGCTTTCAATGTTCTCTTTGGATTTTTATGGTTTCGATGGGCTTAAAGAATTATAGGATATTTGCAGGAGCTTCCAATCACTGATTGGTAGATATGTTCTCTCAAACCAAATCTTAAAAGATGAGAATGAGGAATCAAAACAACTTAGGCCATAAATTAATTCTTTTTTTTTTTGAAAAGCTTTTGTTTCTTATTTTATTGTTTTATTTTATTAGAAAATCATGTTCCTGTTAAGTATGTGAAAAAAATTTTTATTAGATGTTTTTTCAATGCTTTTGAACAGTGAGCAATGACTAAAATATTCATTATGATAAGAAAATCTTTTAGTGAGACATGAAAGATCCTTATCATGAACATTATCAAATTGAGATATTTTTGATGCCCACAAACAACAAATATTGACTTATTTTTAAATCTATCTGCTACTTGTTTTCTCAATGTAAATTACCTTGGAATTACTTAAAACAAAAGTATCATGCTTTAATGTTTAGGCGCTTATCTATTTTCTCACTTATCCAATGAAGTGGAGAAAAAATTCAGTGACAGATTTTTCAGATCTTCCCAGCTTTTATCCGTCTCTACTTTAATAAATTTGTCTCTCAGATCTCATCAGTGTTCAGTGAGATATGGATCTTAAAAAGGAAAGCACGAATATTGAAACTGCTAGTGCAAGTGATGATAAACCGAATTTAAAAGGAGATTACAAAAATGTTGTTTTATTGTCAATACTTTACATTCTTCAAGGTGAAATTATAAATGATTATTAAACAATTTTATTAGTCCCAATCATAAATTGATTAGGCGTTCCCATGGGACTGACACAATCAATGACAGTGATGCTTCAAAATCGCGGTGTATCATACACAGATCAGACGATATTTTATACAGCAGTTTATCCATTTACTCGTAATGATATTGATATGCATAAAACAAAATTCATGCTAACAACTTTTTAATTTTTAAGTGAAAATTTTATGGGCACCGATCGTTGATTGCGTTTATTTTAAAGTGATCGGAAGACGAAAAACTTGGCTTCTTCCAACACAGACTCTCATAGGGTTTTCGATGCTTTTCTTAGCACAAAAAGTTGACAAATGGTTTGGTGATGAATCGAATCAAAAACCTGACATAATTTTGATCACAACAGTTTTCTTCTTCTTATGGATTTTAACAGCAACTCAAGATATTGCAGTGGATGGTTGGGCATTAACGATGCTTCAGCGAAAGAACGTCGGATATGCTGCGACAATAAATTGTGTTGGTCAAAGTTTCGGCGTGTTGCTTGGATTTACTGGATTTTTGATACTTGAATCGAAGGACTTTTGCAACGCGTGGATATTTAGTGAACCTAGAAATGAAGGTCTCGTAAGCTTTTCTCAGTTTCTCGGATTTTGGGGAGTAAGTTTTCTGACAACGACATTTTTCATAGCACTTTTCAAAAGAGAAAACTCAGAAGCTGAAGAAGAATTAAATTCACATCCAGATTTTGGAATCAAGAAAGCTTATCCTATTTTATGGAAAATCGTGAACATAAAACCAATTTTGATGTTGGCAGCAATATTCTCAACCGTTGATTTATGTACAACAGCATGTGATATGATAACAAATTTGAAATTGATTGATCATGGAATTCCAAGAGATAAAATCGCGCTTTTCAACATTCCTTCATTCATTGTTCAACTGACACTCCCAATTATGGTGTCAAAATACACAGCAGGAAGATATCCAATGAATGTTTACTTCAAAGCTTTTCCTTTTCGTTTAATAATGTCAGTTGCAATCGCTGGATTTGTTTATGCAACGCCGTCAATTGTTGAAGGAAAACTTCACGATATTCCTGCTTATTATTACGCCGGAATTATGATCATAATTTTCTTTTATCAGGTAGCAGTCACATTTGAAATTTTAACTATTTATAGACATTATCTTTATTCTCTTAAAGATTGCATTACGCTCTATGTACACAGCAGATATGTCTTTCTTTGCTAAGGTCGCTGACCCAATGGTAGGTGGAACTTATATGACATTGATGAACATTAGTTACATTGGTGGGAAATTCGTTAAAACGTTTTCAATTTGGTTTGTGGATGTGATCACTTGGAGATCTTGTTATTTTCCGGAAAACGACATCAACAACATAAGCATGACACAATTAACGAATAATTCATGTGAAAACGATTTTATGAAAAATGAATGTGTCAACAGTGGAGGCATTTGCCAAATTGATATCGATGGATATTATTTGGAAGTTGCTTTCAATGTTCTCTTTGGAATTTTTTGGTTTCGATGGGCTAAAAGAATTATAGGACATTTGCAGGAACTTCCAATAACTGATTGGTATGTTCTCTCGAACCAAAGAATCTCAAAAGATGAGAACGAAGAATTAAAACAGCTCAGGCCGTAAAATAATTTGTTATTATTTTTTTATCTTTATTTATGGTAATTTAATGTTGACTATTTTATGAAAGTATTAAAAATTTCTCTTAGATATAAGTTCAATGTATTGTGATCAGGAAAATCTGAAAGCTTTTGTGAACTGGTTCAAAAGCTTTCGAAAGCTTATTTCGAAAATTCTGATAAAAAATGACATCGTTCTAGTACGTTGGTCTGTTTGCAAAAATTCTAGTACGATTGTATAAACCAAAACAATAAAATCTTCATTAAAATACCGACAAATCTTCTCCCAATAAATAGAAAATTCAATTCATTTTGGTGTTTTTAGTTTCACCATGGATTTATATTCATGGGTAAATCATAATAATTAAATGACATTAACACTGAATCATTCTATAAAGTTTTTAAAATATATTTTGTTTAAGGGCGCAAATAGTCATGGACAGCTTGGAGTTGGAACATTTAGTGAGTTCGAATTCATCACATTAATCAACAAGAAACCAGAAGGTATAAAAGCAATTGCTTGTGGAGGAGGTCATTCAATAATTCTTGATTGTTCTGGAGATTTATGGACGTCAGGATGGAACAACAAAGGTCAATTAGGAATAAAATCAAAAGTTGACACAAATCTTTTTGAAAAAATCAATTCTGATTGCAAATTCCGTTCAATATCATGTGGTTGGGATACATCTTCTGCAATTACTTTAGATAATAGAATCTTCGTATGGGGTTCTAATAATTACAATCAGCTAGGATATTCAAATAAACAACAAAAAGTGATAATGGAACCAATCGAGCTTAAACTTCCAAATGACAATAAAGCTTTAGATATAAAATTTGGATTGCGTCATTCAGCTATCCTCACAACAACTAATCAACTTTACATCATTGGTTCTCTGAAGCACTTTAAGGACATGAAATTATCCAATAAAATTATTCATCACAATTCAACAGAATTTCTTCAAATTGAGATTTACGAGAGTAAAATTCGTCAGATTTCTAGTGGCCAACATCACATCACGTTTCTAAATGATCGAAATGAAATAACATCTGTTGGCGATAACAAATTCATGCAATGTACTGAAGTTAACTTAAGTAATGTGATTTGTAAATTGTCATCGGGTTGGACTCACAATGGATTTCTTACTGACCAGAAGGAACTTTATTTGAATGGACGAAATAATTATGGACAGTTAGGAAATGGACTTCGAAGTGACTTTGAGAAAAGCCTCCAATTTCTTTCAATAAATCAAATTGATGATTTCGAACTTGGTGCTGAGCATGGAATTCTCAAATCAAATGGAAAAATCTTTACGTGGGGATGGAATGAACATGGGAATTGTGGCAATGGCTCGTTTAAAGATGTGCTGGAACCAAAAGAAATTCAATTGCCTCATGAATACGATAAAATTTCTGTTTTTGCTGGCTCAGGATTTTGTATGGTAAGAAATTTATATTTCTCACTTATTTTAAATCAATTCCTTCTATTATTTTTAAAGGCTCTTTGTCAACTTTCATGATATTGAATTTATGGAGATTTTTGTCAAGAAACAAAGTTTTGTTGTTGATAATTTTAACTTTTATTGTTACTTATAAAGAAAATCATTCAAAGTACAAATTATTCTTCTGAAGTGTCATCGTCCATACTGACATCAGAATTTTCCTCATTGGGTGCTTTTGAAACCAGCAACATCGCATCATCCTCGTCATTATTTGTTGGCATAAGTTTCGAAGTTTTTCTAATGACACGAATCGTGTATTTGTTGTAGTCACAACTGAAATTGATAATGAAAGATTAATAAAAGGTTCTTTAATTTTTGTTGATTATAAAATCTTACATTTTGTTCAAAGCTTCATATTTTCGGTTAAGATTTTGATGTAAACTAACGAGAATTTGAGGATCTAAAATTTCATTCTTCTGACCGAATTTCGTTAAAGCTGAACACGTCCATTTTAAATAAAATTCTAAATGTTGAGTGTTGAGCATTTTCGAGAGGAAATCAACGATTCTTGGAATGAATGCTGGTGGAAGTGAATCAAGAACGAGTTCAATTTCTTTGTGTGGAATTTTCTCGATAATTTCTTGAATTAAATTATCTTCATTGAGCTTCAAACTCATAATAAGAGCAGACGAATATTCTCTATCTTCAATGAAGGATCTGGCAGCTTTTGGTGTCACTTCAATTGACATTTGAAATGGATCAAAGACAATTCCTTTATCAAGTGAGTAAATCATGAGACCTTCAGTCGAAGCTGCTGCCCATTGTTGGCCATTCGGCGAGAACATTAAAGACGAGACTCCAACTTCAGGTTTAAAGTTTCTCGATGCTACGTCGTTCTTTTGTGCACCAGGAAGTTTCAGTTTTATATTTCCACCTTCAAGTTTATCGCGCTCTTCAATCAATGCTAAATTTCCAAAGTCTGTTAAGTTTCTTCGGTTGATAAATTCCTAAAGAAATAAAATTAAAAAAGAAAGTAAAGAAGAAAAACTTAAAATTCTCACCGTCATTCCATCCAGACTCATATTTTGAGTGATTTCAAATTTCTTTAATAAAATTCCTTCTCTCACATGATAAATGCAAACAAACTTCGATTTTCCACCAGCTAAAATGCATTCACCATCAGCTGAATATGTGATCGATGAGAAATATTTTGTTTCCATGCTTTTCTTGGCCGAAACAACGTCACCATCTGAAATGCTAAAACCAACATCTCGTTTACATTCGATAGTGTTGATCTGTTCAGCTGAGACGACATTAAAGATGCTGATTGTGCAATTTAAACTCGCCACAGCAACTTCTTCGCCGTTTGGGTTAAAAGCAACGCAAACAACATCTGACGATAAGTCGACAGTTTCGTGTGATCCTGAAGTTTCTAAACAATTCCAAATTTTGATTGTGTGATCCCAAGATCCAGAAACAAGAGCTGAAGAAGTTGGAACAGGCGAGAAATCTAAACTTGCAACTGGAGCTTCATGACCACTCAAAACTTCCAAAATCTTTCCAAACTTCAACGACCACAAATGAATATCGAAGACATCTTGAGCGCCAGCTGCAACAAGTTCACCAGAATAATCAATTGCAACACAACTAAACTGAACTAAACGAGGTGCTGTAAATGTCTTAAAATTTCTATAACGAATCATGTCAAAAGCACGAACAGTTCCATCGAGCGATGCTGAAGCAAAGAACTTCTTATTTTTACAAAAATCAATTCCAGTCACTCCACTTGTGTGTTCGGAAAATGTCATGAAACAAAATCCGCTTTGAACATTCCACACTTTCACTTTTCCGTCGTAACTTCCAGTCACAATGAAATTTCCATCAGGCGAGTAAGAAATTGAACTCATTACGTTACTATGTCCTTGTTGTTTCATCACATACTGTTCACTTTGCCATTCCCAAACTAACAACTGACCAGCTCCTGACACTCCCAAAGCAACCCAATCACCATTTGTGTTGAAGATTGCAGTGTCAACTGCATAATCTGAGATGTTTAAAGAGTGAATCATTGTGACGTCAGGAAGTTCGTGGAGATAAAAAGCACCAGTCGAATATGCTGTCACTAACAATTTAAGCTTTTTATGGTAACTTGCTGAAGTCAACTTTACATTTCGATTTTCTTTTTTCAATTCATCCATCAAGTAATGTCTGGCTAAACGTTTGTAAAAGAATTTTTGTTTCTCTTCATCATTTGCAACAATAATTTTTCCTTGTTTATCTCTTGAATTATTTTCATCTCCCGATGACTTCTCAACTTCATCTTCATTATCAAAATCGTCATCTTCATCGGAATCTTCCTCCTTCTGACGTTTATCTTCAGGTTCCTCGGTTTTCACATAAACAAGTTCAATGAAATCTTCCGCTTTCATACTTGATTCCCACATACTTAATTGTCCATTTCGACTGATCAAAAAAGCATTCAAAGAATTCTCTTCGAAAGCGCAACTCACAATTTCATCCGAATGTCCACTTAATACAAAAGGACGAAAATTTTCCAACAGTCGAAGTGCAAAAATTTTTGCAGAATTGTCTTTTGATCCAACAATAATAAATCGTGAATCGAATGACCAGTCAAGACATGTTTTTTCTTCGTGAGCATCGTGGAAGATTCTTTCGATGATGAATGAATTAAATTGACCGGTAATCATTCCAGGACTTTTGAAAATGTAAACCAATTCAGCGACGCACATTGCAAAGAATTTTCCATCAGGACTAAATTTTATGCATTTTGGTTCACAATTAAATTTGTAAGTGTGGATGACTGTTTGACTTATCATACTAATCATGAAGGTTTCACCACTTTCATTTGATGCTACAAGCAAACAACCGTTCGGAGAAAGATCCAACGATGTGATGTTGTAATTGCTTTGAATCGAAAGTGTTTGTGATTTATTACTAAAAAAATAAAAGGAATTAAATATTTTCCATGGTAAACTGCTACAATTCTTACTTTTTTAAATCATATACAGTTAATCTGTTGCCAACTGGGCTGATGATTGAATTTCCATCTTTGCTGAAAACCAAATTTCCTTTGCGGAAAACTGTTCCGAGCAAGTTGCTGAACTAAAATATAATGCAAACAATTAATTAAATATTTAATTTAACTGTTAGAAATATTACCTTATAAGCAAACTTCATAACTTGCAGTTTACAATATTTTCTAAGTTTATTTAAATTTATAGAAATTCCTGATTCCCGCACGTGTTATGAAAACAATTTTTTGTTTTGAAGTTGACACCCTTTATAACGTACACCTTCAACATAACGGCATTTTTGTTGAAGTCTCAATAAAACGTTTGTAAACATTACTTCAAACGTTCAATCTAAAAATTAAGTTTTGTTCAATTTAAATATTATAAAGTGAAGAACTTAGTGATAATTACGGTCATTTGAAGTACAATAATAATCATCATTACATTGCTCTCGAAAAGGATTTAAAAGGAATACAAGAAAATGTCAGAACGAAAAGTTTTAAATAAATATTATCCACCTGATTTTGATCCATCAAAGATTCCAAGATGTAAACTTCCTAAAAATCGTCAATATACAGTACGACTAATGGCTCCATTCAACATGAGATGTGTGACGTGTGGTGAATATATTTACAAGGGTAAAAAGTTCAATGCTAGAAAGGAGGATGTTGAGAACGAAACTTATTTGGGTATCAGGATTTATAGATTCTACATCAAATGCACCCGATGTCTGCAAGAAATATCCTTTAAGACTGACCCTGAAAACACAGATTATGAGATTGAAGCTGGTGCTACACGAAACTTCATGGCTCTTAAGCTAGCTGAAGAACAAGCACGTCGTGAAGAACAAGAAGCAAGGGATGAAGAAGCAAACAATCCAATGAAGCTTCTTGAGAATCGTACCGAACAGTCAAGAAACGAAATTGAGCTTCTCGAATCTTTAGAAGAACTTAAAGATTTAAGGACTCGTCATGAAAACATTGATTATGACGCTCTTCTCAATCAATACGATCCGACAGAGACTGAAGAGCAACGTGAACAGAGATTAGCGAAACTTGATGAAGATTATGTAAAAACAGTGAAATTTAAAGGAACTCCAAACACACAGAAACGCGTAGTGACTGAGGAAATAATTGAAGATGTTGGTGAACCTGAAGAAATTCCTGTAAAGAAATCGAAAAATGAAAGTTTTGCTCCAAAAGTTGCCAAGGCTTCAATGAAGAAACCTCTTGTACTGGTAAAGAAAAAGGAATCTTCTAAAATTGAAACTACAACGAGCCCTTCAGTGGATAAAGAGACTAAGCCATCAGGATTGTCATTATTATCAGCATATTCAGATAGCGAGTCAAATGACGATTAAGTTAATTTTTTTTCTAACGCTCACAACATGTAAAATTTGTTAAGAAAAATAATAAAATAAAAACTTGTTTCCAATATTTGTAAATTTAGTTATATTTCAAGAGTAGATTTTAATATAAATTCCCATAAAAGAGGAAAATGCAATTAAAAAATAATTTTCCGACAATTTCCATTTTTAATTACAACCATTTTCCTTTTGTGTATACATCGAGAGTTTTTCGCTGTAAATGTAATTGCATGCACGTTCACATGAGTTGAATGGAAAGTTTTTCTTTGAATTATTTTGCAATAGAGTTCATCAAACTATTTAAAATGAAAAACAAAGAATACTTGAAAATGAGTAGCGGGAAATTTTCAATTGTTTGTAATCTGATTACTAGAACAGCGCCGGAAGGTTCATAAATGAAATTATTGACTATTTATTAACATGACCTTACACATGTTTTTATGTTAAACTTCATCACTCATCGAAAAACATTTTCACATCATCTGAAATTCATTTCAAGTTCGTAAATAAACAATAAGGTTTTTAGTTTTTCCAGGAAAACTAGTCAACTTAATAATGGAAATGAAGGAAAGTTTTTGACTCTGGTTGTGACAACAGAACAAGCGTAACATTAAAAAAGTTTAATTTTCTTCCGTTTTGCTTTTGTTTTAAGGAAAATTCGTAAGCATTACGTGAAGTTCTTTGTTTCTTATAGAAAGTAGAAAGATCGTCAGATTATTATCCCTTTTTATTGTCAAGCTACTTCCCACTTTCTAAGTTTTCATATTCCAGAAAATTTTCCATTCTGAATATCAAACTCTAAATTCATTCTCTATTCACATCAAATAAATATTTAAAATCATGAATGGAAACCCTCAAAACTTTTTTTCCTTTAATTTGGAACCTGATGTGCTCATTGTTTGAGTTTATAATTAATATTATTAGGAACGTTCCTTAACATTGAAATAACCCTTGACAAAGCTTGTTTGAAAACATGGAAAGCATTCAAATTATCATTAAGTAGATCTTTTAGATAACGAAATTGAAAAGTTATTTGACAAATGAAATTAATTAATAAGGATGAATAATTTTCGTGAGATATAAATGCTGGCTGTTTGGTGGATAACAATTTAAGTTGAAATTAATCCAGTGAATTGTCAAGATGGCTTTTGTTCCATATACTATTCGATCATATGAAAAATATTATAAAATATCAAAATTGCTGGGATATAGAACAACGACTATAAGAAACGGAAAAACTGTGTTGACGCTAAGTGATGTTCTGATTTTAATTTTAGCTCTTTCAATTGGCATCGGCATTTGTTTTCTGGGATTTTCTTACTCTTCAGCCTTGGTTACATCGGAGTCAGATATTGCAAGTTATGGAAATTACATAGCTACGGTTTCATCAATTTTTATTTCGTTATCCTCAATGATATCGTTATTTATCTTTCGTAAAAGATTGTGGGGAATTGTGCTGAAATTTTCTGAAATGGATGAAAAAGTAAAAAAAAAATACAGTTGAATCGTTATAAGTGGAAGCTGAAGGGGTGGTCGTGTGTAGAGCTTTTCTTCTTTTAGAATGGCTTTTCAATATGACTGTAGTTGAAGGAGGTGGTCATGTATGGAGTTTTTCTTCTTATAGAGCTTCCACTTATTCGGGATTCGACTGTAATTATTTCAAAAATTTCTTAATGATTTTTTTATGACAGTTTTACCAGCTCGGATATCCCGTCAACTATACAAAGCAAATGAATAGAATTAACACATTTTGGATTCTTCAAACCTGCCTTCTTGTTCCATTTTCGGTTATTGTGTTCTACTTGGAACAATCTTTTATTAAAATTCTTTTCCGGCTGTATGGAAGCGTTTATTTCTGTATTACTATTGCTGGATTGACAAATAGCATCGCTGGTGTAAATATGAGGCTGAAAACATCAAACGAAATTGTCAGAATTAATCTCAATCAAAACGAAACTAAATCTAAAATAATTGTTGAGGAAAAAACTAAAACAGACAGCATCGAATTAATATCGACTTTGACAGAGATTTATGACATATTAATTGATTGTTGTGGAGACATAAATACTTGCTACGGATTTGTCATAATGACGTCATTTGGTCTTTGTTTCTTTGGAATTTTATTCACCATTTTTACTGCTTGCACGCATTTTCTTCACCATGGAAATTTATCCATCTCGATAATCATATCAATTTCCTTTTCTATCTACTATTTGTTTGTTTTGATGTCTGTCATTTACACAAGTGCGAGAAATAAAATTGAGGTAAGATAAATTTCAAGATTTAAGTTGAAGTTAAAAGAATTTTCTTTTTTTCCAAAAAAAAGGCTCAACATTTGTTGAAATCTCTCAACGTGATTATGAATCACTCGAAAGATCCTTTGAAAACAGCATCAGCTTTATCTTTCTCATTGTTAATTAAACGAAGACCGCCAACAGTTACATGTGGATTGTTTGACGTCGACTGGAAAATTTTATTTTCCATGATATCAAGCGCGACGACATATCTTGTGATTCTCATGCAGTTTGAATCATCAGCAGCCTCAAAACGTCATGAATAAGAAAAGTAAATGTTTCGTTGTCTCTGTTTTTCTTATCTCTATTATCAACTTATTTTAATTTACCCGTCATGGTGTAAATACCAAAAGTGTTTAACTTTACAAGTGAGATATCCTTTCGTACGTCTCAGTAAGCAAGTAGCAAAATTTATGACTCAAATATGTTAATGAAACGAATAACTTATAAATTATCTAAGCTTGATTTCCATTTTTTGTTTGTTCACGAGTTTTATGTTGTGGAAAACAAAACTTAAATATTTATGATGTACTGTTCATGTGTGAACGAAGAATGTTTAATGCCACAACATCAGCACAGCTACTGGAATAATAATTCTTTTATTTGCGAAGAATTTTTTATCGCATGAACATCTGCATTGAAGGAATTTTGCAACATAAAGATACGAAGTAGATATGCAAATTTAAATTATGAGATAATAACTTAAAATTTCTTATTAAATTGCATCAACTTTAGATTATTAAATATTTTGATTCATGCTTTGCATCTCTTTAATTTATGAGTGCTTTTGAAATTGATGTTGAGAATTAAACTAAACCACGAAGAAAGAATTTGGTTGATAGCATAAAAAGCAATATAATTAACCCTTTGAGCAAAAATACTTCAGAAAACTTTTCTATTTATGCATTTTGAGACTTGCTTCAAAGCTTTTTGTTGAATAGTGTTTGAATTTCATAAAATATGGAGAGCGTTGAAGAGTAAACAGCCTGAAGAATTCATATTTTATAAAACTTCATCTAAAGCACGATAATTCAATGTCTGTGTGTTTGTGATGATATTTTTTATCGAGTGTTCACAGAAATATGTACAGTGAATGTGATGAATTTAATTGGGATCATGCTGATGCTAAAATTCAACTCTAACATGTTTGCAAACACGTAGGAGCGGCAGTAATGGATTCCAGTCTAGAAATGGAATTTTTCAACAGTACTAGTGGAAAACTTATACATAAATGTTATAGCATAACAGCTATTCATATTTTACACTAACATAATTTATGATCCGATTTTTTATATCAAAATATTCCACAATACAAATTTTACGTTAAAAAAAAACCTTCAAAGTTTTTAATGATGTTATATGCCGCTCTTGCGTTGATTACTTTTATGACGATGTAATAAAGAAGCTTTAAGTTAAGCTAAATTGAAATTTATTGAACGTGAAGCAATACGCTTAGGATTTTTAGGATGAAATGAGAAATTATGTTGTGAATTTAATTTTGTTTGTTGTGTAATATTTTCATTTATTTCGCCGTCAATTTAAAAGAATTTTCCATGAAAAACAAAAACTAAACAATAAATTAAAGAAAATAATAAGAGATTTATCGTTTCACAAATAATTCTCAATATGAAATTGCATCTTCATCGCAATTTATCATGATGCTTTTTATTTGGTTTGTCACTTCTGGTTATAAAAATAAATTGTAAATAGCAATGAAAGAAAGCGAAGCAAACTATCACAGGAAATGGTTGGATGATATTTTTGCAGCTTTTGCCTTCATCAATTTATGAATGCAGAGGGAAAAACAATGCGATTTTCTTTCAAAACAATATCATTCGACGAGTTTTTCTGTTCTAAAGTTCGTTCATATTTTAAAGTGAAAAATGAAGGGAAGTTTGAAATGAAATGACAATCATTGATATACCTGACTGAATAAACAAACAAAAACCAATTTAACTTCATCATTCTCTCAGTGAAGTTGGAACATAAAATCGATAAGAAATCAATCGTTAATGGATCTCAAATTATAATAAGTGAGTGTTACTATCCATCGATTCATAACAAAGACTAAAGAATTGTTTTTGCTAACTAAATAAATGAAACGTCAATCAAGGCATTAATGGTTGGTAAAATAATGGACTCGAAATTTATTCAACCCAATGAGTCGAAAACTATTGAATGGAAAAATCATCCCGAATATTTTTCCTCTGTGCTTTTATGATAAAGTTAAGAACCTTGCTTGATACCTTTTGACTTCTCTCAAGTGTTGACTCATTTCTGTTTCAGCAATAATAAGCTCACATTATTAACGTATCATTGCGCTTTTGGGTTTTCCTATAAATATCTATCCGGATTGCGGAAGCTACAAAGATTCCGATTTGGGAGGTTTCAGTAAATATTTTGAAGCTCGTTATTTTCTTTTCACAACAACATCACAAACAATAAATTTATATTTTTGTTTATTTATCTCAATCGTTGTCCATCATTCTTATTTACATATTTGTTATAGAAATAAACATTTGTTTTTCATTTCAGTTCCTTTATCCGCAGGGTTAGTTAAGCAAACAGTTGAAACTTTTTATATCAACTGTCGACATTTTTTTTATTGAGTTTAAAAGTTTCTTAATATTTGAGATTTGTTGGAAGTGTAAAGCTTTCTTATTCAAATGAATAAAATTAAATGGAAAAATTTTCAATGCTGCAATTTTTCCACATCACTGTTCAAATATCAAAGCTCTCATTAATCTTCTTTTCTAAAATTTTATCATAAAAAATTCTGCAATTTATTTTAGTATTTCAGTAGAAAATTGTTTTCAAAGATGCTTTGAGAAATATTTTTTAGAGTTATGAATGTTTTTCTTCAGCTATTGGAAACTCTCCAAGCTTTTGTTGGTAGTGATGAATCTTGTAACATGTTTTTGCGGTCATGACATCGATGATTAATGCGAAAACGTGTTAAATATGTCAAAATTTATTTATTACAAGAATAAAAGTTTAATCATCAAATTCATTGCATCTGCTACGTAATGTTAATTGCAGATATTTTATTCCATGTTGTGTGTTGGAGTGTTAGAAGCATATTTCTATGTGACATGTGAATTTTATGAACATATCGGGGACTGCATAAATTAATTTTCATGATACAAGCGAATGAAGGATGTGATGTGTAAAAAAGTTTTTGAGGAAAAATTTAATTTCAGTTATCTAGCTTTTCCCAAGTTTACATCCATCTGGTGTATCCAACCTTCATTAAACCAGCAATTTCAGCTTGTACTCTTGATATTGTGATGATATGATAAAAGTTTCTCTCGCATAAATTGCATCAGCATAAAACAACCGTGAACGCTCGAACAAATGTCGACAGTATTAAAATTCCGAAAAGAACATAAATTTCATTTACATTATTGCTGAATCATTCGCATTGCTAATGGCATCTACGATTAGCTTTCCAATTCTCGAAGATTCCAAATTGAAATTGCTTGTTTATTCTATAATGAAATTTATTATCTAATCCAATTCCACCTTGATTAATTTTTCAATAAAAGAAATCATTAATTTTCCAAACTCACTTTCAATTCTGAAAATGATCGCTTTCGGAAATTAAATATTTAACGATTGTGGAGGGAATTATTTCATCAAATATTTATGATTTCAATTTTAAAATGTACGATTTTTAACCCCTTGGATAGCTGAGCGGATTTGCTGACAATAAAGAATTCTGGAGAAATATTTATTCAAGTTAATTTAATTTAAGTTTCTCGAAATCTCGTAAAAGTTACATTAATTTAGCGCAAACACGAAGCACTTTAATAACTTTTTACTTTTAAATCTTCCAACTTTTATTCATACTTCGATAGCTAAACCGCTTTTATCATCAGAACATTCATATTCACACTTAGAGTGCTTATCAGTGTACGTCAATTTTTGTTTGCACGCGCTTACTTAATGTTATATTTATTCAAGTACTGAAATTTAAAATTCAGTCAAAGCAAAGCATTCAAAGTGATAACAAGCTGGAACCAAATAATTTATAATCTTCAGTCATACAATGGAGAATTATACATCAGATTCATCAGATTCCGACTCACACACAATCGACTATCAAAATCGAAACTTTAAACTCTCAAAAATCGAGGACGATTTCTTAAACATGTTCAAAAGTGAAAGATCTTATGGTGACATCGAAACGATAATTCTTTACAATAATCAACTAGGAAGTTTACCCCTTTCATTGGTCAAATTCTATAATCTCAACACGTTAGATGTAAGCAACAATTTTCTGACAACCATTGACATTGAAGTGCTCGTTCAATGCCCCTTAAGAACATTGATAGCCAAAAACAACCAGCTCACGAATGCATCCCTTCCGAAAACATTCAAGTCAAAATTGGGACAATTACGTGAATTGAATCTGAGTGGAAATCAGTTGACACACTTTCCAGATCAAGTGCTTGAATTGAAGTCTATCAAATATTTGTATCTCAACGGGAATCTTATTGAAAACATTCACAAGGACGTTTGGAAGATGAAGAAGTGAGTTGCCTAAGTTATTGTCTGTTAAATTCGTTTGTTATTATTATTTACTTTTGATAAGCTGTCTGACCTTTTCATTCCCTTTCTTTCTTTCATTTTTGTTGTTGTTGTTTGTCGGCAGTTTGCATCTCTTGTCGCTTGGAGGTAATCGTCTGAGAAGTATTCCTGAATCAATTGGCAGTCTTTCTCAGCTTCAAGCACTTAATTTGTGTGACAACTTTATCGAGCAAATACCGTCAAGCGTTGGTCGTTTGCATAACTTAAAAACTTTGTCATTGCATAAAAATGTCATAAAAACTTTACCACGCGAATTAATTTCGCTGCAAAATCTGACAGAGGTAAAACTTTTTCTTCAGAGTGATTTTTTTGTGAAAGATTTCACCACATAATCATTTTGTTAATTTATTTAGCTTTCCCTTCGCGATAATCCGTTAGTGGTGCGTTTCGTTCAAGGTATGAGATAAAAGAAAAACTTTCATTAGTAAAAATTTTCAACTTCTTTCTGTTTCTCATCTGCAGAACTTGCAATGACACCAACAAGCTTAAAAGAAATTTCAGCTCGAGTTGTAAAAACTTTTGGAGTGCCATTTGAACCAGTCGATGTTCCTCGAACTATTATAGATTATCTTCAAAGTGCAAATTGTTGTGTCAATCCTGAGTGTAAAGGTGAGATCGATGTTTGTTAAACTTTTTCTTGTTTCGAAAAGGAAATTTATCTTTCACAACAGCAAAGGAAATTAAAAATTTCTTTTTCCTTGCGAAAGTTTTCTTTTTCTCAAACAATAAAAGGCAAAGATGAAAGCTTGCAAAATTCAAATGAATAAGGACTTACTCGCACACACACACAAAAGCAGTTAATTTATGTGAAGAAAGAAAGAAAAATGCAAACTCATCTGGCTATGTTTATATTATGATAACAAGTTTTTTAATGCCTTAACCTTTTAAACTTTTTCTTCTACTTCAAGTGAAGTGATAAGCTTTACTCGACGTAATTAAGAATGTTTGTATGTGTTTACGTCTGACCAGTGACAATTATTTTGCTTTCACTTAAACGATAATGTTAGGAATGTGAATAAACCAATCAATTAATGAATGAGTTATAAGCTTAGAGTCAACAATCTTATGAAGATTTTCAATTATTCAAAGCTTTTGTTGATTTAATGTAATTAAATGTTAACTCATTTTCGTACAACTCCCTAAGAAGTCGTCTGGAAATAATTCATAATTAATAGACGACATGACTCTAAGCACTGAAAACTTAATTGCGCAGCAAACAATGTCGCTTCCTGTACCAAAGTGTCTGTATTAATGTTAAGTCTTCTTACGCCCTGCTCTTTTTTCTTTCAGGTGTTTTCTTCGACAACAGAGTGGAAAATATAAAATTCATTGACTTTTGTGGGAAATACCGAGTGCCCTTCCTCCAGGTATGGCTGATTTTCAAATAAATCTTTCTTTCACTTCTCTCTCTCGCCATTTCGCACTAAGGAAAGTGCTTAAGGGAATTGATTCTCATGTCTTTTCTTCTTTTCTTTTTTCTTTCAGTATTTATGTAGTTCCAGGTAAGAATGACATTGATTCAACATCTTTCTCCTCCTACCCCAACAATCACTTTTTATTTGCAATCCCAAAAGAGAACCACTTGAGTGATCGATTTGGGCAAATAAATTGAAAAATTCATGGAAATGAAATGGTTTCTGAAATATTTGGGAAATTTATTCATTGTCTTCATTTCAATTTCCTTTCCATTTAATAAAACCAAATTTAAATTCCCTTCTTAATATTGTAGATGTATTGAAAACGACAACGTTTCATCAGATCCACAGCCAAGTGCCAGCGGTTACATGATGCGAAAAGTTCTGCTTGGTTAATGGCTTGTTCAGAAAACAGAAGCAGACGAATGTAAATATTTATTAGTCATGAGAAACTTTCCAGCATTTTAAGCAAAAACAAAAGAAAAAAAAATGGAAAATTCGAAAGTCAAATAAATAATTTCCTTGTTATCAAGACAAACAGCAACAGAGTCAACGTGATTCAAGTTTCAGTGATAAAATACAATTTAAAGTTAAGATAGCAAGCTGTTTTACTCTAAAAATAATTTGTTTCCAAGCTGCTTATTGAAATAATGTTGAATTGCTCTAGGTTTGTTTTGATTAAGACTTTGTTTGATAATTCTAACGAGAAGATATTGGAAACGCTTCGATGCATCTTGAAAGCTTATTGAGAATTCATCGATCATTTCAAGCAACATGAAATATCATCAAACTTCTACATACCCTGCGAGCATAATAAGATTGTGTGTGGGAAAAAGCAAATATGTTTTGAGAATTTCAACTATTTCTCCGTCTTATGAAGATTTATTCACATTTCTGCACAGCAGCGCATTTCGTGCCATTGTTAACAGAATATTTTCCACATTCCTTTATTTAATCTATTCTATACAAAGCAAATAAAGATATGCATGAATGTGATGGAAAGTTATTCAACATGCACAAATAAATTGCAAAAGTTTCTTTTTCCTTTTACCTAAATAGTTGGATTGAAAGGAATTGACGTTTATTGATATTGAAGTCTTACAAAGTTTCCGATGAACATTCAATTTTCAAATTCAGAGAGTTTTGAAAACAGCAATAGTAGCAAATTTTCAATGTATAAGAAAATTAAATCAACTTCTCTACTTGTAGAGTTGAAAGAGGGAAAGACGTTCGCGTTACCTTGAATAAAGAAGACGTTACCATGACATGGTTTATGATTATAACCTACCATAATAATTTACTATACAATACGACACGACGTAACAAGCCAAGACAAGGGCGGCTTTAAAATGAGGACAAAATATATGGGGAAGATCCGTTAAATGAACCATCCCCGTTATCCCCTTAGCATAACAAATTATATGGCTTTACAATCCTACACTGAAAATTTCCCTTTTTAGCGACACTTCACAAAGATTATAAACGTGCACTTAGCCTATTTTACTTATTCATGAAAAGCTCATTAAGGCTCTATAAAGAAGAGATTAAAGTAAAGCTTTGCAATAAAACTTAATGGAACAACGAAAAATGAAAGAAAGAGAAGAAAATATTGAAACTTTTTTTTGAGTTTAAAGTTTTGCTTGAGAAAAGTGGAATGTTATTAAAAAGTTTGACTTTTCCGATCTTTCACAAGAGCAAGTGAACGGAACATAAACGACATAATGAAAAATGTCATTAATCATTAAGTAAGAGAAGGAAAAAGTTTTCTTAAAATTCAACACCAAGGCAACCCTCCTGGGGCGTTTGATGAGTGACGAGAAGAAGACAACAATAAGTTTGCGTGTCGCACATTACAAAGAATCCCTTTCATCAAATTGTAAAGATGGCAATAAAAGACATTTTATTACTTTGTTATCAGAGGATGGCTTCTCAGATAATGGATATTCAATAGTCGAGTTCCTTTCATATAGGAATTTACACAATGACAAAAAAACTCATTGGGATAATGTATCGAGGCTTTTGAACTTAATTTCCGTCATTAAAATTCCATGGGAAGGTTTTGTTGAGTGATATTTTAGAAAAGGGACAAAGTAAATGGTTTTCGTTAAAGTTGTAATGTTGTGAAGTTTGTTTGAAGCTTTATTTTATGCCGTCAGCTGTTTGCTGAAAAGATGTTTCTTTCTCAACTGAAATTTCTGATAAAATTGATTCCAAACATTCAAGTTATCTTCACAAGAAAAATCCCAAATCAAATTAAAATGAAAGTTCATATTTCTCATCCATTCAGCAACATAATGCAGTAGAAACACTTTTCCTACGTGATCAGAATGTTATTGAAGAAGACGAGAAAAACAAGTTGAGCTACTCAATGTCACATTATTCACAAGACATTTCGGTCTGTAGACAAACTTACGTATCACTTGATGCATACCAAAGATGAAAATAATGAATGTTTTTTTTTCTTTCCCTCTCGCTCTTCTCCGTCTTAAAGATGAAAGAAATTCTAGTCTCGTGTTGTTTGTGAACGAAAATATTCCTCAAGGGGAATGAGATGAAAACATATTTGAAAAGAAATTTTGGAAACTATAAAACGGAAAAATATGTCAAGAATGACAAGGCCTTAAACAAGAGATTGAATATGAAGAATTTCCCGAGACGAAGGTTTGTGAAGTTTTTGTGGCTTATAAGGAGGGAAGTTTCGAGTGCTTTTGCATTTTTATCGTGGCTTTGAGGTTTAGGGAAGAATATTCGTTTGGGTTTTAGAACAATCAATTTCCTGGCAGCTTCTTGTGGTAGAAATCTCTTAACATATTCTGACAAATTTTATGTGGTTCACATTTTATAAAATTTTGTAGTTTGAAAATCGAAAACTTTTTCTTTTGTGCTTTCAAATGTTCATAATCGACAATTTTATTGATCAGAAACATAGAATTGAAGTTAAATTGTAATTGCTTGTTAGACGATACGAATTTCCAGTCATCTGTGTAGGCTTATCAATGTCAATTACACTAATTGAATTGTCATACGTTTCACTGATTAATCAATTGTTCTAAAAAAAGAAAAGCCGAATCAAGCAGATGCCAAAAAAGCGGATAAAAAGTTCCTTTAATGAAGCTTTCATGGCAGTTTTCATTGAAAATTTAATTAAGAAACTAAACAACAGAGAAATCAAATTATCTGACAAGAAATCGACTGATGGCAATTTGATGTTGAGATCTGTTTTCATTATGAAAGCACGTTGAACGTTTATTTTTAGTAATTTCATATCAGCAATCTCCCTCTGGTTGTTAATTAAAATTTTATCAATTCAATTTGTGTAAAATGGATCTGAGAATCGATTTTCATTACATGCCAACTACTTACGTACTCACAATGGATACATTTTTCAATTATCCTCTTTCAAAAGCTGCTTAAAAAGCATGTTTAAGTGATTAAATGGAGAGAATAAGAAATATTTATATTCTCAACCAGCCTTCAAATAATATTTATGAAATGCTTCCGTTGAAAGCTTCTTAATTGGTTTGTTAGCTTTTCTGCAATTGAGTGGAACATTTTCCATTTCTTCCATTAAACGTTCTGCTCTGAAAAGTAATTGATGAAATTTTCTAAATTCAAAACCTCCAACATTTCTCTTTTTAATAAAACACATTCATGCTTTGTTTGCAATTTATTGTATCGAGTCTCGTCCCAAAATACTTTATGCTTCTATATGAAAAGAAAAGAAAATTGAATAATAAGAAAAAGCAAATCTTTTTGTACAAGAAAATTTATAACACAACCAACAATTTAAATCCAAATCTTTCTCTGAGAGTTTTTTTTCAAATTTTAATATCCAAAAGTTTATATTTTCCTTCTTCTTCTTGTTCTTTGCTATTACATTATTTAAAGGAAAAAGAAAGAAAATTAGGAAACTTTTCCAACTCGTTAATCTTTAACACTTTTTTGTTCGTTGCAAAAAAAAAGATGAAGAAAAGAAAAACCGAAAAGGTTCAAAAACAACACAATTTTTTTGTTCTCCTTTATTTTCACCTTCACTTGAGAAGTTATGAGCGGTAATTGTAATTGTAGTTGTAACCGCTTCCGACAAGGCATGGCATGACTTCACACCGTCTCTCTTCAAGCCGCTCATTACACGAATGCGTAGTTTGATGATTAAGAACTGTTCGTGTACGAATTTGAACAGCAGATTCACCACAAGTTTTACTACATGGACTCCAAGCACTCCAATTTGAGTATCGACATTGATGATGGTGATGGGAATGAACCGAATTACCCTTGGTTGGCATGGCAATAATTCTCGTGCTGCCGCAATCCTTAAAACATCGTTCAAAATGAAATAATGTTCTCGGACATGGAAGACCACCATTCTGTGGATGTTGCTGTCAATTTGTCGAATAAAAGCAGAAAAAACGAAACAGAGAAATTGCAGGAGAAAAGATTTACGTTGGGAAATCAAATATTATTATGTTCACATCATAAAAACTTACGATAATGGATTTGAATTTCCATCGATATCCTTCACCACATGTAGCATTGCAGGGCTCGTGCTTCCAATGGGATACTTTGCAATCAATTTTTTCATCCATCTCACGACCATAGTTGGAAAGAGAATGTGATCGTATACTGTTCCAAATTTGCTCTCTACTGTTCTCTGTCTGAGATGATTTTAAATTGTTGTCTAGGTCATCGTCTTTTCTGCACGTTTTAAGACACTCCTCTTGACTCTCAAAACTATTTAGATTATCATCACATCCCGTGTACAGATAAATTCCACAATCATCAATTGCTTTTCTGTAGTACCATCGATTTTGTTTAATTGTTTCATTGCATCTCTTGAGAGGAGGTTTGAGGAGACAAAGCACTAAAGATGCGCTTTAATTATTTGGAAATGAAATCGGACAATAAATATTTATGCGCATACCTGGAATTCCATGTTCATCGTCATCACATTGTTGATCTCTCACACCACAAAACGAAACATCTATCAATTCAGTGCCATAACACGGATGATCTTGGACAGAAATCTCTCTCACGTCGGTTTCCATAAAATTTTTTTCGTCATCGTCGTTGTAATCATCGTTGTATCGATTATTTCTTGATGTCAATTTGTTGTACAAGTGAATGATTTTTTGGAGATTTTCATCTCGTCTTTGATGTGTGCTGGGAATTCTCACACGAACTCTTTGACCTAAACCACAGCTGACTGAACATTGGCTGTAGGGACTGTATCTGGTAACTGGGCAATTCCTGTGATTCTAAAGAAGAAGATGAGATGGAAGGAAGGAAGATTATGTTTAAAAACTGTTGTGAAAAGTTAATTTACCTTTTGAATATCTTTTACTTGTTGTTGATTTTCATCGATGTCCCCAGAACAATGTAAACCGTCACAATCTTCAGTTTCCTCCAATTCTACGGGATTACGTTTCTGACACCTTTTCTGATTATGTCGGTTGACATATTCACGAGTTCTTGTTCGTTGACCTCTTCCACAGGGCTTTGAACATTCACCGAACTCCGTCCAAGCAGTCAAAGTACATTCGGGGTCTTGATTTTCAGGATCTTGTTCAGCTTCATTTTCATTTCTATCATGATAATCATTTCTATCATCGTTACAATTATCATCCGTTCCCTGGCATTCTTCGTACTCAATCAACTTCTTTTTACAGCTTCTGTCATATGACAAGCCGGGATTTCTGAAGCTGCGTTGTCTTGTCCGTTGTCCCTTGCCACAAGGTGAGTCACAATCCGACCATTGAGACCACCTGGTAACTGCACAATCTTTTACACTTTCCTGCTCGTAATATTGATTATTTTCCTGATTCTCGCAATTCTTTTCGTACAACCTTTGCCTTGAAATCTGAAACGTAATTGTTTTTTATTTTTCTACAAATTCATTAAAATCATTTGAGTGGAACGGAAAAGAAAAGTGAAAACTTCCTTAAACTTTTTAATTAAAATCAATTATCGAAAGATGAGAAATCTTTTCGGAATATTTCTTTGCGCTTACATATAAACGTGCTAATGGTTTCATCTCCATGTTTTCAGGGTCATGAAATGGTGAACGTGGATCATTCGGTTGATTTGGTTTTATTCTTCTTATCGCTTCCTTTGGTATTGTCGGTTGATCTGATGAAATGTAAGTAGGACCGCTGTCAGTACCAGCATCGTAAGGATACAAATTAAGAATTTTTTCTTCCACCCACGAACCATTTCCCAAACATAATTCTAATCCACTAACACCCACAAACCAATCAGGCGATGGATAAATCATTGAAACGTCACTGTGATTTACTACGAAACTTAGTTGAGCAAACACTGCAAAAGTTTTTCCTGTTACGTTCGGATATGAAATGCCTCGAGCTTTAATAATTGTTCTGATATGTTCGCCCTGTTAATAAAGACAGAATTCATTAATCATTAGAATGTATCGAACATGTTTGATTTCTATCTTTTATTATTATTTCTAGAGAATCAACAAACAGTTTCTTGTACCTCATCCTTTAATTCTCTTTCAAGTTGTCTCGTTGATCCATGTTCAGCGAGTTCTTTTAATCCTTCACTGGCTGCTTCACCATAAGTCCAAAAGCGGAATTCTCTGGTATGTGATGCGCCAATCACATCACTGAATTTTGTCAACCAACCGTTATCAGGAAAATCCTTTGGATGAGTGTGACGCGACCAAAGACCTTCAAACGTCAACTCGTATTTTGCTTCGTCACATGCTGTGCATTCTTCAAGAACGAATGGCTGCGTGTCACCAGAATCAGCGTCGTCTTCACATAAAACTTTACTCAAAGCTCCATCATCGCTATACCAAACATCACGATGTTCTATCACAGTTGACTTAAAAACTAGACAACCACTTCCGAGTGGTGGTGCTGTCCATGATATCTAACAAAACATTTGAATTCTTTAAAACCTTCCGTCTCACATTATTTTGATGTTTTAATCTTTACCATAACTTCACTTTTCGGAACTGAACTTGTATGTGTTACCAAGTTCTGACACTTTTCAGAAAATTTTGATGCTGCGTTATCTGTGATAAGAAATCTTCCAACATTTATTTCATTAAATGCTAAGTCGGCATGTCGGATGTCAGAAAAATCAGGTTCGACTGTCACAAAAAATCCCGTGAACTTTTGTTGTGTTAATTGATAAAAACGTGAGATGCCTTCGAGAGTGACTGAAATAAACGCAATCACACAAACACGTGCAAAATAAAGTTCAGTGACAAACTGTGATTAGAAAAATAGTAGAAACTTACTGTTGTAGGTTTCGCCAGGAAGATAGCGTTGGGGATCATTTGCAATCATTAATCGAAAACGACCATCGGGTGGGGATTTTTGAGCTGAAGAAGCCTCCGGTGTTCTATCACACCTTAATCCACTTCCATGTACAAATGCAATGTTCACTACGAGAATGATTTTCAACAACATAATTGAATTCCTCATGATATTTGTTGACACTTTTCAAAACTCATAAATATTGGGATTTCAATTTGCAACCGCACTACAACTAACCATGTTACTCTTTTTTTTAATTGAACACTTCCTGATGTTCTGAAAATAATTACAAAAATTGAAAAGCGATAAATAATTAAAACTCAACAACAACACCATGACGAGATTTTAAATTTATAAAATCAATAATCAAGTTCCAAGAAAATTCATCAAAATATTTATTCCACAATCGGTGGTTTTTGTGGCTTCACCAATCCGATACATAAACCAAAACAATGAAAATGGAAAACCGTAGCCTGGAAAATTCTCATTTTCTTTTGTTAATAAATCATTTTATACATGCTGTCATCTGAACTATATTTTACGTTTAAATTTTACTTTCAATTATGATATTCCTTTTTTACTTTATAAGTCAACCAGTGATGATAATCTTTGATCTCATTAATCAACAAAATCAATCGTCATAAATCTTTTCCTTTCTTTGATATTTTAATTCAGTTAACATTATTTTCTTTCTTCACTACCTTTCACAATTCACACAATAGATAAGTCAAGCTTTCTATTATAGATTAACAACAAAAACAAAAGTCTGATGATTGATAATTTAATTACGTTTTATGTTTATTTTTTAACACACTGAAATTGGCAAGTTGTTTATTAATAAATCTTTTCAAACGAAGAGCAAAACTTATTTTCCGTCTGATTCTAAAGACAAACCAGAGCGTAATGAAAGATTTTATTTTTTTGCATACGATGAGAGTGATATTTGTGATTCACGACTCTCCTGGAGCTTAGCAGATGTGAGAATTTTCGCGAAGCTTTCTGCATTGGATGTTCGATATTTTCCGATTTCTCTCTTCGCTCTCTAAAAAATTTTCTTCTCTTTGAGTCAATATGAAGTTTGTTTAGTTTTCCATTGATTTTCGCATTTGTTTCATTTTTTTTCCGGTACAAGCCAGACAAGCTATTCGCTAGTTACATATTCGCTTTCTTATTCTTCAACACAAAACTTTTTTATTCATTTTTTTGTATCAACAGTTTGTTGTTTTCTTTCCATCTTAGCGATGTTATTTGCCGTCTCAAGATTGATTTATTGTTATAAATTATTCAAATGCAAAAAAGCGAAATCTAATTAATTTTAAGCAGTACAACTTACAGCTTGTTCATGTTTTTTGTTCCTTCTCAAGAGTCTTAAGTCTTGTCTGAGAACTGAACGACGGCAGAAATCAAATAAGAAAATCACTTCAAGCCTGGCACGTGAGAATCTTCACCCGTTGAAATTATTGTTAAACGAGGTCATGAACAATTCACTGATGTTTTCTCATCTCGTAAATTTTAATTTTTTTTCTTGGAACGCCGCCAAAACTTTTTTTCCGTAGTGTCTGCTGACTTGTGATCTTGAAAAAAATTTCTCATATTTTTGATGGAATGTTCTTTTCCATGTTTACGAAAAAGAAAAAGAAACGAAATAAACTGAATAAATATCAATGAAAATCAATTTCAATTTAAAGAGAAAAAAGGAAAATTGAAATTATGAGAAAATCATAATTTTTTCTGGAATTCCGAAAGAAAATTGAGAATAATTTATTTTTTCCTGAAGTTTCCTTCTCAGTTAACATGCACAACCAGAAGTGAAAATTGAAAAGAAGACGTACAAGACAAACCTCATTTTAAAGTGATCTCTCGTGCATGTATACTTTAATTAAAAAAGGATTTTCGTACGTCTTTTAAAATCGTGACTGGAATTTAAGAGAATGAATGAAAATAGGTCTTGTCTGTCACTTTAACGTCAGAGTTTTCAAATGGAAACATATTCAGATAGAAACTTCTTCTTTCTCATCCATGCAAAATGTAATTCCTTCACACTTTTTTCTGCAGAATTTCATCACTCCAAAGCAGATGAAACTTATACAACAAAATTAAATAAAAGAAAGAATAAAAATGAAGGAAAACAAACCAAAAGTATTGAAGTGAAATGGAACTCACAAAACTACAAAAGAAGCTCTTGGGTGATAATTATTTTCCACTCAGAAATATTGCATTTTCATCATAATCATAAAAAGCTTCCAACAAATGAGATGAAGAACAAGAAAGAAAAAAACAAACAGAGCAGTGAACAGCAACGCCGTTAGTTTTAATGAAATCCAACGATATTTTAACAGCAAGAAAATGTTAACTTCAACTGTTCTTACAAGAAATCCCCTTCTTGAATTGAAACTTATTACTCCGCTGGGATAAACATAAATAAATATTTAATTCTTTAACAGCGATGCTGGAAATTAAAATGTTTCCTTTAAATTATTTGGACTGTTAAGTTCGGTGAAGCATCACAACTTGCGATGAGATTACATACGATTGTCGAAAAAGATTTTAAATGAAAATTTAATTACAATTTTCATGTTTTGTTCTTCAGATGATGCTGATACAAATGAAGAACTTTAAGTGAAGAAAATTCGACCCGTTTGTATAAGGGAAAGGTTATGCTTTGGTTTATGTTTATGTTTCCTGGATTAATGTTGTTATTCAAAGTATGTACATAAATGGATGATATTATGTGCTATGGAAATGCTGTTGAATGTGCATACATGTCTTGCGTGGCACCTCCAGAAGGATGTGACATTCAACCTTCACCTGACCAATGTTGCGCTGATATTTCCAAATGTGAAATTGAAGGCCCTTCATCTGTGTGAATTTCTATAAACTTCAAAACTAAATTTCTTTGATTCTTTGTCATTTGTTAATGTGTAAAAGTTCAAAAGAATAAAATTCGCGTTTCATTTTGGCAAAACAATATTGGCATAATATTTTACTTAATAACTTAAGCTAAAAACATTTGCTAAAACAAAGATCGGTTACTGTTGATGATATGAAAAACTTTTTAATGAGTTGGATAGAGTTCTTGAGTTTTATCCAATAATATATACATTTTAGTTAAAGATGTGTTGAAAATGATACAAGATATTAGGAAAAATTTTCAAGCTTCAGAAAGTCTGAAAATTCTATTCTCGAAAAGGGGTGGGGGAATCCAAAAAACGTTTGTTTGTTTATACTTATCCAAGCTTGTGGTCTTGTTTTAAACACCTTTTCATATGATGACGCGAATTTAAGTCACAATACTGTTTCAATGATTCTAATTTATAAAATATAGACACAAGTGAAGGATATTTCAGTTTCGTTTCATTACTTGCCAGTAAAACAGAGAAGANTTTTTTTATAAAGTAAATAATTCATGAAATTAATGATAACTTATAGGTGACTATCGTTCTGTAATCAAATTGAAAACTGTTGGTTGGAAAGAAGAAAACAATTGGATTTTGAAGGGAAAAGGGATATAAGGATAATTGATTGATATCATTTACGTAGCAAAATGGGATAAACATTTCTTTTTAAATGTCGATAGCGAGTCAAGCCTTCTCAAATCTGCTTCAAGTGAGTTCCACAGTCTAACACCATACATAAAGAAACTATTTTGATGCTGGTTGGTTCCATTTGACATTGGAATTGAGAGTGTGTCACCACGAGGTAATCTCTTAAAAATAATTTTCTCGAACAGATAATTGGGCGCTCGTTTCTTTAATAGCATAAATATTATTATACATGCTCGATAATGAATATATTTTTCAATAGGGCAGTTTAATATTTTGTTTCTATGTGCGGATAAAGAGTCATATTTTTTTAACAAGAAAACATATCTAATACAAGCATTAAAACAAGTTTCAATTAATTTCCAAGTTCCTCGATTACAGCCCATAAAGATTTCAGAACAATATCTTTTAACAGTAGAAGCTCTTTGAGAGCAAAAACTCCACACATGACCACCCTTTCAGTTTCCGCTTGTAGAGCTTCGACTGTACTTGTGCCTGTGCTCTTGTTCATAACACCTTTTCATATGATGACGCGAACTTAAGTCACAATACTGTTTCAATGATTCTAATTTATAAAATATAGACACAAGTGAAGGATATTTCAGTTTCGTTTCATTACTTGTCAGTAAAACATCGTTTCTGATAAGAAAAGAAAATGAACAGAAACATTTATTTAATACTCATTTTAGTATTGTTTTCTTCTTTAGCGGAAGGTCAATAAAATTAACTTAATTTTTAATGTACAAAATTCGTAAGTATTTTTTTTTATCTTCATCAGTTTCTTCAAGAAAAACAAAATGTGAACTTGACTGTACAAGAGTTCTTTGTGAAGGCCCACCTTACCCTGCTTGTAAAGGAGTGGAAGTTCCCGGACAGTGTTGTCGTGATTACTCCAATTGCGAAGTCTGTTCTGAACCTATGCCCGATTGTAGGGTTGTAAGGTGTGCAGGGCCACCACGAGATGGTATCAGCAATTGTGAAGCCATTTATCGCCCTTGTCAGTGTTGTCCTGACTTCTCACACTGTTGTGCTACTGTATCATGTCCGGCACCTCCCCGAGGATGTGAACCAAGATTCAATCCTTCCCAATGCTGTCCCGATATAAGACATTGCAAATAGGAATAAATTTTGAATGAAACGAAATAAAAATTTTTATTGAGAAGACAAAAATCAAAATTTAGTTGATCATTTCAAATTTAAATTGATATTTAAAAAGACAATTTCTATGAACAGTTTTGTAGGTTTCAGCAAAATGAAAGGTTTGTGAACGTGGCTTAAAATTTTCTCAACACAATCAAAAATTGGTTTTAATAGTATTTTGAGTATTGTAACAATACAACTTGTACTCGTCAAAATGAATAAATATCTTCTTCTTTTTGAATGTTTACATTCATTGGTTCCAGAGGCAAAGTTTATTTAAATGATCGAAAGAAACTTAAATAATTCTTTTTATTTCAAAGAGTATCTCATGTTATGCTTTGGTTTATGTTTATGTTTCCTGGATTAATGTTGTTATTCAAAGTATGTAAATTTTACCGGTCACACAGATATTAGGACAGAATTTTGTGATTTTTCACTTCGGAAACTTTTCTTTTCATGACCTCTGGTCATTTACCACAAGAAATTTATGATAAGAAGATTTTCTTACGATTTCTAAAGAAACGATGATTCTACCTTGAGGGGATTGCCAAGTCTCAGGAAATATGGTCGCTTCCTTAACAAAAACCGATAATCTTTATTAAATCCGACAACATTTCCGACTCCTTTTAAGCTTCTCAATTATTTTCTTTTTTTTTCATAAACGCAAGGCTAACAAACTTCGTCAATGTAAAAATAAAAAAATATGGAAATTTATCCCTTCTTGGAACTTTAAGTCGAGTCGTCAAGAAGGAGAGAAAAAATATATCGATGATGTTAGAATAATTTAATTAAAATTTAATTTAATTACATGAGAAAAGATCCCTTGTTAAAGCTTAATTGATACTCTTTTCTTTTTATTCTCTAACTTTTCTCATGATTTTCCATTTTTGCTAACTTTTAATATTTCATTTTCTTTCTTTGGACCTTTTCTGCTTTGTTCGAAAACTTCAAAGCACAAAAGACATTTTTATAGATAACGTCAAGAGTATTATCTAATTTTCTAATTTTCTTCACCAGAAGCTTCTGAAATTTTCAATAGATTTGACATAAAAGTTTGCTAATGTTCATTTAAAAAACCTCAACTTTTATTTCACTCAATCTATAACACTGAGGTTGAACTTTTTCCATCCCATTAGGTGTAATGACTCATCTGTGCTTGTTTGAGATAGAAAGACCCAACAAGTTGCTTTATAGGAACAAAAAAAAAGCACATAAAGAGTGAGAGGGAAAAGAATACAAAATATGTTCAATTTCTCATGTCATTGTTGGAACACAATTCATTGTCTGCTATTGAAAGAATAAAATTGGTCGATGAAAGAGAAAAGCCTGTAGATGATTGTCGCATTCGCATTATTTTTAATGGCTGCGGAAAAGTTTTGTCCTCTCTGACTTCTCTGTCATCAAAAGAACTGTTTTCGTGAACGGAAATTTTCGCTATGGACATTTCTCCTTGGCTTTATTTCTCTTATGAGAATTTCATTGTTACATGTATATCTAAGTACGAAAATTTCGTTAACAATTGTCGACTAATATGTACATATTTTGTTTCCTAAACTGTCATATCTCGTTTCAAGCTTAAGGGTTGAATTTTAAAGGTTGTGCTACGACGCTACACTTTTGCTTTTTCTATCACGCTTAGCAACATTTTTCAAATTATTTTTAGCATTTTGAATTTTCTTTTGGCCAATATCTTCATCATATTTAAGCAATACTAAGGATTGTGAAAGAATGGCGAAGGATGATCTTGAGGAGGTAAACAGAAAAATAAATATTAAGTATTTGATATGCAAGCATTCCTAATCATTTAAAGTAGAAATTGTCTTTTTTTTAAGTGTCTAAAATCCAAGTGTTCTAAACTAGAATTTGTTCATATCATATGAAAATTTTCTGACACTTCATCTCACTCACATTTCTATGATTCGTAGCAGAATTTCCGGTTGCTATGCCGACGCTTCTCCTTAAAATCGCTATGAGAACATTCTATGTGTGCCTGTTTAATCTAATGATGGTTGTTTTACTGAAAATGCTACATTATGAGATCGTTTGGTGTCTAATGACATTATAGGAATAAACAACTGCTTTCAACCGTTTCATATGTGTACGCGTTTATATCTTCTTTAACATCGAGGGAATATTTACCAAGCTTCTCATGTGTACGAGTTGATTGGAGCATTTAGGAATTTTCTAAAAAGTATCACATCTCACTCTTGCTACGAGTTTCAATCAAATTTAAAAAAAAATGTAAATTTATCAAAATGTGAACGAAGCCGATTATTTTCGTCTCTTGGGGATGAACGAATGTGTTAAACTTGCACCATAATCATTAAATAATTCATTAATATAATTTACATGCAAAAGCCTTTAGGGATGCTTCCTGAACATTATAAAATTATTTTTATATCTCCACGTTGATGGAGTGGAAATGAGCCTGAAATTGCTTTGAAAATTTTAGAACAAAATTTAAACATCAGAAACTTTCTAAGTGCATCTAATTAAGAGATAATCATGATAAACATTGAAAGCAAAAACCTTTGCAATTTCATTCAATAATTTCAGATAAATATTTTAATTTCCAACATTTTTCTTTTCCAACTTTAATTGTCTCGTGATGGACTTTGTTGATTCTCATGCCCAAACAATTTATTATTGTGCTTGAATAAAAATATTTTCCTCTCCATTATAAAAACCATATAATGGGACTGCTTTATTTATATAAATGGATTGTAATTTATTTTGTTGACTATTAAAAATTTTCTCTACAATTAAACTTTTTTTTCAACTATAATTAATCTAACATTAATTTAACAATAAACAAAAATATTTCAGAAAATCTTTTAAATAATCAACTTTCAGCGACCTCAGGAAAATTTTAAAAATAAATATTACTGAGAAAAGTGTTTAATGAAAGAGCGTAGGGTTGAATGAGTTGTCAAGGTGTTTGTTTACCTTCATACTTTCAAAAAATCAATTTAATCCTCTAGCTGCGCTACATAAAACATAGAAATGATGAAATAATATCACAAGGCAATATATTGCCAATGAAAAACAGACACAAATGTAAATGTATGTACTCTCATTCGATCAACAAATATGAGAAACATCAGATGTTTGGAAAATAAATACAGAAGCAAAATCATTGAACAAAATAATTTTCTTGAATTTTAATGTTTTTTGTTCTTGCAGACCCTCCAGGGCCTCTCTCGAGTTATTCGAATTCTAGCTCACTCTATTCAACAATATTGATTTTAATCACAATATTGTTGTTTTCCAGTGATTTTGAATAAATAAATAAATAGAATAACAATCAAATTCCGATATATATTAATTAATTTTCTAGGAATCAAAAATGAATTTTCGTCATGTTTCATGGCTTTAGAAGCTTCAAGCATTTCTTAAAATAATTCACAACAAAATTTTACAAAAATATTCTGAAATGATTAGAATTAATTTTGGGAATAAACAAAAACTTTATCGTCGACTTGCAATGAATTATGAATTATTCAGATAGTGTAGAAGAATAATTATTTATAACTTTTCAGCCATTAGACTTCAAGACCAAAAGGACCTTCTGAAGTTGCCACAAAAACCACAAAATCGTATTGTTGTGCAACATAAATCAAAAGCACTCATAGCCATTTGGTTGAAGTTGCATTTTTTGTTATTCAAGCTTCATTGAATTTTGTTAACTATTTTTTCAATTTTCCGATTCAAACTCGAATCCTTTCGAATAAAAATGGAAATATCAAATATTCATTCACTTTGCTTTACAAAATGTGTATGAACATCTAAATGAATGTTTTATTAAAATTTTATTTATTGTAACTAAAACAACAGATGAAATACGATTTTGTCATGAATTCATGATGGTTAATTTCAGCAAAAAAATCTCAGAGATGAAAATTCATAAACACAAATCAAATATCTGCAGCATTCTAGTTTGTTCCACCATCAGCATTTAAGTTTAGTTTAGTTATTCGATGATCAAGAATTTCTGAACAAATAACAGAACTTCATGTTTTCTAAAATATATTTGCTTAAATTAAGTAAATACATAATAAAGTGTTTACTTGCTGAAATAAAAATATGTTCATTAGTGCTCCAGTTGCAAACCTTCTGTATTTGTTTTCGAAGTTGTTATTTATAGTTTCAGAAGCGGAGTCTTCGATAAAGAAAGATTTTATTTCTACGACAAGATGAGCTTTTTAATTTTAAAAAAAAATCATGATTTTCAATCCATTATTGTGGCTTAATGTTAGAAGTGAATATGATTTTGAAAGTAGCTTCAACTACTGGATGAAGTTACCTAACTTAGGAAAACGTTTGTTTGAACAGTTTTTTTAATAAAAGTTCTGTCGTTTTGTCACCTACTGCCTTTTCATCAAAATATATCTTTTAATATGACTTAAATATGTGTTAATTATATACTTGAAAGTCTGAAATATTTTCAGAGCAAAATTTGAGAACGTGTTGCTTTCAAAGTTTCTTGGATACATGCACAGAAACGCTCGAGTTGTCGAGAAGTGCAGACAGAAATGTTGTTTTTCTTCATAGCTTTCGTTTTTTTGACTTTTCTGAGTGGTGAGTTGTCACAATAAAAGGGGAAGAAATAATCGAAAAGATTTATTTTCGACTCTTCCTATAATTATTTTAGTAATTTTTATGAGAATTTCATTAAAATTTTCTTTTCATCAACAGTTTTTCTTTTATTTTCCTTTATAACTTTGGTGAGATACCAAAGCTTTCGAAAGAGAAAAATTGTTGGTCCAAAGCCAGAATTTCCGTTCGGAAACACGAGAAAGTCTACTTTAGGAATTCAAAATCTTATTTATGACGTCGACGACAGTTACCAGTAAAAATGTTTTTTCATTCATTTAAATCTTAATGTGTTTAAAAATATTTCTTACCATTAGACTTTACCGCAATAAAGGACCTTTCTTCGGATTTTTCTCAAACTTTCGACCATTTTTGATCGCAACCGATCCAGAATTCATCAAGTTTGTCACTATGAAAGAGTTCAACAAGTTCAGAAATAATAATACTGTCGTAAGTTAACTTTCTTCATGATCCTAGCAGTTGATAATTTATTTATTTTATGCTGAAGATTAATCCAACCAAAGATCCACTTCTAGCTAGAAGTCCTTTCAGACTCAAAGATGATGCGTGGAAGTCAAAGAGAAATGAAACCACGCCAGTGATGACTCCAATCAAGCTTAAAGGAATTTATCCTTTGGTTCGAGACAAAACTCAACATCTCATTGATTATATTAAGAGAGAAATTGAAGCAGATGATACAAAAATATTCGATGCAAGAAATATTTGTACTCGTTGCACTTGCGATACGATTTCAAGTCTCCTTTTCGATGTTGATGCCAAGTCATTTGAAACTGATTCGATTTACTATAAAATGGGCGAAGGTCTTATTAGAGGAGTTAGAAATGCTGTTAAAAGCAGTATGCCATTTAAAAAACTTCCAAAACAAGTTGAAAATTTCTTTAAAACCACTGCAATGACATCTGTGAAGCAACGAGAAGAAAACAAAATTGAACGAAGTGATTTACTGGCTTATTTTATGTATCTGAAAGAGAGAAAAGGAATCAGTGACTTAGACCTTGTTGGACATTGTACAACCTTCTTTTTGGACGGATACGAGACAAGCAGCTTAGTCACTCATCATATTTTATATGAGCTTGGAAAGCATCAAGACGTTCAGCAAAAACTTCGCGAAGAAATCCAACAAGAAGGCGACGATATGTCATATGAAAAGCTTTTCGAACTTCCTTACCTTGATCAAGTTTTCAATGAAGCCTTACGACTTCATCCACCACTTCCATTTGCTACGAGGGTTTGTTCCGAAGATGTCGAATTTATAGATAAACATGACCATAAATTTGAAATTAAAAAAGGTGACGTAGTTTGGGTTCCACTTCATTCTGTGCAACGAGATCCTGGTAAATGTCAATAAATTGTGACTAAAACATTGAAACGTTGCTGGATTAATTCTTATCTTTAATTAGATCACTTTTCATCCCCATTGGAATTTGATCCCGAACGTTATAATCCGGAAAATGGTGGCACAAAACCTTATGCAGAACAAGCTGTTTGGATTCCGTTTGGTGAAGGTCCACGTAAATGTAATATAAATAAAATTCCAATAACTTTAAAGCTTTTAAATACGTGAAATTATAAAAACAGGTCCTGGGGTGAAATTTGGCAACATGCAAGTGAAAACAGCGATTGTTGAGGTTGTGAAAAATTTCATAGTTTTTGTTGATGAATCTACTGTCGATTCACCCAGAGTTGGTCCAAAAGAATATTTCAATGCTACAGGTGATAAAATATATTTGAAATTCAAAAATGTCAATGAAAACATTTAAAGAGAATTTCAATAAAAGATTAAAGGAAAAAAAAATATTTTGTTCAATTTAATTTATTTAAAATACTTTCTTAACTTATGCTTGATTTAACATTTCAAACTTCTCTTTCGAATGGCTTTTATATAAATCTGAAATTGCATACACAACAACAAGTGCTACAGTAAGTCCAAGAACTGTTCCAGCGAGAACGTCAGACCCTGTTAAAGGAAGTTTATTTATTATGGAATTAAATTAAATATTTATAAAGTAATGTCGAAGACTTACAATGATGTTTATAATCTGAAATTCGACTTAAAGCGCAATAAACTGCTGCGAGAATTAAAAGAAACTGAATACAATGTTTGAATAGCTTTGAACCTTTCCATCTCATTCGTGAATGTAAATACAACTGGAAATATGAAAACATTCTCAAAAATACTATTTGTGATTATTTTAATAAATATTTACAGCACAAAAGACCATCGTGTAAAATGCGAAACTGGCGTGTCCGCTTGGAAATGAAAGCCGCATGTCTTTTAAAACTTTCTCAGATGTTTGTGTGTTACTGCAAACGAAATCTTCAATGTATCGGTTCATGTTAAGAGGGTCACTGCAACTCGATCCATCCATCAATGGTTCACAAACCTGATTTATGACACAGAAAGAGTTTAATCTCCAAACATTTTCAATATTATCAACAAAAATTTACGTAAAAGAAATGTGGTCTGAATCGTCCGATAGAATATTTTCCAATGTCTGTGATAAGTTGACAACATGCTGCACCAAACAAAAATATTCCAATGTATTTATAGAGATTTTGCACGGTACTTGGAACATTCCAACTGTAGATGATTCTTTTTGACTCTTCATTCATGTTTAGGCGCCCTCTAATGATTTCGATAAGAATAATCTAAAAAGATAAGCAAAAGTTGACGTCAAAATCCAAACTTCGACATGACTCATAATTAATGTGAAGAGACATTTTCTTTTTGATTAACTCACTGTGACGATAGGAATGCACACACCAAGAGATACCAACATAGTCATACTGACTGTGTTCTCATTGTAGGGATGCATTAGTGATTCATCGTTGCAGAAGAAACCTCTCTCATATGGTTGTCCGATTAGTAATAAAATCAATATTGGGAGGGCAACTGTGATGGTTGAAATTAAATTAATTTAAATGGTCAAACAATTCTACCATTAGATAATTAATTAAATGTCAAAATGCTATACAAATATCTCACCACATGCTAGAAGAACAAAGTCGAAAATAATTTTGAATAACAACTTTTGTGACGAATCCATTTCTGTTGTTAAATATTTCAATGGTGCAATTTATTAACTTATCTACTAACTAATTAAATAAATAATTCAAAACACTAAATTTTTATATTTTTGTCGTGCTTCTAGTTTCGTTGAATTCCTCAATGTGACTGAAAATACAGAAAAGAAACGATTAACTTAATTTCATTGATAAGATAACATGACCAATGTGAGTTGACTTTATTTTTTTCTGTCTTTATTAAAAAGCTTTTAATACATCAAAAATCTATAAACATTAAAGCACGCTGATCAACAATTTAATGCAGGAAATATTGATTCAAAAATGCTTCGCTATCGTCTTCATATATTTACATAAGCTTTTCTATTTTAAATCTTTTTCTAGGAAAAGTCTTGGAAGAGATGTTTTATTAATCAAAACAGCATGAAATGTAGAAAAGTTTCTCATTATTTTCATATTTTATCATTCCTTATGAGAAACCAAGACGAAAAGTTGTTGACGACGAAAAATTTCCTGAATAATGTGGCATTGAACGGTTCATGTTATGAGAAGTTTATTTGATTTATCATTCGAATCACGTTCATGAAGTGTTTTCACTGCATAATGCTAGCGATAATAAAACAGATGAGTTTGCTAATGTAAAAACTTAGATTTTCTCTCTTTCTTTTGGAAGGATAAATCTCAGTTGTGTTTAATATGATTTTAAGTTGTAACTGAATGAAAGGTCGTAAGTTTTATTCAAAAATTTTAAGTGCTTATCATATAATTACAAAAATAAATATTTGTTTAATAAAACTTCAGTGTAAAGTGATTTTATACAATTTGCGAAATTGCAATGTTATTTACACTCTTTAATTAACAAGGTATGAAAGTTTAAACGATGCACTTTACAAGTAATTAAAACTTGATATGCGTTCTAATGAAATTCAATCATTTAAGTACGGCGCAACTTTTCAGAATTTTCATTTAATGGCTGATGAAATATTCTCTTGTTTCAAAAGCTATAAAAATATTTACTAAACTCAGTCTGTTTGAAATGAAAACTCTTCTTTCCCATGAGCTTTGAAATGTATCTTTATGTTCTGAACTCGTTGACGACGCTTTAAGCAAGTGTTTCGTTAAGAATGGTCAAGACAAAATTAATTTTTGTCTTCTTTTGTCTTACGATTTGTAATGTCAGATCTCTTGGTTACCTTGATTTCTTCACCAATAAAGCTTTCTTTTGACAAATTCTGACCCAAATCTTTAATTAAAACTTTATTTCATCATCAAAAAGAATTTTGTCATTGCACAGTATCTCATTTCATTACTTCCATTCCTTAAATATTTTTCATGATTTAATCTTATGTTGGAAAATTCCTAGTAACTTGCTTATCTTCCGCATTTGTTTTTATTCTCCTCCAACTTGTCTAACACAAGAAATTAATTTTTTTTTCATTAAAACCTCGTTTTATTATCATCCAGGAAGGCACCTATAACTCTTGTTTTTTAATTAAATTTTTCAATTATCCGTCTATATTCAGTGGAAAATGCATTTACAGTCTATGTATGCTGAAATCGTTGGAAAATTTTGATTTACACAAGCACGCTTGAATTGTTTTAATAAACTTCTATCAAAGATGCATTCAAGTGCTCAAAAGCTAGAGAATCTAAATAGCAAAGTATTGAATTTTTCAGAGACTTAGATCGTAGATATTAATATTCATGCTTTAGTTTCGAAAGCTACACATAAAGAAGTTTTGTTCTCAATTTAAGTTTCAAAATAAGTTTGTACAAATTGTCTGATATTCTAATATGATGTTGATTCAGTTTTATTTATTTTGTTTTTGTAGCTTAACAATTTTTAAGAAAAACAAAGAATTTTATCAAGTAAATAGAAAGAAGACGGTTTAGTTGTTGTTTAAAACAATTTTCTGGAGAATTAATTTTTAGGGCATTCTTCAATATGCATTCATTTTGGTACCATAACATTTTATGCACAAAAATCTTACCTTTAAGGATAAGCATAAAAGTATGTTTTATTTTTCTTTGAAACATGTTGCCGCAACATTGTTGCGAGCATCAATTTTCATTAAATTGTAAAAAACATTTTTCAACAATTATTTGAAATGATTCAAAGGATTTTCAATTCTTGTTTTTATTATTCCTGGGAAGCATTAGAAAGCCTTTTCATGCACGATGATAATGATTTATTGTTGACTGAGCAACTTAAATGTTTCTATGACATTACCCGATATTGAGTCATAAATAGAATGAAAACTTCAAAACAATTTTTTTCACAAATAGAAATAAAGCTTCTGATTCCTTTTGTATAAAATTTGATCATTGATTCTATTGGATCTGAAATTCATTTTAAAACAATGTTCTCATGACTTTTGAAGCTTATGGAATGTCTTGGCGATTTCCATGCCGATAACATTTCTCGTCACAACGAAATTCTATACGCACTACAAAAAATCTCTCTCAAAGTCGACTAAAATTTTCAGTCTCTCTTTAGAATTTGAATAAGAAAGATTACAAAAGGTTCGCGCATAAAATTTATTGATAACCTTTAAAGATTCATTGAAATATAATGAAATTAAAAATAAAACTTATTTTTCTTACGACAACTTTCTTCTTTAATGGATATGAATGCATAGGCGGAAGATTAATATTTGGTCATAGTGGAGCAAAAGATAAAAGCAAACCTGCATCTCATTCAAATTATGGATCAACTTTTGGATCTTCTGGCCTTAACAGCAACACATATATTCATAACAATTATTATAGATCTGAATACGGTGGATCATCATTCCTGACCAGTGCTTTATTTAATAGAGGTCGAAGTCACAATTCTTTTCGCCATAGGTCATGGTCCGATAAAGATGATAGAAGATGGCGAATGACAACAAAAGCTCCATATTTTGAGAATAAAATTCCAGGATCTGAAAAAATTTTACCGGCAGCTGCAGTTGTTGGTAAGAATTTCAAAGTTTGAATCATAATATTTTTATATCTAATCTTTCAATTTTCAGGTGCTGCAACTGCTTTTGGGTTAATTTCGCTTCTTCCACTCAATGTTCCAGCATTCAAGCCTTTGATGTACTGCAATGGAACTGAATTTGCACAATCACCCATCAACATCGACGACAAAATTTACAGATGCTCGAACAAAAGTATTTTGATTTCTTCTTGCGACTTCATAAATGAGAACCAAGTTTTCAATGAAGATGATAAATGTGTAAATAAAACCATGGAATGTCATTCCAAGCATTCAAATGATGAAATCTTTTGTGACAATGGAACTTTACTTAGTCGATCTTCACTTGTTTGCAATTCCACGACATTTTTGAATGGAACCAAAAACAACGAAACGTTGACAATTTTAAATTGTTTCAAAGGAGAAATCAATGCTAAGTTGGCTTCATTTATCCCAACAACTACAACCGAAGAACCATCAACGACTACGACTGAGAAGAATCTTTCTGTGCCTTCAAGGATTCATGTTTTCTTCATGAAAATCATCGGAAAGGAAGAAGCGCTTAAGAAGATCACAACGACAAGCACCACAACTACAACAACAGATGATCCTCGGCTAGCTTTGAAAGAAGATGATAAGTTGTGGGCTCCCGAAGCGATGACAATTCCACCCACCACTACTACTGAAGCACCATATGTGATAATGAAAAGATGGATAGGAGGTAGAACCTTACCTTCGTATGATAAACCAGCGACATCAGAAGAAGTGAGGGAATTTACAAAGATGCATAACATGGGTAAAGGTCACTGGATGGACTATCATTTCTACACAAAGGTTCTGATTACAACTGAATCTACTGTGGAAGAAACGACAACAATTGCAACTCCATTAATAACTGAAGTTTACTCTGGAGGTCCTTACGTGATGATGAAAATTTCAGAAAATAAATTACTTGAATTGAATACCAAAGAATATTTAGAATACAAAGTGTCGAAAGTGTTAGGAAAAGAATATTTTTATGAAGATAATTATGTAAAGGTTCCTTTCAATAATGCAACTACTCCAAGTTATGATAATAAAGAATAAGTTTTCTAACCTTATGACTTCTGTCATGCCATGTCAACATTTAATAAAAAATAACTTTTACAAGTTCCCCAAAATTATTTAAAATGTATGATGATTCATTGTTCCAATTAATAATGTGATTTGTCATAACCAGATATTTTATTTGTCATGACTTGGAAGAAACTCAATTTTCGTAAT